ACTGGTGCATTCGAAGAGTCGTCCACGGGTTTTGGCACGTCCGAATACAGCATGCTGTCATCCGAAACAAAGAAGGGAGCGCTCGAAACCTTCTTGAATGGGTCTGGGCCACCCATAGACACGTCCGAATCGTCCTGGGGTGCAACCGATGCCTCCCTGGGAGCGTCCTGGCCTGCCGTATACTTGGCTGCAGCGTCCTTGGTGGGGTGCGAATCTTCCGCCACGAGATCCGAACGTTCGGGCGGCGCTGCAGCAACCTCCTGAGGACGTTTCGAGGCACCCAACAGGGTATGGGATTCTCCCATGGGTACATCCGATTCCTGAACGAGCTCCTTCGAATGCTCTGGTTGAACAGGCACAAGGAGATCCTTCCCGGACTCCTCCATTATCGGTGTGATGGTCATTGACTGCACCCCCTGGACGATGGGGAGAGCGATCCGCTCCCTGATGAACGATGGCGCTGGAGGTGGAGGGGGGAGCACGCGAAGGTCCTCAGGCAGATAGAGATCGCTACGTTCAGGCGAGGCAGGGGGGTCAAGATGGGCAGGAGCAGCAGATGCCGATGTTTCAGTCGGAAGAGCAGCCGGAGGAGCCAAGCGAGCAGCAGGACGTGCAGGATCTGAAGGCGGCATAGGGGGCGCAGGCGGCGGAGGCGGTGGAGGAGGATGACGACGAGTGGGAGAAGTAGGGCCGGTAGGAGTTGGGGAAGCAGCTGGAAGAGGCGGTGGGGCAAGTGGAGCAGTGGGACGTTCGGAAGGAAAGAGGGCATGAGTCGGAGCTTGAGGCGGCGAGCCAAATGATAATGGGTCCTGTTCGGTAACATGGCCCAGGGGAGCCTCTTTGTTGGGTTCTGATTCGAACATCTCCGTGAAAGAAAGGTTGGTTGCACCTTCCATTACGACGTCCTCCATCGCCATGTCGACTTCGCCTTGAGGATCTAGAAAGTCGGCCGCTTCTGCAATGTCTGGGCCTGCGGGAGGCAGGCGAGCAGGTAGCGGGGAGGGACTTGCAGACGGAGAGGCCGAGACAGAGGGAGAGGCCACCTTATCGACTTTCACCTTGGTCACGCCGCACCCTGTTGAACCTCGGGTGTAGCAGCTCCAGCAAGCTTGGAGCAAAATGCCTGCCACCATGGGTTTCCACGCGTAAACGATGGTGGGTTGCTTAAATTTTGTCGCCAAGGGGCAAACAAGGCTAGGAGACCTATGCTTCAGCGTTTAAAACTTCGAAGTAACCTACGTGTAAATGAATGCGGGAATGCACCCAGAGTGGCATGTTGCACGTGGAGAGGGGTCTGGTTCTCCCGTCATGTCGGCCATCTGGCTGTGCTCGACCTTGTTCGGGCGACAGCGAATCATACGAGTGCCGGACAGGAGCGGCAGCTCAATGGGCTTGGATGGGATGTAGCGCTCAAGCCCGTATTGCCGCGCTTCCTGTGGATAAAGCCAGTCATGGCTATGATACCATGGCTGGACGGTGGTGAGGGGATCGTTGCCATGACCCAAGCGCGTCAGGTAGTCACGCAGAGCACCTTCGGATCGCCATACATCGTCAGTCGCCCAGTGGCTGTCGAAGAACTCTTGACCGCACTTGAAAAGGGAGTCATAGTAGCCCTTCTGGGAGGGAGGTAGCTGACCCACAGAAACAGGAAGGACAGGGTCGAGGGGTTTGGCAGGAATATTGGTGCCGGACTGAGATGCAAGTTGAGATGCAGCTGGGGATGCGGGCTGGATCGGGTTGGCCCCCGTCGCCGCAGTCTTGGGCGTCTTGGGCGTCTTGGGGGTCTTGGGGGTCTTAGGGGTCTTGGGGGCCTTGGTAATCGTACCACCTGCCGTGCCCGATTTGCCGGTGGCAGGAGAAGTGGGGGCGGCGGGCTGGCCAGGAGGCGAAGAGCCGGGCTTGTCAGAATCAAGCTCGTCTACGTCGTCGTCCCTCTGTCCCCCCTGTGGCTCTGGCGATGGCGAGAGCGACCAAGGTGCATGGGAAGGTTTGCGAAACCTGGGCCGGCTAGGACTTGGAGCCGGTGCTGTCGGTGCGCTAGTACTTGCCGCTGGAGCGGCAGTTGCGGCAGAACTTGCTGCTGCTGTCTTGGAGGTCTTGGCGGTCTTGGGAGCGACGGGCTTGCGGCGGCGAGGGGCCATGATGAGTGGGCGGATGGATGTAGGGGAGGTGGGTAGACGAAGGGTTGACCTTGGGGTGGTTATAAGGTCAAGCCGATGAGCGTGTGAACAATGTTATGAGATGAGAGAGATGACAATGGAATGCACCCGAGTCAATCAATCATGGTCAGCTTGTTCAATGATTGTTCGGGTAGAGGTGGAGCGGAGCGGAGCTGATTGTTCAGATCTGGGGCGTTCCGTGCCTAGACGGCTTCTGGGTGAGCCGTTCCGCATTCGGGAGGGCGCATCGTAAATCGCAACATTGCCATGACAGATACGAACCACGTCGAATAAAGCATAGCCAACACGGATGCCTGAGGTGAGTTGGGACATGTATAGGTGAGAAGTGTAGTGCATCTCGTTGCCAGTCGAATGCGCATGTGACGTGCTGGGGGCGAAAGGGGAAAGTTGGATCAAAAGGATTGGGATGTGACAATGAAGGAGGGAATGTGAGTGTGGAAGCTCGAGATGTATATTTGATGCGGTGGAGAAACACCGACGAAGTGGATAAATATCTATAAAAGCACTTTAAAAATTGTTTCGCGCCCTTGAGCCCCCCACAAAAGCTGCATTGTGGCAATCACCACGCGTCCCTCAAGCTACGTAGATGAGTAAGTGCAGGATCGCAGGACCAGCCTTGGATCATTGGAAAAGATGCAACGGGGTCACGCATGTTCTCGGGACCTTGGAGACATTGCCGTCGACTGTGGCCATAAAAATTGGAGAGCTCCCTCCTCAGATATATGAAACTAAGAGCGAGTCGGAGCAGCAATGTTCAAGCGCGTCGACACCCGCTCAAACTTGAACAATATGATCTCTCGCTTCCTGGCCTGTGTTCCACATGTATTCTGGAATTCTCTTCTTCTGTGTCCGGTGCACCGCTCCCCATCTCTCGTCGTCAAGCATACCTGTGCCGAGCCAGAGCGGGAGTGAGGTCCGCCTCACAGCTCGCCCCCGGAATCGGACCCGCCATGTGCACTGCAAGGATGGAAGGGGACGCGTCGCACGTCGCTCGCAACCCTTCTCCGCCATGCCACCACCGCCGCCGGCCACCCACCAGATCCATCGGAGCGCGCGCCCAGGCTGGCGCGCAGCGGTGCGGTGCATCCGACGCGTCGCCGGTCCGTGCGGTGGCGTGGGTTCGCGCCGCCGTGCTTTCGGCGCGGCCATTGTTGCATGCATCGACGGTGCCGGCGACGCGACAGTCTACGCTCCCAGGCTTCCGACGATGGAGCCATGTCAAAGGTGCGACGACTTGCTGATGTTGGGCGCACGACAGGCGATATCCTGCGTCATGTTTGAAGTTGCTCGGCACCTGTTTCGCACCGCACAGATACTTCGCTGTGATTATGCGATTGCGCGCGTTTGCTCGGTCGTGGGGAGCTCATGTCCTATCTGATGTGCATGGAAGACGACGAAAACACTCTCCAGGTCTGGCCACCGCACTGCCGTAACGGACCCCAAACCCAAACACCTGGCGCTGGCCAACACTCACGTCCATCTCGCCGGCTGGGCCGCCGGCCGCTGGGCGGGACACGCAACACTGCATAAGGGACGCGCCATGCTTATTATGCTCTGGCGTACGACGCCGACTGGCGAGCAGCACTGAATTGTCTCAGATGCTCGCGTGTCCAGGCAGCAACGCCAAGGCGCTGCGAACCTGCCCTCCTGCATCCTGCGAACCTATCACAACGAACGGCGCGTCGCTTTCCAGATTCTGACTCTGACTCTGACGCTGGCTCCATTCCCTTCGGTGCGTGCCCCAGTTCTTCAACTATCACGCCCCCTGACGAGATCTCTGCCGAGATGCCCTCATCGCGTCCGAGGTGTTCGGAGGCTGCCTCGCCCAGCCCAGCCAGCCCAGCCCATCCATCCGGCTGGCCGTGTCCTGACGCAGTCGAGCGAGCCGTCGCCGCCGGAACAGGAAGCCCCCTCGTTCAGCATACCCCGCGCACAGGACGCCCGGCCTGTTGGACAGCTGGTGGGTGAGGCGCGTGCCCCGTCCCAGGCTCACTGAACACTGGACGCGCTCACTGAGCCACAGCCGCCCACGCCCACGCCCAACAAGCAAAAGCCAAATAGTATGGAAAAGGTGTTGGTGCCTGTCCCGTGCGTGCCAGCGTGAACAACCTTGTGCGAGTCCCTGCCCCTGCATCTCTTCTCCTGATGCATGCGTCAGTCCAGTCTCCAGTCTCCACTCTCCAGTCTCCAGAGGCGTCGAGGCGAGTAACTGCGTTCTCCTGACGCTCGTGCAAAGGGGTCGGTCATGGCTCACAGTCCATCGCCTGGGAAACGGTAAGGGGGACAGGCAAGAGTGAGCCAGTGCACCGAGCCACCTCCAGCCGCTCGGTTCAGCGATAGCACAAGAGTATAAGAGAGCTGGCGTGTGCGCGCTCTCGCCATGTCTGTCCCACCTCTACCGCTAGCCTACTCCCACCCGACTGGTTCTGGTTAACTCACCCGCGTACGCCAAACCACCCACGCTCTTTACACCCCCACACGCGCACCACCATGCTCCTCAAGACCTTTGCTTTCCTCGCCCTCGCCATCGGCGCCATCGCCCACGAGGCCGCTCCCCCTCAGCCGCGCACCAACGCCGAGGCGCTGGCGCGTGGCCTCCCCATTCTCTCCCCGCGCCACCGCAACCACGGCGAGGACAAGAAGAAGAACCGCCCATCTAACAAGCCCGTTCCTACCAAGGCGTGAGTTCTCCTCCTTCATTTGCTTCACTCAGCCGCCGGCCCCTGCACAACACACGACGTGTAGCAAGGGCGAAGGACAGCGACCTGCGCCGTGCGACGCGACCTGCCGCGGCCCGAGCGGCCTGCTAGATCTAGCCACCCAACGGAACGTACTTGCTGACATGCAGCGGCCCCACCCCTGACTTTGCGAGCACGTGCGACTGGTACGACATCGAGTTCAAGCGCAACCGCCCCATGCTGCGCGCGCTCTGCAAGGACAACAAGGGCAAGAAGAAGTACTCTGAGCTCAACCTCAACCAGTGCATCAAGCTCCAGAACAACGGCCAGCTCAAGTGTGGCCCGGGCGGCTTCGTCGGCCGCTCGGGCCGCCGCGACCTCGAGTCCGAGATGCTCGACGCCCGCGGCTGGAACGACTACGCCAAGCAGAAGTGCACGCGCTGCGACGTCGTCTCGGACGACACGATCGAGTGCTCGTGCCCGCTCAAGCGCGGCGGCCGCATCGACGCCTCATACACGCTTGGTGAGTATGGCCAAAGGGTCTACGCCGATCGGCGTGGCGTCGACTGAATTGGCGATCCAATTCACTCGATTATGCATAGCTGACAGCAGGCGACTGCATCTCGAACAAGAACGGCCGCCTCACGTGCAAGGCTCTCGAGGACTAAGCGCCTCATCTCGCGCTGCGTCGCAGCCATTCAGTTGTATCTAGTTGGCCTCGTGCTCGGATGCCCCGCCAGGCGCTCCAGGGCGTTGTGGAGGGCGAGGGCCGGTACCCTCTAGACCATACCATAGAGAGTTCGAGTCTTCATCATCATGCCTTATGCCATGCTTCCTCCTTCTTCCTCTTATCGTTCATATGGATACTGTGGGTGTGTTGGGAAAGGCGGGGGCGTGAGTTGTCTGGCGTGCTCGGCCTGATTGGGACTGGCTGGACTACTCGACAGACCCTCTGAACGTAAACGTGGCCCGGACGTGCGACGCGATGCATAATCTCACCCACTTCCCACACTCCATCACGACGCGGCGAGTCTAACTTTCGACGCTCGAGTGATGGGACGCCAAGTCGCGTCTGACAGGGATGTACAGAGTTAGGCTTTACACGCCCCCAAAAGAAATCAAGCTGGGTGCGGGAGGCACATGGCCACGGCGAGTCTCTATGAAGGGCCTGCGGTACGCATATGGGAATTAGCTACCGTTGGGATGTGGCAGGGCAGGCATGATAAACACATGGCAGGCACACACGCATAGCATCTCTGTTCGTATAGTGGCTAGTATGCTCGCTTGTCATTCTTAGTGACCGCGGGAGACCGGAGTTCAATTCTCCGACAGAGAGCTTTCATTCGTTTTTGCACCAGGTCACTCGTGAGTCTTTTCATGCGTGAGAATTCGTTTGGAGGCAGTGGAGCGTCTGGCATGTGCAGAGCCACCACACCACATGAGCTCATGAGATGCAAGGGGGAGGCGCCCGCGTGTCAAGGGTAGCCTACTTATCCCATCTCCCACTCCACGGAGCTGCACACGACCATGCCCCTCCCACGCCTCCCATCCGAGGCATGGACAGGATCGCTCGACGAAGCCCTCGGCATATCGGCAGCTTCCAGCTGTCGAGCTGACAGGGGTACACTGTGATCAGATCAGATCAGCCGAGCACGGCTCTCCACCGATATCTCAGGACTACTCCTGGAATTTTGCCGCAGCTGCCGCTTTGTCCTCATGAACCAGTGCATAGATTGGCGGAACTCGATTGCCAAGACAACGCCAACGATGACGGTGAGGGACGATGGAGCTGAAAGTTTGTATTGTACTCAAAAAGGTGAACCAAGATTCACTTCACATTACTTCACCTCACGACAAGCGATGGTCGCTGATGCGGATAACCAGAGGCCGATGGATAGCCGGAGCGTGACGGGCCCAGACATTGATGTGGCGACTGCGGATCAAGTGGCGTCAATCTTCGGAAGCGGACAACGAAACTGAATGGCATACGGCATCCTGCTCTCATTCTGATCTCGTAACCAGCTATATCCTCCGTATCCAGAACGAGGCTTCAACTTTAGCGCCACAAATCGTCAGCCAGCGCCTGTAGGCCAGGACCAGTCAGCCAGTGCGCATGCACCAGCTCCGCCGGCATTCCGCGGTGGCATCCCATCTCGATGTCTGGACCGATCGTGCGTCACGTACCTCACCCCACTTGGTGATAGAGTTGCGCGCATTCCAGCTCCACACCGCCGCCGACCCACCCCCCACAAGCCGCAGGCCGCCAGTTCAGTCGACGGGAAAATTCCTCGCCCCAACCTCGGCTCGTATCCGCCATCTCCGCTCACCGCCCCCGCCTGGCTCCGCCAGCCCAGCTCCGACATGCTACTCGGCACGGCCATTGGCGCCCCACTTCCGCCGGCGTCCAGACTTGTCGCACAGCATTCCGCATCACACATTACATCACCGACAGAGCCATACACGGCCAGCTGAGCTGACCGAGGCTATGGCTATGAGAGTTGGCTGCATCGGAGTCTGCTGATCGACACACCGGTACACCGGTACAGTGGTGGTGGTACAGTGGTACAGAGAGCACAGTGGGATAAAAGACATCGCCTCTCAAGCGCCGGTTCTTGTCCGGTTCTGCACATACTCGCCCTTGTACTCGCATACTCCATTGTACCGCACTCGCACCGCTCGCGCTCGTTCCCACGTAAAAGATGCTCTTCCACATCCTCCTCCTCTTGCCGCTCGTTGTCGGCGTGCCCCTCGATCCCAGGCAGGACCCGGCGGCGAACCCAGCGACGACGGACCAGCCCGCCGTCACAGCCCCGGACCCACCTGCATCGACGCCTGTCGCCCCCCCCGCGGGGGACGCAACCATGCCCCCTCCTCCTGCGACTTCCCCGCCGGCTAGTCCTCCGGCCGAGAGTCCGCCTGCGAGCCCGCCGGCTAGTCCTCCGGTTGAGAGTCCGCCTGCGAGCCCTCCTGCAAGCCCTCCTGCGAGCCCTCCTGCAAGCCCTCCTGCGAGCCCGCCTGCGAGCCCTCCAGCTAGTCCTCCGGCCAGCCCTCCTGCTAGTCCTCCGGCCAGCCCTCCTGCTAGTCCTCCGGCCAGCCCTCCTGCTAGTCCTCCGGCCAGCCCTCCCGCTAGCCCGCCCGCGAGTCCGCCTGCCAGCCCGCCCGCCAGCCCGCCCGCTAGCCCGCCCGCCAGCCCTCCCGTCAGCCCGCCTGGAACTCCCAGCCCCCCCGCGCCGACGTACCCAGCCAAGTTCAAGGGCACTACGCTGCACCCGCACGACAAGCACGGCAACATTATCAAGAAGAAGTGTCTCGACGTCCGTGGCCGTATCTTCGCGAATGGCACGCCTGTTCAGATGTAAGTTGAACCCCCATCCTCTCCTCTCCCACCCTCCCACCTTCACCCACTCACGTCAGCTATGACTGCAACGACACGCCGGCGCAGAAGTGGGACATCAACCACGAAACGACGCAGGTGCGCGTCTCCGGCACCGACTACTGCCTTGACGCTGGTCTCGGTGAGTCGTATTATCAGTGGTATCTGACGCCAGGCCCGTGGCACAACGGCCGCAAGATGAAGATCTGGAAGTGCTACGACAAGCTCCCGCAGCAGACGTTCTGGTACACGAACGACGGGCGTATTGCCGTCAAAGACCTCGGTGAGTCTTTTGCGCTCGGCAATCGGCAAACAAGTAGTCGCCGAGTCGGTGACTACCACCTGGAGCCGGAGGAGCGGGGCCGGCGGCGCACGCCCGCAGGAACGGAGCAGGCTGACACCAGGCCTTTGCCTCGACATGACGGACGGCGTGACCAAGAACTGGAGCGTCGTGCAGCTCTGGAAGTGCACCGACTGGAACACGAACCAGGACTGGTTCCCCGGCGCCCTTCTCAAGGGCGGCAAGGGCAAGGACAAGGGCAAGGACAAGCACCACTAGGTGCCGTGAGCCTTGGACAATGGACAATGAATAAAAACGTGTCTCAGCATAAATTAGTAGTATCAATGCAAATGTTCAGAAGCCGGATATAGCGGTGGATGCTGGAGACTTGAGGCGAAGGCCGAGGCGACGCCGGCGCCGTAGTAAGGGTATGTCGCTAAGTTTTGGGACGCCCGCGACCGCGTCAGAGCGGTTAGTCGCCTGCCATAGGCGGCGAGGGCTTATTGGTCGATGGCGAGGGGGGCATGCATGGCGATGTGGGTGAGATTGCGTGCATGAAGTAAGAGAAATATCCTGAGGCGGACTGGGTGCGCGGGCGACGACGGACGAAGTGACGGACACGGAAGCAAAAGAGGGCATCGGCGCCGGGGTCTCCGGATCAGCAGTGGCAGAGGCAGCATCGAATAGCGACGACGGCATTTTCATTCCTCTTTGCTCTCCTCGCCGCCGCCTCTCGCGCCGTCCTCGCTTCTCCTCTGCGTCTCCCAGGTATCAGAGCGGACGCTGTAGGGCCGGGACGAGAACGGTGCGTCACCCCACCCCCCATCTCCCCCCACTCCCCACGGGGCGTCCTCCACCCTCCGCAAACCGGATCTAGCACAGGGGCACCGGAGCACGGCCGTATCCATCCCGGAAGCCCATCTCTTGCAAGTCTCTCAGAGTTCCCGCCGGTCCGGGTGCGGGGCCTGCCGTGGCTGCCGTGGCTGCTGCTCTCTCACATGACAGTCAGCAATGGCGTATCCTGCAACGCGCGCTCGCTCACAGGCCAAGACGTATATACAAGCACCTGCTCACACGCCAGATCTCATCAGCCCCCTCCAACTCTCTCCATCTGACATCGACTGGACAGCATGGACTCGAAGCACGTCAACGTCAAGCTCCCGGCCGTCATCCAGGACCTGCCGGCCTGGGCACCGTTCGCCGCCGTCGCAGGCTGTGTCCTCTGGTACTACCTCTACCCCTACTTTGTCACCTACGGAGCCTTGCGCGACATCCCCGCCCCCTTCCCAGCCCAGTTCACAAACTGGTGGCTGTTCCTCGTCGTGCGCCGCGGCGACCGCTATGCCACCGCCGACCGCGAGCACAAGCGTCTCGGCAAGATGATCCGCCTGGCCCCAAACCACGTCTCCATCGCCGACGACTCGGCTATCAAGGCCATCTACGGCCACGGCAACGGTTTCCTCAAGAGCGACTTCTACGACGCCTTCGTTTCGATCCGCCGCGGCCTCTTCAACACCCGTGACCGCGCCGAGCACACGCGCAAGCGCAAGGTCGTGTCGCACACCTTCTCGCCAAAGTCGGTCCGCGAGTTCGAGCCCTACATGCAGGAGAACCTCCACCTCTTCGTCAAGCAGTGGGACAACCTCATCGCCAAGGAGAAGATGAACCCCAAGTCGAACGGCCAGCCCAAGGTCGACTGCCTCGACTGGTTCAACTTCCTTGCCTTTGACATGATCGGTGACCTCGCTTTCGGTGCTCCCTTCGGCATGCTCGAGGCCGGCGCCGACATCGCCGAGCTGCGCTCGACCCCCGACGCCCCCGCCACCTTTGCGCCCGCCATCGAGATTCTCAACCGCCGCGGTGAGATTTCCGCTACCCTCGGCGTGTTCCCCCAGATCCGCCCCTACGCAAAGTACCTCCCCGACCCCTTCTTCTCCAAGGGCATTGAAGCCGTCCAGAACCTCGCCAAGATCGCCATCGCCCGCGTCAAGCAGCGCCTCGACAACCCGCCCGCCGACGCCCGTAACGACCTCCTCTCCCGTCTCCAGGAGGGCCGCGACCACAAGGGCCAGCCTATCGACCGCGAAGAGCTCACTGCCGAGGCCCTGACCCAGCTCATCGCCGGCTCGGACACCACCTCGAACTCGTCCTGCGCTCTCCTCTACTACGCGACCAAGACGCCCGGCGTCCTCGCCAAGCTCCAGCGCGAGCTCGACGAGGCCATTCCCGAGGGCACCGACGTCCCGACCTTTGACATGATCAAGTCACTCCCATACCTCGAGGCTGTCTTCAACGAAACTCTCCGCTACCACTCAACCTCAGGCATCGGCCTCCCGCGTGAGATCCCCCCGGGATCCCCTGGCGTCACCATCTGCGGTCACTACTTCCCCGCCGGCACAGTCCTCTCCGTCCCGACCTACACAATTCACCACTCGAAGGAGATCTGGGGCCCCGACGCCGACGAATTTAATCCCGAGCGCTGGTTCAACCTCACCGCTCGCCAGAAGGAGGCCTTCATCCCATTCTCGCACGGTCCGCGCTCCTGCGTCGGCCGCAACGTCGCCGAGATGGAGATGAAGTTGATCGCCGCTACTTGGGGAAATCGCTATCATCCTACGCTCCTCCAAGACGTGATGGAGACGCGCGAGGGATTCCTCCGCAAGCCTCTTGCTCTCAACATCGAGTTCAAGCAGCGTCGCCGTGCTGTCGTCTAGGCGACTGGTGGCCTGTTTGACAATTTACTGGCTCGATCTACGCGTCTCTCCCGCGCTCTGTCGTCTTGACGGCTCGTGGCTGGTTTGACAAAATTATTGGCCAGTTTTTCGCATTTTTCCGCGCCCCATCATTCCACCTCTGCACGTTTGGTCACTCTGTAAAAAGTTGAGAAGTATCTGTATTGGACCGATGCACGCAGTGCACAGAGCGGATAGGCCGGGGCGGCCACGGTGCTGACCTCTTGGCGGATGGTGGCAAGTTTGAAATACTCATCGGCTCGCACTCCGGATATCCCAATGCTTCATCATTCTGCGACCTCCGCGCATCTATTCGCTTGCAAAAAGAGAGAACTATCTTGCATACGCAGTACACAGATAGTGGAAGTTTGTGGAGCAATGTCAATGGAGAGGGCGTCCGCATTCAGAAGTGGGCGGGCTGACGGCAGAACACAGCTGCAACCGTGCGGAGGTTGGTCATGGCCAACGGTTCTTTCATGGGCGGTCCAGACACTTAGCTAGAGCACTGGCCAGCGTGGACCCGGCGGTCCGAGCCACCTATGCTCCCTGACAACGTTCTCTCGCACATTGCTAACGATCGCACTCGGCGGTACTCCACCCACCCGTTCCCCACTGCTAAGACATGCTCCGCGTCCTGCGCCGCAAACGCCGCCCCACCTCCCTCCTCGACCTGCCACCAGACGTGCTCCAACACATCCTCCTCTTCCTCCCCCCCGACGACATCCACGCGCTCGCCTGGGTCTCCCGCGCCCTCCTGCGCGAAACAGTAAGCCCCCCCCCCGTGTATCTAACACAAGGAAGAGCACTTCCGCCACGCGATCGCGTCCGATTTCCAAGCTTACGCACACCTCTCCCCCTCCTCCTGGGGCGCCCTACACCGCGGCCTGCCGCCCGCGATCCTCTCCTTCGTGCCGCCGTGGTTTGGCCCCCAAATCCCCTCTCCACGCCTGCACAACCCCCCCACGCCGCCGCTCGCGCGCCTCGCCGGCGCCGGCACGCTCGCACTCGACATCCACGGGCGCGCATACCACCTCTCAGATGCGTCCGCCAAACCCATCGCGCGGGACGTATCCCAGATCGCGGCGGCGCACCGCACCCGCCTCTTCCTCGCGGAAGGGCGGGTGTGGGTCGACGCCCCGGGCTGCCGCCCGCGCGCGCTCTCCCCGCGCGGCGCAACCCACCTCGCGGCGGGGATGGACGCCGCCGCCGCCATAGTCGACGGCAACGTCGTCTTCTGGCCGCGCCTCGGCGCGCCCCTCCGCCTCCCCCTGCCCAAGCCCGCCGAGGCGGCGGTATGCGTGGCGTGCACGCCCACCTTCGTAGCCGCCACCACGGCGACCGGCGATGTATGGGTCTACCGCGACGCGTGGGCGCGCACACCCCTCAGCTCGCCGCACAACGAGCCGGCGAGCCTCGTCGCCGGCCTCCGGTGGACCGGCGCGTCGTGGAACGCGACGGAAGCGTGCCACGGGTACGTGGGGGTCATATGCGCCGGCGCACCCGTGTTCGCCGAGGTCGACGACGGCGTCAGAGTGCTTCCGTTCGCGCCGACCCCGACACCGCTGCCGCTCACGCTCGCCATCGCCGTGCCGCAGACGCCGCTGCATTGGTCCCCGCTCGCGGTGTTGCGGACGCCCAACGGCGTGTTCCGCTGCGAATTGCGCGACGGAGCCGTGCATGTCTCGCCCCTCCTCCTCTTCGCTGGCAGGCACAGCATGCACGTCCTCTCGCTGTGTGTCGGCACTGCGCTGGTGCTCGTCGAGGCGCCGCTCCCCCAGCACCTGTTAGCGCGCGTGCGGCCGTCCCGGCGCCGGTCGCTCAGATAACGGATGCAGCCACGCGGGTAGAGTACGGTAAGTGCGTCAGTACTGTAGTCCTAAATTACATGCAGAGTAAGCTACACCGACATCTCGGCGCGCGCCCAGCGCTCCTGCGCCTCGGCGAAGCCGTCTATTTCGCGCTCACCCACGAGCTCCAACACAGTCGCGTGCAGCGAGTTGAGCCCGCCGATGAAGTGCGAGAGCGCGATGAGCGCCGTCGCGTACAGCGTGAACTGCTCGTTGTGCGCGTTGCTCCACGTCAAATCTCCTTCGAGGGAGACGAGCGCGGAGCTCTCCTGCGGCATGAGCCCAGACTCGACCGGGGCATCGCGCGAGTCGGCCGGGGCGCCCGTCTCGAGCCGCGCGGCGCGCCGCAGCGCGTGCCGATACGTCCGGTGATACGATAGCCGCTCGAATATCGGGAGGACGGGGGGCAGGGGCGTGGCCTGCCGCAACGAGTGGCGCAGGAGGGCGAAGAGCGAGACGAGGTCCGCCACGAAGGCCGGGTGCATCAGGTCGCTGCGGTCCGTGATGCGCTCGCACCACTCGGGCTCGAGCTGCGAGTATGCGGCGGTGAGCAGCGCCGAGGACGCCAGCATGCTCTCCTGGATAAAGATGAGCTTTTCGTACTGCGCCCGCGGCCATGGGCCGCGGATGGCCGGCTCGAACGACGCATACGCCAGCCGCTGGTGCAGCGTTTGCAGGCGCGAGAAGATGCGAAGGAAGTGGTCGCGGTGCTTTGCGCGGCGGGATGCCGCGTCGCCGCGCTCCGTGCGCGCCGCTTCGAGGCTCGCGAGCTCGAGCGCGTACATGTCACCGAGGGCGCCGATATTCTTGGCCATGCTCTGCCGCACGACTTTCTTCGCACTGATTGGGCGCGGGATCAGGATCATGATGAAGGCGCCTGCGAAGCCGATTATCACCAGCAGCGCGCGGCGGCCGGCGAGTGTGTACCCCACGCCTTGGTTGGCGCTCGAGACCGTGTGGTTGTCGACCCATGAGTAGCCGACGACGAACGCCGACGTCACTGCCATCATGACGAAGAAGCTCTGGACTTGTGGCGGCGCCACGATACGGAGGAAGAGGAAGGGCGACATACCAACCACCTGGTGTCAGTCTCCGACGGAACGGAGGTGTACTCACGAAAGCTGCTGTTACTCCATACGCGTTCCCCATGCCCCGCTGCGCACCAATGTACCACAACACCATGCCGACCACGATACCAGCGCACGTCCCCGACATGCGCTGCACAAAGACGAACACCTGCTCGCCGGCGTACACGCCCAGACCCGTCTGCGCCATGATGAGCGCCCACAACCCGCGGTTGCGGTAGTAGAATGCAGCGGAGGACGGGCACACGGAGGGGACCCAGAATGCGACGGATACAATGCCGTACTTGAGCGCGAAGATGCCGTTGACGCCCGTGGCCGCGCGCACCATGGCGGACACGACGCGGCCGACTTTCTGGAGCGCGTTGCGCGGCGGTCCCGCGTCGGGGTCGCGTGCCCCGTACTTGGGCTTGCGGTCGGCGCCCCTGTCGTGCGAAAGCGTGTCATCGTCGTCGTCGTCGTGCCCGTCGACGACGTCGCCGCGCGCCGACAGGCCCGTCACCTCACCTTGCGCCGAGCTGTCGTTCACCGTCCGTACGACCTCCTGCACAAACTTGCCGGGGAACTGGAACTTGTTCGCCGGCGTGCCGAGCTCGATGAGCTCGAGGAGCTCGAGCCAGTCTATGAGCGCGAGGCAGAAGCCCGTGAGAGTCGCCGTGAACTGGAAACAGCGGAAGAGACCGCGCGGGCTCCCGCCCCCTGCCTTGCCCTCCCACTCGAGGAGGCGGCCGGTATCGGCGTCAAAGTGCGTGCGGAAGCGTTCTAGCGCCATACTGTTTCCGCTCGCGCGGAACGTCGCCAGCGACGCGCGCAGACGCGCGAGATTCGCTTGGCGTGCCTCGGGCCCCGGCAGGCTCTTGGGCGTCTTCTTCCAGCGCGAATTGTTGATCACGTCGAGGAAGTCGATACCGCCCGCGAACGCGCCCTCGGCGGCCGCGCGCAGGTCCGCCGTCTCGGCTTTGAGTTCCGGCAGCAAGTCTTCGAGATTCGAGCCGGCGCCCTTCTCGGACGTGATGACGCGCTCGTACATGTTTTTGCTGCGGCTCGTGGCGTACGGCAGCGGATTCTCCACTTGTGCCTTGAGGGCGCGGTCGCGCTCGTCGACCATGCCGACGACTGTGCCGAGACCGACGGACGCAGCGATCAGCGCGCGAGTGCGGTTGATCACCTCCGTGAGCTGGCCGGCGGAGATGCGGCCGCGCGTGACTTCGATCTGCAGCATCTTCGCTTGGCCCGCGATGTCACTGTACGCGGCGACGTATCCTTTCGCGAGGCCGCGCGCCTCCTCCGCGAGCGCGTGCCACTCTTCGTGCTGCGTCGGGTCGGTCGTCAAGATGCGCTCCTGCAGCCGCAGGAGCGCCAGCATGGGACGGTACGTACCCTGCACGAGGCCGGAGAGGACGAGGTGGCTCAGGCTCTGCGGGAAGAAGAGGACGGCACACGCGATCGCGACGGCCATGTATGCGGCCGCGGGCTTGAGGAGCGCCGTCGCGAGCATGTAGTACGGGTTCGGGAAGAGGGGGCCGAACGTGCTGTTCATGTCGAGGAGGATGGTGCCGTAAATGGCGAGGAGGGTGAGTTTGGGGCGGGTCGCGCGCACCCATCCAAGGAAGTAGGCGCCGATGAAGATGAAGACGCCGTGCACGGCCGAAACGCCGGGGTCGAGGAACACGCCGTGGAAGATCGCGGCTTGGTTAGCGGCGCGCGGGTCGGCCCCCGACGCCTGCGCTTGCGCTTGCACGCCTTGCATGGCGGTCTGAAGGCGGGCTTGGTCGCGCACGCTGTGCGCGGCGGCCCAGGCGGCGACGCCCCACGCCCAGCCGAGGAGCATGCCGAGGCCGAGGGTGATGAGCGCGAAGATGAGGATGGAGACGGGCATCATCGGCGGCAGCATGGCGCATGCGATGAGGGCGAAGAAGGTCGCGGACGAGCCGAGCGCTTTGCTCGCTATCGTTAGCCACGTCCGGCGGGGACTCACTAGGCGTGATGACCATGAGGAGGGTAGCTACGAAGAGGGCGATCATGGACCGCGCCCAGTTCTTCCATGTCCGCTTGGTCTTGAGGGCTGTCATGAGCCATGGGGGCAGCAATGAGGCGAGTTTGCTTTTGGGCGCGGGTGATGTGGATGCTGTTGCGGTTGTTGTCGTGGTCGTCGGTCTGCGCTCCGTGGGTGTGGCTGAAGGCGATCGAGCATGTCCGTGCGTATGATCGCCGTGATCGGCGCTGTTGAGTCCGTCGCCGTTGAGGGCTACACCTCGTTCTTTCTCCTTCATGTCGGCTGCGTCGAGGAGAGTACAGTGCAAGGAGTGGGTAAATGCCGAGCGCTCGTCGAGCAGGCGGGGATGAATGAATGGCAGCGGTTGTTTGGCCCCTTAACATTTGGACACATGACTGCGATTGCTCCTCCCGTTCCGCTCGCCGCGGCTTCGGACTTGGTCTCAGCCTGCGTCTTCGGACATCGCTACCGCCCGATGTCTTTTCCACCGCTGTACAGTGCACGCTGTCCACCGCAACGCCATGCTCGTCCTCGGGATCACCAGCGCGCAAACACAAACTCGGCGGCGGCGTCGTACCTGTTAACCTCGGTCGTGAGGTCGGGCATCGACCGCCAAGAGCACCCTCTTCTATTGTCCCGACGACGAGTGTCCACTCGAATCCAGACTCACGACAGTCTGCCCTCTGGCATCGCACCGTTGTCTTTGCGTTGTCTTTGCACTCTCCGTCAGCGTCCGACGCCGCAACACATCATGAAGATCGGAATAGTTCCTCGGCCTGGATCGGCCCACGTGCCGCGCCAAATTGAGAACGGCGCGGTCTGGGCAGGGCATGCTGCGGCGGGTGGGTTGGGTGGGTGAACTCTGGGAACGCGTTGGACATTGCAACTCCCATGCTTTCCCGCATATGTGGTCGCACGACGTTGCATTAGCATCAGAAATGTTGCGACGATATCTGCCCGAGATGAGAGCGTTGTACTCAGTCGGCAACATCGGTCAGGTCTCGGGATCCATGGTATTGCGGGCAGTTAGCAGTTCTCGGTGACCCATTGAGCTTTCCCAGTATCAACTGCCATGTCTCTGACACCCCGCAAGCTGACGCAGGCCAACGCCCCAATCTTGACACGCACACTTCACAATACAATCGCCTCGCCCATCAGCGACTATCCTGTCGCCGTGCGGCCACTCGATGTACGCCCCCAGTCCATGCAGGCCCTAGGGCTGCCCGCAACGAGTATCATGCACACCCGGCCACAGCCTGCTCGCGCCTCTCAACGATGAAGCGCACAATCGTCGAGGCACGCCCCCTGCCGTCGTGGCCGTGCTGACCACCCCAACCCCGCCATGTAACCCCAGATCCATACTGCGTACAATACTATACAACGTACACCAGAAAACTACTGCAATGGCGGGTGATTTGACGGGTTGATCTGCGGGTTGTCGGTGAACATGCTCTCGAAGCCCTGCCACAAACTGAGGTCGTCGGACGCGGTCGGCATGCCCGCCCAAAACAGCATCCACGAGTTGAGTAGGTCGTCGCTCTGGCCCTGATTCGGGTCGACTGTGGCGGTGAGGTGGTCCGTATTCGGCACGCCGGGCACGCTGAGCTCGAAGACGTTGCGGGCGCCCACAAGCTCGTCGAAGCGCGGGGAGGGTGGGCGGGTCTTGGCGCCCAGCGCGCTGATGCGCCGCAAGATCTCCGAGTGGTGGCTTGCGCTCGCCCATGTGATGCCGATTTGGTCGAGCCACGAAATGCACTGCTCCAGCCGTTGGAAGCACTCGACGCGTTGCGGGGACACGCCGAGCTGCGCGTCGACCTCGAACGGCGAGGGCGAGGGGCGCGCCGCTAGCCCGCCGTGCACGGTGCCCGCTTGGAAGATCATGTACACCCACATGGAGGGGAACTTGCGTACCCGGAACGAGTGCTTGTATCCCTCGAGGACGTTGCAGATTGCGCTCGCGGCGTCTCGGCTCGCGTCGATGCCCTTTGGCAGGCGCTTGTGCGCCGGGAGTTGGGGTGCAGAGCTTGCCGTCTGCGACATGCGCGAGAGGGCCTCCGCGGCGTCGTTGTGCGGACTCGCTGCCGCGTCGAGGAATGGCACACGCGGGCGGTGCACGAGCACCATGCACGTGTAGAACCAGCCGCGGAGCGTGAGGACGTGCGGGCCAACGCACTGGTGTGCTCGCGGATCCCCTTCCTCCCATTGTAGGTGTGGAGGTAGGTTGCGGCGCCAGGCGCGCAGTGCGCCATCGATTCCGACCACGAGCTCGTCGTAGTGCCGCCCTGCCGTCTCTGGGTTCTCAATCCGCGCGCGGCACTCTGAAGGGCGATACACGTGCTCGAGGATGTCCTCGAGGATCACCATGATGTCGATCCACGCGTTGAACGAGCTCAATGCGTGGCTCTTGGAGCACTCCATCACGCTCACTGCTGCAGCCTGAAGGTAATGGCTTGCACGGCCCGCAAGCCACAGGTCAAGCTCGTCACGCTCCATCGTGCTCGGTCGCGGTGTGTCGATGACAACGCTCCGCATCATTGGGGGGCGCTGGAGGAGGGCGGCGAGAATTTTGTCGAGGATGAAACACGCCCAGAGGGTGCGGTACTGCTCGTGCTCCTTGCGTCCGGGAGTGGTGCGCACACCGGCGGGCGCGCACATGGTGTGGAGCCCGAGGTCGATTGCCATGCGGCATGCGATCCCACCCATGTGGTATGCAAACTGCATGCGCCCGTATCCGATGTCGACGAGGGTGATGAGGATGCACGCCTGGATGGTGGGCAGGTCGCATGCGCCCAGGGAGGAGAGAATGCGCTGCCTCACACTCTCCACCAGGGTTTCTGAAAGCACGCCATATGGCCCCCTGGCGTAACGCGCCTCGCTGGGCGAGTCACCCACCACGACGTGCCCCAGGTCCTGGTTCGTGGCAGAAAGAGCGAGGACAGCGTCAAAGACGAGCGGGCTCAGCGTCTCGAGTGATCGCAAGCTCCGCAGGGCGGGGAGGTAGATGATCGGCCAGTGCTGGTGGATAAATGTTTCGTACAGCAGGAGAAGCTCGTCCATCTGATCGTCGGTAAGGCCGGCGTGGGCGCCAACACTGGGCGCGGCCGAGGCGGGACTTGCGGTCGACCCGACCATCTGGTTGATGGCCATCTGTTGAGGCAGGGGCACTGTAGAGCTCTGCCCCGTCGTCGTCGCGGGCGACAGCAGGCCGTGATTAAAGTCCATCATGCCCTTCATCCCATCCGGCATGCTGCTCTCCGTCTCGAGCCCCAAGATACTGTCGAACGGCGTAACTGGAGACGCGCTATCGAGGGTGGGCGGCGTCACGATGCGCACCATGGGCGCGAGGCGGCGGTCGACGTGGGCCGGCGGCCGCATGTCTCCAAGCACGGGCTTGGCGTCCTTGGGCGCGGTGGGAGACGCCGAGTCGACGACTTTACGCTTCGGACCGCCACGCGCAGGTGCGCCCTTGGGCGGACCCCGCTTTTTACCGCTGTTGACGTAGACGCACTGCACGTTGTGCTTTTTGCACGCGGCGCACTGGTCGAGCCCATCGCACTTGACCTTGCGCGCCGAGCAGGCAGTGCAGGCGCGTAGGGTGCGAATGCGCTCGGCGGGGGTAGCGGGCATTGGGGGCGCGGCAGAGATGGTATTGCGGATGCTGTGGGAAGCGGGGGCAGAGAGGGAGGAGGGTGTCTCCGCGGGGAGGAGGGGACTCCGGGGGGCGGAGAGACGGTGGCGTGTGGGGTTGGGGTATAGGAGCCGGAGATGGCGGGCCGCGGCGAGTAGGCGAGCCAAGAGGGGGCGGCGTCGGCGTCGGCGTGCGCTCGGAGCTTGATCTTGAGCTTTTCGGGGTTGGCTAGTCGTGTGATGAGAGAGAGAGAGACCAAGAGATGAAGAGATTGACTAAGAGAGTGAACGAGAGTGGCTGAGACGGAGGGGACCAAGGTGGGCCCGGGACGATCCAGCTGATCTCACCCGAGTCTCCGATCTCCCACGTGGGTCCCCATCTCGTCCTAGTAGCGAGTGCTTTACCCGAGGCACTTTCATCCTCTTTTAATCCAAATCTCATCTCTGGTTAGTCCCACTGGCCCACAGGTGACTACTACTGGGGATACGTAGGTCGTCCGTCTATCGTCTAGTTTTTGAGGGGTTGGGGTATGAATTCCCAAATGGCGCATGCCAGAGTCGAAGCGACGACGACGAGCACCGGGTCACCTCCGCCACATGCCAAACCTCTATGATATCCATGCTCATGCCCGTCTACAAAGGTAGAATTACAATCTGCTGTACCCTTCTCCTACTGCTCCATCGGAGGGAGGACCTGGCCCTCGACCGCGCCAAAGCCGATGCAGTACCCGTCGCCCTTTGCGACGGCGCTCATGCGCACGACGTCGCCGTCGCGCAGGAACGTCATGTCCTGGCGCTTGCCGAGGGTGTACGGCTCCTTCCCGCCGTGCGACTTCTCAAGCAGCGAGCCGAGGCCGTCGCGGCGCGGCGCCGAGATCGTGCCCGAGCCAAGCATGTCCGAGGGACGCAGGCGGCAGCCGGTGCACGAGTGGTGCGCCCACATCTGCGCGAACGTGTAGTACAGGTGCTGCGTGTTGCTGAGCGAGACCTGCTCGAACGCCTCCTCGCCTTCAGGCTTGATCTCCACCTTGAGGGGGATGTCGTAGTTGAAGCCCTCGGGGTCCTGGAGGTAGGGGAGGAGCTCGAACTCGTGCTCGTACTGCTTGGTCTTGAAGGGCTCGAGGGCGGCGGGGGAGACGACCCACGGCGAGATGGACGTGCAGAAGTTCTTGGAGAGGAACGGGCCCAGCGGCACGTACTCCCACGCCTGGATGTCGCGGGCACTCCAGTCGTTCAGGATCACGAGGCCAAACGTGCGCCGCCGGCACTCGGCGGGCGAGAGGCGCTGGCCGAGCTTGGTCTCGGATCCACCGTAAATCACGCCAATCTCCAGCTCGTAGTCGAGCTTGCGGCAGGGGGAGAAGATGGGCTGCTTGTCTCCGGGCTTGTCGAGGATCTGGCCGACCGGGCGGTGGAACGGCGTGCCGCTGATCACGACTGACGAGGCGCGGCCGTGGTAGCCGACAGGCAGGTGCTTCCAGTTGGGCTGAATAGCGTTCTTGGGGTCGCGGAAGAGGACACCGCAGTTGAACGCGTGCTCGTAAGAAGCGTAGAAGTCGGTGTAGTCGCCGATGGTGATGGGCATGTGCATCTTGGCGTCCTTCTGGTTGACGAGGAGGGAGGCGTCGCTGGCAATGGGCGAGTCGGCGCCGAGGATCTCCTGCACAAACGAGCGGAACTTGGCCCACTCCTCGGGCTCGCGAGCGGCGAGGGCGTCGAGGGTGCCCTGGGGTTAGTTCTGTGAACAAGAGGTTGGTTGTGGCTCAACGAAAGAGCTGGCAAGCCGCGTCCACCCACAGACAGCATGTGTATCTGCCATCCGCTGGCTCGACTGTCTGCGGACTGTTCATGTCCGTCCCAAACCCAAACTCACCTTCTGGACAACCTCAGCGGGAATGGGCGCCTTGCTCCAGTGCTGGGTACGCGACAGCGCCTCGAGGTCGAGGATCTTGTCACCGATAGCGACACCGGGCCGGGGAGCCCTGTCGGCGGTCGAGAAGACGCCGTAAGGGCAGTTCTCGACGGGGAACGGGCAGTCGGGAGCGTACTGAACGAAGCTCTTGGCGGGCATTTTGGATGAATGGGGGGGGGGGGAGATTGGGCTATGTAGGAGGGGGGCCTGTTGCTTTTATATAAATGCTCACGGTCGACGAAGCGTCGCGGCGTCATCTAAGCACGCGCCGAGTGGGCAGCTGATACGGGAAAACCATGCGTCGGATCAATCTTGCTTTTCCCGCTTCCAGGCGCAGGGCAGTCACCCAACGACAATCTTCGGCCAGCAGCGTGCGGATCACCGCTCGGCCGGAGATCATGTTGCTTGTAGTTTGTTGCTAGTGGCGACTTGGGTACTGGCGCTTTCATATCTGACACGGTTTGAGCGCCCGTCGCGTGATGTTCTCGTGCATTGAAATAAGAGGACAGCCCTGGTCCAGGAGACTCCGTACCATGTCCTCACGATTTCCTCACTGCCACCTCCAGCCGGCGACTTGGCGAGTGGCTAGTAGTTACGACTTGCTGCCTGGCTTTTGCCTGCCTGATGGTCTACACGACCGCATACCCCTGATGTCCCCCTACCTCCGATTCCTCCTCTACGGGCTGCCCTCCAGCCACAGTGACAGCTGGCCGGTTGCACTGCTTTGAATTTGTTGGTGTAATCTTCGACGTCTCGCTTGGAGTGACACCCAGGCTATTGCGTCGGCGATGGCGACCTCCTCTGCTCTTGCTATAAGTCTCACCGTTCCGCTTGCCGTCCAGTTTGAACAATGAGGAGCACATGCAGCAAGCCGCCTGGACCGCTGCTGTCACCTAACGTGAAAGTGACACCTCGAGATAAGGTTAGCCTTTACATGCCAGCCAGCTGAGGTGATGTTAATCGTGTCGAGCAAGGCGCAGCCACTGTCGCGTTCCAGCATGTGGGTATGATTGGCGATCGGTGAATCAACGATCCATGCAGAGTGACAATCCGTGTGGCAGCGGGTGCGCTATATGGACTGCTCGGGCTGACAATTTATCATCTGCCCGTCGCACCTCGCTTCAGCAGCGTCACGCCAGCGACCGCCAGGTCGCCAAGTCGCTTCTCTCCAGATCCCGTGCCAGCCATGTCACCCAGCTAGCGAGCAGGCAGCCACCAGTATCCAGCAGCCAGCCAGTCACGTGCAAGACAGTTCAAACCACACGGCCGGCAGCGGATCTTGGGCGCCGCACCGGATATAGCCCAGATCTGAAGCAGGCATGATCAATTCCAATGTCACCCACAGAACTCTGTGCTTTACCCGATACGGTGAGGTATGGGCTGGCGGGTATTACCGAGGTGGTGTACCCGGGTAGCCGACTTCGCGTGAGGCGACCCCACTGACACTGACGGCATGCATTGCTCGACCACTCACGTCGCCTTCCGAGGTCATGCGCTGCCATGAGCCCCGCGGCGCCCACATCTATCTCATGTCTCGACACCAGCTCACTGCCCACCGGTGACGAAAAGGTGACTGCAGCAAGTCCATACGTGGTATACCCGGCCCTCACCGAGACAGCTTATAAGCCCACACGCGCTTCTCTTCTCAGCATCAGCGCCAGCCACCATGTCGTCCAAGCTCAGCGCCTTCGACCTCAACAACGTCCAGCTTGGGTTCAACTCCCAGACGCTCGCCATCGTCGGCGTTGCCCTTCTCGCCATCAGCGTCGTCCAGTATGTCCGGTACGCGCGCGGCCAGATCCACCTCCCCGGCCCCACTCCCCTTCCTATCTTCGGCAACCTGCTGCAGCTCGACGACGTGAGTGACTTCCCGGCGACAGACGTGGCGGGGCGACCGAAAGCAACTAACTCCAGGACGCGGCGCAGACCTACTACAAGTGGTCCAAGAAGTATGGCGCGGTCTACAAGGTGACTCTCGGCGAGCGTGAGGTCGTCGTCGTCAACACGGCCGAGGCGGCAAAGTACCTCTTCGGCGACCTGGGCAACATTTACATTTCCCGTCCCCTGTTCCACAACTTCCACAATGTCGTCTCGTCCTCTGCTGGCTTCACCATCGGCTCGTCGCCCTGGGACGACTCGTGCAAGCGCAAGCGCCGTGCTGCCGCTACCGCACTGAACAAGACGGCTGTCCAGTCCTACGTCCCCATCATTGACCGCGAGACGCTCGCCCTCATCGAGGACATCTACCGCGACTGTGGCAAGGGCACAAAGGAGATCAACCCGTACTCGTACCTGCAGCGTCTGGCGCTCAACGTCTCGCTCGTTGTCAACTACGGTGCGCGCCTGGATGACATTTCCGACGCCATGTTCCACGAGATCATTGAGGTCGAGACGACCGTTGCCAACTTCCGCTCCCTCTCCAACGACATGGCCGACTACGTTCCTCTCCTCCGTTACCTCCCCACCTCGAAGAGCACCGTCGACGTTGCTGAGGACGCCCGCAAGCGCCGCGACAAGTACATGAAGAAGATGCTGGACGACCTCAAGGCGCGCGTGGCGAACGGCACCGACATCCCCTGCATTATGGGCAACATTCTTAAGGACCCCGAGGCGCAGCTCACCGAGCTCGAGCTCTCGTCCATCTGTCTCTCGATGGTCTCGGCCGGCCTCGACACGCTCGCGAACACGTTCATCTGGTCGGTCGGATACCTCGCCAAGCACCCCGAGGTGCAGGAGAAGGCGTACAAGGCCATCAACGACGTGTACCACGGCGCGATCCCCGACTCGACGGAGGAGGTCGTCGAGTACATCACGGCGCTGCACAAGGAGTGCTCGCGCTACTTCTCGGTGCTCAAGCTCGCGCTGCCGCGCGCGACGATCGGCGACTCGGAGTGGCGCGGCGTCCACATCCCCGACGGCACCACCGTCTTCCTGAACGCCTGGGCGATCCACCACGACGCCGAGCGCTACGGCGACTTTGAGACCTTCCGCCCCGAGCGCTTCCTGGACAAGTCCGAGGCCAACCAGCAGGCGCACTACTCGTTCGGCGCCGGCCGCCGCATGTGCGCCGGCGTCCACCTCGCCAACCGCGAGCTCTACGTCGCCTTCTGCAAGCTCATCTACTTCTTCAAGCTCGAGCTCGGTTCCGAGGACTTTGACATCAACCCCGCGACGGCGTGCTCCAACCCCCGCGGCCTCTCGAGCCAGCCCCACCCCTTCAAGATCAGGTTTGTGCCGCGTGACGCCGACACCATTGAGGAGTGGATCGCCGACGAGAAGAACCGTGCCGAGCTCAAGCTCGCTGCTTCCATGACCAACAAGCAGTAGACGACCCTCACCGTCACCATCCCCACCCCCACACGCATTGAAGACCCAGACTCATTGGGATGTCAGTAGTAGCAGAGATTGTACTAGGGATGAGATAGCATTGCACTGGCTTTTGTGGCTGATTTGATATTGAACGCGAGCACATCGGTCCGAGCGCGACGTTGCTGACCCCAATCCCACGTAGCGTTTGTTAAGATCCGAAGAGGAGCATGCGGAAACTCTCCCAAAAATATAATCGTGAGTCAGGCATTGGGGTGGGCAAGCGGGGCGACGGGGCGGGCAGCGGCTCTGCCGAGGTTCGATCAGTCAGCTACGCAGCTGCGAGTCCACCGACGGACGTCGTTTCGTTGAATAGCCGATCATCTCTAGGTCACCGAGGTGCCATGAGCTCCGGCGATGCCCTCGGCGTCGGCCACTGCGCCGTCGCCGCTGAGCGAGCATACAAGCGCCACAACTAGCGCCGCATGCGCCCACCCGCACTCGCCGATCGCCGAAGCCTCGCGGCCACAGGATGGGGATCGGCCCTCCGGGTCGGGTAAAGGCCTCCGTCCATCACGGCTAAAGCATCGATAATGATGGATTCCCCGTCCCATATCAACAGTCACCGACACGCTCTCTCGCGCTCACATCCTCCTCCTAACTCAGAATGTCCAAGCCCCAGCTCACGCTCTACACCTACTTCCGCTCGTCGGCGGCCACGCGCGTGCGCACCCTCCTCTCGCTGCAGGGCACGCCGTACGACAGCGTCTACATCCACCTGCTGAACGGCGACCAAAAGGCCGCCGCGTACGTCGCGCTCAACCCCTCGGCCGCGGTGCCCACCCTCAAGGTCGTGGACGGCGCCGACGAGTGGTACCTCACCCAGAGCGCCGCGATCCTGGAGTACCTCGACGCGGTGTATGGCGCGGGGAGTGCGTGCGGGAGCCTGATGCCTGCCGACGAGAAGGGCAAGGCGCTCGTGCGCAGCATCATCGATGTGCTCGTGTGCGACATGCAGCCGCTCGCGAACCTCAAGACCCTGCAGAAGGTCAAGGCGATGGGGGCGGACAGCGAGGCGTGGGCGAAGGAGGTCAATGAGGCGGGGCTGAAGGGTGGGTTCGCGAGACGGAAGGGAGGCAGGGCTGACGACAGCGCTCGAGGGTCTGCTCAAGCAGTATTCGGGCGGGAAGTATGCGTACGGCGACAGCTTGACGCTCGCGGACGTCGCACTCGCCCCGCAGATGTACACGTGTCTCCGGTGAGTCAGCTACGAGCTAGGGTGATGGACCCGCAGCGCAGCGAGCGCAAACACTGACCCCAGCTTCGGCGCCAACCTCGCCGACTACCCCACGTGCGCGGCCGTGTTCAAGCACGTCTCGGCGCTGCCCGAGTTCATCGCCGCGGACTGGAAGCACCAGCCCGACACGCCGGCTGAGCTGCGCGCGTAGACGAGACAGTAGATGGCAGACGCATTCTATCATGGCACAGCATCTAGTAACTGACGAGTCGATTGACACCTCGGACCCCCTACTCGTACTGGACGGGGACGCGGATGCGTGGGCTTGGGGTGCGCGAGGGGTTGCGTGAGGGCTGCATCAGCGGGATCTCACGAGTACTCACGCGGCGCGCCAAAAATCCGGTGGGCGAAGCCGGGGCGGAGGCCTGGAGTTAGAACGCTCCCGGACAACTTACGCGGCGGCCCAGGAATCCCTCTGGCTCGAGGTATGATGCGCAGCTTGGGCTGTCGTCGCTTGTGTTCTGCGTGAGCCCTCCTCTCTCCGCTCTCCACTCTCACAATCACGAGGTCAGGCTTAGTGCGCTTGCCCTGCTCGCCCAGCACGGACTCGCGCAGCCGCGCGGCCTCGGCTTGGCGCGCCTCCTCCGCCTCGCGCGCTTGACGCGCAACCTCGTCCCGCGCATGCCGCTCCGCAAGCACGCTCTCGACCTCGAAGAACGTGCGGACGCACGCGACGACGAGCGCGACGGAGCGGCAGCGCCCGAACGCTTCGGCGTACGCTGCAGGGTCGAACGTTGCGGGGAAGAGGCCGAGGAGGATCTCGTTCGCAATGTCAATTGCGCGCGAGATGTGCGGCACGGAGGTCGAGGACGGCGGGATGCGCTCGATGTGCAGGCGCAGCTTCGTGCCGCTTTGCACTTCGAGCGGGTGCGGCTTCGCGGGGCTGTCGGTGGGGATGGCGGCGAGCGGGTCCATGGTGTGGGAGGTGCGAAGTGGGTCACGTACGCTGGCGTAGACGCTCGAGGGTGGGCTGTGCCGGCCGGCGCTGGATGGGCACACATCATTGCCTCATCGATTAGATCGTGCGCCCTCGCGAGATCCTCTAAGCACGCCCGCGGGCTGCATGTCGGAACACTAGGCGGGAAAGGGCTCCCAGAACTCTCACAACATAAATCAGTTCATGTCTCGCGCATACTCACTTCATCCTCGGCGCTCCGCATGTGGTCCGCCACATTGGAGGTTGGGGGACGCGGGGTGGCAGATGTCGTGGTGGCCGTCGGGTGTGCGCCCACACCGCACGCTTAGCTAGACGTGTGCGCCACGGTAACTGTACATGTCGTGGAGGCCCCCAGCGTCATCCTACCGCTCCAGCACGCCCGTTTCGACAGCGCACTCATCCTCATTCCTCGTTTGCGGAACGCGTCCTCCATCTTTTGCTGCCTTTGACTCGTGTTAAGAGATGTGAAGAGTGACGCTCTTACCGCGAACATGTTTTCATTCGAGTCCTATCAGGACCTCACTCTTTGACAATACCCATCTGTTCTCAACACGTAGATCATAGAGGAGTCGATCTGGTTTGGTGGGGTTTGGAGTCGTGCTTGTTGCGACCCATCACAGTGTCATGCGTATGGAGGCGGGTCAGCCACATGTGCTTCAGTGCCCCATACTTTCAGGTCGATGCAGGTAATCGCAGCAGTAAAGTTTGTCCAGCGCCGCTCGCCAGTTCCGTCGGAATGGTTTCATGTGGGTCGCCATCACGTGACCACACTGCCACAAACCGATTCGGACAATTTTCAAACCTTGTCGATATCAATGACGATCACGACGATCGGAGGCGATAGGGCGATCTTCCATCCCACGTAGCAGAAATGCACAGACGTCGCACCGACAATCATCGGTATTCCATGTCCACTACCTGCGAGTATTCGCGACTACGAGAGATAGATAGCTTCGTGACCAGTTCTGGGGACGACACTCATACTCCATTCCGTCGTGTGGAATTTTTCCTCGCAGCACGGACCTCCTCGCTCGACCCCCGGCCAACTGATAATCTTGTTACCTGCTGCACAGACCTCGTAATCAGGCCGCCGATGCCCCTGCGAGGTGATCCTGTGAGGTCAGCTTCATCTCCAGCCTTTGTCCCACTGTGTACATGTTTATCCTCCGAGATGCTCCCCACTGCTTGGCCTGCTGCCCTCTCTTGCCTCGCCTCGGGGTGGTGTGGGCAGTTTTTTCTCATCTCGATCGTACAGCGTTACAGTACGTGCACTATCCAGGTGATCCGCTTGCTCCACCCCTCATGCGGTCCCCACCCTTTTTTGCTCACTCGCCGGCGGGTCAACCTCGACGCTCGTTACATCAGCCGAGTGTCGCCCGAGTCCTGTGTTTAGATAACGGTTGGCCGTCTCAGCTAGGGATTTGTCGGCCCTACCAAGAACACGTCTGCTAGGGCAGTATACGGGAGGCGAAGAACTGGTCAACTGCTCCCTCGTCAAGTTCATTCCCCATGCTCCGGCTTTTGCCTAATCCAGCCAAGCATCGCTGCGACGGGTGGTCCATTCCTTCCAGCTCCCTGCCTCGTGCTTGCGATGCCACGGAAATGCGCGCCAGGATGTCGGGACAGGGATGGTGGCAGGGATGAGGTCACCTCCGGCGGACGACAGGGACCGGAAGAGTTTTCCTTGTCCAAAGTTTCGGTTGGTATCTGGTCGCGGCCGCCCGCAACGTAATCTGCCCAGCTGCAGTTACGGAGCAGCGGCGGGCAGATGTTTAGGTTCCCGGAACGTCCTGCGCCACTGATGTGTACCAGCGACTTTACGCGCGGGCCTAAGGCGGCCTCCTGAACTCGTCCTGATTCCGAGGCCGACGGCCTGAAAGCTTCAATTCGGTCGATCCAATTGTACGATGATCTGCCAACTGTGTCTTGAGCGCCCGAGGAGAGCACGCGCCGACCCAGAAAATCTCTTCAGGTTCCGCGGTCCGGACGTCCTGAGCGTATGAATGGTCACGCTTATGCTTGAGCGGAGCGTTACTTTTTCTGGGCCACTCTCCTGGAGGGTTGGTCTTCCGAACGCAGCGCGCGCGCGCGTCGCAAGGGTTGCTGGCAGATAATGAGATCATCCGAGCTCCGGGATTCCGACGATGATGCGCAGGCCAGAGACACAAGCCCGAGCCGGGGCCTGGCAACGCCCTCATTGCCGACGCCTAATGAAGGGGTCAGTCACGAGCTGCCGATCTTCAGATAGGGAGATGCCGGCGCTTCCGAACAATGACAACGGTATCCGGATCACAACGCGACATGAGTGGCAGGTGAAGCACGAATACGTCGTGCACGAGCGCCATGCGTTACCGGGCCAGGACGTGTCCGGCGCCACTGTGAGGCGCATGTGGGTTATGAGGGTGACTCACTCCGGCAGAAGTGGCAGATGGCGGAACCGTGTCCTTGGCAAGTGCGGACTGCATGATCGTCTGTGAAGAAATTGTCGATCCGTGGCCTACTTAAGAGGCAGGACGTGAAGAGGAGTTAGAGCAGTATCTACCAGAAGTCTCACACAACACCATGGTCCGCCTCTCCGCCATCTACTTTATCGCTGCCTTCATCACAGCGTTCGCTACGGAACTCGTGGCAGACACGACCCCCGCTCCATCATCGCCCCTGCTCGAGACTCGCACCCGCGGGGACCTCGTCAGCGGCTGCACATGTTGCGGGTACGATGTGTCCTTTGGTTCCGACATTAAGAAGATGAAGACATACGTGAGTACACCTCTCATCGGGCTCATGGTCGGTGGCTGACATCAGTACATTCTCAACTGGGCCCTCGGGAAGAACACCAAGAACCAGGGCTTCTGCTTCACGAAGGGCAAGCTCCAGGCGCCATACGTGCAGGCGATCCGCAACGCCGTCGAGAGCGGCCGCGACACTCCGTCCGTCAGCGCCAAGGGTGCGCGCACGCTATGCTGGCTCATGGGGTGGAACACCAACGCCAAGTGTGTCGATGGCATCGTCAGGGGCTTCGAGCACTTCATCGTCGGCAAGGACGGCCGCACCCCCTCTATGTGGCTCCGTAAGGGCTGCAACTACCCCCGCGACAACTTCGTGCCCACCGACTGCTACTGCGGCTGGGAGTGTCTCCCCGGCTTCTCCCGTTCCGGCAACCAGTGCATCCCCACCTCCCAGAAGGCACCGTCGAGCGTCCCTGCCCCGCCAAAGCGCAAGCGTTCGCCATGCACTGGCGGCGCTGAGCTGTGCCCCGTCCCCGCCGCCAAGGGATTCGAGTGCATCGACACCGAGTCAAGTCTCGAGGCTTGTGGTGCGTGCCCGTTCCAGCCAGGGAGCGTCGACTGCACAACGCTGCCTGGCGTCGACAGCGTTGAGTGTGTACAGGGAGCATGCCGCGTCAAGTCGTGCATGAGGGGGCACATGCTCGTCGACAACGAGTGCCGGCCACAGTAGAGAGTACACCAGTAGACATAGATATAATAGATCACCATAGAGACCCTTGGACATTGGGCATGCCACGACCTTCATGACAGTACCCAACGAGGAGTTGTTGTGAGACTCCGTTTACGCTTGCTTAACTGTTGGTCTTCGGAGCGGTGACAGTGACAGCCCGGGAGACACCGGCGCATGGTCATATCGACCGGATTTCTAAGGGCTCCTCAAGTGTCAGCCAAGGCGCAGTGCTTTCATCTCTGAGTGCGGAGGGAGTCGCGCTGGTCATGCCATCAAGAAATTCACGTCGCCGTTCAAGCCGTCGCAGGTGTCACGTGGACATTGGTATTGGAGGTTGCCGATATTGCCGATTGCCGACATCCGATCTCCGATGGACGTGAGGAGGACTAAATCGATCTCAAGTAAGACGCCTGTATGTTCCAGCAGCGGGAGAAGCTCACCATATGCTGGACTACAAGACCGGAGGTACGATTTCTTGAGACTTTCCTCCCCCATTGAGTGCACATGCGGGATAACGGATAGGCTTGAACGCCGGCTCCGTATGGGGGCGAAAAGGTGTTGTAGCCTGATGCGTGCGCGCTTCACTCGCGCACACTGCTGGTGCTGAGATCCACAACCAGCGTGGGGCGGCCCAATGAGTATTGCGCTTGCATCATATCCTTGAACGAAGCATGTGGGATCGCTGACAATGGCAGGCTGAGCCGATTAGGCTCAGCTAAGATCTGAGGACGATGTCTGAGACGGAATGTGGCTAGCCGGCTGACCTGGTCGCCGGGGTGTAGGTGTTTGTTAACCGAGACAAGCCACACACGCTATTTAGATGCCAACGTGGGCACAGCTTTCTCACACTTGACCATTCCACGCAACCATGACCAACGCGACAGGCATGAACGGCGTCGGCCTCGTGACGGGCGCAGCCTCAGGTGTGCGTCGTAGCCAGCCATGGCTGACTCCAGATCGGGATGGCGACGGTGCAAGCGCTGCTTGAAGCGGGTGTCCGCAAGGTCCTCATGGCGGACTGCAACCCGGAAGGCCTTGAGAAAGCACGCGCAAGTCTGCTCCAGACGTTCCCCGACGCGCAGATTGAGGTCGCGGCCGTGGACGTCAAGGTCGAGGAGCAGGTGCAGGCCATGGTCGCGCAGGCCGTGGAGAAGTTTGGGCGCATCGACTACTGCCTCAATGCGGCTGGCGTTGCGGGTGCCGGCATGAAGATTGCGGAGACAACGCTCGAGGCGGTAAGTGTGGACTGAGCGCGCCTAGGGGCCCATGTCATTTAGCGCTGACAGCAGTACGAGAACGTCATCAACATCAATGAGCGGGGCACGTTTCTCTGCCTCAAGTACCAGCTCGCGCAGATGGACAAGCAGGAGCCGCTTAACCCGTACGTTGTATCTCGCCCTTACTGACACCAGGGGCCCGCGCAGCCAGCGTGGTGCGATCGTCAACGTCTCGTCCATCCTCGGCTTCCGCGGTCTTCAGACCGCTGTAGCTTACAGCACGTCCAAGCACGCCGTGGTGGGCATGACCAAGGTGGCGGCTATCGACTACACTGGCAGGCAGATCCGCGTGAACGCCATCGCTCCTGGCTGGATCGAGACTGCTATGACCGCGCCGCCATTTGCACACGCTCTGCTCATGCACGACACGCGCCCGGAGCGCTGCCCTACCGCGCGCCCAGGCCAGCCCGAGGAGATGGCGGACGTTATCGTCTTCATGCTCTCGGAGAAGGCGTCGTATGTCAATGGCACGACCTGGCAGGCCGATGGTGGTGTTCTCGTTACGTAGCGCAGATCTTGTCGAGAAGGCTTTGCGCGCTCGCTGGATCGGTAACTCAGAAGTAGGCAGCTTTGAATGATTAGCTCGGTTTGTCGAAGAATGATAGTTGCACGCGGAGCATTGGCGATCCGACATACAACCAGAATGAGGCTACCATTGAGGCGACTTGAAGAGAGCAGGTTATCAATATCAAGCCCGTCGCGACTCGGCCGCGGCTTCGGCCCCTCATATCCAGTGAAGCTCCCATGAAGAGTAGCGGCGTCGGTCGCGGATCGCTCAAGGTCGAGAGCTCATTTTCGACTGCACAACCGCTGTGCCACCTGCACCACCCCGTCCGGTTTGGGGCATCGGAAGTCGCCGTGATTCAAGAAGTCACGGGATCTGCGCGGGTAAGACGGCAGCGTCGTACCTGCTAATCGTAGCCTCATCATCCCCGGCGGACGTGGCCGATCACTTGGCCACTGATGCACCGGCGCCCGTCCACGCGATCCACTCTCCAGCACGTACATACATCGCCGTGCGTGAGAGGTGGGCAGGCGTAGACGGGGTAGTTGCCCGCGCGCCGCGGTGAAAGTTAGCGGAATGTGCCCCACAACGTGTCACGGGCCCCGCCCGGCAATCAACGCGGGGGGCACTTGCCGATCAAAGGACATGGCACGTTGTCACCTCCTTCGGTATATAGCGCCCGAACATGATGTTGTTCCTCACTCTCCACTCCTCTCCTCATCCATTATCATGACCGTCTCGAACAACTCCATGACCGGCGTCGGCCTCGTTACCGGCGGCGCGTCCGGCGTGCGTCTTTTTTGTTAAGCGGAGCTGATGCCAGATCGGCGCCGCGACCGTCCAGGCGCTCCTTGACGCCGGCGTGCGCCGCATCCTCGTGGCCGACCGCAACGAGGAGCTGCTGCACAAGTTCCGTGCCCAGCTTACCCAGACGTACGCCGACGCCGACGTCGAGGTCGCTGTTGTGGACGTCAACGTCGAAGACCAGGTCAAAGGCATGGTCGCCCAGGCCGTCGACAAGTGGGGCCGTATCGATTACTGCCTCAATGCGGCAGGCGTCGCCGGCGGGGGCGGAAAGATTGGCGAGACCGCCCTTGAGGAGGTTAGTAGTCATCAGGCTCTGCAAGGCCCTGCAAGCTCTGCGAGTTCCTCGGCCTACCGCCGGGGGCGCGTGGCCGATGGCGACTATTCCGACGCTGACCCTAGTACGAGCGGGTTATCAACATCAACGAGCGTGGCGTCTTCTTGTCGCTCAAGCACCAGCTTGCGCAGATCTCGAAGCAGGAGCCCTTGAACCCCGGTCCACGTAGCCAGCGTGGCGCGATCGTCAATATCGCCTCGATTGCCGGGTACAAAGCGATTCCCGGCGCTGTGGCATACACGACCGCGAAGCACGCCGTCATCGGCATGACCAAGGTTGCCGCGGTCGACTACACTGGCCAGCAGATCCGTGTCAATGCTATTGCCCCAGGATGGATCGACACGCCTGTGAGTCACCGTGATGTCCGAGCACCGGATTGTGATCGGCGACGTGGGTGGACGACAGGGTGCTGATGGTAGATGACCCGAAACTCGCCTGGAGCGGCGCAGATGCTTCAGTGGGGCACGCAGCCCGAGCGCTGCCCCGCCGGCCGTCCCGCGCAGCCGGAGGAAATGGCCGATGTCATCACCTTCATGCTCTCCGAGAGGGCCTCTTACGTCAACGGCACTACTTGGCAGGCCGATGGCGGTCTCATGACCAAGTAGACGGTTGGAAGGCGTCCATGACAGGTAATCCGAAGTTCAATGCAATGTGACTACAGTACTTGTGTCCGTTGGAAGAAGTGAAGCATAAGAAGCTCTGCTAACGTTATCGGGACTCCGATCTCCCTAACATCGGGATCCACTTGCCCCGTTGCCCAATGCACTGACGTCTCCATTCCTTCGCGATCTTTTGATCATGCCCTCCTCCCGTGCACCTTTATCGTCTCTGCCCGCACGCTGCAAGACAGCAAAAGCGGGTGCCCCCACTCAGAATCGAACTGAGGGCTAGAGATTATGAGACTCACGTGTTACCATTACACCATAGGGGCTGGGAGACGCTGAAGAACGGGGAGTGGCGCTGCCGACCGGACTCGTCCCGTTACGCTGAAACCTTCCAAATGTCTCTTCAGCATTTACACAACACTCCTTAAGTCACTGGCGGATGCATGGCTCGCTTCTGGGTCTATTACATGAATGCTCCTGGTGCGAGACTGACTGACTCTCACGGCGAGAGCGCCCATGGCACTTTGAAACTGATTGATTCACCTACTGTACCACCGTAGCACCTCCACCCATACTCTACTTCCCATCACCTGCGTAGTAGAACTCGTTCCACCGGTCGTCAAACGGCGCCTGCCTGTCCGCGAAGCGCACATCCGTCGCGAGGCGGATCCGGTCCTCCGGGTCCTCATTATTGGCGCTACAGTGAATCATGCAGCTGTGGTGGAACACGACGTCGCCAGCCCGATAATCGCCGACAAGCCAGCGGCGATTCGTCGTGCGCGCGAACGCGGCACAGTCTTTCGTGAGCCCCCCGCCATACAGCATGTTCTGGTTGAACGCGCTGATCTGAGCGTCGGCCGGCAGCTCCTCGTTCAGCGCGAGGAACGTGCGCTCAATCTCGCGCCCCATCTCTCGCGACCCCTCGAGGTATAGCAGCCCGCCTGAGACGGGGGACACGTGTCCGATCGGTATCCACGCCGTGACTGCGCCCGGCTCCATTTTGCGCAGATACATCTGGTCGTAGTGGACGCGTGTGGCCGTGTTGTATGAGCGCGGGATGTTCGTGCGCAACAACTGCCGGCGGAAGCGCATCGGCTCCTTCCATTCCGGCATGAGGCGGCCGACGAAGGCCAGCAGCCGATCCTGGTCCGAGAAGGAGACGATGAAGTCTTCGCGGCCCGCGCGCGTGCTGTAGTCCAGCAAGGCGTTGTCGTTCTGCGAGCGGTCAAACTGTGTCGCGCTCGGGCCGGGGAACTTTGCCGGGTCCATCGCCGTATTGTAGATCGCGTCGCGGGGCGACGTGCCGGGTTTGAGAACGCCGGAGGGGGCGACGAACTCGGAAAATCTGGGTCAATGGGGACTTGGGGGCGGCGTACTTCTCGCGCGTGGACATCACTTCTTCCGGATCGAGGAGGCCGCGGATGTGCACAACGCCGTCGCGCTCATAGGCTACGCGGATGTCCTCGATCGGTGCGTCGGCTGCGATGGGCGTCAGCCACGCTAGGTGGGATGGTGGAATCTGCGTGAGCCAAGTACGAAGGCTGGGCGTACCACGCCACCCTGGTTGCCTTCAAGCTTCAGCTTGTCCAGGTCCCATCCGTTTTGGACGCGCGGGCCGTCGTTCCGCAAGGAGGGCGGAATGGTGTGCACTGGCTTGGGGTAGTGTGTCGTCCCCTCCACCGTGGTCAGTGTCGCTACGGCCATGTTGGGTGGCGATTAGCTATGGATTGCGGGGCACATTGTTGGCTCCTCCACGGCCATACATAAAGTGTGGAGTAGGTGGGCAGCGGCGAGCGCCGGGTGGATGGGGCGCTGAAAAACAAGATGCGATGGTGCCTGTCAAGTCCCATCGCCACATGTTGGAATAGCGACTGATTTCTCTGAGTCTAGCACTTGTCGTCGTCAAGTACGAGGGGAGGCCACGGGCGGCGCATCAGCTGTCTCGGCTCGCATTAGTGCCCCTCGCTGACGATAGTGCAGCCTCGCTGACTAGACAAGACAAGACTTCTTTTGAGATCTACAGTATTATTACGCGCAGCCAAACTACACAGCAAGGGTGCGGGATTCGGCAACTCCAGCGTGCCGGCCAAGAGATTACGGCCATCGCCGACGGGGATCCATGGGGTTATCCTCTGTCTCCACGGTGTGCTGCTTTGCATAGTGGGTACTACTTCGGAGCCTCTGCGGACCAGCATTCCTCGCTGCACGTCAGAACCTTTGACAGACACGCCCACCCCAGGCTAAGGAACAGCCGAAGCCGGAGCCGATGGGAAGCTGCGCAATCTGAAGCTTGATAAGTGGCAACTTTCTCGCCAGCTCGTCGGCATCCCCACTCCCTACCGAAACCGACACCCACACTCCACCATGACGGTTGACACCGACCCCAACGCAGGCACGTCCAGCCACACGGACCCGTGGGCCGGGCTCGGCGCGCCGAACGGCGACCCCGAGGCGATCGGCTACGAGCTCCCGGACCAGTTCATCGGCGCGAAGAAGCGCGTGCGCGTGATCACGATCGGCGGCGGCGCGAGCGGCATCAACATGGCCTACCAGATCGACAAGTGGATGACCGACGTCGAGCATGTCGTGTACGAAAAGAGCGCTGCGCTGGGTGGCACGTGGCTCGACAACCGGTAAGTCTGCACGACGCTGCGCTCGACGCTCGCCGCTCGCCGCGACTGTGCTGATATCAGATACCCCGGGTGCGCATGCGACGTGCCGAGCCACGACTACCAGTTCTCGTTCCACCCGAACCCGAACTGGTCGCACTTCTACTCGGGCTCGCCCGAGATCTGCGACTACATGAACTCGGTGGTGGACACGTACGGGCTGCACTCGCACTTCAAGTGCGGGCACGAGGTGACGCGTGCGCGGTGGGACGACGAGGCGGCGCAGTGGGTCGTAGGTGTGCGCGGGCCGGACGGCGAGTTCGAGGACCGCGCCGACTTCCTCGTCAACGGCAGCGGCATCCTCAACAACTGGAAGTGGCCGGACATTGCGGGCATCGAGACGTTCGGCGGCAAGCTGATGCACACGGCGCGCTGGGACGAGGAGTATGATTTCAAGGGCAAGCGTGTTGCGTGCATCGGTGTCGGCTCGTCGGCGGTCCAGACTGTGCCGGCGCTCGTACCGATCGTCGACAGCATGACGTGCTTCATCCGTTCGGGCGCGTGGATCACGCCGGTCGGCGCAGCGCCGCAGTACGCAGGGCCCGGCGGCTCCAACAAGGCGTACACTGAGGAAGAGAAGAAGCGGTGGGCCGAGAACCCGGACGAGTTCCTCGCGTACCGCAAGGGCATTGAGGATGCACTCAACGCCCGCTTCCGGATGTACCTCAAGAACACGAAGGAGCAGGAGATGGCAATCAAGGTCGCGGGCGAGAACATGGCCGCGCGCCTCGCTAGAAAGCCTGAGCTGGTGGAGCTTCTCACGCCAAAGTTCTCGCTCGGTTGCCGTCGCCTCACGCCCGGCAATGGGTTCCTCGAGAGCCTGTGCGAGGACCACGTCAACGTCGTCTCGGACCCCATCGAGCGCATCACCCCCACAGGTCTTATCACTAAGGACGGGCGCACGCACGAGGTGGATGCGATCGTGTGCGCGACCGGCTTCGACGTCTCCCTCCTCCCACGCTTCCCCTTCACGGGAAAGAACGGCACCGACCTCACCGAGCGCTGGAACAAGGGCCCAGTAGAGGGATACATGAGCCTCATGGTCGACGGCTTCCCCAACTACTTCATGTTCTTGGGCCCCAGCTCGCCTGTTGCTCACGGGTCGCTCACCCAGACCATTGAGTGGTGCTCGCATTACATGCTCAAGTGCATTAGCAAGATGCAGGCCGAAGGGATTCGCTCGATCTCGCCCAAGCCCGCTGTTGTGCGCAAGTTCAACATCCACCGCAACGCCATGATGCCCACCACAGCGTGGAGCAGCTCGTGCTCGTCCTGGTACAAGAACGGCAAGGCTGACGGGCCTGTCATTGCTATCCACCCCGGCAGCAAGCTGCACTTTTTCGACATGACCAAGACACCACGTTTCGAGGACATGGAGATCGAGTATGACCACGAAAACATGTTTGCGTACTTGGGCAATGGTTTCTCGAGGCTCGAGGTGGAGCCAGGGCACGACATGTCTTACTTTGTCACCGACCCGAGTCTGAAGCTGCCCTGGTAGACGGTAGATGAGTTGTAGATTAGATTTGCGGTTAGATCTTGCAGAGCGTGTAGAGCATGAATGAAGACAATCCCCAGTAAAACCACGGCCCCAGCTTCTTCATAGTACTCAATTACGTGCGCAAAATATCGAGGAGGTGCGAGGCGCAGGCACGACTTGGCTGTAGTCATCGTTTGCAGCGCGTTGACTTGGGGGTTGCAGAATACTGCTATGTGGCCCATGGGCTGCACAGGTGGGGCGTAGATCACAATCGCGAAGTCTCCTTTCTTTTCCCACCTCATACGCAACACTGGAGGTCAGCCTGTGTTTGACTTGGAAACTTGCCTACGAGTGGTTGGATGTTTGACCGCATCAGCATTGGGCCCCACGTTCCAGCTTGCGCAGTTTCTCGCGACGGTCATGATGCAGACGTCGAGCGACCGTGTGTTGGACAGCCTCCTCACCAAGATCAAGGCGGACACCGACAACAGCCGAGATGACAGGACGATCAGAGTCAATCCGGGAGAGTGTCAGGAGATTGTCGGCAGTATTCTTGATCTCGTACGCGTTGCAATCGTCGCCGAGGAGAGCGACGTAAGGGTCGAAATGGTCGTCAAAGATCCTGGCAGATAGAGGCAACATCCTGGGAACTCCGAGGGGCATGTGAACGGGATACTGGACGCAACGGTCTCGTTCAATCTTTAAGAGAATCGGAGTGCCGTCCTGCAGATACGCGATGTAGGGGATGCACACGGTGATGCCGATGTCGAGAGCTGTGACGTCGGCCGAGTACATTTCTGATGCAGCACCAGTCCTCATCTAGCCCCCGGCGATACACCATGAGTCGATTTTCGGTGGTGAGAGCACAGAGAACGAGGCTGTCAAGACCCGAGTACCTAGCTACAGACGCAACGAGTTGAGTGAGGCCCGCACGTTTTGGAAGGCGTGACGGAGGGGGAAAGTAAGACGGAACAGTTTTGGGCGAGGTCGTCTGGTATATGCCAAGACGGATGTCGACGTCTTGCCACAGATAGGGGATGCCATCCTCGGTGAGACCGACAACATAGCCTTTAGCAGTGGCCAGCCGGATGAAAGGGTCGTACTTCAGGAAAGGCGGCTGCAACAAGATCAGTGGACCCTAGTTGATGAGCGCCTTTGTTGCGAGAATGGCCTACCTCCTCATCATGAAACAAACAGCAGCGCAGTGAAATCGTGGGGTTGGGTGTCGATTGTAAACAGAGTGCCAGGTAGGGACCATATGTGGCGTGCTGGAGAGGATCGGAAGCGACGGGATCATAAACGCGGTTCTCGCCGGAGTTGTGAAGCATGTAGGTGCAGTTGTCGAGGTCGGTAGCGATCAAACAACGCCATGCCTCCCCCATGATGTTGACGAGGGTTTGTCCGTCCGGATGTATTCAGTGTGGGTTCCGAAACCATTAGCGGAGCTTCCCACAGGATCCGTGACGTGGTTGAGGACAGTGGTGGGGCATGATAGTTCGCGGTACAGACGGCGCCAATAGTGCTCTTCCGGGCGAGGCTGGCGCGGCGGGTGAAGGAGGAGCTGGGGGCAGCTGGTGAACGTCTTCCGAACGCGCGACTTCCAGTAGGCGTCCTGCATGGTTAGAGCGTTATCTATCACATTTTGAGTGACACCCGAGGAAAGTGATGCTCAAGAACGACGGGATAGCTCACTGTCATATCACGCAACGTGCAGCCCACCCATTCGAGAACGAAGACGTCGTCGTCGGGCAGGGCGTCCATGACATGCATTGACACATCCTCGCCGAGAGAGAGAATGCGATTGGGCTGTTTGGGCGGACACCAGTACGGAGGGGGTCGAGGGGGTGGCCGATGAGATTGAGGAGGTTGAGGAGATCGAGTAATGAGTCGTCCAGAGAGGATGATGAAGAGTGAGGAGGAGAGAGTTTTGACGAACGTTAAGAAGGATGGTGTCGTGGCCTGGAGGGTGACGGTGCGCCACATCCAGAGTGCTCCATCATCCCTTGAGGGATTTGGACACGCCACGAACGATCGTGGTCAATTGTCAAGGAATTCACCAAGCTCGACAGGGCGCTGCTGGTCGCATGTTGCGGGGCACGTTGTGAAATCGCGCGTGAACTCCCCTCTGAGCTCTGGAGGTTGAAGCCTAGCAGCCGCCTTGCCGACAATACGGCTCAGTTCTACTGCAGCCATAGTCGTGCGGCCTGGCTCTGGAAGCTGGGAGCTGGGAGCTGGGCGGAGTCCGTGACGGCCTCAACCTTCCGAGAAGCGTGCACGCGCCCCGGCCGCGTGGCGATGAATCTGCCTTCCGAGGCCACTCTCACACGAAGAATAACTCCACCCCCATGGCGCGCATCGTATCCCTCCAGCGCCACGGCAAGCCCTGATCGCGGCGCGCCCACACCTGTTCCGTCAGCGCGCGCGCGGCCTCGATGTCCGCGAGGCCGCACGTATCCGCCATAGCGTCGAAGATGCGGCCTGCCTCCGCGCGGCGATCGCGCTCGCCCCGCTCTCTCTCCTCCTCTGTGAGACGGCGCGCGAGCCCGCCGCCCACGAGGAGCGGGAACGCCCAGCGCACAGTATAAATGTCGCCGTATACTGCTTCGGCGAAGAGCTCGAGGATGGCGTCGCTTGCGGCGACGAGCTGCGCGTCGTCGGGCGGCAGGCCGAGACCGTCTAGGCACACCAGGCAGATCAGGGCTTGGCGGTACAGCATGTCGCCGGCTTGGACGCGTGCGGGGTGCGCAGACGCGTAGATGTCGACTAGGGCCGACGAGAGTGTGTGGTGTAGGGCCGAGAGGCGCGATGCGCGGTCTGCGCAGGGGCCGTACAGAACAGCCACGGTTTCCAGGAGGAACTTGGCCATCTCAAGCGAGATGCCGTAGCCCTCGGGGACGAGGCGGTGGGCCACGGGGATGCTTTCGAGCCAGGTCGGGTCGGGAGGCAGGAAACTCGGCTCGCCGCGCTGGAGCGCATCTGCTGTTAGTGCGGCGCATGCAAGATCCGGCGGATAGAAGCTCACAAATCGCGTCGTTGAGTACAGCAGGAATGAGCTCCATTTGCGCCGGAGTCGGCACCGCGTCCCGGATCATCGCGGCTGGCCCACCGCGCCGCGCGATCCACTCGCACTCGAGCCGCAGCGTTGCGGGGCCCAGCGGGTCGATGGCGCATACCCTGTACGTGAGAGCGAGTGAGAAGGCGATAAGGAGCTTGGCGTCGATCTCCTCCTCCCACTCCTCGTCGCGTGCCGCGCGCGCCTCCTGCAACCTCAAGACTTGGAGGAGCGCATTCGTGCTCAGCTGGATGAGCGCGGCGCCGCCGCGCACATGATCTTCCGCTGGCTCGCCCTTCTTGCCAGCCCAGTAGGCGTAGTGCGTAGCGCCGACGCTCACGAACGCGTGCAGTAGTGCGGCTTGGGTGAGGTCAGCGAGCTGCTCGGGAGTCACGGTGTCGGCGGAGGGCGAGGAGAGGCTGTCAAGGCCCGGAAGGGCGATCATCGAGCTCATCGCCGACGCGAGCTGGCCGGGCGTGTCGACGGGCGTAGAGGGCAAATCGAGGGGAAGCTTGCCGTTGTAGTTGATGTACGCGTTCCAGCAGCGCTCGAGAACAGCTTGACGATATTCCGTAAAGGCGCGGCGCTGATTTGAGGAGAGAACCTGTTTCTCCACGATCTCGGCCGCGTTCATGAACCATGTCAGGCCGTGCATGTCAACAAGGGTTGAGAGGGCTTCGGCGTCGACGGCGTTCGGGCGTAATTGCGCGGCTGGAGTCAGAAGTGACTAACCTGGGCTCACGATCTGAAGGGTCGGGATGAATGTCAGACTCGGGCGACTGCTTCACCCGCATTACCAGCGAGGTGTCGATGCTCATACTGCGCGACGAGGGGCCAGGCGTGCTATCGGCCCTCAAGCTCTCCAGCGCCGGATCCTCCGCTTGGCTGCCATGAGATCGCTGCATTCCGCCGCACTCACTTGGGCCGCACGATGATGTCGTATGCGTACACGCACCTGCGTGCGCGCTTCCTCGAGCTCGCACAACAGTTATTGCACACCGGCTGCGTGAGCTTCCACCGCCAACCACTTTGCGACTCACCCGCCCCTGATCGCAGCGGATCTTGCGCTTTTTGCACGCGTCGCACCCGAACGCGGAGCGCGTCTGCTTTCCTCTATCGCTCGGCCCGGCGACGTCCTGTTTCGGCCGGCGCGCAATGAGGAGTGTCACGGGCGAGTCGCCGCGGCTACCGTCAGACCAGTCGTTGTATGCCTTACGCCCATGGCTCGACGCCGCTGAAGCCGCGACAGACGGGCGCGTGGTCCGAGAGCCACTTGGACGCGGTGCGGATGACGCCGTCCCATTCGTCCATGGTGGAGGGGTGGGCATGGCCGCAAGCGCAGTCGGCGGGCGGGATGGTGATTTGGAGGGCGCCAGTAGGCGTGTAGGAGATCAAGGCCATGGCGGTGACTGCCTCGAGAAGATGAGAGGAGTTGGAAATGTGGTGAGAAGTGGGTGCGGATTGTAATCGCTACAGGGGAGTGTGGGGTATCGATCCGGATCAGCCGAGCTTCCTGATCCGCCACTAATTGAGCCTCATCTCAATCCACTGTTTGTAATGCCCACCATGTGGTTTTGCCGCATTGTAATTCGCTTTGTAATCACAATATATTCTAATCTATTGACGGCCCGACATTTCCAGCAGTGGCGCTCATGATGGCGTACGATCGATCGGCCCCCTCGCAACTCTTGCTGGCGCCCCATATCTCTCGAGATCCTGCTCTGCATATCGTTCGCGTACTGTACAGCATTCCAGCCTCCTCCCACCCACACGAGCAATCACTATGAAGGAAACTCTTAAGCGTCTACATCTTGCTGACTTCGCCTGCCCATTGCTCATTCCCCCCAATGAAGCGGTACACCACGCGCGAGTCGCGGTCGACGCACGCCGGGTCCGCTGCGGCACGTGTGTACACATCCAACCCCGCAGGGCCGAGGAAGAGATTGGCGCCCGTCATCTGCGCCGCCTCCACGGCGAGGTTGTAGTCCTTGCGCATGAGCTGGACCTTGAAGCCGGGTGCGTAGTTGTTAGATGCCGGCGCCTTGGGGTCGACGCCGGGCACGGGCTGGAGTCAGAGCTAGCTCCTAACTAAACAGAATGCAGCGACTCACATTACAGTTGGCATTCACCCAGCTCCCACCCGTGCTGACGTTCAGCACCTTCTGGAAAGTCCGTGGGTCCAAACCGAGTTTCATGGCAAGGTTGAAGCCCTCGCTCGTGGCGATCGCGATCGTCCCCGAGATATAGTTATTGCAGAGCTTGGTCGCCAGCCCAAGCGTGGGCCCGCCACACGCAAAGAGGTTCTTGCCCATCAAAGAGATCACGGCGTCCATCTCGGACTTGCGCGCATGCCCCTCCCCCACGCCCATCATGAACGTAAGCGAGCCGGCCTGCGCGCCCCCTGGTCCCCCAGAAACGGGGGCATCCACGAACGTGCCGCCCAGGCCCGTGACGGCCTCCGCGACGGCCTTGGAAGTCTCGAGGTCGATCGTGCTGCATTCGATGAAGAGCTTGCCGCGGACATGCCAGGGGATGCTGAGCGCGCCACCAGGGTCCGTGCGGAAGATGTCCGCGACATGCTTGCCCTCCGGCACGATCGAGATGATCACGTCCTAGCGTCAGCCAAAATCTGACGGGGGAGGTCTTACGCAGTTCGCGACGACGTCCGCCGCACTCTTAGTGGGAAAAACGGGGCCGAGGTGCGAGAACTGGCCCATGAAACTCGTCACGGCTTCCTGCACCACGTCGTTGATGTACAGCGCCGTCGAGGGCGGCAGCTTGTGCCGGAGATTAGCGGCCATCCAGAATCCCATCGCGCCGAGGCCGACTGGCGTTAGCCTCGGCTAGCTCCGGCTCGCACGCACTGAAGCCCACGTTGGCGGGCATGTGCTCGTTGTTGCTAGCGATCATGTTGGTAGATGTGCGATGTAGCAGTGCAGTGGCGAGATGCATGCATGCATTAGAGCGCTGCGCGGGGTGCGGGTGGTGCAAAAGCCGTCGCCGACGGAAAGGCACTCGCCGAAATGCGAGGCGAGGTGCTCGTGCCAAGACGCCGTGATTCCCCTGGCCCCGCGCTGTCGCCGACTCCGATGCTGCGAGCTGCAGTGATCCTCGCTACGCTCGGCTGCTCGCGTGGCTGTTGATTGCCGACCTCCGAGCGATGCGACGACGCATGGACGCCTATCAGGAAAGGCGCGCCGGGGAGCATGTCGGTGAAAGCTTCCGCAGAACGTCGGCAAACGCTGCGGCATTCCGCAATCTCGGAGGTCTTGCGAGCGGAAGTCACAATTCTGACGTACTTTGAAGGGCAAGTGGGAGCAGTGGCGAGTGAGGCCGCCAGATCTAGCATCGCCACGAGGGCGTGTGATTTGGCGCTTGTCCCCGCGTAGGATGTGAGCTGGGCGCCGAACTTTAGTGGTGAATGACGTTCCGCGTCCGGTGCGCCTGTGCGGCCTTCGACGCGGATATTGTCGAGCGGGCAGCGGGCAGGGGCCAGCGGGCTTCAGATCACCTGATTACAAGAGCCAAAGACGATCCACGTTCCGCTTGGCGTCTTGCGATGGGGTGTGCACGTGCATTTCTCCATCGGGTTCTTGGTGCAGAAGGCCGCCGCCAAGCACCGCAGAAGCTGCCAGGATGACCATCACCTCCGCCCTCCGCTTCTCCACCCTCCGCTCCTCCGCCCTCCGCCTTCGTAACTCTACTCGGGGCGGGCATGGTTCTCGGCACCGCTATAGGCACGAGCTTGCACCGCAAGACTCTCGATCTCTCAAATTAAGCGTGCCATTCCTTCGAACCAGGACCGGCTGCAAACATCGCTTGGCATATATCTTCTGGCTCTTGCTTGACCTCACTCACCGCTCCAACTCACCAGCTCCTAGTCTTGCAACTCTACCAGCTCTTGCCCCATCCCAACTGCACTCGCCGCCTCCTGCTCCAAACCTCGGGCCCCGCTCCTCCCACCCTTCCAACATGCTCCTCTGGACGCTCCTCACGCTCGCCGCCGGCGTGGCCGCCACCCGCGTACACCCCGGCCACCGCCGCGACAAGTGCCTTGACGTAGTGGGGACGAGCGAGGCCTCGGAGGTCCACATCAGCATGCTCGTGACATTGTGCGTTCCGCCCCGCCCCGTCTCCGCTAACATCAGCAACGATTGCGCGGATACGTCGACGCAGAAATGGGAAGTGTGGCGGGGCACGACGTTCATCCGGCTGAGCGGCACCGAGTGGTGCGTCGACGTCGGCACGCGTAAGTCGGCCCCGGGGACGCATGAGAAGGCAGCTGACGTGAGACCGCCGCGGGCCCACGCCGGGCTGGAACCCGAGCAACGGCGAGGGCGCCAAGCTCTACCCGTGTGGCCAGATCATCCGCGAGGCCGGAAAGACGTTTGAGTTCCGACGCAACAAGTTCTCCGTAAGGGAGAAGGCCCTCGGCGACTTCTGCCTCGACCTGCGCGACGGTAACCTCGGCCCTGACAACCGGCTCCAGATGTGGCAGTGCTTCAAGCACAACCCGAACCAGGTGTTCTCGATCTCGTAGGGAGGCGCCGCACCAAGCCATGACAGGTGACAGGACACTAGTTTGATAGGACAATGCATATTGATTCCGCGTTGGCCGCCTGGCCTTGTCTCTGCGCCCGCCTCTCACGCCCCCTCCGACTCCAGATCTCCCCACGCCGCCTTGCGCACCTCAAAGTCCTTCTCCCAGCCTTTGACGTGCCGCACCGCGCCGACGGTATGGTCCTTGAAGCTGAGACGGAACCGCGTGTCGTCGAGCAAGATGAAGCTCGCGTGCGTGCGCGTATCATCGAGCCAGTCGAGTTCCCACGTATCCGCTGCGCCGGGCAGCGTCGCATCGCACTCAGCCAACTCGACCGTGCGGATCCGCCCGCTCTCCGTCGCTGCGTTAGACCCATCCCGCCGCCAGACCCACCGAGGTGTGAGCGCAGACACAAGTTCGTGTCCGGCACGAAGAGCTTCCAGAGCCACGCGCCGCTGACGGGCTGCACGGCCCACACGCCGTCGTCGGCCGGCGGGGCGTCGCCATCCACTACCGCGCTGCTGTTAGTGCGAAGACAGAGGGACGCACAGCTTAGCCTTCGCGCCGCGCTCGATCTTGTCGACTGCGAGGTAGCAGGTCTTGCCGTCGCCGTCTTGGCCTAGGAGGTGCCAGGTGCGCTGCGGCGCGCGGGTCACGGGCGAGAGCGCGCTGAGGAGCGCGAGCGCTTGTGTAGCCCAGGAAGGGATGTACATCGTGGTGAGTGACGAGGATGGTGGAGAATGGTTCGAAGTCGGGAGCTCACGTGCCATAATATTCCTTGGCGACGGGAGAGCGAGTGGGTGCGGGGAATGGTGGCTCCGCAAGCCGCCACCCACATTCTGCCTGAATCAGACTTTGTGTCGATCTGACATCTGACGATCGTGGAATAGAAGCGATCAGCGGCTTCCAGACTGATCTGCACGTCCTACAACGCTTCGGCGCGACCAGATACTTGATTGTACGCATCGTCCCTGCGATCGCGGAGCCGAGAGGTCAACGGAACAAGCGCACGCGTCCGACGTCGGTCCAGGTGGCGATCGCCGAACTCCGTCGGGTAGGCCCTAACCGGCGCCCACCACTTCATAACTCGACTAAACGCACGACTTCTCTCGCTTCTCTCATCAACCACCATGACACCCTCTATCACAGTCCACTTCCTCACTCTGCCGGGCACGCGCGTCGACCGCATCTTCTGGGTCCTCGAGGAGCTTGGGATCGAGTACGGCACGCGCTGCCACGTGCCGGGCAAGGGCGGCATCCCGCAGTCGCTCAAGGACGTGACCAAGTTGGGCAAGGTACGCGCCCCTCCGTCGCCTGCGCCCTCCGCACCCTCTCCTCCTTCCCATTCGCCCTCCGCGCCCGCAGCTCGCGCTAACCCCAGTCGCCCGTGATCGAGATCGACGGGCGCATCGCGTCCGAGACCGGCTCGATCATCCACAACCTGCTGGCGGCACACCCGGCGCCGGGGATCGAGAGCTCGCCCTCCAACGACAGCTACTTCTGGAGCCACTTCAGCGAGGGCACAATGATGCTGCACCTGCAGCCGTCGCGCGTGCTGGGCATGATGGACGGGGCGATGGACCGGCGCCTGTCAAAGGAGGGCGCCGCGGGCGCCCACGCGCTCTACAAGCTCTTCAACGACAACTGGGTCACGCGCAACGTGCAGGCGCAGCTGGATTTCGTGGAGGACTTCTTGAGCCGCAACGAGAACTTCTCGGGCAGCGACAAGCTCGGCGAGGGCGATGTGCGTGTGCCAAGGACCCGCTGACGCCAGTTCATGATGGCTTATCCGCTCAACACGCTCGCGTATGGGATGCGCGCGGGCGACTTCAAGATCGGGCCTGCGAGCAAGAAGTGGCTCGATCGCATGCGTGCCCGGCCTGCGTGGTCGCGTGGCCTGAAACGTATGGCTGAGGCGCAGAAGGCGCAGGCGAAGCTCTAGGGCTGGAGACTATGCATTCACACGCAGTACAACAAGGCGGAAATTGAATCGGGCAGCGGGCGGCGGAAGGGCGGACGGCGGAAGGGCAGACAGCGGACGGGCAGACAGGCAGACAGGTGGGTGAGCGGACGGGCGGACGAGCGGACAAGCGGCAGGCGGTCAGGCGAGATGATACCTCAGTTGCGAACGGGAATCTGGCTCTGGTTCTGGTGCGGATTGGGGTGGTGCTGGTTAGGCATGGGATGGGGATAGCGCGTATTGAGACGCGGGTCGTAGAAGCGGCGATCACGGTCTGGCGCCATGTGGAACGGGAAAGTCCCCTCGACAGCCGACGCCGGGAAGGGGGCGTACATCCGCCGCGCCCCCAATACGTGTGGCATAAAGGGCGGAGGGTGCATGGCGAAAGGATATGCTGGGGAGTGGTACGAGGGCGAGATGGGGAGTGGTGCAGTATGCACTAATGGCGCTGGCCCTGGTGCGACGTGTGCGGCGAGGTTGAGTGCGGGCGGACGAATGCGCTCTGGACGCACGAGCGGCGCCGAGTGGGGCGCGGGCGGGCGGCGCATAGAAGTCTGGCTGCGGGCTCTGCCGCGCGCCGTGGGACGGCGGTCGCGCCCGCTCTGTTCGTCGTCGAGGCCGCGGAACAGCATGTCGTATATGGGTCCAAGGTAGTGCCGGACTAGCGGGGCGGGGAGGAATTCGTCGCGCCGTTCTGGAGGGGGAAGGGGGGGCGGGAGGAACAGCATGCCGAACGCGGCGCGGTAGGGGTGTTCGTCGGAGAGCTTGGGCAGTGGGACCCGGCGGGATGTGACCCACCCGAAGGGGGGTTCACGATCGCTGGGAGCAGACGAGGGCGAGGGCTGCGGTTAGCGGTTGTCGCGATGGGCGAGGCGTACGCTCGTAGGTGAAAGCCAGCTGGTCATTGCGAAGTGGGGGAGAGCGATGAGCATGGGGAGGGTGGGGGAGGGGAGTGGGCTGTGAGGGTGAAGATGATGAGGAGGGAGAACGAGAGAGTGATGAGTGGAGGCGGAAAGACAATGTAGCACGAGGAAATGTCAGTGATTTTGCGGAGGTCCGAGTGGCGCCTGTGGCGGGCCAAGGGATGGGATGTGCGGGGGTGGCGGCGATGAGCGGGGTATGAGTTTCACATCAATCACCACGCGGATATCCTTGTCGCGTGTCCGTGATCCGTGTCAGCGTCAGCGTCATGCTGCTCATGCTGTGCACTGCAGTGGGTGAGTGGGAGTGTATTAGCGTGCGTATGAGTGTGAAAAGATGCACAGCTGCTGAAAAGAACGGAGGAGGAACGAGTGTGATGCTGCTCGTGTGCGAACATGCGGCAACAATGACGGTGCTTTCCAGCGCCGATGACCGAGTGGTTAAAGGTGCCGGCCTTAAGATCGTGAGCTTGAGATCCGGTGGCGCGAGCCTTCCTGGGTTCGAACCCCAGTCGGCGCATGCTCTTTTGTGTGCTCATCATCTCAGAAGAAGGGCTTTGACACCATCAGTGCTCAGCATGATCATTGTGGGAGAGTGGAGCAGCATAAGGATAAGCGGGGCAAGAGGGGCGGGCGTGGGGCAAGGTGGCGCGCTTTGGCCGCCTGCGCTGATTGGACACGCAAATAGGGGCTGACGCGACAGAGAATGTGAGAGGGGAGACGATGGTGCGTCATCTGGTGGGAGCGAGTTGAGTTGGAGTGTTGAAAGCGATGCTGTGCGCGGTGCATGAAGTGTGGGAAGAGGAAAAGTGTTTGCCTCATGCTGGAGGAGGATAATCGGAAGGGGGTCATCGGTGAATTTCCCTTTATGGGTGGTTCAAGGAGTTCTGGTGGGAGTCTGTTTCTTGGAGTGCAATGCTCATCCTGCATAGACCCCAATGTTGGATGGCAAGGAGAATGGGTACGGCCTGTCCACTGTCGTCGGGTGGCAGGCTAGAGTTGTGCAAGTGATCTCACTATTGCTTCAGTTGCTCTCCCCCCCCAGCAACAGCCCATGCATTCCGCTCATGGCGTCCATCGGCACTTTGAGCAGAGAACACACTCCAAGAGAGCTGTCCGTGGCCGATTGCAGCAACCCGTCAGGCTTCGGTTTTGCCCTCCCCATGGGGCTCCCCCCTCCTCCGCTTACACCATCAAAAGAGCTGTGCTCATCGACAACTGCATGACTCGAACATGCGCTCCCGAAGGAAATTGATCGATGCTGTAAGACATTCGAGTCAATCGCGTTAACCACTCCGCCAAGTTGCCGCTGAAGAGCGAGGGGAAAGGGATGCATAAGGCCTGCGGACGCTCTCAGCCCCAGTCGCAGAGGTCGGCGCCGCGGCTATCAACCCCACAACAGCAAACTTGCTCGGAAAAAGAAAGATCGCTCCGTCATGTAGGTGAAGGCGGGCGCCATGCATCCTGTGAATATTGCCCACGCCCCCCCTTACAAATGAGGCATTCCGCTACTCTCCTCTCCATGTGCCGGCTCTCTGTCTCTCGCCTAACGTCCAAAGCCGCGCCTCAAATAGCCCTCACCCGGGTCTCAGTCGCGCCTTAGGGCGGAGTGCTTCCCGAAAGATAGTCATCCGTTACTCGGAGCAAGCAAGGTAAAACTTCGCGCGGAGTCAAGCATCTCGTCACGAGGAGGAAGTCAGTCTCCGCACTTCTCACCCCTTCCAAAAGTAGGACGAGTAACACCGGTACGGCAAGCCACATCATGAGTGGGACATCTGCTGACGGCACACTGCCTGTCAAGCTGGCCATGGTTGTGGCATGAGAAGACGTGTTTCCCCTTGACAACCTCCCATCCGCAGCTGCCCTCCCGCTGCCCCTTGGTAGACATTCGTTCCTCCCTTCCGCCGTATCCACTTCCTTCCGCCTCATTCTTCTCGAGACAGCCCGCCCTCAGCCTCGCGAGCCGCCTCCAGTCATCCCTCATTGCCTTCGCACAGCACCAGTCCAGGCCTTTGCGTTCCGGGAGTACCGCCACTGGCCTCGTGGGAGGGCAGCGTGAGACATGCTATCAGCAAAAAGCGGCATGAGATCTGTTTCTCGCGCCCAGATTTATGTTTCTTGCTCGAGAAGCAGCCAACGAGAGTCGCCTATCTGTTCGAGCGGAGTGGGACCGCGACCGCCTCAACCAGAGATCTGATCCAGACTCGTCTGGCCAGTTCCCATGTTCTGACACTTCAGAGTGCTGTGTCCTACGGAGGTTTGATGGCGATACGCCACATAACCGTGCGCCACATAGTTAAACGTCACATGATGCAGCAAGCCATGTAAGCATACCGTGAGCGTCGAGGCAACTTGCAAATGTTCCAGAAACACTCCTGAACGGCCAAGCTGTTGCACTGCCAGGGTGTTGCCGCGGCTGCCCGGACGCGAGTAAGCTTGCCGGTTAAGCATCTAGAGTGTCGCATCTAGGCTGTGCCTCTTTGGTGCAGGGCGCTGCTAGTGTCTCAGTAATGTTCTCAGCTGCGAAATTCTCGTGGGTGCAGTTTGAGCTGTCTGCTCCTCATCTGATTGTTGAGTGTTCAACAGCAGCGGAATCGCCAGCATATAAAAGGGCAGCGCGGACGAGGGTGTCGACACAACGACAATGGACGACTTCTTCAATTACGACGAGGAACCCTCCGTGGAGCCTGCCGACGTCGTCAACCTCGCCGTAGATGCCGCCACTGCATATCCGGAGCCAGCATACTCGTACAGCACGCAACCGATGTCTCACAAGCCGACGCTTTCGCCGCAGGTTAGCAAGCCGTCGTACGCGGCAACCGCAAGCTTGTGTCCCGCCAGGCCAGGTGGTCACGAGCCCCAGTCGCGCCCCGGGCTGGTGGGAGTCCTAATAGCGATATGCTTCTTTCCCTGCGGGCTTGTCGCGTGCGTCCAGATGAGGAGGGGGCTAACGTTAGACTGTGCATCGACGAGGAGCGCAAATGCAAGCACTGCGGCTATCTGATAGAAGAGGCGTGTTGCGGGTGCTAGACCCTTGGGTGCAAGGCCTCAGGTGCTCGATCCTCGCGCGGGTTCTGTTGGGTATTCAACGAGCCAGTGGGATGAGGTAGACCGATGCAACGCACTCTCGTGGCCCGTTGTCCTGCTATGTTCGATAGGCAGACATTGGACGGCCCAAAAGCACAGGGCCTGCTGTATCGAACGCGACGCACAGGCAGAAGTGATTGACGGCAGCAGGGTTTGGTTGGAAACAACAAGGGCCTGGGCACTGCACTGCCTGCGGCAATTAAGCATCCGAAGTTAAACTTTTCATGGGTGCAGCTTGCTCAGGATGGCGGTGTGAGTCCCTGGTTTTGCATGTTTCGTTGTCCTGGGCGCGACGCGGTGGCCAGCGGAGGCATAGCGAGACGTTTCACTGCTGTGTCCCAGCTGCCTCTCAGCTGCTTCCCGGATGCCTCTCAGCTGCTTCCCGGAAGTCTCTCAACTGCTTTCCAGCTGCCTCCGCCTCTGCCAGGTTATAAAGACGCGTCAGGTCCTGTTGTAGTTCTCATGCACTCTCCTCCCCATCTATCAACCTCACGAACTTTACTATGTCCGAGAAGCAGCAGCAGCAGCAGGTCTACAGTGAGTCCTCCTTCACTCTTTGGCTAACCACAGCCCCCGTCCCCGCTAACGGCGGCTGGCACCCCTCCCACACTCCTGCCGACAACCAGCCGCTGAACACGTTCGCCCCGGCCCCGGCGTATGGCACAGCCCCGATGCAGCCCACGCCGACGCAGGACGTCAAGGCTCTCCCCCCTCTTGAGCGGGGACACTCCGGCCAGCCTGGCCAGCCGGGGCAGCCGGGTCAGATCGCGCCGGGACAGGCGGGCCAGATGGCGTCGCTCCAAGTCTGCCCCGTCACCGGCGGCTCGCACGTCGAGAAGCGGCGGCCCGGCGTCATCGGTCTCATCATCGGCATCTGCTTCTGCCCGCTCGGGTGTATTGCGTGAGTTGCGGGAATGATGGGAAGAGCTGACGCCAGCATCATCTTCGACCAGGAGCGCAAGTGCAGGGAGTGCGGGTACGTGATGGAGGAGGCTTGGGGCGGCTGCTGAGCGTTCGGGTCCGTAGACTGCAGGAATGGTTCCGACAATGCAGAGTATGGCGCCAAGGCGTCGACATAAAGGCAGTGTACGTGACAGGGGAGACCCGGCGCGGGTACCTGGCGTCGCGTTCCAGCAGGAACCAGTCAGCTGTGTCTGTGAAAGAGTTCTGGGCGAGGCAGTGCGCGATGTGAGTCAGGACAGCCAAGCCGCCGGTGCCTTTGCCACTGATTCATCATGGAGAGGAGCATTCCGGCACCCCCGCCACCACAACCGCCTGGCGTCTCTCTCAGCCACCGCGTCAAGAGCCCGAAGACGATGCGATTAATACGCCACACGAATAGTGGAGACGAATATCTCCGAGACCTAAACGGCAAAATTGCGATTGGTGAGTCCAGATGCATGCTACGGGCTGGCTTAATCTTCTCTGCTCCGTGGCAGTATTCTACACGCCCCTTGTCCGGTGAACTGTTCCGGGCATGACTCACAGCCTGTGAACCCGAGGTGGTTGAGACGTACTAGAGTCACAGTGTTGTGTGTGACGCCTAGGCAGAGCGCCAGATCGCATTCTTTCAAGTCAAGTAGGCAGAGAACCACAAGTGCGGTGAAAGTGATAAGCATTCAATAGCAGGACTTGCGATGTCGAGACCCCGCCGATCGACTGATGGGCTTATCGTTGATCTGTCTCACAATATGACTGCAGCCGTACCACCGCGAGGCCGATGCACCACGAGTGTATAGGAACGGAACGCACGCGGATGAGCGATGGAGCGCGCTGCTTGCCACTTAGCGAGGGTGTATGCGTCACGTCGGGTGGCAATCAAAGTCAAGAGGGCCGATCGCGTTCGGAATGGTGAAGCGATAGGGCGGGCCAATCGGCGATCGGCGACTTGGGCGCCTCGGCCAAGTCCGCTTGGACGCCGGGTTGGGTGGCGCGACACGCATCGTCTGCCCGCTATCAACGCTCACATCATCGCTTACTCCTCCTCTCTTCGCACTATCACCTTCAGCCCAACCCGCCCTTGGATCGCAAGTACACAATGGGCGCTGCACCGTCCAAGCCCACCCCCAGCACGACGCGCGATCTCGACGAGAAGGCAGTGTATCTTGACGCCGCCCGTCGCCAGGCCGCCAACGCTGAGCCGCTCGGCGAGGCAATGGACGCGAGTCTGAGCGCCAACACAGTCGCGGCCTGGGACAAGGAGCTCGAAGATGTATGTCCCCTTCTCTCCTGGCCCCGCTGACACCAGGACCCGACGTTTAAGCTCGCACGGCTGGTGCTTGCGTCGTCCGATCCCATCGTGTCGCTCAAGAACCGCGCCGCCGAGGCCGCCGACGAGAAGATCTTCAATGTCAACCTCAAAGGCGTTAACGACAAGGGCGACTACCCCGGTCCAGTGACAAACCAGGCGAGCAGCGGACGCTGCTGGCTGTTTGCCACCAGTGCGTAGACGATCAGAAGGGGCTGATGGCAGCCAACGTGCTGCGGTACAATGTCGTCGAGACGGCTAAGCTTGGCGAGTTCCAGCTCTCTCAGAGCTATCTTTTCTTTCACGACAAGATGGAGAAGGCCAACTACTATCTTGAGTGAGTGTGGTAGCGATAAGCATACCGGCTTGCTCGATTCAGCCGCGTTGCTGTATTTTTGGCCCTCGAACCAGCGACTGATCCCAGGAATATGATCGAGCTCGTCGACGAGCCCCTCGAGGGCCGTCTGGTCTCTTTCCTGAACTCGGCGCCGGTCGGCGATGGCGGGCAGTGGGACATGGCGTACAACCTTGTGGCCAAGTACGGTGTTATCCCGCAGACGCTATACCCCGACTCGTTTAGCGCAACGTCAAGCTCGCGCATGGGCTGGCTCCTGACCGCCAAGTTGCGAGAGTACGCGTTCGCGCTGCGCGCTGCCGCGCGCCCGAAGGAGGGCGAGGCGGCGTCGCTCCAGACCCTTCGCGCCATGAAGGCCAAATACATGCGCGAAATCTACCGCACGCTGTGCACGACCCTGGGCACGCCGCCGCGCCCCGACGAGGAGTTCACGTGGGAGTACTACGACGCGGACAAGAAGTACCATTCGTGGAGCGGGACGCCGCGCGAGTTCTACGCCAAGTTCTGCGTGCGCAAGGGCATGGATCCAAAGGACAGCTTCTCGCTCATCAACGACCCGCGCAACCCGTACGAGAAGCACTACACCGTCAAGCGGCTGGGCAACGTCCTCGAGGCTGGGCGGGTCAAGTACGTCAACGCGCCGATCGAGGTCCTCGAAGACGCCGTGATTGCGGGAATCAAGGCCAACACGCCGCTCTTCTACGGCTGCGACGTCGGCAAGTTCAGTAACGGCACCAAGGGGATCATGGACACGGCGATCTACGACATCCCCACTGCGTACGGCTACGCGTACGGCATGGACAAGGCGCAGCGCCTCGTCTCCGGCGAAAGCGCGGCCACGCACGCCATGGTCATCACCGCCGTGCATGTCGGCAAAGACGGGCGGCCGGTGCGTTACAAGGTCGAGAACTCGTGGAGCAACACCAGCGGCAAGAAGGGCTGGTGGATGATGAGCGCCGAGTGGTTCCGCGAGTTCGTGTACCAGGTCGTCGTGCCACGATCCATCGTGGATAAGAAGTGGGCGGCCGTGCTCGAGCAGAAGCCGATCGAGTTTGAGCCTTGGGACCCGATGGGTGCGCTCGCGTGAGGTTAGCGAGGTGAGGTGCGGAATGAGCGTCGGGTATCGTAAGGAGACAATCAGAACATGAGATGGATAGAATTGTTGCTTGTGCATGTGGCCTTGCGGCCCGCCTGTTTGCCCGCTGTAAGTCTTCGTGCTGCTGCAGTTCTCGCTTCATCGTCTAGGCTGCGTTGGCTACGACAAAAGCGCTCGACGGGCTCAGGCGGGCGCTGACGCGAACGCGGCGATCGGTCCCGGCCGGCTATCCACGGGCCGGGCGGTGGTGCCCGCGTCGCTTCGCCAGATCGCCAGCTGGACATTTATGACCGCATTCCACTCTCCGCACATCTCTCCTCGTCTTATCTCACACCATCCTAACAATGCCCGACATGGTCCCGTTTGACGGCGAGGCCGCCGAGATGGCGGTCGGCTTTCTGCAGCGCACGCCCTTCGCGTCGTCCCTGCACCACGCGCCCAAGCCTGAGGTCATGGACCCGCTGCCGCCCATCAACAAGCGCGGCGGGCGGACAGTCGGGCCGGACGGCTGGCGGACGGTATACTCTGTGGTCGTCACGGAGGGTGAGTGCGGCGAAGCGGGTAGAGGGGCACTGGGGACTGAGATGCGGGATGAGTGGAAGGAGAGTGGCGGGAGGAGTGAGCACCGAGGACCGAGGACCGAGGGCGAGAGCGCGCAATTCAGTAGAGCCGAGGCGCGTACAGCCGAGGGCGCGGACCATCTATTCTTTACCAAGCTGGCAACACCCTTGCTGCATCTCGGCTGACATCAGACATGTGCAACCCGCTCGGCAACCTGCACGGCGGCGCTGCGGCAACTCTCATCGACACCGTGACCAGCGCCTCGAACGCGCTGCTGGGCACCGAAAGCTTCTGGGGCCCGCCTATGCTCTCGGGAGTTACCCTCACTCTCGACATGCTCTACTACAACGCGTGTCCGGTGTGAGTGTATTGCGACGTGGCGGCAACCAAACCGAGGGTGAAGCCGACGGAGATGTCGAGGCCGAACCTGAGTCGGAGGCTGTGGCTCAGTAACCGTGGCCGGGCACGCCAGCCCCGCGAGGATTCTGTCTGCCGATGGCCGGCTTCACCAGCGGAAGCGATATAAGAGTTCAAACGTGCAGAATCGCTGATGTCAGCGGGACCAAGGCCAAGCTCACTGTTACGGTCGAGCACATCGGCGGATCGCTCGCCAACCTTCGCGGCGAGCTGACCGATTGGGAGACGGGCAAGCGCTTCGCGTCCGGCACTCACGTCAAGACGTGGCGCGACCTGCGGTCAAAGTTGTAGGGTGTAGGTCGGAGGTTGTAGAAGGATTGGGCATGCATCCATTGATACCGGCGATCGCCGGACCGGGTACCAACCGATCATGCCGAAGACATCGCTTGTCACCCGGGCGCCTTCTTGACTAACTCTTGGACTCGGCGACTCTTGAACTCCTTGACTCTTTATATCTTGGGCTCTTCGATCTCGGACTTTTGGTATCTCGGTCTCACGTATCTACTCTCGTCACTGTCCTTTCGCCCCTCTCCGTCCCCCCCTTTTCCCCAGCTCGCCGTTTCCTCCACGGGTCTCCGCCCCCACTCCGCCCCGCAACTGCCCACCATGCCCGAGATGGTCCCCTATGACGGTGCCGCCCTGGAGGCCACAAACCGCCTGCTGGGCAACGTCTCCTTCGCCAGCAACCTGCACCATGGTGTGAAGCCGGAGACGATGGACCCCATCCCGCCCGTGAACGCGAAGGGTGGGCGCACGATCCCCGCGGACGGCTGGCGCACCATCTACAGCCTGGTCGTGACAGAGGGTGAGTTGTGCACGGACGCGCTCACGCAGACATGTGCAACCCCCTCGGCAACCTCCACGGCGGCGCGGCGGCGACGCTCGTCGATACCGTTACGAGCGCGTCGATGGGTCTGCTCGCGACTGACAAGATGTGGGGACACCCCATGCTCACGGGGGTGAGCTTGGCGCTCGATATGGCGTACTATAACGCCTGCCCGGTGTGAGTTGAGTGCTTGCGTAGTGAAGAGGCGGCGAGAGGCTCGGCATGGGAGGGGACGACGAGCACTGACAATAGCGGGACCAAGATGAAGATTACGGTCACGGTCGAGCACCTGGGCGCGTCGCTCGCCAACGTCCGCGGCGAGCTGACAGACTGGGAGACCGGGAAGCGTTACGCCGCAGGAAACCACGTCAAGACGTGGCGCGGCCCCAAGCCCAAGTTGTAGCGGCCAAGAGATGCAGCTATACCTCCCACGTGCTGCCACATGCCGATGAGCGTTGGTTGACGCTCAGCGCCGATTCCCCGATTCCCGACCGCGCTCATCCGATGGGCATCAGAAATAAGCTTGACAGACAACGTTGTGTTCCGTCAATCCGTCGCTGAGGTCAACTGATGTCGACGACAGAGCACAGCCATGAGTCAACATTGCGATGCGTGCCTGGTCGCACAACGGCCTGTGCTTAGCGCTGCGTGCCGTGCGTGCGTGCCGTGCTGGACGTTCCGGTCATGTTGGCCGTGCTGGGCTGTGAGTTGGCCTTGACCATGGTATCACCCACACACCATGTCCGACATGATCCCCTTTGCTGGCGATGCGGCGGCGACAGCGCGCGGCCTGCTTGCGATGGTGCGCTTCGCGCGAGATCTGCACGCGGCGCCTGTGCCCGAGACAATGGAGCCGCTTCCGCCGCTGAACGCGCGGGGCGGGCGCAGCCTGCCAACCCGCGGGTGGCGGAGCGTGTACAGCGTCGTGATTACGGAGGGTGAGTGCCGCGCGCGGCATGCGTGGCGCGTGGTAGCCGGAACTCCTTCCGGGACTGATCTCAGACATGTGCAATCCGCTGGGCGGGCTGCATGGTGGCGCGGCCGCCACGCTGATCGACACGGTCAACTCCGCTTCGCTGGCAGTCTTGACGACGGAGAGCTTTTGGGGCCCGCCTATGCTCACGGGCCTGACGTTGACGCTCGACCTCGCGTACTACAATGCTTGTCCTGCGTGAGTTGAGGAGGGAAACATGGCAGCTAGAATGCTGTCGCACTGATCGGACGACTGATGGTAGTGGCACTAAGGCCAGACTGACCGTAACGATCGAGCACCTCAGCGGCACGCTGTGTAACCTGCGCGGCGAACTGACGGACTGGGAGACTGGGAAGCGATTCGTGACCGGCTCGCAGGTCAAGACGTGGCGCGATCTTCGGGGCAAGCTGTAGAGCCTGGAGTTGACGATGCAAGCGTGGTCCCAGCACATACTCACCGCTCCCGATAGGCGGCTGGACCATCTGCAAGCTGACGTGGCTTTCGGATGGCCGCGTCGGTGCGTCCACACATCCTCCATCACTTACGCGATGCATGCGGCTGCATCTACAACTACAGCAGTGAGTTCTCTAGGAGGCGGGGCGGTAAACACAACATCAAGTCGCCAGGGCATGAATTCGAGTCGCGAATTCGTGATCTTGGATAGGGTGGGACTACCTATTGGAGCCTAGTGCTCCAGCCTCAATGATCAATTGCGATCGCGGAATGGCTTCCACGCCAGGGCGCGGCTAGCGGTCGCCAGGTCGTGGAGCCTGAGACACCGGTACACTGCCAGCCCCACGGCAGCTGCTCCGAGCACGCCGGCGGTGCGGGCCAGGAGGATGCGGATGCGGCGCATCCTGATCTGGGAGGGCTGCGCGTGTCTGGGCGGGGTGTGCTTGCGAGGCAGGGCGCGCTTACGAGGCGAGGGCGAAGGAGACTTGCGGTGGTTGGGAGAGCGTGGCCCAGGGGATGGAGGGGATGCCGCATGGGTGGTGCCCTCATCCGACTCACTCTGGCTGTCGCTGAATCCTTCGCATGCCTGGCCGCCAGTGTTCATGCTCTCGTCGGATGGCTCACTTGCTTTGACCTCTTTGGCAACACCAGCTTGGCTCTCGGTCACTGCGCTGCTGCGGCTCTTAGCATGTGTCTGCGGAGACGCTGCCTCGTCGATGGCCTTTGGTACCGCGGCAGCCTTGCGGCGGACCGGGCGCGCTGGGGCGAGGGCAGTGACGGGCTCCGCAGCACTTGCGCCACTCAGCCTTGGGGAGCGGCGTCGCGGGATCGTGCCGGGATGCGCAGGATCTAAGACAAGTGAGGATGCTGATTCAAGGTGTTCGGCGGTGGCCGGTTTGGCACCGCTAAGGCGAGCGGAGCGGCGGCGGGGGGCTGCGCGGCTCATCGACGAGGGCGAGGAGGGCTTGATCGGCGCCATGTCTTAGTCGTCAGCACATGCGGTCCTCTCAGGTCTCACTCTTAGTGGGAAATGTAAAGGATCAAGGATCTGCGGATGGCTTGAATGGGCTTGCTGATCAGCTGTCGAGGGTGGCGGGGATCAGAAGGTTTGGAGAAGTGTGGAGCGTAGGGGATGAGGGTAGCCCGAGGATGCTGATATGTGTCGTAGCGACAAGGCGGGAGGGAGCAAGGTAAGGTGGTGCTTTGTGCTTGACGAAGGAGACAATGCGAATCCATTGCATCAGTGCATCACCTCATCCTCTGCGGCTGCGCTGACGGCAGGCTTAATGTTTAGCTTTCATTCACTCACTTTCGCTCTCTCCAGCTCCTGGCTCCTCAGACTGCGCAACTTGCCTGCTCAAGGACCTCAAGAGGCTGAACGAGAGGCCCCCACGGGTCAAGTGCTAAGCTGTCGCAGGAAATCTACGCGATGAGCGGCACGAGCCGAGTCGAGTCGGCCAACTAAGGCGGATTGATTCATTACTGTTGGACTCGTGCCTAGCCATGTTCGGAACGCGTGCGATCTGCGTGCTCAATTGAATCATCTCAATTGTCAACTGCTCATTTCGACGACACCAACCCACGTCGTCGCGTTTGTGGACTCTGCTGTCTCCACCCAAACAACACTCCACATTCATCGTCAGGAGCATCAGGAGCATGTTGTGCAACACGACGGCAATTGGAAGTAATGTTGACGCTGGAGTCAATTCTGTTCCAGCCTCAGACCAAATGGCTCAGCGGATCAGCCGTTTGGTCCAATTCAGCGTCCCCACACCATCAATGCATGGTAGCAGCCAGCAGTTCAAACCGAGGATTACAAAGGTTACCTTTTGAAGCTGCAGTCGAAAAATGTTTGCCCTCGCTGCTGGCGACAAACATTTATAGCTGCTGTCTACCGCTCTTCCTCATCCATCAATCACTTCCCCCCCTTGACAACATCTTTTACGATGACTCTGTCGAACCCTATCTTGAAGCGTCCCCGCAGTGCGAGTGCCTCGGGCTTCCTCGAGTTCTTCTTCTCTCGCCGCCCCCACCCCGCCAGCCCTCGCGAGCCACACGAGCCCCCTGCTTGGGAGCCAGAGGATGTGTATGAGGTGAGTCGCCCAATCAATCCTCCCGCACCGACTGACATGGAGCCTTTTGAGGCCGTTTGCCTATTCCCTGTCCCCGATGGCAGGTACATCGTGCGCCAGCCAGCTTCTGTTGCCGAAACGGAGGACCACGAGCAGCCGTCATCTTCGGACGCGTCATCCCCATCCTCTGCAGACCTCTCGTCCGACCTGTCGTCCGACCTGTCGGCTGACCTGTCGGCTGACCTGTCATCCACCGACCTGTCATCCCTCGACTTGTCCTTCAACTCGTCCTCTACGGACCTCACATCCATTGAGTCGTCCTCGGCCGACCTGTCATCTGTCCCCTCGTCTCTCACTTCGGACCACTTATCCTCGCCACGCTCCTCTTACCCCGACACCCCTCCCACAGAACTTGACGACTTTGACGAGACCTGGGATGACACTTCGCCATCTTTGGACGAGATTTTCGCGAGTCTTCCGGAGTTCACCGTCGAGGAAGAGAAGGACGAGCCCCAGGTTGACCTCCCCCCTTCGACGACTTCGACGTGCAAGGACACTCCTCACCTGGGGGCTGAACAGGACGACTCGACCGATCCTGCCTTTGTATGGCAAAAGCCTCAGTTCATCACACGTGTGGAGCAGTCGCAGGATCCTCAAGAGAGCATCGACGAACTTTCACACGGCGGGGTTGAGCAATGCGCTGAGTCGGTCCGGATTCTCGACAATCAACTCGACAAGGGACCTTTGTCAACCTCCGGAAGTGAGGGCGTGGCTGCCCTGGACGCTTCTTCTTCGACCGACATTGTAGAGCAGCATCAAGACCCTGCGCCTCGCGCCGGTAAGTCCAAGGGGCAGAAGAAGAAGGCACAGAAGCGGAAGTCCAAGGCAGCCAAGAAGGCGTTGCTCGACGCGCGCTGTGACGTGGAGCAGCTCTCTACGCCCACCCCGACCTCCACCCCCCTCCTCAGTGCTCCCGGCTCAAGCGCACGCTTTGTACCGACCTCCCGCCGTCCTGACTGGTGGTACCCTTGGGCCCTCGTCTCGTTGTTGAGTAGACCACTTGTGGCACGTGAGTGCCAACTGTAGCACAACGATGATACATCATTTACTTTACGTCTCGGATATGAAAGGCGACAGAACGAGAGAATCTTGAACCAGACAATGTGACCCTCAATGCGCTTCTTTCCTTGATCTCCTTCTCACGGTTTTTATCCTCAAGTTGGAGGCGTACCTGTGGAGCAGAATATCATGTGTACTCACACAGGGGTATGGCACGATACTAGTGTCGGAGAAGATGGACAATCAGCGCGTTTTCCCCTTACCGTACAGCGATGTGCTCAGCTTCAAGGAGAGTGGGAGCATGTTAAGCAAGGTTCGGAGTGCGTGATGGCACCTCCGGCTCCGTGATGCAGACGGACTTCCGCGGCATCGATCGGCACAGGCAACACCTCGTACTCTGCTCATGCACTTTGCAGAACCTAATTTCGGCTCCGTGGTAAGGCGGTGCTCACCATTTGACAAGCGACTCTTGTGCCCAGCCACACCACCAGCCCACTCTTGAAGTGGATATAACCTCCCTGGCAAGAGACTTCCCCGCACCATCATGACCGAGCTCGAGTTTGAGAAGAGCGCCCAACTACCCCCTAGCTACTGCGCTCACGCGCACGCGCCCTGCACCTGTGACTCCGTCCCAGCCAGTCCCAGCGCCAGCCCCTGCTGTCACACAACGCACGACCAGTGTACGGGGCACACGCTTCCGCGCACTGTGCTCGCCTCCCCAGCCCCCGCCCTCGTCTACCCACCTACCGACGCCTTCTGCCCCGCCACGGGCGGCCCTCATGTCGTCCGTCGCCGCCAGGGCGGCGTCAGCATTCTCCTCAGCGTCGTCACCTTCCCGGTCGGCCTCGCCGCGCTCCCGTTCGACAAGAAGCAGAGCTGCCGCCGGTGCAACTTCGTGATCAAGGAGGCTTGGGGCGGATACTGAGGCCTGGAAATTGTAGTATCGGCGCCTATGAATCTTGTTCCTAAGGAGAATTCGGGTCCAGAATGCGGAGCAACGCTCATCCGCCTTAACCCGCTGCCGAAACGGGTGCCGTCGGTTCACCTCGTTTACAGACAAGCAGCGGGAACTGCAGAATGCGTATAAGGTGGGGCGTTGTTGACCTTGACGTACGCAGTGACGCGTCCTTGGTACTGGAACCCGTGTGCCATGCGTCCGCACCGTATGTCACAGCTAACGGCGGTATGCACTAGTACTCCCCACCACTACAAAGCTCGTATCCCGAGGGTCGTCGGCGCTGGCAACATGTGACTCATATGGTCGCTCACAGCTGATCGTGCTGTAATCATCCCAGGATGCCAAGCCGGTAGCTGCATGCATAACGTCGCAGAATGCTGGACACCGCCCGCACCCTCTGCATTCCAAGGTACCCTGCGGCGGGGATATCGATGGCTCCGAGGCGCACGCCAACACAGCAAATCGGCACCGTAAAGCACAGTATGCCAGTCAGAGGTGCCCGACGAGCACACAGATGTACATATACACCAGCTCAAGCAGCACCCGTGCGGCCATCTTCGCCACCTAGCAGTCGCCACACATGTCCGCTTGGTCCCCACCCGCCAGCTGGCTCGTGCCGTCCCGCTCTCGCTCCTCCTCCTCGGCATCCCATCCGTCCGATGTCTCCCTCTCCTCTCTTGGAGAACGGCAGCTTCTCCTCACGGGCCGTCCCAGCACTCCATCTTATTCTTTCGAGACCGAACCTCCACAAGCATTAGCCAAATCCATGCAGTGCCCCAGGCTCACGAGGCTATGCCCCGCTTCCGGTGGGGCGCACGAACCGAGGTCACGAGCAGAGGATATGTCCCTCCTCCTCTCGCAAGTGTCCTTCACTCTCGTCCCCTTCGGTCTGCTCACGTAAGTCCGCATCTGTCGCGAGTTGACAACAGCGCCGCGTTGAATCGACGCAGAACGTGCCGTCTGTGCAACCGAGTCCTTTGATGATCCGCGTCGATTGAGTATGCTAGTGTTGTCTGATGATTCGACACAAATTCCTAGAGTCTCCCATAGATCGAGAAACGTGTATGTGATGTTGTACTCCTTCCCCCATGGCCTAGTAGTGCAACGCCCTCGCTGCTGTCTCGCCTTCGAAAACGCGCATCTGGTCTTCCCGGTACGTGTCGGGCGCGATGCGGAAGTTGCCCGGCTCCATGATCAGCGTATTGTGCTCACCGCCATATTGCGGCCACCATGCGCCGTCAGTCCAGCCGGTGTCGCCGACGCCAGACGCTGATTCACTCGCGCCGTCATTATTTCTTTTGGTCGACTGCTGGGGCGGGCCATTAGGGTCGAGGTAGTAGGCGAAGTTCAGCCTGCTGTCAGTTACAATCCGCACATCACGCACCAGTAGTTCATGATCCCGCGCCCTGCGGCCTGTTCCTGCGCGGTGTAGTTGCTCGTCGCCCTGCCGAAGACGTATTCGAGCTCGGCGGTGTGCGGGATGCCCACGTACGCCGGCGCCGGCATGCGGCCCCACCACTCGTAGCTCCACATGCTAACGTTGTTCACGGTCGCCTGTGACAGGTGGTGTCGCCGCCGGCTCTGGACAAGGAGGTCTCCAGTAACCGCAGCGAGCTGCTTGAACTTGGGGCTTAGACCGAACGTCTCGTTGCCGGTATCGAAGGGACTTCCGATCCTTGGGATGTTGGGGTATGCTGCCTCGGTGGCATTCACGAGGGTATCGTCAACCGCCGCGCGCACGAGGGCGTCCATGACCGTCCTTAGCGTCGTGTTGTCTGGAGTCGTTGGGTCTGTGAACAATGTCCCCTCGTCCTTGCAGTTGCCCGTGATCACTGGCACACGGGAGAATGTGCCGTTTTCCAAGCTGACGTACGGCGACTGGCGCACCACGTCACCGTCTATGCTCGGCGCCCACGCAGATGGTAACACGCCTTTTGTCGTAGCGCCCGCAGCCGCCGCGTCCTGAAGCCGTCCCGCAGGTGATCGGGATAGACATTCCCATGTACTCCTGCTCCCCAGATTCGTGGCGTTGGGCGCCTTGCAACCAGCAGCAGCCGCGAAAGTGTTGTAGGCCTCCCGGGTTTCCGTGACATTCCAGATCAGCGCGGAGGATGGCGCGCCGCTCTGCAAGATCGCGCCGCGGAACAAGTCCTGCGTGGCATTGAGCAGATGCAGGCCGATTGAGACGGCGCCCGCGCCCTGCCCGAACGCGACAACCTTGGCCGGATCGCCGCCGAAGGACATGATGTTGTCCTGGACCCAACGCAGCGCCAGCCTCTGATCCCGCAGGCCGAGGTTGGCGGACGACGTGCGCGCGACGTCGGGCCCCGCCGCGAAGCCGAGGACGCCGAGGCGATAGTTGAGCGTCACGAGAACGAAGGGCCGTCCTGTGCTTGCCCCATAGCTTACAAACTGCGGCGAGGCGTAAGTGCTCGCTGCGCCCTGCGTGAAGTTGCCGCCGTGGATGAACACCATTACGGGCAGGCTCCAGTTGGAGCCTGCCGCCCCCGTCGGAGCTAGTACGGAGAGCGTGAGGCAGTCTTCCGAGATGCCGCTCGCGTTCCATGGTGCGAAGTTCGGCTGTAGACACGCAGGAGGGAAATCCGTTCCGTTAAGCGTTGCGTTGTACACTTTCGGCTCGGGTTGCTTGAAACGTCGCAAGCCGGTAGCTTGTGTCAGCGTGGAGTGGAAGATACGTACGCGACTCAGCGTAGGGGATGCCCAAGAAATGGTCGATGCTGTTCGAACTGAAGCCGGTAACGTTCACGCTAGTGTTCATTCCTGGTGGCTGCATAGTCGCGTTGACGAGCGTTGTCACCTGGCCGTCGACCTGGCGCCTGGTCGGGGTCGCCAGCGACAGCGCTGCGAGAGGAAGCAGTGTCAGCAAGGGAAACATGTCCGCGGCTTTGTCAGATCATGCTCCTTGAGCCAGCCTTTAAGACAAGGCGCTTGCATACTGTTGTCAGCCTGCTCCACCGCCGCGCGAAAGAAATCTGGAGAGACGCCAAGAAGAACACGAAGACATTACGTCTCTGGGACGCCGATGATACGGCATCCGGGAGTTGGAGGGGCCTGGGCCAAGTGGAGCGAGGAGCTGCCCTCAATCCGAGGATCCTGTGCGTCGGAATCATACGCTGGGAAGGCTGGTCTCCCATGGGCAACGTGGCGGAGTGGTTAACGCGATTGACTAGAATTTGGAATATATTCCAGGAGCTACGATCAATTTCCTTCGGGAGCGTCTGTTCGAATCAGGCCGTTGTCGTTTTTGGCCGAGTGCTTGTTGCGCTCTGTGGTGGCTGTCTCGCCCATTGTTATTTCCACCGGGCACGCCACTGCTCAAGAAGTTTGGCAGTTCCGGCTTGGCACTAGGCGAGTTGGGCTACTTGGGCCGTCACCACTCTCGGAACTACTCTCTTGTGATTGATGCGACAGTACACCTTGTTGATAGACGGGACATGTGGAATCTTGGCGCATGGACCGGCGATATCCGATGGCTTCCCATTATCGGCCGAAACCACATTCCGGCCATTAAGAACAATCAAGTACTCAGAGTAGTGATGCACGTCGCAAGAGCCTTCTTCGAACACTTCTTTCCTCATGTCCGAGTTAAAAACGGCCTCGACGATCCTCGACAACGCCGCGTTTGTGTCACTCCCCGATGGGCGGCAGCTGCAGACGTTCACCCTAGGCACAGGCGAGGACCTTGTTCTCTTTGAGGCGGGCGGCGCGGCCGCCGGTGCGAGCTGGGGCATGGTTGTGGACGCGCTGGCTCCTCTGACCGACGCCAAGATCGTAATCTACAACCGCGCGGGCTACGGATCCTCATGGACGGCTTGGGATCGGCGCACGCTCCCCGACCTCGTGAGCGACCTCACCCACCTCCTCGAGGCGTTTGAGTACCGCCGCCTTGTGCTGGTCGGGCACTCATTGGGCGGCCCTATCATTCGCTCCGTCGCCTCCATCCTTGGGAGCAAGTGCACGGGCCTCGTACTCGTTGACGCGACCGACGAGGGCAACCCCGAGTACTTTGACAAGATGGAGAAGGCATTCTACCGCAACTCGTGGACGTTCTTCCCCAAGGCCTTGTGGGGATCACTCCGCACACAGAAGGAGCAGCAGCTCAAGGGCATTCCTGAGCCATACCGCTCCCAGGCGGTCGCCGACTCATCGTCTCCCAAGGCCGGCTGGACCGCAGGGTACGAGGTGTCGAACATCGTCCCGGGGCTGCGCGAGATGATTGCGACACCCCCGGTGCTCGCGGAGACAACCTACTTGACGGCCGTCTCGGGCCAGCTGCCGCCCGGCGCCAAGATGCGCCAGGAGCAGAACGAGGCCCACCGCCGCCGCGCTGAGACGGCTGGCAGCCGCGGGAAGTACGTACCTGCACACAAGTCGGGGCACGCAATCTACCAGAGCGAGCCGCAGCTCGTGGCGGACGAGATCGCCGCGATCCTCAAAGCGTCGCTGTAGACGCACATGCGGCATCCACATGCCAGCTGGGCCCCTGTATCTATCTAATTTCGTACAACTGGCTGTATAGCTCTATTTATTTCTAGTGCCATTGCATGACAGACCCGGTTGACGTTCTTTCCGAGATGATGCGCCACACGGCAGCCTCGAACTCGGCCCGTCTTGCTGGGTGTGTCTCGTGCCCCACCACGCGCTCGACCAGCTCCGCGGCGCTGAGCTTGCCGCGCGCGTCATCGATCGCCAGCCGCACGCTCTCCTCGGTAGGCAGGCCGAAGCGGCGGAAACGGCCCCAGTTCGAGTCTGGGCCCCTGAGGCTCTTCGGAGGCGGGAGCAGCCCGTCCCCGACATCCATGGGCGGCGCGTCCACAAGGTGGGGCGACGCACGGTCGAAGAAGTTAGCGCGGAGGCTGGCGGGCTCGAGCGAGGGCGCGTCGAGTTCTTTGATAGATGGACTGAATGGGATCGGAGTCTTGTTCTTCTCAAAGAGCGAGTGGACTGCGCCAACCATCAGGTCGTTGTTGGAGCGGTTCGTGCCGACGAAGCCCGTTGCGACAAGCATGTCCTGCTCAAAAGTTGTGGCGAGGCGCTTCGCCTGCCGCGCCGAGTGGTAGTTCTCGATTGCCACGGCCATGCCCGTGGGTCCACGCGTGTCCATCATCTCCCGCTGCTCCTTCGCCCACGCCTGCACGTCGGGGCTGAACCCCGTGTCCGTCTCGGCCTGCACGAGACGGGTGTACACCGCCTTGAGCGTGGTGAGCGAAAAGACCTCGTCTAGTAGCTGCCGGATATCGCCCGCGATTGGCGTGCGTCCGCTCGGGTTGCTCTTCGAGCTCAGCCCCTCGGCCGCAGGCAAGTGGTACTCGGCCACGACGGCCGAGATCTCTGCCGCGCTGGGCTCTTCCATTGCCGCCAGCCGCTCCTTGATCTCCGGCACGGCCTCTTCCGCGACGTAGTGCGTCGCGATGCCCAGCTCGTACACCTCGCGCCCGAAGACATCGCGCCCCGTCACCGCGAGCCATGTGCCAATCTGCCCATCCAGCTGGTTCATGTAGTACGACCCGCCGAAGTCAGGGCTGAAGCCGATTCGTTGCTCTGGCATGGCGAAAATCGTGCGCGGTGTCGCAATGCGAACGTCGCCCGTGAGGGAGAGACCGGCGCCGCCGCCCACTGATGTCAGCGCTTGCTTGCAAGGATACACACTCGTGACACCATCCATAAACGATACGTAGGGCTTGCCGAGGTGCGCCATCTTCCAGTTGAGGCGGTACGAGTCCGCCATCATCGTCAGCGACTTGATGTTTTCGCCTCGCAGAGCGTGCTCCACCACCGCTGTCGTCAGCCCCACAACTTGTGGCGGACGCACACTTGATGTCACCACCGGCAGCGAACGCGCGCCCCTCCCCAAGGCCGATTACGAGCTTGACGGCCGGATCGTCGCGCCATTCCTGCTGTCAGCTACGTGATCTTTGCGCCTCCTACGCGTCCACTCACGTCGGCTCTCTTCATCATGGTGTAGAACATGTCCCACGACAGAGCGTTCAGCGCCTTGGGCCGGTTGAGCGTGAACACGCGCGTGCCCCCGCGCTCCTCGAAGTCAATCTCCGTCGAGTTGCCGGCCGGCCGCTCGGGCTCCACGTAGCCGTTGGTGACGAGCCGCCGGATGGTGGTGAGGCGAAAGACTGCGCGGGAGGCGGGTGACAGGCGTGTGCGAGTCGTGTGCAGCATGGTTGGGATCGTGGGTGCTCAAGAGACGGAAACTGCGTGCAAGCAGGTCGATATAATCGCGGTGCTCCAAAACGCTGCAGCGGCAGTCACCTCGGTCCGGTTAAGCGAGCCGAGGGAGCGGAACATTTCCGGGGGCCGGTAATCAGATCAGTTCGCCGGGCGCCTTGTGAACGCTTTCCGGCGCTTGCGGACTGGTTGCAGAGATCAAGCCGCCGCGTGAGGAAAAGAGTAGGACGCGTCGATGGCGCTCGCTGACGACATTCAGGCGGGTCCCTACCTTATGTTCCAGATCTGAAGCGTTTTCACCGCGAATTGTCTCGGCATGGACAGCAACCTCCAATGCGGCAAGCCTCAGTCATATCTGCCCCACGTCTCCCTGATGTTTAGCTCCAAAGCCTCATGTAGTCTCTTCCCGGCTGGGAGAGCGACTATGCGAGTACGCATGTTGCTGTCTTGAGAATGGGCATTATAGCGCCTCTCCATACGGCGAAAATGGCTGAGGCTACGAGGATTAGTGTGCTATCACTGCGACGACAGAACCAGGATCCGCAGGCGGGCTCATTGAGAGACGTTCCAGCTGCAGCTCACTCGCTATGTGTGGTCAGCACAATTTTGCGGTTCCGTCCTCGCAAGGAAAAACGAAAAGACGTGAGGAGGGACGCCCACTGGGGAAAAGACGCTGTTTGAGCTCGACTCAGCTTCGAGCCTTACAGTTGAGCTCCGACTTAGACGTCTGCTTGACGTCGGCCAGAACAGGACAAGGCCCCGAAGAGGCCACTTCAGCCCCTGCAACATGTGTCTCCCATTCCGAACACTGATATTCAGCCTTCCAGGCTGGGTGGACAGTTGCGAACAAGAGGGACCGACCGGCGAGCCTTGAATATACGCAAACTAACTGTGCAAGACGAACGCTGCGATCACGGTGGGGAGACGCGGTTAGTCACGGCCTACTGGCAGTGGAGGTGGAGGAAGTGGAGGCATGTGGAGGTTGTGGAGGTCGGCGATGCGCCGAGATGTTTGCGGATCCGGCAAGCGAACGACTTTGATGACTTTGCGGGACGCAGAATGTCTCAACTTCACTTTTCCGTTCTCTCTGACTCTCCCAGGTACCCAGAATGACGAACGCAACGACAGTCAAGCTCCAATCGGGCGCGAGCATGCCTCTGACGGGCCTGGGGCTGTGGAAGGTGCCGCGCGATGTCGCGGCCGACCAGGTGTATGCGGCGCTCAAGGCCGGCTACCGCCTGCTGGACGGTGCAGCGGACTACGCGAACGAGAAGGAGTGTGGGGCGGGCGTAGCACGTGCGATCCAGGAGGGCGTGGTTACCCGCGAAGAGCTGTTTATCGTCTCGAAGCTGTGGAACACGAATCACGCCGCGAAGCACGTCGAGCCTGCATGCCGCAAGTCGCTGGCTGACTGGGGGCTGGAGTACTTTGACCTGTACCTCATCCACATGCCTATTCCACTCGCATACGGTTAGTCACAGGGTAGACGGAGCTGATGCCAGTGGATCCGGCAGTCCGCGAGCACCCCGGGTGGACGACGACGGGCGACGACAGCGGCGAGATCAGGACGGAGCGCTCGCCCATCCACCTCACCTGGGGTGCGATGGAGGCATGCCACGCCCAAGGCCTCGCGAAGAACATCGGCGTGTCAAACTTCTGCTCGGCCCTCATCGTCGACCTCATGTGCTACGCGAACGTGCACCCCCAAGTCCTGCAGATCGAGATGCACCCGTGCGTCAAGTACCTCCGCGCCAACGCTGACCACAGGTATTTCGTGCAGCAGGGCATGATCGACGTGTGCAAGGCGTACGATATCCACATTATGGCGTACAGCTCGTTTGGACCGGCCTCGTGGGTCGAACTTGACCATCCCGCGACGAAGACGCTGCCCTCCCTCCTCTCCCTCGACACCATCACCCAGATTGCGGATGCGCATGACGCTACGCCCGCCCAGGTCTTGCTACGTTGGGCGACGCAGCGCGGCATCACGGTCATCCCTAAGAGCTCAAACCCGGCACGCCTAAAGGAAAACTTGGATAACACGTCTCTTATGCTATCCGAAGAGGAGATTAGGACGATCTCTGGCCTCGACAAGAAGTTCCGCATCGCCGGTGGTGGCGACCCAAGGATCAATATTTGGGCTTAGTCGATGTGATGCGTTCTTGTTGATGTAGGCAGGCCTGCGGTGAGAGTGGTCTGGTGAGCTAACTACCGTGGGCAAGAGAGGTCAAGTCTGCGCTGAGGAACGAAGGGCAAGCGTAGAAGGATGGCCCAAATCTCCGTGGCCACCTGCAACGAGAACGGTAATTGCCGATTTGTCGGAGACGCCGAGTGTTGCGTACTAGATGCACCTCCGCAGCACATGCAGGGCTGCAGAACATGGGTGCCTCAGGTTCTAGTTCGGCCCAGAAACGCCTGCATGCCTCGGCTTGGGCGCGTGAGGTGGGCGCGTGGGCATGGAGCCAAGCCTCGCTTCGGAATATGGGTGGCAATTTGACCTCCTGCTCTGACCTCACTGCTCCACCTCGGGGCGGCGACGATTCGGAGCAGCATCTTCGGCCGCCCACTCTGGTACTCTGCTGAATTGTGCATATCCCCTGCCATGGAGCAGGCCGCCCACCGCTCACCATGTCCGTGTCCATATCCACCTCCGGCTCGACCATGACCGCGCCGCACGGCATCGCGCAGCGGCTGGCGCATGCCGCGCTGCACACGCCCCCCTCCTTCTTCTCCATCAACATGGGCACAGGAATCACGTCGATTCTGCTGCACAACTTTCCGTACCGCGCGCGCTGGCTCGAGATGCTCGGCACGATCGTGTTCGTGCTCAACGTCGCCGTCTTCGTCCTCCTCCTCGGCGCGACGATCGCGCGCTACTCCCTCTGGCCGGTCTGGCGGACCGTCGCGCGCCATAAAGTCGCGGGCATGTTCTGGGGCTGCTTCCCCATGGGCTTCGCGACCATTGTCGTGCGTGCCTCCCCCTTCGGGCTGACGCCAGAATATGGTCTGCCTCGTATGCGTTCCCGCATGGGGTGCGAGATGGGCGTATACCGCCTACGCCATGTGGTGGGCGGACGTGCTCGTCTCGCTCGCCTCCAACCTCGGCATGCTATGGATGGTGTTCACGCGGCAAGAACACACGCTCGCGACGCTCGCGCCCACCTGGCTCCTGCCGGTGGTTGCGACGGTCGTCGCAGCGGCCTCCGGCGGCGTCGTCGCCGAAGCGCTCGTCCCCATCAACCCCGCGCTGGCGCGGAGCACGCTCTACGTCTCCTGGATAATCTGGGGCACGGGCGTGCCCATCGCGCTCATGGTCATCGCGCTGCTGATCTACCGCTTTGCGGCGGGCGGGCCGCCTGCGCCCGCCGCCCTCGCGTCCGTCTTCCTCCCCCTCGGGCCGTGCGGGCAAGGCTCATTCGGGATCACAACGCTCGGCGTCGTCGCTCGCGCCCTCGCGGATCGCGGAACACCCATGGTCCCCGCGTCGCCGGAGGCGGCGTTGCGCATCGCCGACGGGATGTACGCCGCCTGCCTCCTGGCCGGCCTCGTCCTCTGGGGCCTCGCCCTAGCATGGTACATCCTCGCCGTGGCCATGTTCGTCGAGGGCGTGCGCCGCGACCCCGCCCTCCTCGGCGTTGGCAAGTTCACGCTTGGGTTGTGGGCGCTCACATTCCCCATCGGCGTGTGGGCGACCGCGAGCATCGCGCTCGCGGCCGAGCTCGACAGCCCCGCAATGCGCGTAATCGCCGCCGTCATCAGCGCACAGGTTATCTTCCACTGGTGCTACGTTGCGGCCATGACGGCGTGGAAGCTCGTGCGGGGCGAGTTGTTCGCGGCGCCCGAGCTCGAAGGGAAAGATGTGCTAAAGAGATGGGAGAGTGCGGGGTATACAGGGAAAGAGAGAGAGGCAGCCCCTAGCGTATGAGATTAGATATAGATAAGGCGATCTGCACCGGTTTGCATCAGCTCGAGATGGCGAGCACACCAGATGGCGTGATGAACGAGGTGCTTGTCTTCTGGATCTGCGAGAGGGGGAGAGGAGGGATCGAACAAGAGAGTGGAGCACAGCAGCGTCATGGGAACGTTACAACAGCGCCGGAATGCACTCGGATCGGGCGCCCTCCCGCACTACTCATTCCCGCGCCACAAGCAGCCACGGACCCGAAGCAAAGTTAAGTGATTTTGCAGGAGTCCAGAATCCCAGAATCCCAGCTGCGTCACGCACGTTGGCGCGCCGCGGCGCGGCGCGAGCGCGGCGGCACGCAGCCGCAGCGGCAGCCGCAGCCCGCAGCCCGCAAAGATACACTCACTCGCACGTGCTCCGCTGTGGCACGGAGCCGTGGCTGACTCACACTCGAAGCGATCCGCGACGTCAGCGGGCGCAGCCGGAATGCGCGCGAACAGCACATAAAGCGGCCTGCCGCGCCTCTCGCCACCCACTTCGCAATGGGTAAGTTTCGCAGGAAACGGCTCACGCAGCGTCCGAGCAGCCCGACCACGACCACGACCACGACCACGACCACGAGCAGCGCGAGCAGGCGCACGACACGGCGGAGCCGGCGCGCCGCCAATCGCTGCGCGACATGTTCCGGCGCCCGTCGAACGACCAGCCCGCGCGCCGCGGGAGCTGGCGCGACATGTTCTCGGGCCACCAGCAGAGCGACCAAGCCGCCGAGGGCACGAGAGAGCGGCGCTCGAGTTGGAAAGACGTGTTCCACCCACACGCCACCGTGCCGGGCCAGCAGGGCGGCGGTGAGCGGCACGAGCGGCACGAGCGGCGCGGGAGCTGGAAGGACGTGTTCCACAAAGACCACAAGGGGTGGGCTGGGGCTAGGAGGGGCTGACGACAGCGACGAGGCGACGAACGCGCGTATCCTCGGCCAAGTTGATGCGATGGATACCGTCCCCGGCGCCGAGGAGGCGACGGCCGCGCGCGCAGACCCCGCCGTCGTCGGCGAGACGGGCGTGGATACCGCCAAAGTCATGGGCGGCGGGCGGCACATGGGCGCGTAGCCCAGGGCAGGGAGCAAGCGCCTCAGCGGGCCTAATTTGAAGTGGCCAATACGTAGTGACGATGCGACGTAATTCTCGCGGTGATGGTCCGAAGGGAGTCAGATCGTGACATCTCTGCGACGAATGGAGGTGCGGTAAGTGATCTCCGCGCGCCAGTAAGCTGCTTCCCACACTGTCTACTGGAGCCTGGCGCGGTACTGCTCACATCAACTCTTGGCGAGGCAAATCAACTTTCCAGCTGAATGACTGCACGTCGCCATGATCTCCCGCTCCGGAATCTTCCACAATTGTGCCCGTCCAAGTCGACTGGGCGACGGAATGGGTGCCTGTGCCTCGTCGTCGCCCGATCCACAAACGTCACTTGACTCTCGCTTCGACGCTGACGCCTCCGGCGAGGCAGAGATGGCTGGCATCTATCTTTGGGACTTGGTTCCCCGAATGAGGCATTCTCGGCGCGGAATGCTCACTCAACTTGCAGCCGCTGCCGTCACCGCCAAGCTTGTCGTCAAGCATACCCCAGACGGCACATGACCTGCGAAGCGCCCTCGAATATGCACTGCATGCTCATCAGCCACGCGCTCGGCGTGCGAGATATGTTACGGAAAATGCGCTTGTATGATGAAATGTCCGGGAGTCCTTGGAATCCTGAGACGGGAATAGTCGTTGGGAGGCGGCCGCCAGTCCAACTATACATGAGAAGAAAGATCGGCTTGTCGAGACGTCCAGCATCGGCCGGTGTTGAATTAGAAGAGCGAGTAGAGGGCGCCAGCGAGGGCGAAGAGCGCGGCGGGGAGGGCAAGGGCGCCGAGTGGGAGAGACGCGCGGCGCGAGGCGGCACTCGTGCCTCCTGTTGGTCGAGTGCCGGGAGTGATAGTGCCAGTGCGTCCGCCGCGCGCGAATGTGACGAATGTTGGGACGGCGTTGCCGGAATCGGAGAGCGGCTGTGTCCAGAAGAAGGACGGCTCGGTCACGTACTGCCCATTGGTCTTCTGGTTGAGCCAGCCAGAGTACTTGCCGTCTGGGTCGCCGTAGTGGGCGGCCACGGCAGCGACAACAGGGTACAGCTCGTCTGGCAGTTCGTTCTTTGGGTCGTAGTTCATGGCAAAGTCGCAAGCAGTCTGAATGGTTGCTCCCTCGTCCGACTTGGTGTCCCATACATTGATGCCGGCGTATTCGCCGATGCGAGCGGCGGTAACCATGGCGGCGAGGTTGTATGCGAGGTAGTGGTAAGGACGGGTACGGTTAAGCTCGTACGGCTGCGAGCCGTCAAGCTTGATCTGGTGCTTGAAGTGGCCGTCAAAGTACTTCTGGATGGTGGCAGCGGCATCCTGAGTGTCGTTGGTGATGAGCTGAAGAGCGGCTAGCTGGGCCGAGTAGAAGGTGCCGTGGTTGTTGACCGACGCCTCCTCGTCCTGAGCGATGGGCGAGTTCTTAATCCAGTTGGTGTAGTTGGAAACCCAGGTTTGGAAGCGCCCGTCAATAGTCGCGTTCCATCCTTCGGCGTTACCCTGGCGAAGGAGCAGCGCGCCCGAGGCAATCTTGATCATACCTTTGAGGTCGAGGACACCCGTGTGGCGACCCATCTGGTCGCGAACGGCTGGACCGCCCTTCAACTGGGCATAGTTAAGGTGGGGGTTCATGTACGACTTTTCATGGAGGAACCACGAGTCGATAAGGGAGGCTGCGCGGTGAGAGTACGTCTTTGAACGGGTCACACCCCATGCCATGGACGCGTAAAAGATGGCATTGGACATTTCGTCAAAGTCGCCGATGTTGTTGACAAGACGAGCATCGGGGTTGAGGGCGCCATCGTGGTTAGAGTACAAGCAAGTCTTGAACACTGGGTGTGAGCGTGTGTGTGTGTGTGTGTGTGTGTGGACGGGGAGTGCGTGGTTTGTCGTGTGCATGTTTGCAGTGTTGTGGATGTACGTACTCTCATCTACAGCCAAGACGGAAGTGTTGCCGGCATTGCTGCAGTCTGGCCAGTAGTAGGGGGCCCAGCTCATGTAGTCGTGTGGGTCGTTGGTGGGGGCGAGGTAAGGCTTGTTAAGGACGCCTGGGTGTTAGTAGTTGCATTGGCAGTGGTTGTGAGAGCGGAGTGGTTGGACCGAGTACGGAGTAGTGGCTGCTCGCTCGAGTAACGAGAATGGCACGGGGGGATGGTACAGTATGCCAAGGCGTGGCAGGAGAGGAAATTCCCCAGCCCCCACTCTACAGCCTATTCTCATGCACCCATCTCTCAGCCATCTCCCCCCGTCGCCATGCATTCACGCCCGGTGGTCATGGTCTTGGACATGCACATCGGGTGCTCGCGGATGTGCCCAGATCTGGTTACTCACTCCATGGGCGGCTGCGACCGAGCCTGTTAGCCCACGACACGATGGTCTGCTGGGCGTGTGTAGTCTGGGCCTCGTACTTGAAGTCTAGAATGTAACTTGGGTCGACAAAGTCTGAGGCATAGTTGACGACGGCATGGGCACCGGGGAGGGCGAGGAGGGCAGTTGCCAGCAGCGCGTAGCCAGCAACCATGTTGAGAAGTGCGCGTCCAAGTGTCAAGGGAGGGAGGAATTGGCCGAGGGGGGGGGGGGGGGGGGGGAAGATGAAGTGAGATCGAGGAGAAGTGATAAGAGAGTTGAGACGGTCGTGAAGGTGTGAGGGAGTGCCGGGGGCGGGTGGGTGATCGTCGAGGGGGATCAGAGTCGAAGAGGATGATGGCGAAGAGGATGAGGATGAGAATGGAGATGGAGATGGAGATGGAGATGAAAGATGAGAATGGGAGGAGAATGGGATGAGGAGTCCTTACGGTGCGCCAGGGCGAGGGGGAGGGTTTGTGGCACTGAGTGAGGGCAGGAAGAGACGGAACCGAGGTGTAGCAAAACAGCGGAAGATCGGAAGAGTGATTCGAGCAATAGTCCTAGGAACCGCCGGTCCTCTCGACCAGTCCAGTCAGTCGGCGAGTGAGTCGGGAGCAACGTTGAAGAGGAGGGGAGGGGGTGGGGGGTAACGAGCGTTGAAGGTATTCGAGTAGCGTCCGATCGAGGCAGAAGAGCAGAGGTGAAGCGAGCGTGAGTAGGTTAACCTGAGAAGAGGTTGTGAGCGAATTATTGAGTTGAGAGTTGTGCGTGACCATCTCATTCTGCGCTTCAGTTCGAGGCGCAAGAGCAGAGGAGGAGATCAGCTGGTTGTCTGACTTTCTGTCAAGCAACGAGGTACCGTACCGACTCGCTCTGGCTCGCTGGCTCTCAGCTTTGCGGCCCAACGGCCCAACAGAAACAGGTACTCTGAGTGCCGCGCGTCGAGAATTACGACGCGCTCTCCGGTTCCTGCTACCCGTGGCCCTCGGGAAGAGGCCATGGGCTGAGATATTGGTGCTCGAGATAGACTCTTGAGAGCGCGGGAGAGGCACAATGATTACAGCAAGCGGAATAGAATAGCCGACTATTAACGGCTGTCGCTAAGCAAATCTAGGGGCGAGCGTAATGACATCACTCCACACATAACTCCCAGGGTCTGTGCACGCGTTTCGGCATGAAACACGCGCCTACCATGTGTTGTTTCGATCGTCGCCCCTGAGTTCCGGGCGCATTAGGGGTAAAACAGTGTGATCCGCGCTCCCCCCCATTCCCCTCCGACCCTTGTTTCCTGCAGCTGTTTCTATTCTTGTTTTTAACACCTCTTGCTCTGGTCCTGTACCTTTTTTTTTTTTTCTTGCTTGTACTTGGGTACTGTACTCTTGCTGACTGCAGCGCGCGCTACATAGATTTCGTAAGCGATTAGCTGCATTATTAGATTGCTAGTGCCACTATCCGCCGGCCGCCAGTCTCCCCCCTGAGATGGATCGCCCGACAGGCTCTGGTGGCGTGAGGTCGTTTACGGGTTACATGGTGGTCTGGCCATGGTAGACGAGATGGACGCCGCACTGCCGCTGGGCAGGGATAGCGAGTTATATTGGGACAGCAAAAGGGCGGGGTGGGCGGGGGTGGGGGAGGGGGTGGGCTTGTTATAGTTGCCTCGGTTGAGTGGCATGGCCAGTGGAAGAATTGGGGTGGCAGTAGCGAACGCAGACAAATTTTGCAGTTGGACGCGACTGATCTCTGCTGGCTGTAGTGATGTACAGGAACTTGGACACCAAGTCGCGTCTGGTTTCTCTCTCCGCTGCTCTGCTCTGGGTCTCTGATAGGCGCAACTTCCAGATCAGTCACCGCTGGAGCGCTCAGCACAGCACGCGCGCGCATGAAACCCCCTCCAACCTCCCCCTGGCCTTGGACGCGTCTGTCACATTCGGCGCCGTCCTGTCCCGCGTCTCGTCCATCCCACATGCTCTCGGTCATCAAGCTCAGTGCTCAGTGTCGCGGACCTGATCCATGCATCCGAGCCGGGGTCGTTGGGTACATCGCATCTTTTGGTCGAGCGAGCGTCGCGTGATCGCGTGATGCACAGCTGTGCAAGATGCAAGATCACTCGCTCGCGTTGTAGTTCGGCAGCGCGTTGGATGTTTGTTGCCATCATGTTAGCAGACCCTTCACTTAATTAACTCGTGACTCCTTCTTTCATCCCCGGTTCATTCTCTTTATCAACGCCACTCCATCTGAACGCCAGCGGGGCGGCGTGGCGGACAAGAGCCCCACTGACCAAAATAACCAGATTGTGATCGCTCTCGCTCACGAACAAGCTGATGCATTGGTGCATGAATGCACATGCACACCGGATCTCAGCGTCCGAGCCGTAGACAACAACCATCTGCACCAAGCGTCGAGCTCGCACGACCACCGCCGGCGCAGGTGTCGATCTGACGATGCCGCTCAACTACTCGCTTGTAACCCACCGCCTCGACGGCCGTCCCATCGACGAGCATGGCGACGCATACATATGCTGACAGACCTCGCGTGCTCGCTCACCCAACCACCATGACTTGCATCTATATCTGGCCTCCTCGGCCTCTACTCAACCACGCATACAGATCTAGCCAGCTGACGACCGCACACGATATCACCTCCGAAGACACGACAAGCGCTGCCCCAACACAGGCCAGATCCATTCCCCATACCAATACACCAGATCGAGCCTCTTCGGCTCGCCTCCGCGCGCGATCCGAACCGGCTCGAATTCGGCTCTGGCCGCCCACCCACGTGATCGGCCAAGTGACATCCATAAATGCCGGTCACGTCCACTCTTCACCAACGCCCCCATCCGCCTCGCCACAATGACAATTCCCCAAGACCCAGAGAGCTCCTTCGGCCTCGAGCCCCCCGCCGCCTACGAATACGACCTGGGCACGTACTCGCTGCCCATCGCCTCCGCCGCGCAGACATGGTTCGACCGCGGCCTGAACTGGACATATGGCTTCCACCACACCGAAGCCGTCCGTTGTTTCCGGTACGCGATCCACACGGATCCCAGCTGCGCCATGGCGTACTGGGGCCTCGCGTACGCCGCGGGACCCAACTACAACAAGTGGTGGGGGATGTTTGCCCCCGACGAGCTCGCGGCCGTGCTGCCCATGGCACATGCTGCGGCTGTGCGCGCGACCCAACTCGCTACGCGGCCGCTCGAGAAGGCGCTGGCAGGCGCGATCGCCGCGCGCTTCCCCGCTAACGCGGGGACGGCGGAGGACTTCTCCGCGTGGAACCACGCGTATATCGCCGCTATGGCGGGCGTGTACGAGGCCTTTGGCGACCAACTCGACGTCGCGGCCATCTATGCCGACAGCATGATGGCGCTTGCGCCGTGGCAGCTCTGGGACTTGCATACTGGTGGGTAAAACGAAGGGAGTGCTGACGGCAGGCGCGCCGCGCGAAGACTCGCAGACGCTGCGCGTCAAAGAGGTGCTGGAGCGCGCGCTGGGCGCGCCCGGCGCCATGGCCCACCCCGGCCTCCTCCACCTCTACATCCACCTAATGGAGCTCTCGCCGACGCCCGAAGTCGCGCGCGCGCCCGCGGACGCGCTCCGCGCCCTCGTCCCGGACGCGGGCCACCTGCGGCACATGCCGGGCCACATCGACCTGCTCGTCGGCGACTATGCGCGTGTGCTCTCGGGCGCGGCCGACGCCATGGCCGCCGACGACAAGTATCTCGCGCACTTTGCGCGCGACTTTTACCAATTCTACACGCAACACAACGCGAGCTTCGCCGTCTACGCGGCGATGATGGCGGGGCGGGAGGCGCCCGCCCTCGCCGCGTGCGAGCGGATGGAGCGCGCCCTCCCCGACGACTTTTTGCGCACGCCCAACCCCCCCATCGCCGACTGGATGGAGGGCTTCCTCACGTACCGCGTGCACGTGCTCGTGCGCTTTGGGCGGTGGGACGCGCTCCTCTCCCTCCCCTTCCCCGAGGACCGCGCGTTTTACACCGTCACCACCACCACGGTGCATTACGGGCGCGCGCTCGCGCTCGCCCTCACGGACCGGGTGGCAGAAGCCGAGGCCGAGCGCGACGCCTTCCGTGCGTCGCGCACGCGCATCCAGCCCACGCGCCAAGCTTTCCCGAACCAGTGGAAGGACATCTTCGACATCGCCGAGGAGATGCTGTCCGGCGAAATCGCTTATCGCGCCGGCGCGGTCGAGGAAGGATTTGCGCATCTGCGCCGCAGCATCAAGCTGAGCGATAACCTCATATACGCCGAGCCGTGGGGGTGGATGCAGCCGCCGCGGCACGCGTACGGCGCGCTCCTTCTCGAGCAGGGCGAGGTGCAGGCCGCCGCGGCGGCGTATGCCGAAGACCTCGGGCTGGCGGATACCGTGCCCCGCGCTCTCCAGCACCCGAACAATGTTTGGGCGCTGCATGGGTACCATGAGTGTCTCGTGCGCATGGGGCGCACGGACGAGGCGCAGAAAGTCAAGCGCGACCTCGACACGGCGGTGGCTGGCGCCGACGTCCCGATCGAGAGCTCGTGCCTGTGTCGCCGCGTCACCGTCAAGGCCTGTTGCGAGAAGAACTAGTGGGCCCGTCGAGGTTTGCAGTTCCGTCTGTCGTTTCTAGTGCGCGTGTACAGCAGTGTATTATTCTCAGGTATCCAATGCAGCTTCCTATGCAGTCGCAGCGAGCCGTCCTTCGTTTCATGAACATTGTCATCTTTCATGCACTTTGATATCTACAAGCGTCCATCCATCTCGAGCGGAATGCCTCCCCACTTGCTGACGTCATGTGCCACAGCCGATCTCCGACGCGCGGCCAACGCCCATCCTTCACACGTCGTCGCCACTCGCCACTCCCTCCTCGCCACTACCCTTCACAATGCCAGCAGAGCAGCCGCAGGTCGAACGCATCGGCCGCCCCTATCCCTCCCGCACCAACGTCTCCCAGGCCTGCGAGTCGTGCCGCAAGCGCAAGGCGCGGTGCAGCGGTATGTGACCCACTCCCACCATCTCCGGTTCTCCGGCGCGGCCGAGCTTGCCCCCGGCCAATCTCCCCCTGACACCAGGCGACCGCCCAGCATGCATCGCATGCGCCAAGCAGGGTCGCGAGTGCGTGTACGCCGAGCACGGGGACAAGCGGCGCTCCGAGCGGTCCGGCACGGGCGACAAGTCGGCGTCCCCCGGCCCGTCTGTGTCGGAAGCATCGTCGCTGGTGCGCGACGACGCCATGGCGGTGCTCACACCGCTCGGGGATGCACTCGACGAGCCCGCCGACGACGCACACGACCCGTGGGGCGTCGGCGAGCTCGTCCTCTCCGATAAAGGCGAGCTGCACTCCAACCCCGAGGCGACGCTCTACCGCCCCGTCGCGGTGCGCCTCGTGCGCCCACACCCGCCCGAAGGCCCCGCGCACTACCTTCCCTGCTCAGCGACGTACCTCCCCATCCCGCTCGACACGGAGCAGCACCGCCTTCTCGTCGAGCTCGCGTTTACGCACGGGCTGAGCCTCGGCATGAATGCGTGGAAGATGCTCTTCATCGAGAGCATGATGAAGGCGGTCCGCAACCCGTTTTACTCGCCCGCACTGCACATGGCGATCGTGTGTACTGGCCTGCGGTATTGTCGGGATCCAGCAGTGTACACCCGCTACCTCGCGGATGGGCAGGGGTTCAAGGACCGCGGGATGCTGTTCCTCGACGCCGCCAGGCGTGAGGTGGAGAAGGAGACCGCGAATCCGATGTTGTCGACCATCATGGCGTGGTTGCTTCTATGTGCGACATATGTGCACATGAGTCTTGAGTGAGTCAAGGCGGGCGAGGCAAGGCAAGGCACGGAGGGCCATGCTATGCAGCTGAGACACACGCTAACTTCTTCAGCGAACTAGGAGGCCAGGCTTATGGTACGCCTACCCATCGCTGCGCTAACGCCAGCCCAAGGGGCATTCATGGCTGCCGACTTCCGCGTACACCAGCAATGCGACGAGCAGCTCAAGGCAATCAAGGAGCCGCTGCGCGGTATGCTCGACATGGCGCGTCGGGACGTATACGGGTACTGTCTTGCCATCAGTGTGTCTCCCCCGTAGCTTCTCTGACCGCAGGCGGCTGGTGGGCAGCCTACTATTCCCGCCCCATGCTCCCCTTCGTCGACACGCCGACGCAGCACAAGTCACGCCTGCACGGCGAGTGCGGGCCGCACCCGACGCCGAGCCACATCACATCACACGCGTTCCAGCGGCACAGCGTGCTAAGCCACATCATGCTACAGGTCGTGCGCTGCAACCACGGCACAAGGATGAGTGCGCGTGCCCGCGCAGAGTGTGTCGCCCGCCTCCGCCGAGAGCTCGAGGCGTGGCGCGAGAACATGCCCACATGTCTGGCGTGGCCGCCGCCCGAACACGAGTTGGAGCCCATCAGTCCAAGGTGAGTTCCAGGCTCCTCGCGGCACTCTGCTTCCCTCGCTGACTCCAGTGTCGTGACCCTCTTTGCGCTGTATAACGCCCTCGTAATCCACCTCCTCCGGCCGTACGCCATCGAGCGCTCGTCCCGCGGCGGCCTGACGGGGCCCGAGTGGGGCGGCCTCGTCTTCGAGGACGCGCTCGACACATGTTTCCTCGCCGCCGCCCAAATCATCCAGCAGGTCCACTACATCCGCGACAAGCACGGGATGTGGGCGGCGCCAAGTAATATCCAGGAGTGAGTGTAGCTGCTGGGATAGCCAAGGCCCCGCCACCCCCACCGACTAATGCCAGCTGCATTTACCACGCCTCGACAATCCTCGTGTTTGAAGCCTCGGGACTGGTGCCCGCTGAACCCGCTGCTGTGGGCGTCGCCCTCGGGTCCCTCGCGTACGGGCATCAGGCACTCACGGAGCTCGCGGAGACATGGCCGGCTGCAGCACAAGCTGCCGAGTCCATACGCATGCTGCAGGCGCAGTATTGCGTGAGTGTGTGAAGGTGAGAGCGGACAATACATGTACCGTGTCACGCGAAAAGGATGATAACCTAGTGATTCATAGAACCCCCACTCCCACTCGTACAGCCCATTCTAGTCTAATACACATACACCATCTCGTCGTTCTGGAAGTCGGTGAGGTCGAGCAGGGCGTTCTGGCCGAGCCGCACGCCGTCGGTGGCATCCTGCACGTCCTCGTGCGCCTCCCACTTGGAGCTCATCGACGTGTCCTTGATAAACTGCGGCTTGCCGTTGGCCACGCGCTGACGCTGCCGCTGCTTGTTAAGGAAGAAGAGCACGACCACCTGCATCCCGATGATGACGAGAAGCGCGCAGAACATGCCCATGACAATCTTGACACCAGGCTTGTACTGTGGGTCAGTGGGAGCCCTACAATCCATCTCGCAACACTTACCTGCGGGGCGTCCTTGGAGGCGAAGAGGAAGGGGCCGATAATGTTGCCCGCCGCAGAGCCGGCGTTGTAGAGCGACATGATTGTGGACTTCTTGGTCTGGCCGCCGGTATTGGCCGCCATCCAGGTCACGATGAGCGGGTTGCCGCCGTACAGGGGCGAGAGGAGGTAGTAGCCCACGAGCGCCGGCCCCTGCTTGAAGCCCTCGGGCGTCGACTGGGTGTAGAGGAGCGCGAGGCCGATGATGACGGGCACAACAAAGATGGCGAGGACGGTGCCCTTCTGACGCCAGACCTGGGCGGCGTACGACGCAACGATGATCGCCACGAACTGGAGCACGCCGAAGGGGATGTTGAGGAGCGAGGTGGTGCCCTTGTCAAAGCCGAAGCCCTTGATGAGGGTAGGTCCGAAGGCGTTGGCGACCGAGGCGCCGATGTTGAGCAGCAAGCTCATGAACAGCCACAGCCACGACTTGGGGTCGTACGCCATCTCCCACACCTGGTTCCACTTGTACTCGCGCGAGCCTGTGCCGGTGTTGTTGGCGCGGAGGCGCTCGATGGCCTGCGCCTTCTCGTGTTCGTCGAGGAAGCGGGCGCTCTCAATGTCCGAGTCGAGGACGTACCATACCAGCGGGGCGGAGAACACGGTGATAACGCCGACGATGATGAAGATGAGCTGCCATGCACGGATGCTCTCGCTCTTGACGTGGCCGAGCGCCCACGAGAGGAACGAGCCGAAGACAGTCGCGAGACCGTTCGTGCTGTACCACGCGGCGACGCGCGACGGCTGCTCCGCGCGCCGGTACCATTGGGCGGTGAGCATGCCGAAGAGCGGGAGACACCCGGCCTCAAACAGGCCGAGCAGGAAGCGCGTGGCGAGCAGCCCGCCGAAGTTGTGGGCTGCGGCCATGCATGTCGCGGCGACGCCCCAGCCAAACACCATGCCGGTCATGAGGGGGCGCGCGGGCACGCGCACGAGGAGGTACGACGAGAAGGGCTGCCACGCGAGCTGCGCGATCGCGTTGATGCTCGCGATCGTAGAGTAGTCCTGGCCTTTGAGGTTGGTGTCTGCGCTCAAGCCCCAGACGTTGCCCAGGCCGAGCACACTCTTGTCGAGGATCTGCAGGAAGTAGACCCAGATCAGGATGGTCAAGATGCGCTTGTCCGTCTTGCGCCGGATGCGGTCGTTCTGTCATCAGCGCGGCTCATCGTGGGGACCACTCACGTCCTCCTGCGTCAGGTGCACGTGCTCGCCGGCCGCGAGCGCGTCCAGCGCCTTGACGTTGGCCGACTCGGCGTCCGCGTGCTCAGAGTACGACACCGGCTCTTTGATCGAGGCTGTCATGGTGGAGTGTGAAGAGGAAAAGTTGGTGATGGGGCTCAGCGGGGCGCCCTGTCTGGGGTTATAAGACATGTAGAGCGGAGGTGCATTGCAAGTCTGCAGGTTGCTCGCCGGCCCTCGGTCCGGCGAGGTCAGCATTGCGGGGTGCCAGTCCGGTCGTGAGTGTCTCCCCTCGTCTCGGCACTTGCTATGGAATGTTCGGCCGGGCTGGGCGTGGGTATTGACGGCAGAGGTCCGGCGTTTCGGGTGGCGGGCCATCTCCATTGACCCCCATCTCCCGCCTACGTCTCAGAGAGAGAGGTACGAGTGCTGACCTCATCAAAACGATGTGCACGTGAGCGGCAAAAACTTCGGGGAGATGCCAATGCCGCCACCGGACGGCAGCGGTTATCGACGGTTAACCGTCGATAACCGTCTCTTCGGTGCGGTTGCCGGTCAATGCCCAGCCTTGCTTGGTAGGGAGCTACACATTGTTCGCCGCCTGTTGTGGGAGATTAGAACCGTGCCACGGCAAACGGCGGGCTGTAGATACTCAAGATCAGTTATCTCTTGCCGTCGGACGTTCTCGGCGTCATCAGAGCTGCCGTGTTGTCAATGCTGCCGTGTGCGTCCGGTATGTGTCGAGGAGAGTGCACGGCCTGAAGCGGGTCACCTGTGAGCACGGACAATGAGTGCGGCTAATGGGCATTCGCGGAATACTCTCCTTGGCACCGGAGGCGGACGGCTTCACGCGGCTCCGTCGACAGATCACTGACACAAGCGGACCGGATGCGCCTTGCTCTTTGCTTGTGGCTTCACCCATTTGGAACAGAGATCAACTGTCTCAGTCCCAATGTCTTGCGCTGAGACTCCATCTTCTCGACCCTCACTCACCGAAGCTCAGCAATGAGATGATGTCTCTGATGGGGTTTGGTTCCGACGGCGCGCGGAACGCTTTGCCTGCACTGCTAATTCAGTGTCAGAGCAATGCAGTTCAGAATCGACATCCCCGCACCTGCCTGCCAGCTAGCTGTACCAACCTCCCAGTTCATCCTTTCCAACCACCACCCAAGCCCCAAGTTCCCGCTGCTCCCATTAAGGCCTGTGCATGACGAGTGAGCAGTGCCTGGCCGACCACATCCGCGTGAAAGTGTAGGCCGGCTCGCTCGCTGTTCTGCAAATCTCCCATGACGACTAGAAGGATTACACGCTCCATGTTGAGGCGTGAGAAGCCAGCCTGCCACATGACGTTGGACGGGAGCAATCGTGCGGCGACCTGAGGGTGGGCTTCAAAAGCGCAGCGTTGTGTGAGGGCGCGCATGTATCGACTGATGAGATTCGAGGCTGGCACCATCTGTTGTGCGTCTATATCTGTACGTGCAGTGCACACCGGGCTACTGAAGACCGATGCAGATGTGTTCGGCTTTACCCGTGGCAACACAGACCACACGACTTATCATCTCAAACACACAGCCATCTCCGCCGAGAATAGTATTTACGGATATCTGTGGCAGTTCATTGCTTCCGCCGTACATTAGGTGCCTCACGAGATCGACTAGCACCAAGGCACCTGGTATGTGGCCCGAGTTTCCAAGCCCAATCGAGATTACCAGGTCGCAGCCCCGAACAGCGTCACCTGCACAACCCGTGAGCTTGCGACCTCGTGGGAGCAAAAGCTCAGCGTACGCAGCTCCCAGCGGAGAGTAGGAAACTCAGTAGCGCCGAGCGTCCCCGCCGGGATCGTTCGCACCGCTTCAGGATTGCTTGCACACCATGAGGACCAACACCCCACACAAACAAAGACGACGTCGGCGTCGGTGTGTCCCTGCGATCTACGTTCCAACGGATAGCGCATCTCGACGATGCCCGTCGGCGCGCGGGCAGGGTCAGCGAGCCGGCGGCAGGGCGCGGGCCGGCGGGTGGGCGGCGGCGGGTGGACTAACGCCAGCCAGTGCGGAGTGTTTTGAGTCTTTTGGCATCCGCACGCCCTGATCGCATTCTCCGTCTGTTCCCAGAACAGCACGCTGCAGTGCTTGACGTCAGCACAGGACCAGCAGGCGCAGGCTCCCTGGGAAACAGGTTCTGAAAGAATAGCGACGCGAACTACTGGCGCCGCAGGCGGCGCGCGATCTGGCGCGTGAGCTGGTACGAGAGCCGCAAGAGGAAACGCGAGCTTGTTTGGATACTCATCCAGAAATAGCACCGAAACCATTCACTATTCCCTGTCCTCTTGTCGTCCATCTTTTGGCTCGTGGCTAGAGGCGCGAAGGCACGCTCCCTCCGCCAGTCCGAGCAAGCATGCTTTAACAGCTGACGGCCGAGTGGCTGGTCCCTACAGCGCTCGCTCTCACTCTCACTCTCACTCTCACTTTCACTCTTATCGCTCACGTCCCCCGCCGCTGCACAGTATATAGCAGCGCCGTCGCACCTGCGATTCTCCGGCCCGTTTTCGTCTGCTCTCTGACCCCCTAGACACTCTTTCCTCACCCCCGCCGCCTGATCACGATGCTCATTTCACTTCTGGCGCTTCCGCTCGCGGCTGCGAGCACCCTTCCGACCTTCCAGCCCCGGGATACCCCCTTCGCTGCACTGTTCAAGCGCGATGGCCCCGTCCCCGATCCCAACGCACCTGGTGAGCTGTCGTCTGTGTGCCGCTGACCCAGACTTTGCAAGTCACTACCCGCCCAACTGGAAGACGCCGAACGGGACAACCGTCCCCCAGGCGTGGAAGGACAAGCTCAACTCGATCCAGCTCCCCGCAAACAACCCTGTCGCGACCAAGTCTCAGTCGAACGGCGGGTCAGGATACGACGGCATCGACAAGGGCGGTAACAATCCCGACATCTGCTCGTTCACATGGGGCTGCATCGCCAAGTCCGACTTCTTCGAGGCGCCCAACGGCACCTGGCTCCTCAACTTCGACGACGGGCCCACGCAGGACTCGCCGCGCCTCTACGATTTCCTCCGGAGCAACCAGATCGAGAAGAACGCCACGCACTTCATGATCGGGTCCAACATCCAGAGCTGGCCAAAGACAATGCAGGAGGCGTTCAACCAGGGTGGCCACATTGCCGTGCACACCTGGGCACACCCCATGATGACTACGCTGTCGAACGAGGAGGTCCTCGGTGAGCTCGGATGGACCATGCAGATCATCTCGGACCTGACGGGCGGGCGCCTACCCGCCTTCTGGCGCCCGCCCTACGGCGACGTCGACAACCGCGTCCGCGCCATTGCCAAGCAGGTGTTCGGGATGGAGACGGTCGTGTGGAACAAGGACACGAATGACTGGAAGATCGGAACCGCGAACACGACCGTCGACTCTGTCGACGAGGTCATGCGCGGCTTCATCACCGGCCCCAAGAGCCCCGGCATCGTGCCGCTCGAGCACGAGCTCAACAACAACACCGTCCAGGTCTTCCTCAACTCGTACCCCCTCATGAAGGAGAACGGGTGGACCGTCCTCACCGCCCCCGACGCTTACGGGCTCCAGTGGTACCAGAATGCCAATGGCAACCAGGGTCCCGTCCTCTCCGCCATGAACGTCGGCCAGGTCCAGACAGCGCTCGTCGCCAGCGCCTCGTCGGCCAACCCGACCTCGGCCGTGCCCTCCACTGGTAGCGCGTCCGTCGCCGCCAATGCGACCGGCTCTGCCGCCGCCCAGTCGGCCAAGACGTCGCCAAGCACTCAGCAGGGCAACAAGAACAGCTCCGGAGCGCGTCTCGGCGTCTCCGCGGCCATCTTCCTCCCCGCCCTCGCTCTCCTCCTCTAGGACACTTTCATAGATCATAGCAGCCCTCGGCCGGGCGGACACTGAGCCACGATCACCCATGCCTGAACAATGCATTGTGTTATACAGATCTAACGAGTCTCTACTAGCACCTCCGCCACAGCTTCCAGTTGCCCTGTATGTATCGCTTGGTGCCATACAGGGACACGGCTGAGGCAAAGAACGCCAGGCCGGCGAACACGATTCCGTATTGGAACGCCGAGGTGCCTGTACGGCCGAGCGTGTCGCGCGAGTAATTTGTCAGCCAGATCGCGATCGGCTGCGAAACAATACCCGGCGCGACGATGCTGAACCACAGCATCGAGAGCGCACTTGCCATGTCACGGATGCCCACAAGGTCCGTGAGCAAGGCCTGACATGTCGACCAGAAGACGCCCGAGCTCGCGCCCTGCAGGAATGCGGCGAAGGCGAGGACAGAGAAGTTCTGCGCGACGAGCCACACGGCAAGACACGAGATGGACGCAATCAATGTCGTGACGATCGCGCCGTTGAACCGCCCAATCTTGTCAAGGAAGTAGCCTGAGAGCGGCCGCCCCACGATTTGCCCCACAGCAAGGAGCGACTGGAGCGTCGAGCCGTCCTTCTGCGTCATCCCCAGTCCCTGGACGGCGTACAGCGGGATCGTGTAGATGCCGATCGCGTAGGCGAAGAGGATGAACCCGCCCCAGAAGCACATGCAGATGAAGCCGGGGTTCTTGAAGAACGACAGCTGGAACGGCTCAAAGCGCACCTTGAGTTTGGTCGAGCGCGTCCTGAAGAACAGCACGGCGGGGATGAGCCCCGCCGCAGAGACACAGCCGTTGATCACACACGCCCAGCGACGGTCGAGGTGCGCGAGAGTGAGGCGCGTGATGTTCGAGAAGAAGAGCGCGCCGCCGCCGCTCCCGGCCGACACAATGCCAACCGCAAATGCGCGCTTCATCCCGAACCACTGCGTCACGATAGGGCCCGAGACGACCATCGTCATGCCCAGCCCGATGGCGAAGAGCACCCCCTGCGTGAGGTACAGCTGCCAGATGGCCGTGCAGAAGCCGGCGAGGATCTGGCCGGCCGTGACGCACACGCTTCCCGCCAACAATGGGTAGCGCCAGTGGTACGTGCGCGCGAGGAAGTTTGAAAAGGGCGCCACGGCCAGTGCGAGCGAGAGCGAGAGCGAGCCGATGAACGCGAAGTCGATGTCGCGCGCCCCCGAGAACTGGTTATTCTCCAAGTCGTACGCGAGGTAGATGCCGAACGCCGTGTTGACGCCCCATGTTGAGAAGTTGAGCTGGTGTCAGAAAAGTAAAGAGGACAACGCACCAGAAAACCACACAGCACAATGACCCAGCCATACCCGCCGTCGGGGTAGTCACGGTGGTCTTCGGGTTCACGGTCGAGCGGCACGTCGTCCGGGTCGCTTGATGATGCGAGACCTTCTGCGTCCGGTATCCCCGCCTCCTTGCCCTTGTACTCGTCGTACTCGGGCACTGATGTCGGTGTCGCGGGCGCTGACGGCGCCGGTGGCGCCGCTTTCTCGCCTGGCGGAGTCATGCGATGGGATGATGGATTTCGGCGGAGATGCCGAGTGGGGGTATCGGGGGCTGAAAATTGGCTGATTAAGACGACAAGTGACCGATGTCGTCCGAGGTTGTTACTTCTGATGAATATATTGTAACCCGCGGCGAGGTGCGGGGCGTCGTTGCGCACATGTAAGAAGTATAGTGAAACGCAGAACACTCGGCGCTGTTCGCAGCGCCCCGACGCCGGAGGCCGGAGTTGCGGCGGTCTCGGCGGTGCCCATCGGTCTCGTCCGGTTCACGTGGTCTGTTCCTGTAATAGCCCTGCCGAGCGAGTCGAATGCATATAGGCCCTATCTGTCCATAGTCTGGATGAACGCATCCATTTCATTAAGAATGAGCACGGGATCGAAGCCCCAATTGGCGAAGACGTCTTCTTCTGGCGCTGCGTCGCTTCCGAGACCGACACCGAGGTCGAAACTGCTGCTCTGTTCCAGTTCGGGGTCGGCTGGGAGGGGCATAGCGGGGAGAGTTGGGGGAGGCAGGGTAGGCAGGGCGGGGAACACCTTCTCGAGCAGCCGCGCGATTTCTGCTGCGATGTGCTCGTCGTCTACTGCAGCTTCGCGGAAGCATGTCAGCATCTGATGCTGCAGGTCGAGCACCGCTGGTTCTTTTTCCGCAACGGCGCCGTGCGAGAGCGCCTTCATGAGGAAGACGGCGGCGAATAGCTGTGGTCAGCGAGGCCAGGCATTACCGTACAATACGCTGGAACGTCCGTCCAGGGCAGAAGCGAAGGACGCCGCGACGATGGCACTCAATACCATGTTCCAGGAGGGCGACGGCTGAGTCCACAGCCTCGATCATTTGCAAGCCTTCGACGGAGATGATCACGGTGGTTGCCATAATACGCTCGCCGCCTGGCGTGCGTTGCCCGGGCATAGGTGCACCACGAAGCAGGCGTGAGACGGCAGCACGCATCGCAATGGCGTTGGCATATAATCTGACGTCAGCATAGCGTTGATGGCTTACTCACCGAACGTAGTCGTGGTCAATGCGCCAGAAAATGCGATTGATATCCACGCTCCTTCGCTGATCTGGTGATCGCACGGCCCCGTCCGCATCTGAGTCGAGCCCGCCTGTCGCCCACGTCCACAGATGATCCAACTCGGGCTTGAGCCGGTCAAGGAAGCTTTGGAATCTCCCTGTGCGGATGAGGTCCGCCGTCACCGCCGGGGAGGGATACAGCGTTTGGTGACAGACAGCGATGACGTGCGCGTGCTCCGCATTAACGCGAGACTGGCGCCAGAAGGGGCGGGCGCGGGGGATGGGTTGCGCCCTGTGATCCAGTCGCTCGCAGGACATGAGGAAGAACTGGTCCCACCAGCTCGTGGCCATTTCTGCTATCAGTCGGGTCGTGAGGCTACGCACTTGTTGATATCAGTGAGTCTCGTCCCAGACGGCCAGCGATGCTTCGGTCAGCTCCGCTTCACTCTAGGCTTGGTACCCACTGCTGGTCGGCGCTCATACATTCTATCATCAGCGAAGATTCGCGGCCCTGGTGGCACTCACGGATCCATACATGCACTCTTCGCCGTGTCTGCCAGTCGGAAGTGTTGACGGGCAAGTATGTTGTCTCGTCGTGCAACCCGACCTCCTGTGCAATTCGCACGGCGAGCGCCACATTAGTCCACGCCACGTCATCTTGGTGCTTGCAGGCGCTGCTTGGGCACGCATCGCCCACGCTGTCCTCGACCAGCATCGAGCGAGGCGGCCACTCGCTGAGAATCAGCAACGCTTCCACTGTCCCGATAGTCCGCATAGAGCTGGAGCCCATGACAAGGCGCGCGATCCGGCCAAGAAGCCACTCGACAATGCGGGCCTGTACTACGCGGGCTCGACTGGGCTCGCGCGCGTCGAAGCTTGGCCCAAGGTCCGCATAGCGTGCCGCAGTACATGTGATTGCGCCCACGAGCAGCGGCTCTTGGAGGAGGAGCGAGGGATCGTCAAACAGCTCGACCGATACCACGGGATGGCAGGGGTTGATGTTGCGGGCGTAGAAGCCCACAAGGGCGCCAGCTTCGCCGCTTGTCAGGAGGCCCTCCCGGACAGGTGACCAGCGGTTCCACACCTCGCCCTCCAAGGCTGGGTCGTACGTATGCGCAAGCGCCGCCTCAGAAGTGGCAGGCTGTTGGGCCGACACGGAGGACAGGAGGCGCAGCGCGTCCGCAGGCGTCTCAAGATTGCCCCCCACGAGGTCGAGGCGGGGCGGCGGGTCATCGGGCCGCGTGCGGCGCTCCTCATACCGCGGCTGCGCATCGTCGAAGCGGGCGCGCGGCGTGCTTCCTGATGCTGGGGCCGCACTTCCCGAGAGCGCACTGCTTTAGCACATGCGAATATATTACTCACCTGTCCGTGCGTGACCGCTTCCGCTGATAAGACTCGGTGAACTCGCACTTGCGACCTGTGCGTCGGCAGCGGCGGCACGGCAGGTCCTCGGGGGCGTCGACGGGGCCGAGGTCGCACCGTAATTTAGCGGCACGGCACGCTGTGCACGCCCGGTAGGTTCGCTGATGCCGGGGAGGCTCGCCACTTGCGCTGGCGCGAGGCATGCTTGCTTGCTAGATCGTGAGTGACAGAAAGTTGTTGACAGAGGTGTTATCAGTCAACGGGTGTTGTCGGCATCTTTCGGGGCAAGGAGCGAGCGGAAGTCTGTCGGTCCGAGATCGGCCAGGCTGGGAGGTTGACTTCCGGCCACCACATCGGCGCCTTCTGAAGCTAACGACGACAAACTCTGGCTGCACATGATATGCCTAGGCACAGCCATGTTGCTCAACAGTTCAACAGGACAGCTGACTTGCGCGATGCAGTACACATGACAGAACACTGCAGCAGTTGCCCACCTGCAAGCTTCTCTTTTAGCGGTACGCGGAGTGCCAGGTAGAGCACAGGCGCCCAGCTCGCACAGTCCTCCCGCCCTTTCCATGATGACGTCTTATGCATTATCCCTACAATCCATGCGATCCCGGCTCTCGTCGGCTCTATGTGACCACTATCACTATCTTACAGGCGCGACTCGCGCTTTTCGGCGTTGGGCGCCAGAGGTCCCAACTCCTCGAGGGTGGTGAGGTCGCCGAGAACAAGGGGCTGGCGGCCAGGACGGCCCTCGCGGTCGAGGTCGACGAGTGGCACCTCGCGGTTGATCGCCCACTTCTTGACAAGGTTGGCGGGGAGGTGGCCCTCCAGGCGGCCCTTGATGAGCTCACCCATGACGGGCAGGAACTTGAACGCGTGCCCGGCGCCGCCCGACGCAATGAGGAGCGACGGGTACTGCGGCGCAAAGTCGATAACCCAGTTGCCGTCGGGGGTGTCAGAGTACCAGCACATGCGAGTAAAGGCCATGGGCTTCTTGGCGAGCTCGGGCCAGAGCTCGGCAAACTTCTCGCGCATGCTCTTGAAGCTCTGTCGCGGAATCCAGCCCACGCGGTTCTTAGCGGTGTAGTCAACGGCCTTGGGGTCGGCGGCGGTGCGGGGGATGTTGTTAGGAAGGATGTAGCCGCCGGCGTGGATGGCGAACTTCACGAGGCCTGTCTGGTTGGGCGGGAACTGGTAGTAGCCCGAGCCCTCGAGGTTGGCGATCGTCGGCATGTCGGCGTACCGCGCGTGCTCCTCGGGAGTGAGCTGGACGGCAGCGACGGTCTGGCCGGTGGGCACGAGGAGGTTCTCGGGGAAGACACCGCGGAGGGCGGGGTGGCCGCCGGTCCACGAACCCATGGCCATGATGATCTTGTCCGCCTTGAACTCGCGGCCGTCCGCGCAGCGGACACCGACCACGTCGCTGCCGTCCTCGTTCTTGATGAGCTCAATCACGTCGGCGCCAGTGACAATCTTTCCGCCGAGCCACTTGATATCCTCGTACAGCTTGTTGATGGCTCCCGAGGCGTGCACCCATCCTCCCTGGGGGTTGTGGAATGACTTGATGAGCGCCTTCTCACCGATAACGGCCTTGCCCGAGGGCGAGAGAACCTTGCGGATCTCCTCGGGGTCGTGGAGGAGGCGGGTGCGGGGCTCAAGGTCGCACGAGTTCTTATAGATGCGCTGCGACTGGGGGTCGGTGAGGCCGCGCACGAGGCAGCCGGTGCTGAGGTCAGCGAAGGCTACACGGATGCGCACTTGAAGTAGATGCCCTTCCACTCGGGGCGCAGCCAGCGCTGAACCGCCTCGTGAGCAAGAATGGCGTACTCCTCGTCGGCGTAGTCGAAGCGCACGACCTTGTTGATGTCGGTCGAGGCGGCGTCGACGGCCGGCACCTGAGCCAGGCGGTCGAGGACAGTCACGCTCGAGTAGTTGCCGGAGCGGAGGAGCTCGACAGCGGTCGTCGAGCCGAACTCGCCCGAGCCGACGATGACAACGGAGGGCTTGGTGAAGCGGTTGGCCATTGTTGCTTGCTTGATGCTGATGCGGAAGTGTATGCTAAGCTGCAGTCAGCAACGCAGGTCTTATACGAGCATACGCCCGCACGATTCCCGATGCTCTGGCGGAATCGGCTCCCTTCGGTCGGATCCTATCGGCAACCGCTACACTTCGGCAGTGGCTATCAGTTCATCGGATCACGTCGGCGGTGCCTTGCAGGTGGCTGCGCCCCCTGGTGGGCAGCACGCCGAATCGCTGTTGCTCGTCACGCTGGGCGGCGCCGGCCTTCGGTATGCTGTGAGTGGGCGTAGATTGCGGAGAGGATATATGCAGCGGAGAAGGGCTTGGCTCTTCCAGGCAACCATGTCATTCGACAACAAGGACAAGTATGCTGCAGGGGATGTCGAGGTCGTGGCGATCGACGACGACGACAAGGGCTTCGCTCCCGAAAACACGAACATCCGTGAGCTATGCGCTCCTGATGCCGCTGACGCCTGGTGACGCAGGGAAGCTTCAGCGCGGCTTGTCGTCGCGGCACATCACCTGGATTGGCTTTGGGGGTGGGATTGGTGTGGGTGAGTCCGAGTCGGAGCCCGATTGATTTCCGCCGCCGCGAGACAATAGGCAGTGCTTACATCCAGGACTGTTCGTGGGCATCGGCCAAAGCCTGGCAATTGCGGGCCCCCTTGGCATTCTTATCAGCTTCCTGCTCACGGGCTTTAACGTGTGGTGTGTGATGCAGAGCATCGGCGAAATCGTCGCTCAGGTTCGTCCCCGATATGGAACTTCTCCGCCGGCCTTCGCTCATCCCAGTACCCCGTCAACGCTTCATTCCCAGGTTTCGCATCTCGGTTCGTTGACCCTGCTTTGGGTTTCACCGTGGGCTGGACGTGTGCGTCCAAGTCTCTGCCAAGCTAACAGCAGACTGGTACAACAATGCCATCTCCGTAGCGGTGGAGGTCGTCGCTGTAGCGGTGCTCGTTGACTACTGGACTGATGGCTCAATTAGTCCGGCGGTGTGGATTACAATCGGCCTTGTCGCCATTTACTGCTTCAACTTGCTGCCAGTGCGGTGGTATGGTGAAGCGGAGGTAGTCACGGTGAGTGTGCTGAGCTCAAGGAGCTGTGACGCTGTCACAACTGCTCCGTACTTTCGGAGAGGTTCACAATGGCGCCCCGATCTGATTCCAGGCTTCCATCAAGGTCCTCACCTTGCTGGGCCTCTTTATCTGCTCACTGGTGATTTCTCTCGGAGGCGCGCCGGATAAGGACCGCCGAGGGTTCCGGTACTGGCGCAACCCCGGTGCGATGAACACGTACACTGGTATTGCCGGTGATTTGGGCCGCTTCCTCGCCCTTTTCCGCACCCTCACGAACTCGGCGTTCGCGTACGGTGGCACCGAGGTGATCGTGCTTACGGGCGCCGAGGCAAAGGATCCCAACAGGCAAATTCCGCGCAACGTCAAGATCTTTGTGTATCGCCAGCTCTTCTTCTATGTTGGCGGCGCGCTCCTGGTGGGGATGATTGTCCCATACACCCACCCGGACCTAGTCAACGGTGCAGGTAACGCCGCGTCCTCTCCCTGGGTGATCGGCATCAAGATGGCGGGGATCAAAGTTCTTGACTCGATTGTCAACGCCGCGATCATCACCTCAGCCTGGTCTGCCGGCAACACGTACATGTACATCGCTTCACGAACGATCCGCGGACTAGCCTTGAACCGACAGGCGCCCGCCATCCTCGCCCGCACGAATAAGCGCGGCGTCCCCTATTTCGCCGTCATCGCCACCATCCCCATCGGCCTCCTCTCGTATTTGTCGCTCGGCAAGGGCGGCGCTTCCCAAGCCTTCAACTGGCTGCAGAACATTATCGCCCTCAACATCCTCCTCAATTGGTCGATGCTTTGCATCACCTTCATCTGCTACTACCGCGCAATGAAGGCGCAGGGCCGCGACCGCCGCGACCTCTACTGGCGTGGCGTGCTCCAACCCTTCCCGGCGTACTTTGCCGTGACGTTCAGCCTGATCGTGTGCGTTTTCAAGGGCTTCCCGGTGTTCTTAAAGGGCGCGTGGAACGCGTCGGACTTTGTTGCCGCATACATCTCTTTCCCGGTGTATGTTGTGCCATTCGTTGCGTACAAGATTATCCGCAGGACCCAGTTCGTTCGCCCTAAGGAGGCCGACTTGGACCGTGACCAGATCAATCCGGAGGATGTTGTCCAGGAGAAGGTGCCCACTGGCGCCTTCGGCAAGATTGCAAGCAAGATCTTCTGGTAAACCTTCTTGAGTGTGTAGGGAGTGTAGGAGAACTGCAAGTAAGCAGATGACGATTTAACGGCGAGCGCCGAATGTAGTAAACACGAAGTTGTGAATTGATCGTTGTTCAGAATGCAAACGTGTTAAGAAATGCCAGACGCTTTGCGTGAAGGGACGTAGTGAAATCGGGTCATCGCTCCCCACTTCCCACTTCTGTGAATGGACAATCCGCCGTCAGAAGTCATTATCGTGTCATCTACAGGCCGTGAGGGGAATCGCAGCCGTCTACGCTAAGCATACAAACTCTAGCACACCGACGCGACGTCGATGCTGGTCGCGCCCTCGGCGCGCTCCGCCACACCCTTCTCCGTCACAACGGCAGAGATGAGCTCCGCAGGCGTCACGTCAAACGAGGGGTTGTACACCTGATTCCACTCGTTGTCGTCGGCGCCGACGCCCTCAGGCGTAATGCGGACAACGCTGAGCTCGCCAGTCTCGAGGTTCTTCCCGCGCACGAGGGTAGCCTCCACAGGTGGGCGCTGCTCGATGTGGATCTCCGCACCAGTAGCCAGCGACAGGTCGACGGTAGTAACAGGGGCAACGACCACGAAAGGCACCTTGTGCCGCGCAGCAAGCACCGCTGCCTGATACGTCCCAATCTTGTTGGCCGTGTCGCCGTTCTTGACGATGCGGTCGGCACCAACAATCACGCCGTCAATGTCCTGGTGCTGCATGAGTGATCCGAGCATGGTGTCGCAGATCATGCACGCCGGCACACGGAGGGTCGTGAGCTCAAGCGAAGTCAGTCGCGACCCTTGGTGGTATGGCGTCGTCTGGGCGTAGTACGCCGTGTCCAAGTGGTCGGCCTCGTAGAGAGCGGTGATGACTCCGATCGCGGTGCCGTACCCAGAGGTTGCCAGCGAGCCGGTGTTGCACACAGTGATAACCTTAAGACCCTTCTTGCCGTCCCCGCGCTTCTTCCACAGCCACTCAGCGCCGAGGCGACCCATCTCGCGGTTCCGCTCCATGTCCTCCGCATGCACCGCGAAGCACGTGTCCTTGACCTTCTCCACCAGCTCGGCAGGAGAGGATGCGGATGCAGAGAGAACGCCACGAATTCGGTCCATCGCCTCTCCGAGATTCACAGCCGTCGGGCGCGATGACTGGAGGTAGTCCAAGATGGGGGCAACGTGCTCCTGCACACTGGTCGTCGAGGCAAAGGAGGGAGCAGCTGATGAAGAGAGGTGCGAGCGAACAGAGAGAGCGGCCAGAGAAGCAATGGCTGGTGCACCGCGAATCTTGCGTGAGCTACAAGTAACAGCACAGCTTACCTTCATCATCTTAATGGCGTCAAAGGCCTGCTCCGGAGTCTCGACCTTGTCCCACTTTACGGTGTGGCTAGTATTAGCTCTGGATAAGAGAGCTACCTACGGCAGCAGAAGCTGGTCAATAATCTCGACATCGCCCCCGGCGGTAATGCGGAGCGAGGTCATCATCTCGGGGAGCGTCTTGGGCATGGTCTCTGGCGATGTTGTTGTTGTTGGTGCTGACGAACGTTTCTCGCGCTCGAAATCCTCCCTCCACCGCCGCCTGAGGTGGAGGCGCGGAATCAATTCGAAGCCAACCCTATCCAAATGAATTAGGATCAGTCTAATTACCGAAATATGACGCGATTCAACTTCATCTTCGCATCTTTGTCCATCGCCACACATGTCCGACTATTATATGCCCCGCGACGGCGCGCAGGGCATCAAGCGCGAGTCTACTTGGCGGCCCAAAGCGCAGCCTTCGCGTCCCCCCAACGCATGGGCCGACGCGCCAGGACCGAGCAGGAAGGGCGAGTACTACGAGCCTCCCAAGCGAGACAGCTGGGAAGATCGACGCAAAGACAGGGAGAGGGACGAAGACCGGGAGGAGCGCGGTCGCTCGCGCTCACGATCACGCGAACGAGACCAGCGCGATGGGGGACGAGACTTTCGTGACCGTGACCGTGACCGCGACCGCGATCGGAAGTGGAGGAAGGACGACAACAGGTCGTGGGACGACTACCGGCGTCGCCGAAGGAGTCCAGAGCGCTGGAGGGACCGCGACGACCGTGGTGACAGGTGGCGTGCAGACGACAGGAGGGATCGCGACCGCTCGCGCTCGCGCGAAGAACCGTTGCGCCGCTGGGGGCGGTCTCCCGACCCGGAGCGTCGCTCGCCGTCGCCACCACCACGCGCGCGTAACCGCTCTCCCCCATTCAGGCGCTCAGGAGCGCGAGACTCGCCTGACTATGCTGTCGGTAGGCGATACAGTGACTCAGAGGATGATCGGTTAGTTGTTGACGTGAGATGCGCTAATGGAAGTAGGTCACGTTCGCCGTCCCCTCGCCGCACACCGCGCCGTCGGTCTCCTAGTCCGCGCGGCCGCTCTCCGTCTCCTGTAAAACGACGCATATCCTCACCAGCTTTACCAGATCCCAAAAGGACACGAGGGAGCCCGCGCGGCCGCTCTCCTTCGCCCCAGCGGACGAGGCCACGAGACAGAGATCGCTCCGCGTCGCGCAGCCGCAGCCCCGCACGAAATGGGCGCGGCGGAGAGCGTGACTTCCGGCGCCGGTCGCCATCCCCTCCATCCAACTTCGGGAGAGGGAGGTGGGCCCGTGACAGGTGGCAGCCTCAGCAGTTGCAACAGCCTCGTACCCGTGACGGTGAGCCGGTCAAGATGCGTGTTTGGGGACGGCCCTCCAGCAAGTCACCCGCACGTAAGCCTAGTAGTCGCTCCCGCTCGAGGTCGCGCTCGCCTATAGACGATGCGCTTCGCCCCGTGAGACCGAGAGCCGATGCGCAGATCAAGCCTAGGGACGCTCTTCCTTACGACGCAACTCCAGAGCGCGACACCCCCACTAACGGTGGGAGCGCGCATGCACGCGCAGCCATGCGTGAATGGAAGTCTGCGCCGACAGGACCGGCAGCCCAGCGTAATGGTACGCATGACGCGACCATAATTACCGAAGCGCTACCGCAAGACGATTTTCATGAGATCAACGAGCCTACGCGAGCCTCAGATCGATGGAGCCCAATCAAGCGCTCATCGCCAGTGCGACCTGAGCTCTCTTTGGCTCCCACAAGTGACTCGGAAACAGCACATCGCCCCCCAATTCAACAGACATCTTCCGCATCCAGGCCTGCATCGATTGCATCCCGCCCAGCTTTTGTGCCGCGGGTCCCTCCTTCCGGCCCAGCCTCCGTCACCGGGAGACAGCCCTCAGCGCCCTCGGGTCCTGCTTCTGTCGCATCGGCCGCAGCCTCGGTCTCTCCCGCTCCACCTTCTGGCCCTAGCACACCGCGCCCCGAATCGTACCTGCAGAGAATAACCGACAAGCAGCAGCAGTACGATAAGCACTTGTCCACTATTGCGCCATATATCTCCACCGCCTTCGGGCAGTGGTACGCGCAGAATGCCACGCCACCGTTACACGAGTTTCTTGTGCACCACTTCGGTCGGCAGCCGTCCAAGATTGAAATGGATCAGATCCACCAGCTGCTGCGTATGCGCTCTCAGTTGTCGAAGGACCAGCAGGAGCTGAAATCCATGCACGCCCAAGCCCTGCGTAGCGAGATTGCACCTCCACCTGACGCTCCATCCGGCCCTCGTGCGACGCGCGAGCGCGAAGAAGTCCGTTTCGGCGCCCCACCCGCTGGACCAGCGCCGCCGTTGGGTATCCCACCTTTCCCTTTGCCGCCGTCGGCTCCTCGGCAACCTCCGAAGCCTCGACCGAAGCCTGTGGTCGCACCTAAGCAGCCAAGGCGAAGGGCGGTCGCTGGCGAGAGATATGAGCGGCTGGCACAGGTTGGCGAAGGGACCTACGGCAAGGTGTACAAGGCGCGGAATACAGGAAGCGGCGCGCTTGTCGCGCTGAAGCGGATTAGAATGGAGCAAGAACGCGAAGGGTTCCCCGTTACGTCTATGCGAGAGATCAAGCTGCTTCAAGCGTTAGACCACCCGAACATTGTGCGACTGATGGAGATGATGGTGTCCCACAGTGAGCTTGCTGTATTAGCATGAGCTGACGACAGACTCGGTTTACATGGTGCTGGAATACATGAACCACGACCTCACTGGGATTTTATCTCATCCCGAGGTCAAGCTCTCTCCCGCAAACATCAAGAGTCTCAACTATCAGATGCTCTCCGGCTTGGGGTACTTGCACCGCCGTGGAATCTTGCACCGGGACATGAAGGGATCCAATATCCTCCTGAACGGAGAGGGTGAGCTCAAGCTTGCCGACTTTGGCCTCGCGCGGTGGTATCACAAACACAAGCGGGACGACTACACGAACCGCGTGATTACGCTGTGGTACCGCTCACCCGAGCTGCTGATGGGCGAGACGGCGTACGGACCCGAGGTGGACACGTGGAGTGCGGGGTGCATCATGCTCGAGATCTTCACGGGCAAGCCGACGTTCCAGGGCCAGGACGAGATCAGCCAGCTCGACGCGATCTGGGCGATTCTCGGCACGCCGCTCGAGGCCGACTGGCCGGCCGTGACTGATTTACCGTGGTATGAGCTTGTGCGACCACGCGAGGCGATTACGTCGAGATTTGCGGAGAAGTTCTCCCTTTCCGCAGGGGCGATGGAGGTTGTAAAGGGTCTCCTTGAGCTCAATCCTGCGAAGCGGTTGCTCGCTGACGACGCGCTAGACAAGGCCTATTTCGTCAGCGAGGCGCCGCAGATGGAGCAGCCGACTCAGTGAGCTCTCGCATAGAATCAAGCTAACGACAGATTGGCGACGTGTGGAGAGCACCACGAGATGACGGTCAAGATGCAGCGACGGCGCGAGAAGTAGAATGTAGCTGTACAACTTCTTTGCAGACATTTACTCCACAGTACACTCTAGTCTCTATAGTGTCTCAGACTGTTCCAACAGCTCCGTCGCATCGCTTTTCAGGCGAGCTTTGACGCTGTCGCTGATGGGCCATACTGACGCCTCGGTGGTACTCATCCCTGACCGCAAGCAGTTCCACGGCAGGATCCAACGCCAACCCCGCCCCCGGCCGACGAGAAGGTCGAAGTTGGCGCGCGATCCGAGGTCGTACGGCTCCCCCAGGGCGGGGATGACGGCGCCAGCGTACGTCTCATGCTGAAGGGGGACGAAGAACCACTTGTCAGGCGCGAATCTCCTCATGGCAGCTAAGGCGTCGCCATCCTCCGCTCCCCTGGCGCGGGCGGCGCGCACGTCGTCCGCGGCTTTGGCATACGCGCGCGCGCGCATCATGTCGTTGCCTAGCGTGCCTGTGAACATCTGCTTGACTTGCCAAATCGCCAGTGCCTGGAGTCAGCGCCCGCAACAGCACGACAGCGCACGGCAGTGATGAGGGCGAGAAGGTTGCCCACGGCCCAAAGGATGCCGATGTCGACGCGCCACATTGCGTCGCTGCGGTCCGAAGGCGGAGGGAGGTCGGCCCACGCGAGCAGCAAGCCGACGGCGTACCGCGCCACAGGGCCGGCGGGGACGACCCAGCTCCATCCCCACCCCCAATATGCCTGGACGCGGGGGTTGGTGGCCGTTGCGCGCCACGCGAGGCGGGCGCCGTAGATCACGGGGCGGAGGAGGGGCCCCGCGAGGAAGAGCACGGCAGGCGGCGTGATGAGCAGAAGCGCGGTGAAGGCTGGGAGGGCGGGCGCCGAGATGCAGTTCGCGACCTGAGTCAGCACTGGTGAGAGCGGACGCACGAAGAGGCAGTGATGGTCGAACCCGAGGCGGCAGCGGCCGCACTCGGAGCAGTGCCGCGCACGGGGCGGCTTCCAGCGTCCGTTGCAGCTGCCGGAATGGCAGTGGTTGATGAGGCGCTCGTCATCGTGCGGAACGAGGTATGCACTCGCGGGCGGCGGCACTTCGAAGATGGTGGTAAGGTTAGAGATCTCCGGCGGAGGGGAGGGTGGTGGGGTCGCGAAGCGCGAGGGGAGGAAGTAGAGCCGGAGGAAGATGGTGCTGATCGTCGCGATTAGTACAGCGGCGACGATGCGGTAAACGACTGGAGTCAGCGTGCCAGCGCGCCAGCTGGGAGAGCTCTCGGTCATACGGTCGCGATGTGGGGCGCTACTATGACCGTCGTATGCCTGTCTCCGCGCAGTAGCCCCAAGGCAACGTCCTGGGACTCCCACCCGCTAGACGGCGTCGAGCTCAAGCAAAACGTACCCGCTATCCTGGGGTATCCCAGTCCGTCCGAAATGTATGTGGCTGTCGTCAGCACAAAGCTCTCACGCGCCCGGATCGGATCTCAAAATACATCGCATATCGCTTGTTGTCTGCATCGATGGCCGGAATGGCTGGCATGGCGGCGTCGTGGTGGGAGGCATGGCAGATATGGCTGGACGCAGATCCAGAATTGGATTTCGAATGACTCACCGAGGAATGGACCGGTGCAGACGCGCCACGCCCAAGCAAAGTAGGCGAGGAGGGCGGGTGGGAGGACGAGCTCGATGTAGAAGCCTGGGCGAGACAGCCGCCGTGTAGGTATCGGCATCGCAGGCACTCGTGTCCAGGCGTCGGGAGAATGAGAGCGCGCGCGGACCAAGCAGGTGTAGCAGTAGCAGGAGCAGTAGCAGTAGCAGTAGCTGGCAGCTGGCAGCTGCGGACTGCGCAGGCCAACAGCTAGCAGCAGAGTGCGATTCTAGCGGCCAGCGACTGAGGGAACCGAGGGGAGGACCGACAGCGGCGACGAGAGATGTGGAATGTTGAGATGAGAGATGGGAGACACGTGATGATGGAGAGATGCCAGGGGGGGTGATGTCACAGAGGAATGGGGGAGGATCACGGGGGTGTCACGTGATTTGATCCATTAAAAACTGTTAATTACCCCCATTTAATGCGAGCTACTTCCCTCCCCCCCGTTCTGCCTTGTTGTTCTTCGCCACCGCCTTATTCCTCCCCCCGATATCCCCCATCACCCCCCTCCCCCTCCCTCACGCCTCTCTTGACAATGTCCGACCCGCCCCTCAACCTCGCCGGCGTCCCGCACGTCGACGACGCTCTCATCGATCCCCAGCTGGCAGCAGAAGCCTTCTTCGATGGCAAGTTTGACCCAGACCTCGCGGCTGCCGCCGTCGCGGCCGCACAGCCACAGTATTCCGGTGGCGACTTTCAGATCGGTGTCGACGTCAACGTCGGTGTCCCGAACATGCAGGGCATCGGCGTGGACATCGCCCAGCCCATCCTCAACGGCGGGTTAGACGGCCAGCCCGCGCCTCCACAGGCCCATGCGCACCAGTCCCAGGCTCAAAACCAGAGCCAAAACTCCAACCACGAGATGCAGCACCAGAACCAGACCCAGAACCAGAACCAGAGCCAGGGCCAGAACGCTCCGACAGAGGGTGTGCACGTGCCCGTCAGCGTCAACATGTCCGCGTCCCACATGGCCCCCTTCAGTCGTCCGCACCGGGACGACAGCACAGCGCACCCCGAGCTGCTGAGCTTCACGAACCGCGCCGAGTTTGATGTGTGGTTCGAGGGCGAGAGCAGCTGGTGCCACTTCGTGCAGCGGCGGACGACGACGCCGGAGAAGCGTGCGGAAGAGCGGCTGCGCGCGCGCATCAAAGCGCACGAACGCATGCTCGCCACCATGAGCCCCGAGGAGGCGGCGAGCGCGCCGCCGCTCAAGCGCCGCCGCCGCAACCGCACCTCGAACATCAAAGAGAAAGTCACGTTCACGTGCCACCATGCAGGGCGGTATGAGGCCAAGCACAGCACGACGCTGCCGCGCGAAAAGCTGCGCCTGAACACGAAGAAGAGCGTCAAGTGCGACTGCCCCGCGCGCATCGTCCTCACCGAGCTCGACGAGGGCGAGTGCAAGGTCTCCTACTTTTGGCGGCACGAGGGACACGACGCGTACGCCGACGACGAGCTCGAGTCCGGCCGCCTCCCCAAGGTCATTGACGAGTGGCTCGTCGCGCAGATCCAGGCCGGCAAGGACACGGACGAGATCCGCCGTGCCCTCATGATGCCCGAGGACGAGAAGCAGGCCTACCTCCGCCAGATTGCCGAGGACCCTGCTTCGGTCGACCCGGCCAAGCCCCCGCCGCTCGCCCTCACCCTCCGCATCAAGTATCCAGACATCTACAACCGGTACCGCAAGCTCAAGGGGCCCATCAAGGAGTTCAAGCCGCCCAAGCATCCGCGGGCGCGCAAGCGCACGGACGAGAAGGACATGGATCTCGCCACGAATATGAGCAACGGATTGACAAATGGCCTCGACATGGCAAACGGCATGGACGGCGTCGACCCCGGCCCGAGCTACCAGCTCAACGCGGATAATATGGTCGATGGGTTCGCGGCACTGCGCGAGGCCATCGATAACAACATCTCGGACCCCTTCGGGGGGCACGAGCACCTGGAGCGCGCATTGCTGGCACTGCCGCGCGGCGTCGACCAGAACGACGACACGGAACTCAGCGACGCTATGATGCGCATGGCTGAGGCCCAGCAGAGCGATGACAAGAGTCGCGAAGTGTGGGCTGGCGTTGGGTTGGAGTGAGCGGCTCGAGCAACGATCGATGGCCGACAAGCAGGTTTGCCTCATCACTGCAACCGCTCTCCTCCCAACCGTCATTATCACATCATCGCTCCCACCGCACTACACCTAATCGTCTGTCGCTAATCTACCACCACCTCCACCACCTCCGCCACCACCACCCACCGCCGCTGTTTGACTGCGAGCTGCACCCAATTCTCTCTTGTGTGCGTGTGAGACCGGCGTGTGACCCTGTCCGGCCAGAGGCTGTCGCACCCACATACTCTACTAAAAGCGACCCGATCCTCTTGCGCCGTCCGACCAAAATGTGACATAACTGTATGATTGTAGGATATATGTATGTAGCTGGCGCAGATCTGGACACTACTTGTCGCCGCCGATGTTGAAACCCTTGAACTCGTCCTGCACGCGGCGGTAGTGCGCCATCTCGTCCGCGGACACCGAGGGCGTCAGCCGTTCCAGGGCATGCAGGAAGTCGCTCTCGTTGACGACGACATCAGTCTCGGCGCTCGTCGCCATAGACGCGAGGTAGTACTGCGCCGTCAGGGGCTTGGGGTATGCGCGCGGCAGCGGGGCCGCGTCGAGCTCCTCGACCCGCTTGTCGACCTCTTCCGCGACGCGCGTCATCGAGCGCAGCATAGCGTCGGCACACAGCGCATACAGGTCGGCACCGGTGTATGTGAACGGCAGGCGCTCGGCGAGGTCGTCAAGCGACAGCGCCGGGTCGAGGGTAAACTTGCGCGTGAGAGCTGCAAGAACGTCTCTCTGCGCAGGGTGCGTCTCGGGCACGGAGAGGTACAGCATGCGGTCAAAGCGGCCGGGACGGAGCAGCGCGGGGTCGAGCAGGTCGGGACGGTTAGTAGCCGCCATGACCACCACCTGTCCGCGACCGCCAGACATGCCATCAAGCTCGGCGAGGAGCTGGGACACGATACGGTCCATGACACCGCCCGAGTCGCCCTGGTTACCACGCTTGGGCGCAACACTGTCGAGCTCATCCATGAAAATGACACAGGGCGAGGCGTCGCGAGCCTTTTCGAACACGCGCCGCACGTTGGCCTCGGACTCGCCGATGTACATGTTCAGCAGCTCGGGACCCTTGACCGACAAGAAGTTTGCCGCGCACGACGTCGCGACAGCCTTGGCCAGCAGCGTCTTGCCTGTACCTGGAGGGCCGTACAGAAGGATACCGGAGCGCTTCTTCATGCCCTCCCCGAAAAGCTCGGGGTGTTCGAGCGGGAGCTGCACCGTGTCGAGAATGTCGTTCTTGACGGCCGCCAGGCCTCCGACGTCGTCCCATGAGACGTTGGGGATGCGAGGGGCACCGATCGAGTCGGCGTAGCTGGCGCGCGCGTCGCTCAGTGCTGTTGTGAGGTCGGCGGCCGTGAGAGCGACGCCGGCCAGAAGCGCGTCAGTGGCGGTAGGCGCTGCAGCGCAGGCTCGTGCAAGCGCCATATCGCGTGCACGCTCGATGAGCGAGGCAAGATCGCCGGCCGTCAGCGCAGCAGCCTGAGCCGCAACGTGGCTTAACACGACGTCCGGCGCCAGCGGGGTGTCCGCCACACAGGTGGTGAGGATCGCCTCGCGCTCACCACTCGACGGAGCAGGAAGCGCAAGCTCGTGCTTGAACACAGCCTGCATGTCTCGTGGGACAGCCTCGATGTTGCTCGTGGTTCCAAAGATAGCCACCGGCTGGTTCGTCTCCGCGCCGGCCTTGCGCGCTGCCTCCAGCAAGTCCTCCACAACCTTCACAACAGGAGGTGGGCGGGGCGGCGCGCTCCCACTCGACTGTGGGGCAAACGCCTCGAGGTGCGTGAGAAGGAGAATGGAAGGCGCGCACTGGCGCGCCTTGTCGAAGCGCGCCCGCAAGGTGCCCTCGGTGGTCTGTGGCGTATCTCCGATGATGTCGTAGCATGGCACCTCGACAACGCTGAAGCCCAGCTCGTCGGCCGCGGCGTGAACAAACGAGCGCTTGCCTGCGCCTCGGGAGCCCTTGACGAGCACGCTAAGGGGGAAGAGGCGCGCGAGCGCCAACGGCGAGAACGCACTCTTGGCGAGATCGCGGAGCGTGCCCGCTGTCGGGACGTGGTAAGGTGGCGGAGCCGCCGCTGATGTCAGCTTTATCGGACGACGTGGACTTACGCATGCCATGCCACACGAGGTCGCCCGCTCGCCCGGCCACACGGCTGCGCTCAACACCAGAGAGCAGAAGGGCGGTCTCGCCGCCCAGGCCGGCGTCGACCCAGCAGCCCAGTTCACCCGCCCGTGCCTTGGACGCAATGGTCGAACTGAAGTCGTCTTCCAGAGGCATCAGTGGCTCGAAAGCGAGAGCTGTGACGACAAAGTAAGCGAGGGCTGTGTCCTTCTCGCCCTCCTCGTCCTCGTCCTCGTCCTCTTCCGTGGGATCCTCGCCCTCCGCGAGCGGCTCGCCCAGCCGCACCGGGACCGAGATGAGGTCTCCTCGGCGGATCAAGCGCTGGTGCGTGTCTGGGTCGTCACCGCCGCGGGCGAAGTAGTTACGCAGACCGCGCAACCACGCACGCTCGTAGCGTTTGTCAACGCCCTCGGCAGTCGCCACACGCGCAAGTGTCATGCTTTTCGCGACCGGAAGAGATGGGCGGCGCGCCCCAAACGGAGTTGGCTGGACCACGACTTCGCAGTACGGCCCGGGCAGGGGGAAGAGTGCGCGGCGCATGCCTGGCGGGACGATGAGTGCGTTGGGTGGACTGCTGTTAGCTCTTAGCGGTGGCACAGCACGACTCACAGATCGCTTGTCTCCTCGTCAAGTCGCTCCCAGGCAACGACACGAGCGATGCGCGTCCGCCCCGGGGTGCCATCCTGCACGGCACGGAGGCAGACCCAGTCGCCTTCGAACACGCCAGCGCGACCCAGCGCCCACACGCCTGCGTAGCACACATCCCCGTCGTCCTCGTCCGTCTGGGGGCCTCGACCAGCGGCCGGAACAAGCACAAAGCGCATTCCTTCGTCAATGGGCGACTCGAGCTGGAGCACATCGTCCGGCGCGGCGACTGGGGAGGGGGAGCGGAGGCCCATAAGCCCAGGGCGTGGTGTCATGGAGCCGGAATTGGTGAGGCTCGACGCAGACGAGGCGTCCAGATCGTGCTGTGCAGGCGGCTCGTCGTCAGTCAAGCTGGCGAGCGAACGCGCAAGCGATGAGGCGAGGAAGGCGTCGGCGTCAAACTCCTCCACCAAGGAACGATGTGTAGGCGCAAGCGACCCCGCGGCGGAACGGTCGTCGTCCACATCCCCAAACGCGTCGCTCGGCTTGTGAGCAACGACCACGCGCGTGTCGGGGGTTACCAGACCCTGCTGCACAGGCTCGGCCATGAGTACGCGGAAGCCACGCCCACTCCCCAGAGAGATCACGCCACCTTCTCGCAGAAGCGTGCCTGCACGGGTCTCCTCGTCGGCCCAGTGCACCGAGCCGTTGATGTCGTAGCCGTACACAGGCGGACCATCGGGCTCGCTCACTGCGTCAGGATACAGCTGCTCGAGATCTGACGCTTCAAGCTCCCCGGCGGGTCCAGTCGGCTGCACGACCGCGAGGGTGAGCGAAACTGGCTCGTGCGCGTGCACCATCACTTCTGCGGGAGTCGAGACGTAGCTCGGCAGCAAATGCTCGGGAACGTAGAGGCGGGGCCGGGCGGAGACCTTATCGCTTGGCTGCCGTCAGTGCCCACCTTCCTCGCCACGTACCTCTGCGGCAGCCGGGGTGACCCATAGGACGAGTTTGCGCTGGGCGGCGGCGCGAGCGCTGGGCGGGAGGCGGTGCTCCGGCGCCCACTCGACGGCGACGGCGAGGCGGGCCGGCTTCTCGGTGGCCGAGGAGCGGGGAAGGATCGCGGCCCAGAGGTCAGAAGAGGCCTCGCCCACGTCCCCGGAGGTGGGAAGGGAGTGGACGTCGGCGCGGACCGGCGCGGGGCGTCCAAAGGGGCGCACGGTTGGCATGGGCGTGATGGATAAGCAAGTGGAGAGGAGTTGGCGGAGTGGAGATGAAGAAGAGAGATGGGGAAGTGGAAAGTAGAACCGCGGCCGGGATGGGAGTAGCCGACACAGCCGGATGTCGGCGGTCTGGAGTTCGGTGGGCAGGGCGGAAGAGCGGAGGCAATTTCCACGCGCCGCACGCGTGGGCGATGACCTCAGATGCAGCCGTCCAAGCATTCGCCGACGTCCGTCTCCGCTCCCATCACTATCCACCATGCTCTTGAGAGCCCGCACCGCTCTGCGCGTGCCGCGCTATGCGCGCGCCGCGTCCTCCTCCTCTTCGCCGTCGCCCAAGATCTGCGCCGTCCCATTCCGCCTCAAGCCCAATGCCGCGAAGGAGGCCATGCTCCCCATGTCTCTCATGCTGTCTGGTATGTGGCGACCCGCGCACGCTGACGCTAGGCAAGCCGGGCAATTTGCTGTACGGGCTGGCGCTGCGTTTCTTCGGCTCGGGGCTTGAGCCGATGGGCCGCGAGATGGGGCTCGGGAGCTCCGTCGAGATGCAGAGCATCGCGGCCGCGTACTGGCCCGTGTGGAGGTGGGACATGATGGCCGAGGGGCCGTGGACGCCTGCGCACGGAGGCGAGGAGAGTCCCGCATGGATGACCGTACGCGAGGCGTACATCCCCGGTAACCCGTACGCCCCGCTGTCCTACCTCTCCTTCTCGATCCCACCGCTCGAGGACGACTTGCCGGCTTACAACCCCGGGCGGGATCTGAACCAGCTCCGCGACATGGACATCGTGCCGGTCGACTTCACAGTGAACCCCTTTGCGACGCTGGAGAAGCTGAAGGATGTGATCAAGCGCCAGCGCAATATGGGAGGCATGAAGGTGGACCCGGACAAGTGGAAGGAGTCGCTTGTGAGCTGCGACTTTGGTTGCACGCTGACATTAGCTTGCAGCCTACCCTATCTACTTCCCCATCTACATCGCCGAGTATGTGATCAACAGCGGGGATAACAAGCGGTCGTTCCAGCTCATCATGGACGCGCACTCGGAAGACGTGAGTGTGGAGAGTGCGCATTGTCGCTGACTCGAGACGGGCAAGTGCCGCGTGTCGGTCCCCAACCCACCCGAGGTGTGGTTGAAGGGTGCCCCGCCGAAGAACTACTTTGTGAACCCCGCTCCGTCGATGCCGACCATGACGCTCATACTCGGCGCGGCACCAGCTCAGCCCTTCCAGCAGTCGCCCGCTGAGGTGGCGCGGATAAACTACGACCAGTGGATCTCCCCCAAGCCTGAGAGCAAGAATGAGATTCGCTCCTCGCCGACGCTTTCCGTGTCGCGCGACTCGTCGATTGACTGGGACGACCCGCGCATCCAGGCGTGGAACAGTGTCGAGCGCGAGGAGAACGCCGAGTACATCGAGGCGGCGTTTGAGGTGCAGAAGAACTTTGCAGCTATCAGCGTGAGTTCTCCGTCTACTTTTTCCCCCGAGTTGCAACTGACAATCAGAACATGGCGCACGCGAGCGAGCAGCTGGGCGAAGGGGCCAATCTCAAGGAAATTGACTTCAGGTTGACTTCTTGGGAGGATGGCAAAACGACAACTGCGAGCGGAAGCATGTCGGACATGAAGGCGTCGCTGGAGGAAAGTCTCGCCAAGTCGACGGCCGAGCTGGCCCAGCTCAAGCCCCAGTGGTTGCAGGAGTTAGAAAAAAGCAAGAAAGAGGGGTCCGCAGCAGAGACAGCTGAGGTGGGGCAGGGTGAAGGTGAGAAGGTTGATGGCGATTCAACACCAGCGGAGAAGAAGGATATGTAGCACAGTAGACAGCATGCACACCCATCATATTGTGACCCGCGAAACGACCGCGTTTCATCCAAGGGATACTGGTGTCCATGTGCAATTGGAGTGAAATTGCCAAAAGATAATCTCACCACTGTGAGTCGAACACAGGACCTGCGGATGTATTAACTCTCTGTCGAGAGGCGAGGTATCAGATTACAGTCCGACGCTCTACCAACTGAGCTATGGTGAGGTGGAAGGTTATTAGCAGAACGATTTGCTGCCGCGGCTATGTTTCCCTTGCCAAAAACCGACGGAGAAAGTCGGCGTTTGAGGGATGGCACCCCTTGGAGGAGTGACGCCTGCCGAAGTTTCGCGTGTGGTGCAAGTGATGGCAGGATTTCAGGGTCTCCGCCTCCGCAGACGGGCTTCCTCTGATGGTGCACCCTGTGGTCTGCGCGCCCTGCCTGCAAAAATCGCCACCCTGGGAGGCCATGGGAGAGGCAGGCCAGGCCGGAGCCACCCTTGAAAGAGCTGTGCACCTTGCTCCTTCTCCCTCCTCGCGCTCCTCGCGCTCCTCGGCCCTGTCGTCACCGCAGACTGCAATCCTGTCCCCGTCCCTCCATCCTCCTGGGATTAGCACTGACCCTTGCTTCCATCCACCCGTTCACCCAACATACACACTCGTACACTCGGCCTCGTCGACCACTCGTCCCTCCTCGCCATCAATCTCCTCTCCATCTTCATCCTCTTTACTCTCATTCTCCATCTACATCCTCCTCTGTACAAATACGGCGCCCACCTCCCTCTCTCACCGCCAACTCCACCTCGCCCATTTTGCGCGCGACTCTTTCCTCTCCTTCCCTCCCAACCCCACCACTCAAACCACCCCCGCCCGGATCTCCCCCTCCAACAAACCCCCTCCCTCCCTCTCTCCATTTCGTCCAACGCGTTCGCCGCCTCTACCTCTTGTCACGCTACGGCCCGCGCTCCCGCTCGTCTTTCTTCTCCCCTCTCATCCCACTTGACCCCTCCCATCGCTCCTCGCCCCTCTCGCATCTCTAAACATCATGCGCTCCGCCGTTCTCCTTGCTGCCGCCGCATATGCCATTGGCGCGCGCGCCCAGGCAAATGACCTCTCAGAGACCAACAACGTCACCTCCATCGAGGGGACCTGGTCCAGTAACCCCGCGGTTTCCACCGGCGGCGTGAGTTGCCATCTCGTTGCGCCCGACATTGACACATTACTGACCGCGACAGGACTTCTGCACTCCCTCCGCGAACAAGTTCAACCCGCCTGTCAATACTGGCATCTCGTACTCCTTGTATGTTTCCACCATCCTCTGATTACACCCGCTGACAGGCAGCACCGACGACGGGTACTTTGAGGAAGCGCAGTACCAGTTTGACTCGAATGGAGCCAAGCCCGAGTGCATCGCTGCCAAGCTCATCTTCCAGCACGGAAAGTACGAGTTCCAGGGCGATTCTATTGTGCTGCACCCCTTTGAATCAGACGGACGTATCCAGGTTCAGAATGCGTGTGCCGCCGTCACGACCAACGTGTACTACTATGCCGAGACTGTTACCTTCAAGGACTGGGGCATCACAATCGACCAGAGCACGGCCAACTACAAGCTCCAGTTGAACGCCTTTGACGGCCGCAAGATGTCGCCCCTTTTCCTCATCGCTCGCCCGCCCAACATGCTCCCCACAGAGGTGCTGTACGGTACCAACGAGTCGGGCCAGGTCCTCTCGCGCAAGCGTAGCCCCGTCATGGAGCAGCTCCAGAAGCGGTACTCGGGCGCCTCGTCGTACTCGACGCCCTCCCTCGTCGCTGGTTTCAGCGGAACGCTTGCTGCCGTCGTTGCCTTTAGCCTGGCGCTGTTCTAAGTGCTGTAGTAGTACTGTGCGGCTCACGACCGCGTCGTTGAGCTAGGGCACTTGAGAGGGCTCGCCACGGCCTGGCGTCGAGCACTACTCCCTCCCCCACCCATCCTCACAACATTCTCCCCTCCCGGCGCCCCCGGTGTCACGGACATTAGACTTGATGGCCTGCGCTCGTACACTCTGCAGCTGTAGGCCATGGATACCCGCACTCATCCGTTACACTGTTAGTGATGCATGGGCGTTTACACAACGGGGGTGCTGGCGGGTGCAGATTTCTTGTAAGCAGTCGCCTCCAGTGCATTGGCTTGACCAGACGGTCGTAGCTAGAACCTGATGGGGGTGGATGCATCCTTCATGGCCTTGGGGTGCTCCTGCTGGACTGCTGGCCTGTTGTTGATGTGATGATAAGAGGCTTTGAGCCGCACGGTGAGGCGCTTCTAGGCACGCAAACATCGTCATGCAGCTTGTTGACAATTCCGTCCGTCGTCCACTTCGCCTTCCTTTGCATTTCTCACTCGCACTCGCCATCCCCTCATCCCCGCCAACCCCTAGGTCGAGGCTCATTAACATCGCACAGCTTAAGCGTCCTACTACGACAGGCGCTCAGCTAGCTCTTCCCGCTTTCTCACCCTCGTTTCCCAACAATGTCGAGCGGAGCGGGCTCGCCCGCCTCCGACGGCTCCGACTTCCGACCACCGAGCGACGACGCCGAGACGGACGACTACGTCGACGAAGGCGCGATGGAAGTCGACGAGCCCGCCTCCGCCGCCTCCTCAGACGAGGAAGACGGGGACGACTTCGTCCCTGCTCGCCGCGGTCGCGGCCGTGGCCGCGGCGTAGCGAGAGGCGCAACCCGCACCCCAAGAGGGCGAGGGACGGGTACGCGTGTTGCGCGCAAAAACGGCGGCGTGGCATTTACGACGGGGACGCCGAAGCGCGCGCCAAGCGAAGCGTTTGGGCCGTCCACGATCGCGGCCGTCGCCGAGAGCGACTTGATGGGCATGCCGCCCGCGTACCGCGAGTTCCTACTCGCGTCGTCCGTCGTCATGGTCAAAGGGCCGGACTGGAAGAAGGAGTATTATCCGAATACGGGGGGGACGCGCGTGCCGATCTTCCCCCTTGGTCCGTTGACGCCGTTCGTGACGCGCCTAAAAAGCCCGCCGAACATGCCGGGGAAGGAGGGGCGGATGGGCGAGCTCGAGGTCGTGCTCGATCAAGAGAGGGGGGCGGCGCGCACCGAGGCGCGCAGGCTTGCGAGCCGCGATAAGGCTAAGCGCTTCGGCTTGCTTGAGCCGTGGCAGGTGTGGGAGGGCGAGGGGTGGTGGCCGGAGATGGCGGCCGGCGGGGCCGGCGGAGCGGGCCCGACGGAGGGCTGGTGCTGGCGCAGCGAGGTGCGGCTCGGTCTTGATGGAGTCGGGCGAGGGTGGACGCAGAACGTCGTCGCGGCTACGTGAGTCCATGCTGTGTAGTCGCAGCTGACATCAGGTCGGGCCAGACCTTCCTCCGGGAAACAAAGGACGTTGTGCTCAACGTCGGAGCGCATAACGCGCTGAAGCGCGTCGAACTGCCACTATTCGCGTCTACGCCAATACGTGAGCCCATACACTTGCCTAGCTGACCCGCAGGGAACGTGTCAGAGTCTTCGACAGGCTTTGTGTTCAACGCCGGCGGGCCGGTATGGGGCCTGGACTGGTGCCCATATCCGGAGCGCCTGGCGGCCGAGCGCGGCTGGCCGCTCTACCTCGCCGTCAGTACACTGCCGCAGGACGCGGCAATTGGCAGTCGCTGCGCACCAGAAACGCCCGGTGCTATCCAGATCTGGTCTGTTCCCGCGGCTGGGGACTCGACGCCGACATGCGAGGTCGTGCTGTGCTTCGAGGGGGGGCCAGCAACCGAAGTAAAGTGGATGCCGCTGGGCGCATGGGACGAACCAGACACGGCGAGCCCGAAGCTTGGCATCGTCGCTGCCGTGCAGCTTGACGGTAATGTGGGCTTCTACTCCGTCCCGGAGCCACAAGCTCTGCGCGCAGAGGTCGGAGCCGAGGGACCGATCTACATCCAAACCACCGCGCTACTCAAGATCAGTGTTCCCGACGCCAGCGTGACATGTACGGACTGGTTGAGCGGCTCTCGTCTCGTGACTGGCCTCTCAAATGGTGAGGCGTCGACTATCATTTCCTGACTGCAGGCACCATCGCGGTCTGGGAGGTCGACCTCACAAACCCGGAGCCACCTCTGCCTTCGAGCATAACGACTATAGGCCTCGGCCCAGTCCGCTCGCTCGCGGCCGGACGCGTACCCCCGACAACGTCGAACGGCGAATACGACTACACTGGTGACTCGGTGTACGTAGTGTCCGCGACGTGGGAGGGGACGATTAGCCTTACCGACTTGCGCGACCCGGCGGGCACTCTGGAGGTCAATCGATCACGCCGTGAGCTAACTGAGGCTGAGGCTTTTGGCTCACACTAGTCCCCGTAATGGCGGTTGCGTGGTCATCACAAGCTGCGACACCGCTCTACGCCGACGTCGACTACATGATCACAGCGTCGCAGCTGCGCAACGACGGACCGAGCACGCATCTGATGGCCCCACACCGCGGCCCAGTCTGGGTAGATCTGACATCGTTGACATAGCTGACAACAGTCCATCGCGACATCAGACTACCACCTGATGGTCGCCTCGGCGGCCTCAGACGGCGCGCTCATCCTCTCCTCCTTCGCACTAGGCTTCTACCGCCGCAAGCTCGCCGGACTCCTCTATTACCGCCTGTACGAGCTGGACTGGGACGAGGTGTCGGGCGAGTACCGTATGGTGGACGACTTCAAGCCCGAAACGAGCGGCATCGAGGAGGCGATCAAGCATGCAGGGAAGAAGAAGAGCTCGGCCAAGGACGCACAAATGTGGGCGCCGGAGAAGGGGGACGTGCAGACCATCAAGACGGCAGCTTGGAACCGCAATGTGGGCATCCATCGCGCGGTGTGGCACACTGGTGCTGGAATCGGAAACGCAGGCTGGCTCGCGAGTGGCGGCTACAGCGGGATTGTGCGCGTCGAGGTGATCACGGCACGACTGCTGCGGTAGGCTGTTAATGAAGCAAGTTTTGCGCGGGCAGAGGCGTAGCCAGACCGAGATGCATTGTATTGAGCTTTACAAGAGCCCGATGGATGACGATAAAGATAGTTGAGCACTGAATGAGCACTGAGGAGCATTCCCTTGCTGCCATTTCTCTGTCCGCTACGCCGCCCGCTCTGAGATCCGACAATGCATGTAGTCTACAATTAGGCCCGAGCCCGTCTAACCATGATACAACGCAGCCCCTCTAATAGCTCTTGGGGAGGTTGAGCACGCGCTCCGAGATGTAGTTCATGATCATCTCGCGCGAGATGGGCGCGAGGCGTGGCACCCAGCTTTCACGGAAGTACCGCTCGACGTCGAACTCGGCGGCAAAGCCCATGCCGCCCATGCTGAGGATGGCGCGCTGGCACGCGTTGTAGCCCGCCTCGGCGCCGAGGTACTTTGCGCTGTTAGCGGCGGCGCCGACGGCCTCGAACGACACGGACCCCGGCTCGCGCTGCAGCTTGTCGTAGATGTTTGCGGCGTGGTACACGGACAGCGCGGCGGCGTGGAGCTGCATGTACGCGTCTGCGAGGGGGTGTGCGACACCCTGGTTCTGCCCGATGGGCCGGCCGAAGACGATGCGCTCGCCGGCGTACTTGGCAGCCTTCTTGAGCTGGGGATTAGTGGGGGTTCGGAGTGCGGAGAAGGAGAAGAAGAAGGAGAAGGAGGGTGACTCACCGCAGCGTAACCAATGCCAAGCGCCTCGGCACCGATGAGCACACGCTCAGAGTTCATGCCGTGGAGGACGATCTTGAAGCCCTTGCCGATGTTGGCGTCGCCGCCGATGACGCTTCCGCTGGGAACGATGTAGTTGTCGAACCAGATCTCGTTCGAGTCGACGGCATTGCCGCCCATCTTCTTGATGGCGCGCATCTCGAGACCCTTCTGGTTCTTGTCGACGGGGATGGCGAACAGCGTGAGGCCCTCGCTCTTCTTGACGCACTCCTCGAGCGGCTTGGTGCGCGCAAGCAGCATCATGACATGCGCGTTCTGCGCGCACGTGATCCACGTCTTCTGCCCGTTGATGGCCCACGTGCCGTCCTCGCGCCGCGTCGCCGTCGTCTTGAGCTCGAGGGTGTTGAGGCCGACATTCGGCTCGGTCACACCAAAGCAGGTGCGGTACTCGCCGCCGACGATCTTGGGGATGAGGTCAGAACGCTGCTCGTCCGTGCCGAAAATGCCCAGCGGCTGGGTAGCGTACACGTTGCCGTGCGTGCTCTGCGCACCGGGGAAGCCGGCGCCGCTCTCCGTGATCGTCTGCATCATAACCGCGGCTTCAGCGAGGCCGAGGCCCGAGCCGCCGAAGCGCTCGGGCAGCGCGACACCAAGCCACCCGCCGTCGGCGATCGCCTTGTGGAACTCGAAGGGGAACTCGTGCGACACATCCCGCTCGCGCCAGTACGCGTCGGGGAAGTTGGCGCACACGGCCTTGACGCCTTCGCGGACCTCGCGCTGCGACTCGGACAGGATCGTCATGTCCATGAGCTCGTCGGAGCGGCGGATGGCCGAGGCGGAGAACCCGCGCGTCGCGAGCGGCACGGCGCGTCGTGGGAGCGTGCGAAGGAGAAGGCGGGACTGCATGTTGAGGATGAGGATGAGGATGAGATGTGAAGAGGCGATGGCGGGCGGAGAGTCTTATACCTACAACGTACTTGTCATGTACGGGTGGGCGGGAGTTGGGCCGAACCCCGAACGCCGGGATGCCGGTCACCGTGGCAGTCGATGAACGGCGTTGAGCGGCGAAGTGGATAACAACTGCAAGATACATTGAGGTACCAGATGCAGGATGCATCTACTTGCTCTAGATGCACCTGCTACTGCACAATGTCACCACACCCGCTCTCGTGATCGCAGTCGGCGTCGAAAATCACTGGCCTGCATCAGCCAGAAATCAACGGTGGAGCGGGGTCCCCACACTGCTGGCGAGGATGCCGAACCCCGAGCCCACTCTGTACTCGCCTGCACGGCCGTGGATTACGGCCGCGCAGCCGCAGTCGCCTGAGCAAGCCACGAGGACGCGTATCGGAGCAGACCGGCGTCACGCGTCGGGACGTCCGACGCTCGACATCCCATCCTGGCTGACGGTGTTCTCGGAGTGGATGGAGGCGATGACGGGCGGCCAGTCGCAGCAGCTGACTGCTCAACGGCTCGGGGAGCGGCGTTCGCTGTTTCGGAGTTGCGCATGTCCAGACCACCAGCGTCAGCGGTCGCACGGAGACTGGCGGAGTGGACGCGCGGATGTGCTTGTGCAGACGTCGTGTGAGGCGGATATCCCGTCCGGAAGTACAGTCACTGCAGAGCGGAAGCAATTCCGTCTCTGAACCAAACACGTCTACACCTCGCTCTCATCACGACAAGACCAATAACACCTCGCAATGGAGAACCCACACGAGTCAGAACAGAACGTCCTCCTCGAGCGCATTATCCGCAACGTCGTGGGTTTCGCTGATTCCTCGCCACTGACAGCAGGACAAGTGCGACGAGGCTTTCCAGGAGCTCAATACGTGTATCCGGGTAGGTCTAGAGGGTGGTGCTGCGGTCGACGGATAGGCGCCTTGCGCCAAGAAGACGCCCAAGAGCTCGCTGACGCCAGGAAATTATCGAGTCGTCGCTCGTCGTGCGTGCTGCGGCTGAGTTGAGCGTAAACTACGAGGCGAACACGGCGCATTATCTCCAGAACGTCAAGGCGATGCGCGAGCCCAAGGCGTCCAACTCGTAGTGTTCGCGCACGCTCTACATGGGGCGCTTGACCTGATAGCACTCGTGCACCTGCACTCGTGATGCTCTCATCCACCGCATCGCCCTAATTCTCGACCCACCCTCGCCATTGCAATTAATAAGCGGAAAACTCGCTCACCTCATGCCGGCGCCACTGTATGCATGTACTCTTCTCCTGTGCAATGACTATGACGTGTTGATCTACGCACACTCCTACGCTCACTCAGAGCTCATCGCGAGCAGTCTCCTCGCGCACTGCGCTCGGCCCCGCTCCCATCTCAACCGTATCAAACACGTACTCGGCGACGTTCACGAACGGCGCGCTGCCAGGACTGTACACCTGGTTCTGGAGCCACTCGGGGTGGCTAATGCCGTCGATCCACCCCTGCGGCTCGATAGCCATGCACCCGAACCGCTCGACCTTGCCGAGCTGCGTGCTCGCACTCCCGTCGCTCATGCTGCAGCTGTACACCTGGATCGCGGGCTGGTTTGTGCGCACGCGCATGCGGATCCCTGTCGCCGCGCTGCGCCACTCGAGCTGCTCGGTGACCTCGAGGGGACTGGGGCGGTCGAAGAGAAAGCAGTGGTCGAGGCCAGCAGGGAGGGCCTGCGAGACAGCGGACGGCGCGGTGAAGTTCAGGGGGTGGCGCTCGTTGCCGTTAGTTCCAGCGACATAGTCGAGCTGGCCTGTAGGCACGAGGATGCCGTCGACGCCGACTACGCGGGACGCCTTGACGTGCAGCGTGTCTTGCAGGACAGTGGACGACACGTCCGAGCCGAGGTTGAAGTACGAGTGCGTGGTGAGGAGGATAGGAGTGGGGCGGTCGAGCGCGTGCGCCGTCAGCACGGTCGTGAGCTTGCCCGCGCTGAGCGAGTACTGCGCGAGCGCGAGCACGTTGCCGGGGAAGCCCTCGAAGCCGTAGTCCATAAGGCTGAAGGTGACGCTCGAGCTGTTGGCCGAGAGGACACTCCACTCGCGCGCGTCGTATCCCACACGGCCGCCGTGCAGCGTGTTCTTGCCGTCGTGCTCGTTAGTGGCGATGCGCGAGGTCACGCCGTCCACTGTGAACGTGCCATTGCGGATGCGGTTGGCGTAGCGGCTGCCGTCAGATTCACCGAGTCCACGGCTCACCCAATAACGGCGCCGTAGTAGCTAGGCGCCGCCTCGTCTGCGTAGCCCTGCGCATCGGCGTAGCCGAGGTTGACTTCGCGCCACGCGCCCCCGGCATCGGGCACGCGCAGGGACTTGAGGCGCGCGCCAAAGGGGATGAAGCTCGCCGTGATGCCGTCCGCCGCGAGAGTGTACTCCTTGAGCGCGGCGGGCGAGACTTTCTCGACGTGCTTGGCCTCGAGAAGCGGGAGGAAGGCGAGGAGCGGCGTGAGGAGCATGTTGTTAGTGCGACGAGTGAGAGAGAAAGAGGATGAGAATGCAAAGGGCGGCAGCATGTGCATGGCATGGGTGGGGAGGTGCAATTACAAGATTCCCGTTTGTGTGTACGCCGAACGGGAATGTGCCCGATTTCGGGCCGAGATATCCGCTCCGCCGGCGAGTTCTCGGCGGTATTCGATGAGCATGCCCAGACGGGCAGAGATGACTCCGTGCACTATACATTAGCAGCACGATGCATGAGCTGCTATAAGCTGCTGTTCCTCGTCGCACTGTTGGCCATCTCGTCGTTGCTCCTGGCGCACTACGGACGTTGTGTATGACACCGCGCACCCCTCCTCCGAGTGAGGTCATAGCTCCCGACCACATTCCACTCACTTCTTCACACTCACACAATGTCCATGCCCAAGATCGTGTACGGCACGGCGTGGAAGAAGGAGCGCACCGCAGACCTGGTGTATACAGCGCTTAAAGCGGGGTTCCGGGGCATTGACACCGCCTGCCAGCCAAAGGTACGCCTCCCCATGCCCTCTAACCCCAGCACTACCGCGAGGACCTCGTCGGCGTCGGCCTGCAGCGCGCGCTCGCCGACGGCCTCGTGACGCGCGACGAGCTCTACCTCCAAACGAAATATACGAGCATCGACGGGCAAGACCGCGCGCAAGCGCTGCCGTACGACCTGCGCGCCCCCGTCGGCGAGCAAGTGGCGCAGAGCGTCGCGCGCAGCCTGCAGAACTGGGGCGTGGATGCGCTCGACGCGGTTGTGCTGCACTCCCCGCTGCGTACGCGCGCCGCCACGCTCGAGGCGTACCGCGCGCTCGAGGCGTGTGTGGGCGAAGGCAAGATCGGACGGCTCGGCGTCTCGAACATTTACGATGCGGACGAGCTTGCATGGCTCATCGCGCAGGCGCAGGTGCCCGTCAGCGTCGTCCAGAACCGCTGGTACGAGGGAAACGGGTGGGACTGGCCCAGTGAGTCCGGGTAGGGCGCGCTCACGCAGTCTATGATTTGTGCCAGAAGCACGGGATTGCGTACCAGTCATTTTGGACGCTTACGGGGAGCCCGAGCCTCCTCGCGTCCGCCCCGCTGCGGGCGCTTGCGAGCAGAAAGGGGTGCACGCCTGAGCAGGCCGTGTATCGGCTGTGCCAATTGTGAGTCGGCAGTGAATCAGAGCTGAGGACAGGTGGAATATTACGCCACTGTGTGGGAGCACCAACGAGACGCATATGAAGGAGGCACTGGCCGTTGAGAGCCTGTTTGGACACGACGAGCCCGAGGTCACGGCACTGTGGAAGGCGATGCGGGGGGAGAAGTAGCCTCTCCCTCCAGGCAGAAGTAGCAGATGGAGCTGGATGCAGAGATAGTGCATAGTGTACAATGTGAAGAAATACCGCAGCCTACTCGTCGTCCAGGCCCAGTGCCAGGCCATTGCGGATGCCGACCTTGCCCCGCCGCCGCGCCTTGTCCAGGAACTGGTCGTCGTCCGAGTCGTCTGACTCGTCCCCCTCCCTCAGCTTGCCCATCATGTTGGCGAGCGACACCGGGCCGGAGGGGAGCGCGCCTGGTATCAGCATCGTGTTCGCCTACGTCCGCCGGACCGACGGTGCACTCACCGGTCTGTTGCAACCGGAACTCGAGGACCTTCGTTGAGAACTGGTCCGTTTGCCCGAGCTCCTCGAAGCCTATCAGGCTGGTGTAAGCTCGCGGCCTATGTAGCAGCCCAAGACCGTACGCCAGGCTGAGGACTCACCGGTCGACGCCCTTGCCATCCACGAAAACGTAGATGCAGGGGAGCACCTGCACACCCAGCTTGTTGACAAGGAAGGGCGTGTCGGCTACGCTGGCGCGCAGGAAGAGCGTCTGCGGGTGCTTCGGTGCGAGCTCCTCCAACCGCGCATCCATGATACGGCAACGGGGGAAGTCGGGGTGGAAGAAGTGCACGACGACCCACTTGTCTTTGCTGGGGTCAACGTTGGTGCCGGCCGCGCGCGGCGGGATGTCGTAAGGGAGGTGTGCCAGTGGCAGCGGTCCCGCCGGCTGCCAAGCAGCCTCCTCCCCTCGCTCCTCCGACACTACTGCTCCTCCGACTCACGACATGCGCTCAATGAGTTTCTTCTCGTCGCCGTACGTCACGACCTTGCCGTACTCGGTCTCGTTGATGGCCTTGAGCCGCTGCGCCTCGTTGCGCAGCGCCTGCATGCGGCGCTCGCGCTCAGCGCCCATGTCAAACTTGTCCTCGAGGCCCTCGAGGAGCTCCGAGTCCGAGATGTCGGGAGACGACTGGCGGCTCATGACGTGTTGGTGGCAAGATGGGAAGTGAGACGCGTGAAAGCGGGACGCGTCGACATTTGCGGATGGACCTCCACCGGGACGTTAGCGTTCCTGAATTCATCTCCCCAGTTTCAGCCGCTGATGAGACCGAGTACATCGATGACCAGCAGTTGAAACTTGATACAAATATGCGTGTGACATGCAGTGGTCTGGTAAATGCTATGGTCTAGTATACAATGCGACGTCTCCGCAAGAAGATTCCTGAAGGCATGCGCGAAACGTGAAGGTGGATGACGACTACTCGTCCTCGTCGTGATAGCTCGGGGCGCCCTCCCCTTCCTCTTCGTCGTCACTGGCCCCACCGATCTCGATGCCACCTCCGCCCTCCTTGTCAAACTTGTCCTTCTCCTCGCGTCGGCGCTCCTGCTTGGCCTTGAGCTTTCGGAGCAGCTTCTCGGCAGGAGTGAAGATGCCATCGGTACGCGCGCCACACGCGTAGCACTTGTTGCGCTTCTTGTAGTAGTCGAGCGCGCACTGCATGCAGAAGTAGTGCCCGCACTTTGTGACGACCGGGTCCTTGAACTCCTTCTGGCACTTGATGCAGGCGAAGGGAAGCATCTCCTCTTCCTCCTCGACCTCTTGGACCTCGGGATCGGCAGGGTCGAGCTTGTCGAGCTGCCAGCCGGCGAGGTAGTCGCCTCGGTCGTGCAAGAACTTGCACGAGTCACCGTACCCGCAAAACCCCGTGTTCTTGTACGGCGTGCAGATATCGGGCTGGTAGTCGATGAGCGTGATAGTGCGAATGTTGGCGGTCGCGCGGATAGGGCCCGTCTTCATCTTGCTGTCGCGCGACGAGCTCGTCTTGTTGATCGTGGGCAGATAGCCCTTTTGGCCGCGATAGATGCCGTCGTCGGCTTGCACGATGTCGCCGTCATCGTTGACGGTTATGCCCTTCTTCTCCAGGCTTTCAAGATCCCAGTTCGAGTCGCGCGTCGCGAACTCGTCTGCGCGCGTCACGCCCCCGTCGTCGGCTGCAAACTCGTACTCGTCCAGGCCGCCTGTTTCGCCTTCTGTCCGTCTCCTCTTGCTTCCCTGCACGAGTGGGTTGGCGATCGAGCGAGCCTTTGGGCGCACTACCGTGGTGTCGGTGGCAGACTCTTCTTCAGCAACAGGTGATGCCGAGCGTTTGCGGGACGACTTCTGAGGGCGCGTCCTGCCGGCCTTTTTGAACATAACGACGGGCTTGGTCGCTGGTGCTGCTGATGTTTCAGCCATGATGGAGAGTGATGGATGTGGATGGGGGAAGAGATTGATGATGACAGTGAGGTAATTTAGGTGCGGTGGAGGAGGCCTCTGGGTGGCAACTCGGTGGGTGATACTGATTCTGGCTGACTAAGGGCTGAATGGAAAGTATGGGTAAGACGACACGTCATTAAGCACGTGGCCGTGATCGAATGCACTGGAGAAAAACTTCCGCTATTCAATGGCAGCCAAACAGATCCCCTGGTGGAGTGGGCTAGGGGGGGGGGGGGCATTGGGAGAGGGGGGGAAGGGCACTCCGACGCCGCCACCATCTTGCCACTCGTCGCCGTCAACAGCCCAGTCCATTCCATCCATCACCTCTCCTCCGAGGCGGGCGACTGAATCCATCCATCGCTATCAGAGGTTGACGCACGCCGCGACGCTTATCGGTGAGTGAGAGAGTGGGAGGATGAGGGTGGCAAGTCTGGTGCTGACGGTGGGTAGGCAAGGGGAACAATAACCCCGCTGTTGTGGCTCTTGCTTTCAACGTTTTCCACTCCGCCTCTTGAGTGTGACTCCGCAAACTCCGCCACCTCTTCCACTGCGTCACTGCCACTCACCACCATCCTCCTCAGAACGCCGACGCCGTTGTTTGTCTCGGGCACCAGACCTCCACCTTGAGCGTCCACCATGGATGCACTCGACACTCACTCGCAACACCAAGACCATGGCTCGGACGAGAACGCTCTCGCTGCTGCCCAGGCCGCTCAGGCAGCTGCCATCCATCTCGACCTGAACGCCCTCCAGGCCGAACCTCATCAGCATGACTTCGAGCACCACCACCTCCAGCAGCCAGACTTCAAGAGCGATGGCACTCCCCACACCGACGTCGATGTCCACGGCCTCGACATCCCCGTTGAGGGGCAGGATGACATGTCCCTCGCTGTTCAGGATGCTCACTTGAGCCTCGCTCTCGAACAACACACCCCACACCATGTCGAGACTCCTCGGGCCAGTCCATACAACCGTCCTCCCTCGATTCGCAAAGGTAAGTATCGTCTCCGTGATGGATGCGCTTCGCGTAAGCCACGAGTGTGAGCTGACATGCGCAGCATGTGATTTATGTCACCAAGCCAAGCAGGTAAGTACCTCGCAGCAACACCTTCCTTCCATCGCTTGCATGTCGCTGACTCTTGCAGAAGTGCTCCGGTGACCGTCCCAGCTGCACTCGTTGTGCCCAGGGTGGTTGGACCTGTAACTATGCTCCCCGTCAGCGCCGGAGGACTGTCCCCAAGGACCAGAAGCAGAATCTCAACCTCGACGCCCGAGGCGGCAATCCCTACTCGATGTTGGGCAAGAAGCGCAAGCTGCAGCGTGACGGCATGGGTATGGGCGACCCCATGGACGTGAGAATCGCCATGGGCATGGCCTTGGACTTTGGATTGGAGCAGGAGGACGAGGACGAGGCCTTGTTGACGCTTACCGAGGACCAGATGGTGAGTTCACCCACCACCCACCACCGGCGCCCCCCAAGCTCACTCCAGATTGACTCGATCGCCGTCGACGGCTACCTCGACGACCTTCCTCTGCAGACTTTCGTCAACAATCTTCCCTTCAACCAGCCACAGTCAACAGCCGCTACAACATTCACCTCGAGCGACTTTCCCGATGCCAACGACGCATCGTACTCGTCCGAGATGGACCAGCACACGACCTCTGCGCTTCGTGACGCCATCTTCTCGCTCAACGAGTCGTCAAACGCAGGTGTTCAGAATGATGGTCCGGTTGAAGGCCAGGACGGCACCGACCAGCAGGGCATGGAGAATCTCGATGGCCAAGGCCTCGACCCCCATCTTGCGTTGCTGGATCTCTCCCACGCCATGCCCGTCGAGGACGGCAATAACACGAGCACAGACGGCACTGGCGAGCTGAACCTCGGTAGTCTGGGCGCGCAGTACGGCTCGGGGTGTCCGCACGTCACCCTTGTCCCGCGTATCCTCGCCCTGTTGCACCAGCACCCGCTCGAGCCCAAGCCTGGATCGAACACGCCGCTCACGATGTACGTTTTCCAGCCTCTGTCGCGGGCCCTCCGCCTTTTCCACTCCATCGTCCAGTGCCAGCAATGCGTCACTTCGCCTCAGCAGACCCTGCCGCAACTGGCCCTCCTATCCCGTACAACCACCATCCTCACATACCCCGTGCCACCACCCCCTCCCAACGCGGCTGGACAGCCGTCAGCACAGCTCACTGTGCACGGCGCCCGTCTGGCTATGACAGGCATCAGCGAGGCGATCGAACAGCACATTGTGGGCGTTGTGTGGGACTCGTGGCGCGCAAGTATCCGCGAGATCTTCAACGCGTTCGAGCGCAAGGCGCAGGAGGTCATTCAGCAAAACGCCCAGCTTGCCGCCGAACAGGGCGGTCATGCTCCCCCCTCGAGCGCTGAGACGCAGCGCGCAGGCCTTATGTTCCAGGCTATGTCGCGGCTGGTGTCGGCTATGAACGAGGTCGAGCGTGACTAATGCGGCGCACTAGAGTCGGAGCATCCGAGCTCTGCATAGCATCCCAGTATCTGTATTATTAGTAGGAAGCAAACGATGAACTAGTGGACTTCCATATGTTCACAGATACCAGCGCATTGTGGGTGCGGTTGAGGAGAACGGCTGGGTGGAGTCGAGTGACGCCATGCGGCGGCATCAACAAGATGAGGTGGAGGTACCGCAACGCTGTCGCCACCACTCAACCTCTCCACCGACACTCCTTCCGACCTCCCACTTCACCTTACCTTCCTCTCCTCAGCTCATGGCTCAACGCTCAAAGCCATAATGCCACCATGGACGCGGTAAACCACATCAAGCTGGTGCGTGACTGTGAGAGCCGTAGTATTCCGCTCTCTCCCCACGTTGCTTAGGAGACCGCTGACACACCAGCGCGTCGAGCGCACCACAGCCCCTACGGTCCTTCGCGCCCTCCTCAACGCCATCTTCTTCCAGCGAAATCTTGACGCGATCGATCCCGTGACTGTCGATATCCTCGACACGCCCGTCGCGGTGGCCTCATCATTGAGCGCACCCGCTGCAGGCAGTAAGGCTGGCACACCAGTGCCTGCCGAAGTGGAGATCAGGCGCGAGATTTTGGCCAAGATTGATGAGTTCACCAAGACGTTTGTGGATACGCGAGCGGACGGCGGAGAGGTGCGGTGCTGCGCGGGTGGAGCTGACGGCAGATCGCGGTCGTCTTCTTCCAGCGCAAGAATCGGAAGGGGTGGTTTGCGGTCACTGAGGTGGGTGTTGCGCCTCTGCTTCCTGCTACCCGCCGTGAAATCATGGATCTCAAGATAACCTTGAGACACAAGGCGATCCGGCGTCGCGTGGTCGCTCTACTTTACTGCTTATCGCTGACGCCAGGCTCTCGTCCCGTGGGAGGAGCATCTCATCACCCTGACCTTCGTCACTCGCGCGACGCAGAACCCGCTGCCCAGCGCCCTCCGCCAAGTCCTCACCTTCTGCGCGAAGCATAAAGTTGGCGTCCCATCCGCGCTCGGCAGCCCAGTGAGTGCAAACGCGGCCCAACTGACGCCAGGACCAAAGCACTCTCTCGCACGAGATCATCGTCGCTCCCCCGCCCCCAGCAGAGCTCTTCAATCGGTCCGCATCCCCACATCCCGAACGCCTGCATTCACCCCGCCCGGCCGAAACGTCCGGGACGACCTCGACAACTGGTGACACGGCTGTGGCCCCCGTGCCCGTGCGGCCGGCGCTGGAGCGCCGCTCGAACTCGCCGATGACGGCCATCAGCGACGCGGGGACCAGCGCCATGGGATATCTCGGCCAAGCGAAGGACGGGTTGTTGGCCGTCGGTGCCAAGGCGGGGTGGCGGGCGCGAGGCGGGCAAAACTGAGGCAGTGGGCTCATTTCGGCGGCTGTGTTGTACTCATTCATGTAGATGTCGGTTATCGATTCAGACTGAAGTTGGGTCGGTTCTAGGCCCGTCTTCGATAGGCGGGACGAACGAGCGGAACGTACCGGCTGAGTTGCCACTTATGTCTGCAACTGACCTTCTCCTGACACGCGCTTTTGAGCGGAGCCGGTGCGAAGCTAGTGACACTGTTGGAGCATCCACGCTTCGCGATGCAAACGACGGAATGGGTGACAAATGACATCGACTCGTTGACTTCCCACAAGCGTCGGGCTGTGGCACTGCTCATCACAGCACCCGCTACAAGCTCTCCGGACAGCTGAGAGGAGGCCTACCTTCTTGTTCTTGCGCACCCACTGCCAGGCCTGAATGGCATGCGACTTGGCCTTCAGGAGGAACAACGAGTCAACTGGGGACGAGCGAGTCACCGGGAAGACTTCGTTATCGGTCCCCCTTGCTGTCATCACATCAGCCTTCATGCTCCACGCACCCGCCACCCCGATCTGACTGCCCACATGTTCACGACCATACCTCACGATACCTACATTCCTCCCCCATCCCACGCCATCATCTTACTCCTATCATCCATATCCATATGCTCTCGTCTACCCGTGCATACGGTGCACCCGCGACCGGCTCAACTCGTTTGGCTGGTTAAGGTAGAATACCCGTAGACCCGTGCGATGACGGGTCCCATTGTCTGCCTAATCCACCCCGACCGGAGTTGACCATCTTCTCGGCTGTGTTACTGATGCGGCTATCAGGACATACCCCGGGATAACTGGATCAACTGAGCGTGCGCTCACAATTGAGTTGACCTCTGTCAACGAGTTCTGCCAGATGCCATCCAAGACCCGTGTCGACGAGCATTCCACGATTATCTGATTATCACGTGGACATCCATTACATTCCCATGCCTGGACAAAGCCTCTTCAGCCCTCTTCCAGCACCTGTGTCATCGCCTGACAAAATCTGATCCAGATACAACCAGCATGGCATACGAGCCTGCCCATGGTCACGCGATCGCTCAACCAGCGCCGGGACAACGTTCAGCCAGCGATTACCCCCCCAGTCGGAAGGAACTCTGGAGGACTCGGGTCGATGTAAAGTGCCTGATCTCGTGAATCAAGTCGAGATCTACACATGACCAAACATCCCCAACTCGTACTTCCACAGTCTGCGGGCGCCAGCAGTATCAGCTGAAGCTATTTCAGATCACAGGCTGGGAGAACGATTGCGGCGCATGACTTTGATCCGTAGCACCGGAGGAGCAGTTCTTAGGCTGATCTATGGAGTGATACTGTGGTCCGACCTCATCGGCGCGAACTGGCTCCCACGGATCCGCTAACGGCGCGCACCGCTGCTGGAACTGCCGCATCTCTGGGAGAACATTCTGCCGTGCGTAACGTTAGCGCGGATGAACGAGAAGAGTGCTCCGACAATCCATAGATATCGGGAAAGTCAGCCGCTTCTGTGTCTATACTGACACGCGAAGTTGGTGCGAAGGATAGACGTACCCGTGAAGCAAGCGCCCCGATCCACAATGTCCACAGCATATGCGGAGATGCGAGGGCACCTATGATACCAGATGCAGTGCTGACAGTCGAGCGCGGTCGACGTCATCGTCGCAGATAGCCCACCTTTCTGCCATCCGCGGTCGACCATATCGCCCGTCCGGAACTGACCACGGAGCATCAATGGCCCGATAACCCAGCTCCGCTATCGGTCCGGGTGTCGGGCCACTTCCTGTTGCCCGAACCGATGGATTGGAAAGATTTGCAGGCGCTCGGTCTACCGGCGCCTCCCTCCATCGCACCATCCGCACCACCGCCTCACTTCGCTTGGAGCGCGGGCCATTTCGCCCCGGTCCGTTCCCCATCGGCCCGTGGCGATCGGCGCAAATCATCTGTCCTTGCCGGTCCAGCCCGGCGTGCACGGCGGCGGGGCCGGACCGTGCGCCGGACCCAGCTCCGAGGTCGGGGCAGGCCGTGGTCGGGATCGGACATGTCGGAGGACATGGTGCAATTCCGGCATATCGCCGGCACGTCGTCGGGACATTGAGGCTTCGCGAACGGTGACCAGCAGTTGCGAAGCTGAAGCGACATCGGCGTCCACGTCCGCTCGGCGTATGTCCTTCCCGAGGCCATACCAATCTCCAACGCCGCGCCGGTCACGGCCCCGCTCGGCGAGCCGCCGGCCGGCGACTTATCGGCACAACGCTCCTGAGTTCATGCGAGATCGGGGCCTCCGTTCACGCTGCGCTGCACGGCTAAGCATGGAACAGGGCCGCACCGAGCTCCGCGTTGGCCGGCCACAGATTGCATCGGTGATAACCCCGGTCGGGGGAGGACATATGGCATAGAGGTTTGTGCGAAACGGTGCGCGGCACGAGTCGGCGTCAGCTCCACACGGGGCCTCAGACCATTTGAGAGCGGCGGCAGGGGCCGCTCGCGATGAAATTCGTCCTGCAGCCCATCTTCGAGACGGCAAAGCCGCCGACCTGCAGTTCCGCCGAACATCCCGCACTCGACGCTGAACGGTGATCTCGTGGTCTTCAGTTAGCCTGAGCCCTGATCACTCTGGCATGTAAGCATGCATAGGTCACCGTCGGGCCGGCCACGCGGTACGCAACGCGCGCGCCAAGCTCTGCAGCATCTCCCGGAATCGGGACGCGCGCCGGCTTCAGTGTGTCATCGCTCGGTGATCCACATGGGACACCGATCTTATCAGCAGCAGCGGCATACGCCCCAATCAACTGGGCGCAGTACCATATGCTCCGCGATGCGAACGGGACGGGGACCATGCGTCACACTGAAATTTGCAAGCGAGACTGCACCGGACTAATCTCGGTACATTGACTGACATGTGGTGTCGCCGGCTGCAGCCGCCGATTGACTGTGCCTGCCGATCACACCCGCCGGCGGCAACTGGCGGGCCACCGAGTGGCGGCGGGATTCCGGCCCATCTCGCTCGCTTGCACTTGTCGGAGTAACATTCAAGCTATCGGGATCTCGGGTCGGCCCGGTAGTGAGCGGCGTTCGCCCACCGATAACTCAGCGAGATGTAGCCGGCCAGCTGGCAGACGCCGTTGACGATCCCGATCACCGTCAACATACCGTTAGCGAGCGGCACTCGCAATCATCCCGGCGTTGCTCCGGCCTCCAAGTAGGATTATGCGATTCCCGTTCCGTTGCACGTCATCTCACCGTTGCCGGCGGCATCTCTCGACTGTCGTCATGCACTCGGTTGGAAGTCCGGTCAGGTGTGAGATGGAGAAATGCGGCGTCTGAAGCGAAATGAACGGCGAGTTTGGCGAGGATCGAGCACGGTGAACATGGCGGCAATCCCGGCTCCATTACGATAAGCGCAGCAGAACGGCGGACAACGAGGATAGCGATCGTCCCAAACGACGGCGTTACGGCGAGTGAACCGAGTAGTGCCCGTTGGGACGTATGCAAGACAGACCTCACCATGGTCGTTGTCGGCCCGAGATCGGCAAGCCGCCGCACATCCCGAGCTCGGTGCTGCGCTCGATCACCTCCTTCGGGCCGAATGACCTCGCCGTTGCGATCTCGAGTAACCATCGAGAGGATCTGATCACTGAAATACCGATGGCGCTGCAGAACGGGCCGAAACCGAGCTCGGTAGGCCGTCGAGGCGAGTACTGTGGAGCGGCTCATTGATGCGTTGATGTCTATCGCTAGATGAAGAACAACAGGCTGTTGATCTGTACAAGGTGCGGCAGGCTGTAGATCTTTGCCCGATGCCGCAGAGTTGCGCCTAAGACGACGTGCCGCAAAGTTGAGCCTACTAGTGACGCCGCAAATGAAAGCCTCGCAACTACGAGGAGTTGTGAAGAACTCCGAACTCCAAGGGAAAGAGACTCATCTACCGCGACCGACACCGCATTGCACTTCAGATCAGAAGTCGGAAGCAAAAGTGCCACATTCTGTCCTCATGTGCCACATCCCGGAAATCGTCAGCAATCGTCCAGACAGCATCCCAACACCGCGTGGACACTCTGTCAGATGCATGAAACGTACTAGAGCCGAAAAAGTCTGCCCCACACGGACTCGAACCGTGGACCTCGGAGTTGCTCGGATATAACAGCTCCACGCGCTAACCAACTGAGCCATAGGGCAGGCAGATGATCATGGTAGCCCGGGTGTCTGCTCAGACAAGTCTCCAGAACTCTCGCTACGCCCATAAATTTGGCCATGCAAAAATATATTCACAACTCGCGCCCGGTCTGTCGGGATACCACAACGCATTGGCTCCAAATATTGTCAGGTGGTGAAAGGCTCCAATAATCCGCAGGCCAGCAAGGTGAGCCGTTCTCAAGAGCTAATACTCGACAATGTATGGCCCCTCGTGCGTTGTCCGAGTAGACATGCATTATAGCCTGCTCATTTTGCCAGAACGGCCATATGGCTGATTGGGAGATAACCACATGGCGCGCAGCATTTCCTCGAGCCGTACGAGCCGTGGAATGTCCCACGCAGAATTGTGTCAGGCATGTCCACTGGCGCACAAATCCGCCCGAGATGACCATGCGGGTCTTGCGGCTACACGCGCGGACGACGTCGCGCCACCACGCGGGCCCGCCTTTCGGCACATGGCTCGAGCACATGCTGCTTGGACTTGGGCAGGCAATAACGGGATTGCTGGTTGGACAGAGCACCCCGCAAGTGAAGCCGCCGATATCCGCATGGTTGGGGACATGCGAACCACAGAGCCCACATGCTCGCGCACCGAGCGCGTTCCGCATGGTTTAGCCAGAACGGGATGATCACGACCGCATGGTTCCACGTCCTGCAATACGGTGCGAGCTTTGGCGTGTGCGCAGAACGGTGGGAGCGCGGTATACCCACCCTATCAGCACACATGGGCAAGCTCCAACGTAGATCTGTAAACGATCTGCGTTAGCTTGGCAGCACGGGATGCCGTCCGATGTTGCGGGCGGCGCCCGCCGACGCACGTAGACGCCGTAGTAGACCCGACGCCGCAAGCGATAACGGCGCCATACGGTGCAGCCGAGGGGGACCACAAGGTAGCGCCGACTTTGACGAGCGCTTTGCCGGGCCCAAGCGGCAAGTCACTCATACCGCTCGGTTTAACGACGCGAGGACCGCAGATCACTGAGATCGCATTGTGGTCCGGGCCGCGCGTAGAGGTGGGCTTCATGCGGCAGAGCGCGGAGCGCGCGTCGGCTGAACCGCGTTTGCTTTGTTTCTTACTCTTGGCGAGCGGCGGCTGGGTGGCATGGCCGGCCCTGCGCCTAATGCGGACTGACGAGGGCTATTGGACGGCAATAGCGGTTGGTATTTCGGAAACGAGGTTTCTATTCGGCGGTGGGCCGTGACAAGTTCCGGGACAGACCTCGGTCGGCGGCAAAATATTCTGGGCAAAGCCAGCGAGATCAGTGCGAGGCATTGCTGAACTGCAGAAATTGGCAATGGAAGGGCTGGTACGCAAGCAACGTGCCCAAGGAACGGAGCTCGACGCGACACCTAGCATACGACAATGCCGGTGCGAACGGCGCGGAATGCAGATTTGATTGTCCGGCGGACGCATCGTCCGCTGAATGCCCACGCGGCTTGGTGCGCTGGCGGCTATACGGACGCTCGGCTCTACGTCTGTGCAGGAGAGCGGACCGCAATGTCACATCGCGTCGCCTCAGACGAGCGGTCTGTGCCTGTCTGTGCTGCGGGTCTTCAGCGGGAGTGAGCGGCCCGGATCTACCGCGTCGCGGTGTCTAGCGGGAGGGAATTCATGAGGTTTGTGCGAAGACATCCAATTTCGCCAATCTCGTCTAATCATTTTTCGAGACAGACAAGGCGGTACAGCGGGCCTATCGATGAAAGTCGAGCGCGTGGTTGTCGAGCCGGGCAAGCGCTGAGGCGCCGAGGATATGGCAACATACGTCACTCGCGACTTCCCCGTGAGACTCGACTGGTCGGCCCAACGTGCTAACAAGCTTACATGCTTCCACCGATCTGCATGCCGCCCTTGAGGCTAGACGCACTGCGTTATCCGCGGATTGGCTGTACTGAATTCTGCGCGATAGAGGAGGGTATCGAGCCTCGGATTCGGATGCCTCGGCGCGGGCGTCGGGCGGCAATCCCACGGCCACCATGGTGGACAGCCGGTGCTCGGCCCAGTGCAATTCAAGACCACGCAGGTACTTCAGCGGCTATGCCTCAGGCATGCCCATATGGCGACTTCAGATTGCTACCAGCCTTGTGCTTGATGGATCTCCTTCGGAGCTTGGCGCTTGCTCGCACGCCATTCACGACAGAAGCGACACGGGTTGGAACAGGCGAGTTCCGATCGTTTCCTTGCACACTCTGACGGCCGCATCGGGTCAGATGGCTGCCAGGTGTGGGACGTGATCGGAACGCGATCGGGGAGCGGACGTGCGGCGGTCTCGCCTCGGGCCGGCGGCAGCCCCCTCCGCGGAGAAAGTGCGATGCGGACATTAACGAGTTCTCACTCGCATCCCTAACGATTATCGCGGCCTGCAATCCGTCCGGGCCTCATCGGGGCGGATCATGCTCGACTGTACATTACGAACGACTCCGGCGGCCTTACCTCCGTGAATCTGGAGTTGGCGCCCGGCTGGCTCGCGTCCGATTGTCCTGCGGCGCCGGTACCCCGCTCGAAGAACCGTGCTGGTCGGAGGAGGGGATCCGGCCCGTTGCCGAACCTTTCAAGGTTGTATTGTTCATTCCTTTGTTCTTATCATGATGACGCCCGGTCAGTCACCGGAACTGCCGCAACGATGCGTCCACCGACGCCCGATCGCACCGCCCGACGGATGGACAGCTCGCGGCGGCCCCGCGGCTGTGAGCTAATCTGTACCGGCGGCAGCATTCTGGCGAGCGGCGCCCGCCGTCGCATTCATGACCCGAGCTCCCACAGTGGGACTGCCGGCCTCCGAAGGCCTTGGGCAAACCGCTTTGTTGTGGCTGCCTTTGCCGCTGAGCCCCGCGCTTCTCAGCTTGAGCTCTCGGCAGCTCCGTGGCCGCATGCAATCCCATGACGCACCCATGTTGTTGGTAACTCCTGTAACACAAGTCCGACTTCCCAAGTCTCGGATCATCTTTGCATGAGAGGCAGCGCTGCAGGTACTGAACGCGGTGAGGTTCCGAGAAGAGGGCTGGTATTCCACCAGTATCTCCGCGGTGCTCGGGTATCCTTGCAATCACACGCGCCCATTCCGGTTTGGATCTCACAGAGGAACAACGTATGGGGCGGAAATGTTAGCGCACATAGCCTTCCCCGGCTGCTGTATTGCATCTATCGCCTCCGAGTGAGGTTTGGCGCTCAGATGCTGCCTTTGGGATCCCAAGTACGCCGGATCTCGCTGCCAACTCTTTCCATCAATGATGTGATCTCCATCCGAACATCCATCCCCCATCCCCGGTGCAACCGCGGCGCACTATCGTCACGAGTACAGGCGCCCGATATTGGCTATCGCCCGGGGCGGCGCCCAACATGCCGTATATGGCCGAATCTCGCCGCATCACGCCCGGCAAGCAACCCCCGCTCCGTCGCATCCGGCGCAGGACTGATTAGATTGTGCAGCGCAGCACCACTCGCCAATTGTCGGGTTGATCCGTGCCTGTCAATCGGCGGATCCGCGGCCGCCACATCAGGCACCAACCACATTGTGATGAATTTTGACTCTTTTGTTGTCTGCATGTGACCATCATGGCGAGCCCCAAATCCCCTTACGGGCCGGCGGGCGCCAGATTCCCAATGGAAGATCAGTGGTCCGCGACTGTGACTGAGGATGCCGCGTGGACTGCGGGGGCCGCGGGCCCGTCGGCATCGCTTGCCCTCCGGCGGATCGGATCGCGGATCACTATCAGATCAAGACCCGTGTTCAACAACTGCGAAGCAAACGCTCGACCGCGTGATCGCATCTCGCGGCAAGCTCCGGCTCGCGTTGCGGTAATCGGCGAGAAGTGTGGAGCAAAATCGGGCGGCGAGAGCTCCGCCTGGCCGTGGGCGGAGGTCTCCGCTCCGGCGGCCGGATGGTCCGTGACACGCTCTGCCCGGCCCCGTCGGCGAGCGACAGACTCGGGGAGGTGCCGCCGGGGCTGACTCGGGCTTGTCATGCGGGCCTCCACCGGAGCGTGTCGCTCCTTGGAACAACGAGAGAAGGGCGGGGCAGCCTGATCCGACGGCGTTGATCTAACTCTCCGAGCAACATAGTCTACGCTGCTGAGCGGATCATCCCATTGAGCACCGCCCGAGCGTCCATTGCCTCTAGCGCCCACGCGGGACTCGGCGACTCGGCGCTTGTCCGCGGTGGAAGCATCGGATCGATTCCCACGACGGTGAATGCGGGCAGGAGGTGTTTGCGGAGTACGTCCGCGTCCTGCAAATGCTGTATTGTAGTCTCTACGCCGCGAGGGGGCCCTGCGACCTATGCTCCCATGGTCCGATCCAATGTGCTGAGCTCTGTCCCGGTGTACGACACTGAACCCGTGGATCAATCGCATCGCCTAGATGGTCTCCAAGGCGAAATGCCTCGGCCTGGTGCGGAAGGTGGTCTGGCGCTCGGACTCCGCGCCAGTGAATCGGGGGTCGGACCCTCCGAGCTCGTTCGCGCTCGGCGCAAGTGGGACCTTTCGATGGCTCCGCAGCTTTACAACGGCTTGCTCGAATCTAGTTCCCCTGATCAGCTTTTTAGAAGGTCAGACCACCGGAGAGTACATGGTCCGCTTGGCGTGTCCGATGGCTAACCTCCCGGGATATCTCCACTGTCGGGCACTCTTCTGAGAGCAAAGAAGGGCGAGCGAAGCCTTACGGATGCTGAGCGGTGCGAGGAGTCATTGAACAAAGAATGTCGCGGGCATGATGACCATGTGATGGAAATGGCAGGCGCAAAGTGATAGCGCGTGGCGCTGCCACGAATAGCGACTATATCTGAACGTCTGCATCCATTTTCACAGCATGAGGAGAGGTCGACTGACTCCGAATGGGTACAGTCAGGCCTCCATCCTCAGAAGTCACGAAGGAACCCTGATCCTCGCACCCAGTTGCATCAACTACCACTCTTCTCTGCTCGTCATCAACATTCCCACCTACAGCCACCTAGCACACCCTCGAGGCTCATAGTTTACGCGGTGGAATTTGCATAGGCCCATGAGCCTTTTTTTCTGCATGCGCGAGATGCCCACACAATGCTGCTAGTTCACGTGACCGAACAATCAAAGTATCACTCTCGGCGGTGGATACATGTCACCACTTTGACCGAGCATTGGTGACGTGTATTCGCTCGCAGCTGTAACTTCATGTTCTGCTTTAAAGGCCATAGGAGCTTCCGTCTGCTACGCGACTTCGCGCCACCTTTAGAAGGCCGCGATCCAGCCCAGGCCGCGTGCACGCCTAAAGCTACGACGCCTCTGCACACTCCGCCGTGGCCCCCTCTTTGAACATCCGGTCCTGGACCCGGTGCCTCGAAGCCTTCCCGGCTTCCTCGTCCCAACCTTGCGCGTCGGAAGTGATCTTCTCCTTTGAGAGCGGAGCGCGGGGTTTTCGAAAGTCAATGCCTTCCACATTGTGATCTCATGGACTGGGCATACCTCAAAACCCTTGTCCTGTCATATCAGCCGACCCATGGCTCATGACATTGGCGCTCTGGGGACTCACGGAGAGGCTGAGGTATACCTGTGGGATGCTCACCCGCCGCGCCCGCAGTCATCGGGGGTGAAGAAAGGTTGGATTCCACAATCACTGCGCGGCGGCGCCACTGTGGCGTGTGTGGACAGCCCGTTCGCATTCCACGCCCGTTCCAGAAGCGGAACGCATGGACGCGTGCTCTCCAAGAACGCGTCACACCGTCGTTGGCACAGAAGAGGCATGGTCACCTGGTTCTGGTGGTCCGGGCGGTGGCGTGTGTGCCCAGATCGAGGCGTCGGCGTCCCACTCCTCCCTCCAGCCCAGCACATCGTCTTACCGTGCTGACATGATTCCTCGGAAGGACTGCAGGCAATGAAAGAAGTCGGCGCCTGACCACCCCATCGCCTACCCTTTCGTCAGGAGCAGCAACTGATGGTCGTCGGAGACGGAGGCGCGCCCAATCGGTGACGTGAGCCTGTGCAGTGGCGCTGGTGTCCACCAGCCCAGTTTGATTGCTCTCGTCGCCGGAGACTGGGGCGGCGGCTGCCTTGTCCGGCCTCATCCTTTGCCAGACATCAGGTTGGGATACATAAACGGGCCCGACAGCCTCCCAACAGCCACCACTAGCACCACTCCTCTCACTTCTCAACTCCCACTCTTACAGAGAACAAAAATGCTCTTCTCCGCCCTTGCCCTCGTCCTCGGCCTCCTCCGTAAGTTGCCCCCCGCCTCACTCTCGCTTCGCTGTCCTCCGGCGTCGCGTCTCACGCCCTCCCGCTCACGCTAACGCCAGCCTCGGCCTTCGCCCAGTTCTCGCCGGCCTGCGCGGCGCAGTGCTCGCCCGTTGAGGCGTACCTTAACAACTGCGGCACCCTCCCTACCCCGGCCGAGGGCCTCGCCTGCATCCGCGCCATCTGCACCGTATGTCTGATAGTCTTCCGCGCTGACGCCAGGCGACTACCCTGGATGAGTGCGTCGCCTGCTCGGCCCCCGCCACCGGCTTCCCTCCCGAGCAGTACTACGGCATGTTCGGATGCCCCGTGCCCACGCCCACCCCCAGCACGACTAGCACGCAGCCCAGCGCTACCTGCGGCCGTCCCGGCAAGGGTCACGGCAAAGGCCACGGTAAGGGCAAGGGCAAGGGCCATGGCAAGCACGGCGACGGTGACGACAGCGAGGACGAGGACTAAACTCGTAGCAGAACGCGGTTATCAGGGGTCCTTTAATTTAGTTGCGCGCTGCGCTTTATCTCGTTCTGTACATTGGTTTATGCAGTATCTACCCCGCACCCCGCAAAGTTTGTTGTGTTATCCTCAAAGGTGAGTATGCGTCCCTGGCGGCACAGATGGCTTACACCGGTCTGTCGAAATGTCGCATTACAAAGCGCTCAGCGCTGCAATGATAGTTAGCGTACGTTCTACGTCAGTATTAAGGAGTCCAGATTTTGGCGGAGCTGTCACTTCTGTGCACCTGCTCTGGAGATCAGCACTTGAGCATCAGGTGAGGTGTGCGGCTAAACGTTGGCCTTGAGATGTAGCACAAGATGACTGTGAAGGGGTTTTGTTTGAAGTTGGTGAGGTTTGCTGCGATTCTGAGCGACAGCTTGGAGGCGAACTGTTGTGCATAAGGAGCTAAAAGTTAAGCTTCAATTCACTTGTCTCGGGCATGGGACAAAATGTGTCTCTGGTTTACTGTTTCTCAGGTTCACAGTCTGTCAGACCGTTTCCCCGTACACGTGATCACCGCCACGCCAGCTCAAGCACAGGTGTCACCGGCTTGCACAGCGTTGGCCGATTGACTGGGGTCTTAGGTACTGCACGGATCATCTCTCCATGGTGTGAGTCGCGGCAGCCGACCCACATCGTCCCCGCGCCTGAGATCTTCCGACACTCGAATCTGATGGAGAGCAAGGAAGTGGACTCTGCGAGCTGCGGGGGACCTGCAGGTGGAGTTCTGTTGCCTCGACCTGTGCTCGGCCTATTTGCAGTGCAACATGCATGGGATGGCGTCACGTCGAGAGCGGGCTGTGAACGCGGTGGTCCGTGCACAATTGTACCAACGTGCCAAGGCCCCAAGTCGAGCTCGCGATCTCGCTCTCGGACCTCCAGCGCCTTAGCTCGCCCCAAACCGGCTCTTCTGAGGTGCACAGCAGCCAGCGCTGGCAGTGCTGCTCGTGTTCTTCCAAGTGGCGAGTACGGTGAGGATATAGTCTCCTCGACATCTCCCCGCCCTCCCTACTCTTCACCGCGCTCTCGAACCACAGAACATCCAGACGACATCACCCACTCTGACCATGTTCGCTCTTCTCCTCCTTGCTCGTAAGCTGTCTGCCCTGTGGCGTTGGTGTTGACGCCAGCCCTCGCTCTCGCGCAGGCCACCTTTCCCACTGAGTGTTACGGGGCCTGCCTCTCCTTCAGTTCGGCGTACGCCAATTGCATTCCCAACTTGAGCAACGAGAAGGACTGGGTTGAGTGCCTCAAGCCCCTTTGCCCGGTGAGCTTCTTTTGTGTGGACGTGTAGAAGCCTCCTTTGTGGCAGAGCTGGCTGACTCCAGGGCGGCGCGCTGCACAGCGATGCGCAGAAGTGCATCACTTGCGTCGGCGACGCCAACGGTCAGGATGCGTGGGCCGGCGTTGAGGAGGCGTGCAAGGGCTTGGGTGCTGGCTGGGACCTCAACTCTGTTGTGCCATCATCTAGCGCTAGCGCCAGTGCCGCCAGCGCGGCTGTGGCCAGCGCCTCGGCTCCCGCGGGTGGTGCCAACAGCGGCGCGAGCGCGGTCTCGGCGCCCTTCTACGCCGTGGCTGGCCTGGCCGCAGCCGCTATCGTTCTTTGACACTGTATTGCAGCAGCATGCAGGCCTGTTCCGAGCAACGTGCCTTTGGACGATTAGACGGTCAGGCAGCACACACCACAAGTGGCGTTCGAACAATCCGCGAGGCTCGTGAACCGGGGATCTGCGGCGGCGTCAAAGGACGACCAGTCGAACTGCACAGTTGGCACCACGGTAGAGCGTCACTGGGGTGGCGCCGTGAGCAGTGGAACTGACTTCGGCACATGGCGCCGCTGCACCATATATTATCCCACTGAGCGCCAAACCTCACTGACCTTGACCACCCACTCTCCTATCATATATCTCTGACCTACCGCATTTTGCTGAGATGTTTGCCAACCTCCTCCTCCTCCTCGCCCGTGAGCTCTACTCCTCCCTCCTCCTTCGCGCTCATCTAAGCCCTCGCCCTCGCTCAATCCTTTGTCCCCCCTGCCCAGTGCGTCACTCAGTGCATCGGTATCGCCGACCTCAATACCAAGTGCGCGCCTCTTGCGAACGACCTCCCCGCCTTCGCCGACTGCGTTAAGCCCCTTTGCTCTGTACGATTTAGCTAAGGTTTAGCTAATCCCAGGGCGCTCAGCGCGCTGAGCTCGAGAAGTGCACTAAGTGCACCTCCGAGGCTAATGACGAGCCCATCGAGCTATATTGGGAGAGATTCGACATGGTGTGCTCTGCTGCTGGCGTTAACAATGCAGCGTCAGCTGGGGTCTGCGCTGTGGCCGCGCCCCTCCTCCCTGCTCTTGTTGTCGCTTTTGGTGCCGTCCTTCTCTAAGAGGCTGAATCCCTGGGTTTCGGTTGACATATCGGTAGTAGTAGGATGCAGGATTGGTTCCTATTGAAGTCGAGGTGGCAACCTGACATGTAAATCGCACATCAGTCTGGCAACCACTACGTTAACAACCCAGGTACATTGTAGTAGTGGCATTCTCACAATATTCATGATTAAACCGCGGCCAGCGCGGGTTCTACTGACTACCTAAGTCCCGCTCCAGCGGGGGGGTTAGTAAAGATTTCGGGATGTCCGATCCAGCGTCCGGGGGCGCTCCTCCGGCGAGGGCGCCAGGCAGCGCGAGGCGCTCTTCCAGGCAAAGATGCCTAGGAGTGGCAAACAGGCTTAGACGAGGATGATGTCGTCGGGGCGCACGTCGGCCTCGCTGACCCAAAGCTCCTCGTATTCCTCGTTCTCAAAGTAGTCGCGCTCGTCAATCTCCTCGCAGTCCTCCGTCGGGGTAGGCTCGGGAGCCGGAGTAGTGGAGCTCGGCGAGGGCGAGACCGAAGGCGAGGGGGACGCCGACGACTCAGTGGTGGTCGAGGGCGAGGGGGACGCCGTAGTCGAAGTCTCAGCGGACGACGAGGGCTCGGCAGGCGACGAGGGCTCAACCGACGGCGAGGGCGCGACCGAAGATGAGGGCTCAGCTGATGGCGAGGGCGCAGCAGACGAGGAAGGCTCAATCGACGGTGAGGGGGCGACCGACGACGAGGGCTCAACGGACGAAGAGGGCGCAGCGGAAGGGGAAGGCTCGGCCGACGGCGAGGGGGCGACCGACGACGAGGGCTCAACGGACGAAGAGGGCGCAGCGGAAGGGGACGGCTCGGCCGACGGCGAGGGGGCAGCTGAAGACGAAGGCTCGACCGACGACGTTGGCGTGGCAGAAGACGAGGACTCAGCCGACGACGAGGGCGCAACCGAAGGTGAGGGCTCAACCGACGACGAGGGCGACGCCGTGGAGGAAGTCTCGGCCGACGTCGAGGGTGACGACGACGGGAGTGCTGAGGACGGGAGCGCCGACGACGGGAGTGCCGACGACGAAGGGATCACATCACTCGAGGATCCGGCCGAAGGGGAGGGGAGCTCGGAAGACGAGGACGTGGGCGAAGAAGATGGGAGCTGAGACGAAGTGGGGAGCTCAGTGGAGGTGGCGTTGGGCTCACGCGTGCGCGTCTCGGTGAACGTGGTCCACGAGGTCGAGGTCACGGTCTCAATACCGTTGTCGTTGGTCGGGACGGGGATATCTGTTACGGTTGCGTTCGACGGCGCGGGCTCGGTCGTGGTGGACTCGGTGGGAACCTCGCTGGTAGACGAGGGAAGTACGGTCGAGTTCGACGAGGTGGGGAGCTCGGTGGTCGTGGGAGCAGCAGTGGTCTCAGTCGCATTGGTGGTGGGCGCGGGAAGGAGGTCGGTGGTCGTGGCGTTGGTCGGGAGAGGCTCAGCTGTGGTTGCAGTTGGGACGGGGCTGTCAGTCGGGAGAGGGACCGCAGGAGAGTCGGTGGCGTTTCCGGTGGGGACGGGGAGCTCAGTCGTGTTACCAGTGGGGACAGGGAGCTCCGTGGTGTTGCCAGTAGGCTCTGGGATGACTTCTGTAATGTTACCAGTGGGCAGGGGAATGGCCTCAGTGCCGTTGACAGTGGGCGAGGGGAATGTCTCCGTAATGTTGCCAGTTGGGAGGGGAACCTCGGTGGTGTTGCCCGTCGGCGAGGGGACGGTCTCAGTCGTGTTGCCAGTGGGCTCTGGAACGACCTCCGTGGTGTTGCCTGTGGGCTCTGGAACGACCTCCGTGGTGTTGCCCGTGGGCTCGGGAATCACCTCGGTGGAGTTGCCAGTGGGCGAGGGGATAGCCTCGGTAGCGTTGCCAGTGGGAAGGGGAATCTCGGACGTGACATTGCCAGTGGGGGTGGGAATGTCCGTCGAGTTGCCAGTCGGAAGAGGGAGAGTGGGGCTGTCGGTCGAGTTACCAGTAGGGATGGGCTCGACGACAGTGTCGGTGGTGGTCGGCACAGGATCGGTGCTGTCTGAAGGTGTTGGTTCAGCGGTTCCAGCGGGGTCAGATGAAACCGAGGGCTCCGGCGAGGCCGACGTAATCGAAGGCTCGGCCGAGGTCGTCGTCTCAATGGACGGCGAGGGCTCGACGGAGATCGTCACGGACGGCGACGACGTGGGTTCAGCAGAAGCCCAGTCCGAGGTCTCAGCGGAAGGCGAAGGAAAAGTAGGGCTTTCCGTGGGCCAAGCAGAGGTCTCGGAGGCCGAGGGGTCTGCGGATGCGGACGTCTCGACCGACGCAGTCGGCTCGGCAGAAGTAGAGGTCTCAGCAGAAGCCGAGGTCTCTACTGAAACCGTGGGAGACGGCGTGGGCTCCACAGAAGCTGAAGTCTCTACAGATGGCGAAGGAAAGGCAGAGCTCTCCTCGACGCCAGCAGAGGTCTCGATAGAGGCCGACGGAACAGGGGCGCCCGAAAGGTCAGAAGGCGACGGCGTGGGCTCAGCAGACCAGGCCGGGGTCTCGGTCGGGATGGGCGTGGGGTCCACGCTCTCCGAGCCAGAGACAACCGGGAGGGCCGACGAGTCGGCGGAAGGGCTGGGCACGTCGCTCTCCGACACGGTGGGCGAAGGCGAAGCGGAGTCAATGGGCTTACCCGTCACCGAAGGGTTGGGGTCCGTGGGAGTGTCCGTGGGGTCTGTGGGGGTGGGTGCATCGGTAGCGGAGGGAGAGGGGTCAACAGAGCCGGATGGCTCGGGGTGAGCGCCGGAGGGGTAGACATGGCCGCCACCCTCGGTGGGAACCGGGGCGGCGGGGGTCCCGGTCGCAGAAGGAGCGGGAAGAGCAGAACCGATGCCCTCAAGGCCGTTGTCGCCGGGGAGTTCAGAGTCTACCTCATTGCCGCTGTTGCCGGCGTTCTCCTCGGGTGAAGCAGACGGCGCGGGGGCCGGCTGCTGCTCCTCCGAAGAGGAAGTCGGCTGAGGCGAGGGGGCGGGCTGCTGAATGCTCTCCTCCGGCGAAGGAGTCGGGGCAGGCTGCTCGGAGGTGTTGTTCTCCTCCGGAGCAGCCGAGGGAGCGGGCTGCTCGTTGTTGTTGTTCTCCTCAGGAGCAGGCGCCGGAGCAGCCGAAGGAGCGGGCTGCTCAGGGTTGTTCTCCTCGGGCTGAGGTACAGGAGCGGGCTGCGCTGACGAGGAGCCCTCGTTGCCTGAGCCGGAAGTAGGCTGAGGAGCGGGGGCAGGCGAGGAAGTGGATGTAGGAAGGGTGCCACCGGGAGTCTGAATGCTCGGGGCAGGCACCCAGTTGGGGCCATCATCGGTCTCCGTACCCGAACCAGTCGGGGTGGGAGAGCCGCCAAAGTCAGCCGATGTAGTGATTGCGGGAGCAGGCTGGGCGCCAGCGCTGCCAGAACCCGAGTCACCGCCGGTCGAACCAGTCGAACCAGTCGAGCCTGAGTTGGAGTTGCCGCCTGGAGCAGGAGCCTGCGTGGGAGCGGGCTCTGGTGTCCACGACGAGGTCCAGGTCGAAGACGAGGCCGAAGAAGGGGTAGACGTCGACGAGGGGGCGAAAGTTGGCACAGCGGTGGCTGTGCCGTCGGCGCCCATAATCACGACGTAGTCCCACGAGCCATCAGCCTCCTGCGTGGGCTGGAGGATCATCTCGAGGGTCACAGTCGGGAGGAACTCGCCGATCTTCTTGTTCATCATCGACTTGATGTAGTCGTCCGCAATAGCCTGCGCCTTGTCGTAGATGTCGCCGTCATCGGTCGGCGTGGGGAGCGCCGAGGATGTGAGCGTGGGCGCCTGCACGTACTGGGAGTACGACAGGGTCGAGAAGGTCGCCGCGCCAGACTGGATGGCCGCAATGTCCGACTCGTTCATCTCGGGCGGCACGGGAACAGTGTCCGAGCCGTTGAGACGAGCCTCCCATGAGGGGTGACTGAAGTCGGGCTTTGTGGGAGTCCAAGTGGTAGACGGGGAGGCGGTAGAGGTGGCCTCCTCAGTAGGCGTTGCCGACACCTCAGGGTCAATCTCTGGCGTCTCAGAGGCAGAGGGATCAGCCTCGGGAGTCGGGAGGATGGAGACACTGGGCGATGGGGTGGCGGTGGCAGTAGTGTTTGACGACTCGGTGGAGTTGTCCGACGGCTCCGGCAAGGAAGCGGTAGGGAGGTCAGTGACGGTCGTGTTGTCAACAGAGGTCGAGTTATCGACGACCGTCGAGTTTTCGGCAATCGTCGAGTTGTCGATAGTGGTAGAGTTGTCGACAACAGTCGAGTTCAAGATGATGGGGGTCTCCTCTGCCGTCTCGTTCGCAGAGGCCGTAATGGCCACGGGGTCGGCAGCATGATCGTAGTTCTCATGAGCGACATAGGCCTTCCATGGCCCTGCGCGCTCACGGTGAAGCTTGCCGAAGCGGAGGTTGCGGCGGGTGGGTGCTGCGACCGCCGAGGAAGCCAGAAGGAGGGGAAGAAGGAGGGACGGACCTGCCGCGGGGAAGCGCATTGTATGTTAGGATGTCGGGGGAAAGGAGGCGGAGTGGGGTGTCGCGCAGCGACGAGGTAGTCTGGTTGCAGCCGCCGGGGCTACACTTCTGCGTCAAGCAGGGGGGATGGAAGTACTCGCAGAGTACGGAGGATGGGGGGTCAAGATGAGAGATGGGAGAATGCAAAGAAGAAGAAGACGGGGGGCGGGAGGGCCGGGTTGATGTATGCCTGTGCTCTGTCGGTCACCCGGCAGTTTGTGCACTTCTGCGCTCGGCCATTGGTGGCCCTGCGTAATGTGTTATGCAGGGTACTGCGACCTAGCAGGGGTTGAGTCAATGGCTGCGCTTGGCAGATCACGCCTAGCGGGGAGAGCTGGCAGAGTCAGCAGAGCCGCAGAGGCAAAGACAGAGGTGACAGAGCACAGCGGCCTGCCAGCCTTCTCCGGGGGGCATTCATTCACTCACCCTGGCTCGAGCGCCACCACGGCTCTGGATACGGATGAGCGTGATGTTTGCGAGGGCCGACGTCAGCATCTCGGCCGTGAGCGACAGGAGCTTGACCCTGGCCTTGCCATGTAGATTGAATCATATTCTGCCGCTTCGGACGCCGGAGCTGCCGACTCGGCGAGCGGTTGCCATTGTCACGCAGGCGGCCCGAGATGGTGTGCCCGCCGCATGCCTGATGTCGCTTACGGAATCAGGGAGCGATGGCCGACTGGAAGGTGAGATGGAGCGTGAGTTGGTTGGGTGAGGAGAGCAAGGCAAAGCTCGTAAGCCACGGCAAGAAGGCTGGCCACGCCTCATTGAATCTCAAGTTTCCCATGACTCGGGGTGTTGTGCCCCAACCCTGATGAAAAAAGACAGTCGCGCATCCTGACGGGATCAAAGACGTGCCTTAGAATGTCAGTAACATTCTGATCCCGGCGGCACCGAGACCGTTCAAGCGCATCACGTGATGGGACCTGATATTGTCAGCCACGTGTACGGCATCCCTCGCCACGAAACGCAGAGGTTTTCACAAAATGGACCCGGGCGGTATTTGGTGCCGCTACCAAAGCGAGTGAGCCTGAAATGGAACCTTATGTCAGCTTGACAACTTCAGACCTGGTCGTCTTCGACTTTATCGCACCTCGAAACACAATCACCGCCCCACTCACCATGACTCGGCCACTCCTCTCCCTCGCCGGCCCCGCCCTCCGCCGCAGCGTGATGCACCATGCTCGCCCACCTCGCATGCCGGCACTGCACTCGCCCCACACCCCACCAAAGGTCCGCCCCTCGGCGGGCACCTCGACTCCTCACCCGACTGCGCTCGCTGGCGAGGTTGCACCCACGACATCCTCGACCGCGCTCGAGGGGTCCAACCTTACCTTCCACTACTCCCCGCCTCCCACCGCTCCATCTTACACTACCGGCCGCAAGCCCGACCTCCTGCGCTGGATCGGCGGAGAGGGCGTCCAGCTCACGGGCGAGGAGGCTGCCCCGCTTCGCCGGGCACCGCGCGCACATGCGCCTATCGAGTGGTCGGAGGAGGTCGTGAGCCAGATCAAGACGATGCGTGCCGAGGGCAAGTCTCGTGGAAAGATCGCCAAGGCGTGAGTATTCTTTCAGCAAGGGGGAAGGGGTCGAGCGGGTGATCGCAAGAAGAGGAGAAAAGTAAAGGTGCTGGGCCGGCGCAGGTCGAGAAAGGCATTGGGTTGTGCAAATCAATGCGAGAGAGAGGTTGTCTTGTCCCCAGTGCCATTCTCTCTTGCGTGAATGCTCAGCAGATCCGCGGGCAGGCGACCAGGCGATCAGGCGATCAGGCGACGCTATTGAGTTCCACTGACACCCAGACTGTCCATTCCCGCCGAGCAGCAGCACGTGATCCACCGCGTCGCGCCAGCGTCCAAGACTCAGCTTGCAGACAAGGCTGAGGCCCTCGAGAGGCAAAAGGAGAAGTGGTCGCCCGCGCGCAAGCTCAGCCGCGCGGTCCGCGAGCGCCGCAAGCTCTACTGGTAGACCGGATGTATTACATAGCCAGCGCATGCCACACATCGATCCAACGCGAGGGCAGGGGTGGGCTGTGTCGAGCCGAGTAATAAGGATGGCGTTGCCTGCACTCAAAATGCACTACATCCACCAGCCACGACAGCATAAGACTACATTACCGGAGATCCATCCGCTACCGACGGTCCTCACGGTCGTAGCGACGACCGTCTCGCTCGCTGTAGCGGTCGCGATGGTCTCGCCGCCTCTCTTCACGATCGCGGTCGTCGCGCTTGTACGGCGGGGGATCGCCGCGGCGACGTGGTGGCCGTTCGCGCTCATCTTCTCGCGTTTCACGGCGGAGAGGTGAGCGTTCGCGATCTTTGCCATCACGACGAGGAGCCGAGCGCTCACGGTCGCGGTCACGCTCTTCACGGCGAGGGGCTGAACGCTCACGCTCCCGCTCATCGCGGCGCGGCACCGTACGCTCACCCTCACGCTCGTCACCACGAGGCGAGGGCTCACCGCGCTGAGGCTTGCGAGGCGACGCACTCGCGTCCTCCTTCACGCGCCGGTCGCGATTCCCATCCTTGTCGTTGCGCTCCGTCTTATTCTCACGTCGCGGTGAGCGGTCACGGTCACGACGTTCGCGGTCCTCAATACGGCGGGGCGAGCGCTCGCGCTCCCTGCCCTTGCTCTCATGCCGCTCGCTGCGATGATCCTTCACGCGCCGCTTTTCGCGCTCGGCACGCTTCCTTGCGCGCTCCTCCTTGCGCTTAAGCTTAGCCGCCCTCCGTTCTTCCTTGCTGCTCTTCTTGGCGCGCTCGGCACGAATAAGTGCAGTCATGGGATCATCTGAGTCGAGACCGTCGTCTTCTTCCTTCTCTTCTTCCTCCTCACTAGATGATTCTGGAGTCAGCCGAAATACTCAGAACCACTCACCTTCGATCTCTGGGGGGCGCGCGTTGTAGCTCGCCTCCTCCGGCTGCTCATAGTCGCCCTCCTCATTCCGCTTCCCCGGCTGCTTGTACCGCGCGTGGTCGACGCGCAGCGTTCGCCCAAGTATCTCTGCTCCGTTCATGTTGTCCACTGCCAGCACGGTGCTCCGCTGGTCCTCGTACATGACAAATCCGAAGCCGCGGGTCTTGCCGCTCTCCTTGTCGCGAGGAAGGTTGATGTCAGCGATCTCGCCCCATTGCGAGAAGATCGTGATCACATCGCCCTCGGTCAGGTCCAGATGCAGCCCGCCGACAAAGATGTAGGCCGAGTCTGGTGTTAGTAAAACGGGGTGCAGAGTGGAGTTCCAGCTGTATCACGATGATGAGTGGCACTGCGTACTCACCCTTGAACTCGTCGTGCCATGAGCCTTTGACGCCGAGGGCTAGCTCTTGCTCATTGATTCTTTGAATCTCCTTGATTGTGCTAGAATTAGCATGGGTGAGGCAGCCACTGGGACCTACTTCATGATGAGCGCGAGCAGCAGAGGAGTGAGATGGTATCAACAATATGGGTGCCCAACTTTCGGTTGGGTGGCGGTTGGGCGCGGAAGCAAATGCAGATGTGGAGGTCGTCCATGGAGTCTGGCTAGCTTTAGTGGCAGAATGCCCAATATGTATCATCGCTATGCTGTCTACAAGAACCTCTAAGCGTCTATTATATCTTGATGCGAATCCCGCGCATCGCCCATGCGATACCACAGATCGCAACACTGTATGTCACCAACACGCCCATCGCGAGCCAGTCCGGCGCAAACATCGTCTCCATGCTGATGTTGACCAACCCCGTGCCGAGGTTGGCCAGGAGAAAGACGGCAAGCCCGTTCGCGTTGATCGCATCGAGGAGGGGTGGACATGCTCGTTCCACGTGTCCTGGACGTGGATCGCACAGCCAGATCTCAATAAAGAGGTAGCCTGCGAGGGTGGAGGTGTTATACGCCACCGTCCAGAGTACGTATGGGCCGTTAGCCTGCTGTCAGCTCACTGCAAATTGCTCTAAGCTGAGAGACCAGAACTCACAAGACGCCGCGACACGCGCCAACCCATGTAGCTGCACATGCCGAGGGTGATCCAACTCGCAGCAGCATATCCTGCTAGCTCAAGAGCAAGCTCGGAGCGCCGCCGCGTCGCTCTCTCGGCAACCGTGTCTGGGTCCGAGAACTCGTCGTCGGTCTCGTTTCCGCTCGTGAGGGCTTCCTTTCGGCGAGAAGAGGAGCGCCTCCGCCGACGTCCAGTTGAGAGGCTGAGGATGTGTTCGCCGACGCCGAGGCCCACGAGGAAGATTGCGAGGTAGCCAATCAGTGACGCAAAGCCCTCTTTGTTTGCGGCGAGAACATTAGGACGGTAATTGTTGAGAAGGAACGGTGTAAGACCCGGCGCAGCGAGAATTAGTTGGTGCACTAACGTAAGCTGATGGAACGACCACATGTAGCTCACAAGCGCTGATGATGACTGCTATGGTGCCCCACTTACATCTCCCGTGGAGGGGAAGAAGAGAAGTGGCGAGTGCGGGTACAAGACCGAGCGTGAAGAAGAAGTTCCAGTGTACCCCATACTCAGTAACGTGTTCCTACTGTCAGTTCTCGGCGACCTGCCTGCTGACCACTCACAGGATACTCAACACCCTTGACCATGAGGAGGCGCACAAAGCCGAGTGCGAGGACAGGAAGGGCACGACGAAGGCCACCGAGTAAGGTACCCAGCATCTTGCCTCTGCGTGTCGTCGAGAAGCCCTTGGAGCTCACAATGCCGAGGGAAAAGACGAAAGACCCGACGCCGACGTCCATGAGGCCCGTGCCCCAGTCCTCAGTCTTGCCCAGCACACGAGGAAAGACCGGGAAGTCGACCGCAAGAATTGCGAGAACTGTCATGACCATCATGTGGGCACGGTAGACGGAAAGGAAGGGCAAATGTGTACGCCGCAGCGGGCGCCCGGCACGAGAGTGTGGAAGATGGGTATGTGTGCTCGTTGGAAGTGGGTCACCCTTGACTGGTGATGTGCGCCGCTGCGGTTGAGGTGAGCCAATGTCGATGACAGCACTGGAACCGGGGGCTGGCGATAGACGGCGGCGACGGCCCTCATCTGGTGATATGGGCGAAGACAGAGCAGACGCCGATCCTGAGCTACGACGCTCAGCCTCGGCCGCATTCGACTCGGCGATGACCTGTGACGGGAGCTTGACCTGCGGCCGGCGGGTGGGTGTGCGACGCCCGTTGCTTCCCTCGTCCTCGCTGTCACTCTCGGCAAGCCATCTCCCGCGGGGCATGGCTACGCGGTGCGGATACCATGTCCTCGGCGTGGTGACGGCCAGAACCCATGCTCCAAGCGCAAGCACGCTGTTGAGTAACACAAGGCGCGAAGACATGGTGGTCATAGACAGCAGGAGGGGAAGTACAGTTGTCATGTAGTCGAGCAGGCGACCTTCTGTTCTTCTCGATGCCGTCGCATACAACGCATAGCCCGTCTACAATCAGCTTCTGGCATGGCGTCATGAAGGGCTTACGAGAGCAGTGACGCTGATTAGGTTGATATAGTGAACCGAAGAGCCAGGATTGTCGGCATGGAACGCCTCCTTGGCTGACTTGTAGTCTGCCATGGCGCGCGAGCTGATCGAGTGTTGTGCAAGTGTCAAAGCGAGGACGATGAAGAAGTCGAGCGATGACGACCAGACGGGAGGTGATCGAGCAGTCGAGGCAACAGGCCGGGGTCTCCACAGTGAGACTCGCGTGAGGCGCACGTGTCGACCAGATAATCCCGTCGGTCACAGTCCGTGGCAGCAAAAGTTCGCTGAATACGTTCGTCCCTCCACCAACAACCTACACTCCGACCCCGACAGCGACAACAACTATCGACATGAGCGGACGCGGCGGATTTTCCAGGGGCGGCGGCGGCGGTCGCGGCGGCGGCTTTAGCGGTGGTCGCGGAGGTCGCGGCGGTGGCCGCGGTGGTTTCCAGAGCTACGGCCCTCCCGCTGAGGTGCTTGGTGAGTGTTACGAAGCGGCCGCGCAATCCGTGCAAGATGGGAGGAAGAGGAGTGCCCCATGGAGATGCGCGCGGCGTGGATGCTGTGGATGGGTGGATGCGCACCAAGCGCAAGCCACTCACCTGCCGTCATACCTGAGCCACACTGGAACCGAGCTGACGACCCACAGAGATCGGCTCGTTCGTCCACCCCGTCGAGAGCGAGATGCTCTGCTCTCTGACGCAGCCGACCAAGATTCCCTACTTCAACGCACCTATTTACCTTGAGAACAAGACTCAAATCGGCAAGATTGACGAGATTCTCGGCCCTATCAACGAGGTCTACTTCACCGTCAAGATGGACGCTGGTATGCAGGCCGCGTCGTTCAAGAAGGAGGACAAGGTGTACATCGGCGGCGACAAGCTCTTGCCATTGGAGCGCTTCCTCCCCAAGCCTCCTGCGCCTAAGGGTGAGTACACGGAGGATGGAATAGAGCCTTGCGCCGAGTCTAGAGCCGCTACGCCAGGTGGGCGTCGCCTCAGACGCTGGCGTTTAGCTCTTGTCAATGTTACGAACGCAGCTGACCCAAGGCGAGAAGAAGCGTGGCGGCGCGACTGGTGGCCGTGGCGGCGGCCGTGGCGGTGGCCGCGGTGGTGGCCGTGGCGGGTTTGGCGGCCGCGGTGGTGGCCGTGGTGGGTTCAGCTCGCGTGGCGGCGGCGGCGGCGGCCGTGGTGGGTTCAGCTCGCGCGGCGGCGGCGGTGGGTTTAGCTCGCGTGGTGGCGGTGGTGGCCGCGGGCGGGGACGTGGTGGCTACTAAGATAGTCTCATCTGTATGTTGATGTATTATACCCGAGCGCAGCGAGCGTCTTGCACAGGTCATGGAGACCGGGAGGAGATGCTCCTCACGGCTGCTGCGCGTAAATATGAGGGGAGAAGTGCTTCAAGCGTGCCGGTCAGCGGAAGTCGCGGGAAGTCGCGGGAAATCGCATGAAATCGCTGGGGAACGATTGTAGCAGCAGGGATGAATCGAAGTGAGCATTGGAGCAGCATGCTGCCTACTTCGCTCTGATTCTTCTTCACACATATCCGCCCCTGCAGCTACCGTAGGCGTGATATGAACTGTGCATGCTATGCTCCTCTACTCCTGCTTGCCGATGACGATCCCCCGCTTGGCAAGATACCCATGGTTCTCGGGGTTGGAGTAGAACTCGATGTCCGTCCTGCGAATCGGCAGTGCGCTCTTGACGGGCCGCGGCATCTTCTCGGGCCAGATCTCCTGCCGCAAGCTCAAGTTGTTGTGATACACCGCCTCGACCTCACCGCCCGCCGCGATGATCGCGTCGGCTGCACCCTTCGAAAACCGGCTCAGCTCGAGCTTGACTGGTGGCAGAGGGAGGGATGTGTCAGGCTTGCCAACGAGCTTGACGCCCGCCTGCTTGCTAAGCCCGTGGACAGCGTTTGCGCGCACAACTGTCCCGATCGTGATGGGCGCCGTGGGGTTGATGCGGCCGAGCGCGATCCAGCGTTGCAGGGTGGCGACCTGGAGGGGCGCGTAGACGCGGCGCGTGAAGTTGACGAAGCCGCGCTTGGGGAACAGGCGGTGCAGGGGCGTTTGACCACCAGCAAAACCAGGCGTCGGCTTGCCGGTGCCGGAGCGCGCGTTCTGACCCTTGTGACCGCGACCTGCCTGTCCACCCTTCGTCGAACCCTCACCACGACCACGACGGAGATTCTGTTGTCAGCGACGTTACACCGAGGGAGGTGAAATAATAGGAAGCTTCTATGCATTGCGCAAAGAAGATGAGGACAAGATCAGCGTAGAGCTTGACAGTGTCGGACGTGCGCCCCAACCTTCCTCAGGTCATCCACACCATCGCCGTACGGCCGTTCTGGTCTTCGACTCGAGTTCACAATAGTTCTTGGTTTCGGGCCCACCCCAGAAGACATGTCCCGCCTTTCAACCACCGCCCGCGCCCGCTTTCACATGCCCGCGCGCTCGCGCGCCGCACCGTTCGAGTCGAGCGTATTTTGCCTATACGGTTGAATGACACTTACGACCTTGGTGCTGCCTTTCGCCGGCGCAAGGTTACCCAGGTGGGTTGTAGACATGGCGCGAATGCCCATCGTGGGCTCGATGGCGACCGCGAGCGCCGCGCGGAGTGATGTGAGGCCGAGCATGGAGGTGGTGTTGCCGCGATGTAGAGCAGCGAGCTCGACTTTCAACATTCTCGGTGGGTTTCGGTGGTGATTGAGAATCTTTACGTAAGTGGAATTAGTCCACGAATAAAACTCTGCCGACTCCAAAGTTGGCCGCTGCATGCGACCGACTCGAGGCAACTCGAGTCACGATACCTACTCCAACTTAAACTTCTGCTACTCGCCACAGCTCCGGTCCACGCCCTCACCAGTTACCATCTCGTCGCTGTGCATGCTGAGAAGCCTATACAGGGCTAGCAAACAGTTTCTCCCCACTCTCCATTGCACCCGCAACCCCACCTATCGTCCGACCTACCCCGCACTAGCCCGTTCATTCAGAATGTCCGCCCCCGCCGAGGCCAACCTTAAGGAGGACCCCGAGACCGGCGAGATGATCTCCAAGTCGTGAGTGGTGGCGAGAGGAATGAGGTCGCGAACTATCCGGGTGTGGCTGCCTTCCCGTCATCATCTCGTGGCGGTGATAGGCGACATATCTGTTTTTGACCCTGCCTGTCGAAGGACAATGGCTGACGAACAGCGAGCTTAAGCGTCGTCAGAAGCAGCGCGAAGTCGAGAAGAAGAAGGCTGCCAAGGCTGCCGAGAAGGCGGCCAATGCGCCCGCCCAGTCGTCCAAGGCAGGCGCTGCTGCCGCTGCCGCCGCCGAGGAGCAGCTTGACGCCGCGGCGTTCTACGAGCTGCGTTCGAACGCGATCAAGAAGCTGCGCGAGACCAAGAACCCGGACCCATACCCGCACAAGTTCCACGTTTCGACCGGCATTCCTGCCTACGTAAAGGAGTGGGGTCAGGAGGGCAAGGTTCCCGAGGGCGAGACCGTCGAGGTTCCGCAGCCAATTACCATTGCTGGCCGCGTGACCACCATGCGCTCGTCGGGCAACAAGATTCGCTTCTACGACGTGCGCGCCGACGGTGCCAAGATTCAGGTGCTTGCGCAGGCCCAGAACGCCGAGTCGCTGGAGGCCTTCGTCCAGCAGAACGACCTTATCCGCCGTGGTGACATTATCGGTGTCACCGGCAAGCCGACCCGTACCAAGGCCGGAGAGCTCTCTATTGCCGCTAGCGAGGTCAAGCTTCTTTCGCCCTGTCTGCACCAGCTGCCCGGTCGTGAGGGTCTGACCGACACCGAGACGCGCTACCGCAAGCGTTACCTCGACCTGATCGTCAACCAGCCCACTCGTGACGTCTTCATTGCCCGCGCCAAGATTGTCAACTACATCCGCAAGTACCTTGACTCTCTTGGTTTCCTCGAGGTCGAGACTCCCATGATGTCGATGATCGCCGGTGGAGCTACCGCCAAGCCGTTCGTGACCCACCACAACGACCTCAAGCTTGACCTCTTCATGCGTATCGCTCCCGAGCTTTACCTTAAGGAGCTTATTGTCGGTGGTCTTGACCGTGTGTTCGAGATTGGCCGCGTGTTCCGCAACGAGCAGATTGACATGACCCACAACCCTGAGTTCTCCATCTGCGAGTTCTACATGGCCTACGCCGACATGTACGACCTCATGGACATGACAGAGTCGATGATCTCGGGTCTTGTCAAGTACCTCACTGGTGGCACCAAGATCAAGTTCCACCCCAAGGGCAAGGGTGAGGGCCAGCCTTCGTACGACATCGACTTTGCCACTCCCTGGAAGCGCTTTGACATGATCGAGGAGCTCGAGAAGCAGCTCGGCGTAAAGTTCCCTCCCGGAGACACTCTTCACACCGACGAGGCCAACAAGTTCCTCCGCGAGATCTGCACGAAGCACAACGTTGACTGCGCCGAGCCCAAGACCAACGCTCGTCTCCTCGACAAGCTTGTTGGCGAGTTCATCGAGAACCAGTGCATCAACCCCTCGTTCATCGTCGGCCACCCGCAGGTCATGTCCCCGCTGGCCAAGTACCACCGCTCGCGCCCCGGTCTCTGCGAGCGCTTCGAGGCGTTCATTGCGACCAAGGAGATCTGTAACGCATACACTGAGCTCAACGACCCCTTCGACCAGCGCGACCGCTTCGAGGAGCAGGTTCGCCAGAAGGAGCAGGGCGACGACGAGGCACAGGGTGTTGACGAGACCTTCCTGAACGCGTGAGTTTTTTATAAGAAGCTGCGAGCAGCTCGTTGTGTTCTTTGCGCACAGCTGACATCAGCCTCGAGTACGGTCTTCCCCCCACGGGCGGCTGGGGTCTCGGTATTGACCGTCTTGTCATGTTCCTCACCGACTCGGCCAACATCAAGGAGGTTCTCCTCTTCCCGGCCATGCGCCCGGAGAAGCAGGCTGAGGGCGAGGCTCCTCCCCAGGGGCAGATCTAAGCCGAGGGTGTTTGTAGTGGGCGAAAAAGATGCTAGATCTGTACAAGAGAGTCTCCTTTTGAGGACTTGAAGTCTACTCGCGTTCAGCACGTCTAGAGCGACTCAGAGCCGCGCTACCTAATGCAGCGACACAGCTTTTACACAGTCTAGGTGCATGCTTGCAGAAGGGAGGACACTAGAGCTGCCTCACGTGTTGTTACGTACATGGAAACGCCACGCTTTTGAGCAGTGGCCGCCTCCGCCTGCGTCGTCCCTTCCCTGCAGCCCCTGGCAGGCAAGGCCTGGCATGAGACGCGTCAATCTCCTCCGACGACTTGCAACTCGCATTTCTCATTCTCCCTCATCTCGCGCATCTTCATCTCTCGTCCATGGCATCACCCTCATACCCCAGCGGCACTGCCGCAGCCTCTCCTTCCGATATCCCCCCATACCTCGTCCCCGTCGTCCTTGTCCTCGACTCGACCTCGAAATACCTCATCCGGGCTTGGCAACACGTCCCCGGCTCTGCCATCATCGGCCGCTACGTCCAGAGCTCGTACCAGAATGATCCATGGCGGTCACTTCTCGAGGTCTGCCTTATCGCTTTTGCGCTCTTCACACTGCTGAAGGGGCGCACCCGTGGTGAAGGTGAAGGGAATAGCCTCAAACTCAGCGAAAAGGTACACCGATGCCCGAGGGGCTTTGCAACTTGCGGTACCCGCTGACCCCAGGAAATCGATGAGCTCGTCGATGACTGGAAGCCTGAGCCGTTGCTCATCGACCTCACCGACCTCGAGCGCGGGACACTGGCAAGTGTGCCGACCGTGTACGGCCAGAATGGCGCACACGTCAAGCTCTCCCCAAATGGCAAGCCGGTGATCAACATGGCCATCTACGACTGGCTGGGAATGGTAGAGAACGACCAGCTCAAAGAGGTCGCGATCAAGACGCTGCGCGAGTACGGCGTCGGCTCGTGTGGTCCTATGGGCTTCTACGGTACCATTGACGCGCACACGGCGTTCGAGGAGGACATTGCCGATTTCCTCGACGTTGAGAGCGCCATTATCTACGCGCAGGCCTTCTCTTCCGTCTCTTCCGTTATTCCCGCGTTCGCCAAGCGCGGCGACATTATCGTCGCTGACCGTGGTGTCAACTTCGCCATCTGCAAGGGTTTGCAGCTCTCGCGCTCGACAATCCGATGGTATGCGCACAACGACATGGAAGACCTTGAGCGTGTGCTCAACTCGGTCGCGCGCGAGATTAAGCGCAAGGGCGGCAAGCTCACAAGGCGTTTCATTGTCACCGAGGGTGTCTTTGAGAATGACGGAATGATGGTCAACCTTCCCCGCATTATGGAGCTCAAGAAGCAGTTCAAGTACCGTCTGATTCTGGACGAGTCGATGTCGTTCGGCATGGTCGGTGCCCACGGTCGCGGTGTCACTGAGAAGTACGGCGTCCCGGCCAGCGAGGTCGAGATTCTCGTTGGCTCGATGGGCAACGCCCTCGGCGCCGGCGGTGGCTTCTGCGTTGGCTCGCGCCATGTCACGGCGCACCAGCGCATCAACTCGGCCGCCTCCGTCTTCTCCGCCGCTCTGCCAGCCATGCATGCGACCGTGTCCGCCGAGGCCATCCGCATCATGCAGGCCCGCCCTGACCTCATCCCCAATCTCCAGGCCAACGTGCAGGCGTTCCGCGCGCAGCTCGCGCGCATCGAGACAGCCCCCGAGGGCGCTCCGGAGAACCGCGATGCGCTCGTCTCCATTCCTTCGCATCCCGAGAGTGCGCTCATTCACATCTTCCTCCAGACACCTCCGCCAACAGTCGAGGAAGAGGAGGCGCTCCTGCAAGAAATCGTCGATGACGCGCTCGCCTCGGGCGTGCTCGTCACCCGCGCCCGCCGCCTCCGCGGGCAGGAGCCGATTGAGCCTGAGCCCAGTCTCAAGATTACAATCTCGGGCAACATGAGCCGCAAGGAGGTCGAGAAGGCCGGCAAGGTGTTGCGTGATTCCATCACCAAGATTGTGCGCAAGGCTTAGGGAGGCCAGGCTGCGGATCCTTGACATGTACGCTGTGTCCCAGTAGATTATACATCGTAGTACTCATGCATCGCGTGACTAATGGCGGCATGGGACGTGAGCTATGTGAGGGTCCCTGTGACTGACATGCTGAGCCGGGGTGCTGGATATCTCGCCAGCTGGTCAGATGCGAGGGCCTTGCGCGATATAACGAGGCCGCGCAAACGCGCCATTTTCGTCTAGGGTTAGCCGCAGCGCAAAAGGAACCTCACAGTGTGCTCGCTTATTCACCGTTGACGGGCGTGTTCGCGACTGATCGCACGCGGAGCGGGGCTCGACGCGTTCTCGGCGTACAGGATGTCGATATGTCGACCATCTCATAGCGACGGTGATCTCCCTCTTCTCCACATCTCCGTTTCCCCGATTACGTCTTCGGATGCTACTCAAACATCACAGTACCCAGTCGTACAGCGTGGCGAGAACCGCCGCGGCTCCAATACCCCCGACCGCGGCCACGCTGATGGCGATCCAGACGACCTCCTCGCGAGTCAGCTTCTGGAACCCCTCGTACTGCGCCTCCTCCTCATCTTCCACGTCGAATACGGCCACGTGCGTATCAGGCGCAAACTGGACGCGCCTTCCCTCTCCGCTGACTCGCTCGATATCGTTGGAGGGGCGCGCGTGTTCCGCTGCCCACGCGGCGGGGTCGACGGGCGTCACGGGCAGGAGGGGGATGGAGGAATCGTCAAGCTCGGCGTGGAAGGAAGGTGCACGCGGAGACACAGGTTTCGTGCTGCTGCTTGCTGAGGTTGCGGACGCGCCAGAGAGCGAGGGCGGGCCGGGAGGACCGGGTCGAGAGCGTGCAAGGGAGAGTGACGGGCCGGGGGCGTGCGCGCGCGGCGCAAGATTGAAGCCAAGAGGTGGGGGCATAGTGATGAGCGGGGTTAGGGCGAGCTGACGAGATGGTCAAGAGGAGAGGTGGAAGCGTGGAAGATGGCGATATGGCGGATGAAGAGATGAGCAGAGACGAGGTCTGGATCCATAAGTGCAGGGTGGAGGGCCGAAACGCCCAGGCCATATACCTGGACACGCAACGCAACACGTCGACGTCGACATTACTCCTCTCCATCATCAACCGCCCAGCATGGAAGACCCCTGGGCGGTATGGGGCAAGCCCGTCTCAGCAGACAAGATGCGCATGCCGAGCAGCACGCCGTCCCCCGAGCCCGCCGACTTGGATCCCTGGGCCAAGCCAACGACCTTGGCATCCAAACCCCGCCCGCCATCTCCGACGCGCTTCTCGCCCAAGAGCCCCAGCAAGCTCAGCCAAGTCACGCTCCCCTCTCCCCCGCTGAACACTGGGCTCGGCGCTCCAAGCCGCGTCCCCAAGCTCGACGGGTGGGATGACGTGGGGTGGGGCACGCCCAAAGCTGAGCCCGAGCCGAAACCCACTGCGCTGCCGGGGCGCCTCCGATCTCCGAGCCTCGATCTCGACGCGGGGTGGGGTGCGGAGCCCTCCAAGCCCGATATCAAGACAGAGGCAGAGCCGGATCGCAGGCCCTCCCCGTCTCCGGCATCGTCGCCGCGCAAGTCGGTTGAGTCGCGCGTCCTGAGCGACCTTCCGCGCCTGAGCAATGACATCTCGCGTCTAAGCGGCGACCTTCCTCGCCTATCTCTTGAAGCAGACGCGTTCTCCCGGCCGGGCAGCGCTGCTCCTCCTCTTCCAGACTCGCGACCTGGAAGCGCAAGTCTACCTGTCGATCTCGACGCACGTCTCTCGCACGACAGCTCTCGGGCATCACTTGAAATCTCACCCCCATCACCTCCCGCCCCCATCCCCATCCACAGCATCGGATTCGACACAACGGACCTTGGTGCCGGCTTCGCGACCCCCTTCAGACCCTCGTCCCCAAAAGAGGGCCCCGGGCTTAACGTGCCCTCTGAGCTAAAGCGCAGCGTATCCATAGGGTCGGACTTTGGCGGCTTTGCTGATGTCGGCGGCGACGATGCTTGGGGCGATACGAGCTGGAAGGAGGAGGACGCGGGATGGAAGGAAGACGCACATGGCGGCGGGTGGGACGATGTGCCCCGCCGCGATTCCCCTGTCAAGCAGAGCCAGCAAGAGCTCGACTGGGAGGCGGCACAGCGGCGACTCGCGGCGGCCGACGCGCGCGCACCGCACGAGCGCGTAATGCGTCTGCGACGGGAGTGGGAGGCTGTTGCGGAAGACATTATCGGGGAGCACAAGCTCCATACGACCGAAGCTGAGGAGACAGCCCTGGATGACGGCGCGCGCGTCCTCCAAGAAAGCGTGCGGGAGACGTTGCGCGCCCTCACTGAGGTGCCCGACACGAGCTTTGCGTTTGGCCACTCGGCTACACGAGAGAGGTACGCACAGGCGCTGAGTCGCGCCCCGCCGAACTCCATGACGCTGCTGCGCGCTCCTCGCCCTCGTCGTGCCGAGGGCGGCGGCCTCGACTTTGGGCCGGGACTAGAGGGATGGGCAGCGCGCTCGCGTCTCGGCGAGCCGGAGGCCATGGCTTCCGCGTCCCAGCCCGAGCCAGAACAGGCGAAGGGTTGGGGCTTCTGGAGGCGGCAAGCGACGCCGAAGCCGCTCGTGACTTCCGGCGGCGCCGTGCTCGAGGTCAAGACGGACCTCGACTCGGCAGGTATTGGTAGCGCGCCGGCGAGCGCGCTCTCCAAGCCGCCGAGTATCTCTTCGCGCCCCGGCACGCCATCAGACACCCGCCCGAGCATGTCCGCCCGCGCTTCCATTTCCTCGGTCCCCTCGATGGCGCGACAAGGGTCCATCTCTGCCCCCTCCCCGCTGTCCGCAAACGTCACTGGCCCACCCACGTACCCCGTCGAGACCCCCGCTTTTGTCCCCGAGAAAAAACCGGAGCCGTCACGCATGTCCCGTCTCTTCCGGTGGGGCAAGAAGGAAGAGAAGAAGGAGGGCGAGGACAAGGAGCTCGAGCTCGGCGAGAGCGATTTTGCGTTCCTCGACCAGGTGCCGTCTGCCAGCGGTCCTGACCTGATTGGTGGTGGGATGTCGAGCATCGACGAGGTGTTGTCGATGAAGAAGGAGGTACCGCTCCCTGCGCCATTGGCGCCTCCGCCTCGCTCAGGTCCGAGCTCGGCGCGGCCGAGCATGGGCGCCCAGCCGGCGCCGCCGAAGAATGACGCATTTGACCTGTTCGCCAGCCTTGACTTTGACGATGCCACCCCGGCAGCTTCAACCGCGACAGACTCCACTCCCGCGCCGTCAAGCTCCTTCGGATGGGATGACCTCCTCGCCCCTTCCACTTCCTCCACTTCCGCCCCGCCCGTTCCCAAGCTCTCCGCCCCTCCTCGAATGTCGACTCCTCCGGTTGGTCTTGGTGGACTCCTGCCGCAGCGCAGCCCTACCCCGCCTGTCATGGGTACGGGGTTGCAGCCCACGCGCAGCGCCACCCCGCCCCTCCGGTCGCAGATCAGCCCTCCCACCCCCGAGCGGCCGCGATATGGTCCCTCTGGACCCGCGCTCGGCGCCCACTCCCGGCACCGCTCAACCGCAAGCGCTGCGAGTGGTAGTGGGCTGGGGGGCATCTCGCGCAAGCCCATGTCTCCACCACCACGCAAACCCACCTCGCCCCCGCCCCCTCCGAAAGATTACGGTTTTGGCGACCTCAGCTTCGGGTTCGGCGCCACGCCTTCCGCAGCCGCTCCTCCCAGTGCATCCAACGACCTGTTTGGCGTCATGGCCGCTTCCCCACCCACCTCCGCCCGCAGTCCTCCAATGATGGGCGTGGCAACGCTCTCCCCGTCCCTACCACCCACTAGGGCCGGCATCGGCATGGGCGGCATGGCCACACTGGCCCCGTCCCCTCCGCCCTCAGCCCGCTCCCCCTTTGCCCTGGCCCCATCCCCCGCTCGAACCCTCACCCCACCTCTCCCCACTTCCGACCCCACAGCGCCAAGCGGTCCAGCGCCAGCTTCTGCTCATGACGACGACTTTGGTGACTTTGGCGACTTTGACGCGCCAGCGGCCTCCGCCACCGCCGGCCCCGCAGCGGATGACGACTTTGGCGACTTCGGTGACTTCGGGGATGCGGCCACGAGCGGCTTCAACACGGGCACGTCGACGGGCTTCGATACGGATTCCACGGGCTTTGGCTCTTTCAACGGGCCGGCGTATAGCTCGTTTGGCGCTTCCGGCCCTCCGAAACCTGCTCAGCCCTCCCAACCCTCGCAGCTGGCCGCCGACCCCTTTGACTTCTCTGCCTTCGAGTCTACCCTTACGCCCTCCAGGCCCCCGCCGCCTATCGCAAAGTCGATCCCGCCTACGCCGATCGAGAAAAGCCCCAAGCAGGGTGCGGGGGACGCCCCCGCCTCGTTCGTCGGCGCATCTCTGTCCCGGAACTCGAGCCTGAGCCGCACCGTGTCCCAATCACCACCCGTCTTCGCGCGCCCCGCGGGCCTCCCCACTGGCCTGACGAAGAGCCGCCAGAGTTCGTTCACGGACGCGACGGGCCGAGTGCGACCTCTCCCCCCTGCCGGCGTGCCGACGCCCGCGGCCTCGCGCCGCACGCCCAGCGTTGACCACCGCGCCACGTTCACACTTTTGGCCGCCGCGCAGGCAAGGGACGCCACGGCTGACTCCGGGCCGCTGTCACCTGTTCCAGAGCCCCTGTCCCCGCCACCTACTGGTCCGTCGCAGAGCTTTGCGTCGCTCCTACCGCCGCCGCCGGGAGGTGTGAGGCGGCCCTCACCCCGTGGTGGCGCCGGCGGCGGCCTCATCGATCTCTTGGACGACTAGACAGACTAATGTCGCATGCATGCGTCGCTCAAAGAACTAGTGCTACAAAATGTCACGAAGGCCCCAGAACCAGTTCTAGAATACTAACCCAGCTTACTGACCCCCTCCTTCTCTACGTGGACGTCTGCGCCGTGTGGGCGCTGCGACAGATTCGTACCGGTGGTGCTGAGCACGCGTGCCTGCACCTTGTCCTTGACAAACTTGCCGGTGCGCGCAATCTTGAGCTGAAAAATGCCCTTGTTGTGCTTATGCAGGGCCTTGGCGTGGCTCCGTCCGTGGAGCATAGCGCGCGTGTCGTCGTCGCGCATCGCCGCGGCTGCTTCCTTGCCGCTCGCCTTCTCGTCGTCGTTGTCGTCGCTCAGCCCCAGATCGGAGGATTCACTCTCGCCGTCGTCGGATGGCGACGCCGGGTTCTCTAGGAGCCGCGTCGCCTCCCACGCGTCGTACACGGCCTTGAACTTGAGGTCGCGCTTGCACAGCTTGCGGTGCGCGCGGCTGACACCGGGATGCAGCACAAACTCGATCTTGACGAAGCCGATGACGCGCACGTTTTCCGGCAGTACCGAGCTCCCGCCCAGGGTCGTGGTTGCCGCGAGCGCCGGCATGCCCATCGACACATACTCCGTGAACGCCACGTTGGCGCGTACTGCGTCGCGCACGCTCGCCGTCGCGAAAATCGGCACGGTGCGGCGCGTCAACTCATCGTCGGGTACGTTGGCGAGGGGCAGCACGCCGACGGCGTGCACACGCTTCTTCTTCAATACCCGCCGCGTCACGAAGCTCAGCACCATGCTGCAGCTGTGGCGGTACTGCACGGCAAGGCGGACTGGCTGGGGGAGCTCCCACTCGACGGTCGCGCCGTCAGCATGCGGCATTGTATACGGGCGATCGGAGAGACGCTTCGTGTTCGTGCTGGTGATGGTGGAGCTTCGCGGGCGACTACCCCCATCGCCCTCGTCGTCCTCGACATATCCCTCTTCGTCGGGAGGCTGGAAAACCGCCTGATCATACTCGCTTTCAATGACCAGAGTCGGCATTTTGCCCAGTGCCTCTGAGAGGTCGGTGGTTTGCAGGCTCGCGATGTCGAATGTGCACGCCTCATACGAGCTTACGCCGCGTGGAAGCTTGATGTCGATGGGCTTGAAGAGGAGCGAGATGCGGAGCTTGCCGAAGCCCAGCCCTCCAAGTATGGGGAACCAACGGGTAATCTGCGCGCGGTCCGCCAACACGTCTCGGACACGCAGGCTCACGACCCCGATGATTGGGTCGTGCTCCCGGTCTCGCTCGTCCTTAACGACAAACTTGATGCGCGCCTGCCGCCAATCGCGGATGAACCGCTCGCTCAACGCGTTGAAGTACGGCTGGGGATTCACTCGCTTCGTCCGTGTCCGGAACACGTACTTGTCGTTTAGGTGGACTTCGCAGTAAGCGCTAGGTGGGTCGGGGTTCTCCCCCGGCGCGCGGTCGATTACGTTGCTGAGCGCTGGCTTGCCTGACGCCGCGCTCTTGCGACGGCTGATGTTGCTACCAGAGAATGAGCCGGAGTCGGGATACATCTCCAGTTCTGCGCACTGGTGCACGTGGAACTGGAGGACGCCTGAGGGGAACTCGCCCGTCGGTGGCATGGCCGCCTCTATTTCATCACGCTGCCGCTCACCGGTAATGTATTCGACCATCTCCTTGCGGCGTTTGGCGCGCTCTGTCTCCCACTCAGGCTTCTCCATCCAGTCGTCAAGCCACTGTAGCCACCACGGTGCAACGGTCTTGCCTTCACCACGACGGTCCTTGATCGCCTCGAGCCGGCGGTGGAACTCGTCCACGGGAATCTTCCACAGTGGGAAGAAACGCACGCTCCAGTCGATCTGACCCTGTACGCGCATGCCGGGATGCTCAGGTTCAAGGTCGTCGTGCCGTCGGAACAACTCGTATCCCGGTCCAGCCTGCTCAGATTGCTCGATGATATCGGCAATATCGACTTTGACCTGCCCGATTGCGTCGTCCACGGAAAATCGGTCCGAGTCACACACCTTGAGCAACAGTTGCTCGCCTACCTCAATGCTCTCGCCCGACACAAGAAGGAACGCCGACTCCTCAAACAGCGGGTCCAGGGAATTAACCACCGTGCGGGTCGAGTAGAGCGGCTTGTCAAACTTGGAGAACGACGCGGCGACATACGGATCACATGACCCCATCGTGTCGGTGCGCGGCAGGTCATCACACCCATGGATGATGATGTAGAGTACGCCGACGGCGCTGGTCTGCAATGCCGCATCCTTGCCAAGCAAGAGGCGATCGACGTCAAGGTGGTAGTGCAGCGGCGACACGAACGATCCTGCGACCTGCGCGATCGATTTCTGGACGTATGTCTTGAGGAGCGGGATATCCATGGCGTTGATGGAGCCGAAGCCAAAGCTGCGCAGTGGACGCGCTGAAATATCAAAGTCGGGCATTTTGACGAAGGTGAATAGCGCATCGCGCACAAATGGCGGGGATGGGCTGAGGAGGAGCCGCAGCCGTAGCGTTCCGCTCAGTTGGAGCACGTCGATGAACACTGGAATCTCGGAGCCGCCGAGCCCCTTGACACCCCAGCCAAAGTACGCGAGCATATGCAGCCCGGTACCCTTCCTGCTCATCTCGCGCGTGCTGCGGTAGTTGAACGAAACCTCGTAATTGACGTAGAATCCTTCGCCCTCGTCGTCATCATGGCGGCTGTAGAAGGCCTTGTCTTCGTCCTCGCACTCAACATCGCACTCTTCAGGGCAGTCTACATGACGGCGACGTCCGCGACGAAGACGCCGCGCAATCATGTCCCTTTTACGCAACTTGGCAGTCTCCTTCCCCTGCGAGAATTGACTCGAGCCGGAGAGGGGACGCCCCGAGTTTGAGGCAGTCCGACTTTTAGCTCCCAGCGACTCTGTAGACTTTGCAGACTTGATTGACCTGTTAGACTTGCTTGAAATTCCCGAGGCCGTTCGCCTGTGATTGCCCTTCCTCGTGCTCGATGCGTCGCTCGCGGTACCTGGGTGAAAGTCGCTCAAGTCGGACGCTTGGGTGGTCTCGCCGGCCGCACTCGCATCTTGCTCAACCGACAAATGTGTGGCGTTCGAGCGAGTACGCGCGTGACTTCTCCCGTTTGAGGAGGGCCCCTGAGTGATACTTGCGAACCACTCGTCATCGGTGATTGTACGAAGCGACGTAAGTTGAATCGGCTCGCGCCCAAGCGTCACATCGGCGCAGCGAACAGACGTCTACAAAGTGAGCGATGAAACATGTAGATCCATACCACGATGGGAGGCACCTGCTGAATGAGGGCGTCCTCGAGAAGGTCCACAAAGGGAGTGAGCACGTCGGTCGAGACCAGGGGAAACAGTGTGCGCAAAGTATGATTGCTGTTGTCAGCGGAAAGCTGAAGCTTAAGATACCTACATCCATCCCACGTTATCGGCGGGCTGCGGGGCAGGCGCAGGCTCTCGTTTCGCCGCCGTGGGGAGAGGAAGCAGCCAGAGCGCAACAACAGGCGCTAAGCCGAAGGCTGCTATCTGGGCGAATGCGTACCATCCGAACAGATGTACGCTCAGGAGAACGATGACGGCGAGGCCGACACACATCAACGGTGATATGCCCAGGATCGTGTCCTTGATAATGGGAGGTGGATCGCCTTGTTCGGCGTACAGTAGGGCCTTGGACTGAATCTCCTCGGCACGTTCACGAAGTGTGAGTCGTTGTGGGCGACGCTTCTCGTGGTCGGATGTTGAGGGTACGTTGAGGTGAAAGGAGTGCTGGGATGACTGAGCAGAGAGCTCAGGTGTAGCTGGAGTGACAGGGGTGACGGGTATAGCTGTGGCAGCTTGCGCAGGCGGCTTGTCGTCGGGGACACGGACATGCTGGTCCAGTGAAGGAGTGTTCTGCCGCGGAGGCAACGGAGGTGGATTTCGCAGGGGCGATGGTTGGCGCGGAGATGGCAAGCGAGGGGACTGACGCGGGGGAGTGGGCAGCTCCTTGTGAACATCTAAGGTGTCACCTTGCTTGATGAGGGGAGAAGGAGTGTGAACCTGGGATGATGTTGGCTGTAGATAGGCGTCGCCAGCGGCAGCGGCTCGAGGACTGGGATGCCTCTCCGGAGTGCTCCCTGTGGCCCTTGCCAGAGCGATGGCGGCGACATCATGTGATGACAGGGGAGGCTGACCGTTGGTGTCGGGCGCAGGGGAAGGGTTGTCGCGGCGCTTGATGGCGAGGGGCGGGGTCCGTGGTGGACGGGGCGGGAGTGGAGGAGGGGTTGCCAAGCGGGCGTGGTTGTCATGAAGGGGGGTGGTTAATGATGGTGGATGTTGTGGCGGTGGTTCTGACATTATTGGTGAAGAGTAATGAGAGTGAGAAAGAGATCAAAGAGAGAGAGAGAGAGAGATCGTGAGAGATCGTGAGATAAGAGATGATCGTCGAGATCTACCGCAGTCGCGGGATCGCGGGGGTTGACGAGATGCGCAGCAGCAGCGCGCAGTGAGTAGCATGCGACGAGCAACAAAAGGGGAGAGACCGGTGAACCACTCGGCTCAGCGGCCAATGACGTCAGGGGACGCCCACGTGTCTTGGTCATGTCGGGCAAGTCTGGGCGTTTCAGCGTCTTCTCTATTGAACGGCTAATTATTACCTCTCCACAATTAGAAGTATTATGGTATTCCGCAGCATGTCTGAAGCAACTGTTACAACTCGCAGCATGTAGTATGCTGCATGCAGCATGCAGAACAAAAGGCTGTGAGCTGTGTATACGTTATTGATGGGATGATCAGACTGCGCACAAGGCGGTGAGCGGCAGATGGGCGGTGAGCGGCTCGGCAGCTGGGCGCTCAGCAGCTCGGCAGGGATGCCAAGCGGCAGGATCACGAGAGAAGTGGGAAGCATGTTTGGTCCCAGATCGTTGCTCTCATGCTCTCACAATGACTCATGCTCCACTTACTTTCCCTTCAAACTTCGATCTTTGATCTTCGACCGACCGCATCAAAGATCGTGCATGGCGACGGATGGTGTTGGATGTTGGAGGCTGAGAGAAACGATGCACGAGTCTTTCATGGCTGTGCACGGGCACATTGATGAGGCCGAGTTGAGGGACCGCGCATGACCACGCACAGATCGCTCATTCTATTCACACACTCTGACTCTCTCTCCCTCCCTCCGTGTCCTCCTCTCTCCTGACTCCGCCATGAATCGCCGTCCCCGTGCCCACAACCCCGGCCATCAACATAGCAAGTGCCGCGAGGAGAACTGATGACGCCCCCCCCCCCCCACAGTTGTGCTCGCTCATCCCGCTGGCCCCGCTCATGACGCCGCGCCCCCACGATCGCCGGAGGAGTCGAGAATAACGACGAGCGCAGCATTCACAATGCTTCTTTCTTCGGCTTTCGATTCTTATGCACTCTCTCACACATGCCTTACAGCTCACCCCTTCAGCCTCCCGATTTCAGCGCGTTGCAGCTACAACTTGACAGCGGCAGCAAGAGCACCACCCGTTTCTCGTTCTCCGCTTGCACTCCTTCACAACAACTTCCGTCCCGTCGTTGACGATATCAGTCTCGTCCCCCACACGTCCCACCGCCCCGCGCTCGCTCGCCACGCGCCGCACTGACTCCAGTCCTTGCCTCCCAATTCTCTCCACCGTGCACCGTCTCCTCGCACCTCGCACATCCTCGTCTCGCCCCTCCAACCCTCCCGCCCGCCTTCTTCCACTCTTTCACTCTCAAACTTTTCCATTCTCTTCTCGCTTTTCTCTCCTCTCCTCATCTCCTTTCCCAACCCCCTAATTATTCACTCCTCTCGGCGTCATGGGCTGGTTCCGTCGCGTCCGCGGCAAGTCTCCAAAAGCTCCGGCTTCCGAGCCTGCCATCCCCACCCATATCCGCCAAGAATCAATCGACCTTGTAGAGATCAACCAGGCCGACGTCGAGGGTTACTCAGAGGATTCTGCCCGACAAGCACCATATGCCCCGTCCGGCCAGCGCATGGCAACACTTCACCTCTCACCCTCTGAGACTAACCTCTACCTCCAGGCTCTCGCCGGTCTCGACAAGGTCAATCCGAACCTTCCTCTGTGGAGCGAGCCAGCCCCCGCTCTCCCCAGCCTCTCGATAGACCCACAGCCCCTCCCGGCCCCCCATATCCCGTATCCCACTACACCTGACATTATACCAGCCCTCCACCCGAATCGTCAGAATAGGCAGCATGGCTTGCTCGTCCTTTCCGGCGACTCCAGCGTTCAGATCACAGGCTTCCCCGCTATCGTGGTGGCCGACTTGGATGCAGCCTTGCAGACATGGAAACCGGGGGTCGCGTCGCGTAGCGAGGACCTCGACTATGTGGCCAAGCGTCATTCTGAAATGCCTGTCTGTTGGAAAGCCGAGTTGAGAGGCAAGGTCTGGCGGCTTAAAGGAACGCAAGAGCTCGAGTGCGTCAATGTCGATGGCCATTCAGCTGATCTACAGATCCATCCGCTTGCTACTTGCTATCTTCACCGCTCTCGCCCGCCACGGGTTTACTATGGTTGGTGGCATCCAACCGGCCACATCCAAAGTAAGTACATGCAGAACCAGGATCGCAACTGACTCGCAGCCCGAATCGCACAACCTTCTGTTCACGTACACGCCCGATATCGAAGAGATCCCGCCGTTATTCTTCGCGGTTTCCCTTCCGCGTGGGCCGCCGTCATAGCTCGCCCTCACTGACGAACAGTGCCGGACCGCATCTCGCTCATCAATCCGCCGCTGCGCCTGTCAGGGCAGCTTCTCTCGTCAATCCGCAGTTCCATTACGAGCCTCCACCGACCGCTACCACAGCCGACGCTCTCCCACTTCAAGGCCATCAAGCTCGAAGGCTGGGTGCATCCTGGCGTCTATCGGTTCTGGCTCGCAGGTCTCCGCCGCTGGCCCGCAGGGGCTGGCGGAGTGAAAAGAGATGTTGTCGCCAGGTGAGCAGTGGAGAGTACCTCGGTAGCACTGACTGCCTCAGACTGCACCCGCTACTCGTTCTCGGAATTGCAGACGCAGTGAAGTCGCTCAAGTTCGCCTTCGTCGGCTCGGTGCCCCTCCTTCCTCGCGCCGCTGCCCGTGATGTCTTGGTCTTCTCCAGCACCCCGGAGTCTCAGCTGTGTTACCGCGATGCCTATTCAGAAGAGAGCGAAAGAAACAGACTGTCGGCCCTCATCAGATCAGCCAGCGCCCGAAGCCGCCAGGGAAGTTCCGACGATCGTACGAACAGCAGCTCCGACAGGCATGCCACGAGCCTCATCAATCGGCCCCACCCTATTCAGAGCCGCAGCCGCAGCGGCGGTAGTTACACGAGCACCGACTTTTACCCCGGCGCGCACTCGTCTTCGCCGGCTGTGCCCCCAAAGCCCTCCGTTCATAGGCTCCAAACCCAGGCCAGCTATGACGAGAGCGCGTTTTCTCGCCCCAGCGCCCGCACAAGCCTGGAACGCGAGCGGCGTACCAGTATAGACCAGGCATCCAACGACTCGCGCCGCCCTTCCATGGCAACCGAACCACCACTGGTGCCTGAGAAGGGTCGGTTGAACACGACGACGCCAAAGACGGCACCCAAGCCTCTGCGAATGTTCGCCGTCGACTCGCCGTCGCCACCCATGTCGCCAGTCGGCTCCCCGACGTCACCCACAACCTCCGGATCGCCTCAGATAAGTTATAACGATTTCCTCTATCATCCCCTGGGAAACGGGCCCAGGAGTGTTCGGACCACTTCGGGAAACCTAAGCATGACCGCAACCGCGTCCCCCTCCCATCATCTACCACCTCGCCATCTTAGTGGCGGCGCAATGATGGCCTATCCACCTCTTTCGCCTGGGCATGCAGCCGAGAGAGCGGAGGGCCACATCCCTCTCCTCTCGATAGACACAGACTCCATCTCCACGCGCAGCAGATACTCGAGCGACTCGCCAAGGCCACAGGCTGTTGATGACTGGAGCCCCGACCCACCGAGCACGATAAAATCGCCCGTGAGCGACATATCCTCGGCATTTGTTACACCACCCTCATCTCCGGACACTTTCGCCCGATCTCGTTCACCAAACCCCTACGCCGTGAGCGGAACGCCTCCAAGCATGGCGAGGGGAGGTATCTTCCCTACTTCGGCTCCCGCCCCCGTATCCGTCCCAAGTCGATCGCCACACCGCATGCCGCCCATCGCCGCCGCCCACCACTCCGGTGCCTCCAATGGTGATCATGCAGACACCATCCGCGGCATGGGTCGTGATCGCGCCGCCGCGCTCTCCCGCACGAGCATGAAGTCGCAGGACTCGTACGTCAGTGCGGCCTCCTCCCGTCCTCCCGGGATGGGAAGCACGCGCACCCGCATCCACTTGAGCATGAGCAAGTAGGCGCGCGGGCGCGCAGATGAGCTCAACTCGTAATACGTGATAGTAGTGTACATTGATGCACCATGATGCAGTCTAGCGTCGCTGTCCGATAAGCTTGGCCCCTGTCCCGCTGAGCCCCGACATCCCAAGGGCAGGGGTAAAGGTTTTGAGGTTGCGGCGAAAGGTGCTGAGATTTGAGCGGATCACCTCGTCGTCGAGCTCGCCGCGCAAGCGCTCAATGTCTGAGCGGAGCCAGTCGAGCGTTTCCCTCCGCGTATGGGAGTCGGGGAGGGCTGGTTGTCAGCGATGCGATCAAATGGTTGCGATAGAGTAGGTGTCAAGCGAAGACCGCCGACGACGTTGGAGGACTCACGTCTCGTTGCGCGCACCGCGGCGCGGTACGCGCGGAGCAGCTCGATCTGGAGGATGAACTACTGTCAGCGTGCCTCTGGCCAGACGTACGTTCTGTAAGCTGGGCCCTTTACGCATGGGAGGTGTTGATGTCGAACTCGCTTGACATTGAGGTGGAGGTCCGTTCGGCTTGCAGCCCTCCCTGCCCCACTTTCCATCTAACCTCCACCTCAGGGGTTCCACGACACGCAATGTCACCGCGATCGCCGTCACCTCTCTCGTCACACATCTATCTCCATCTCCTCACGCACGCGTCATGCGCCTCTCCCTCGCGCTCATCGCGCTCTCGCTCACCGGCGCGCTCGGCGCCGGCGCGCCCCCACCCACCCTTGTGACGGACATGGTCGAGAAGGTATGTGGAGCCGGAGCCGCAGCAGGCCCTGATCGCAGCGCACGAAGCTCAAGACGCACTCGATGTACGCGCCGTACGTCGACAGCGACCTGCAGAACCGGTGGTGAGTCCTGACGCGGGGGCCGGGGAGTCGACGTGGACGCAGCCGCAGCCGCAGCCGCTGGTGCGGAGGCCGTCCGGCCCGCAGGCCCGAGTGTTCGGCGCGGGATATTCGAGACACTGACACCAGGTGGGATTTCGGCGGAGACACCATCATCAATACGAACAAGCATGTGCGGCTCACGCAGGATAAGGCGAGCCAGAGCGGGTGGCTCTGGAGTCGGCTGCCGCTCGCTGTGCCGAACTGGCAGATTGAATTCGAGTTCCATGTGAGTATGCGGGCGACGTGCTCGTGTGATGTGAGAGTGGAGTTGCTCCGCTACTTGTGTTTCCGGCGGCCGCACCCCCGGCTCCGAGCCCATGTTTGTGCTTACCCCAGGTCGACGGCAAGGGTATGTCCATGTACGGCGACGGGTTCGCGTTGTGGGTCACGCGAGACCGCGCGACGCCAGGACCAGTGTTCGGCAACCAGGGTGAGTGAGCTGCGCGAGACAGGAGCCGCACGTCTGTCCTTCGTTTGCTCTCTGCGCGCAGGGCATTATGTACTCCGAGCTCGCCGTGGCCACGAGCTAACCCCAGACCACTTCACGGGCCTCGCGGTCTTCTTCGACACATACGCCAACAGCCGGCACGGCTACTCCTTCCCACGGATCACGGCGATGCTGGGCGACGGGCGCACGCCCGCGGACCTCGAAGGAGACAACGCGCGCAACGAGCTGGCGGCGTGCAGCAAGAACTTCCGCCGCCGCAACGTCGCGACCAAGGCGCGCCTGACATACGTCAAGGGCAAGGGGCTGCGGCTCGAGACCCAGTTTGACGAGTGGGACAAGTGGGACGTGTGCTTCGACGCGCCAAACGTCGAGCTGCCGTCGTCGCCGTTCATCGGGTTCACGGCGCTCACGGGCGATGTCGCGGACAACCACGACATCGTCGGCGTCTCGACGTACTCGGCAACGCTGTATGAGAAGTACCGCCCCGCGCAGAATGTCGGCGTCGGCGCACCGCCGATGCAGAAGCCGCTCGCGCAGACTCGCGACCACCTCAGCGGCGGCAGGGCACCCGTCAAGACCGGCGGCGCCGCCGGGTGGTTCCTCTTCATCCTCAAGCTTATTGGCGTCGCTGCGTTTGTCGCGTTCGCCGTGGCTGCCTACGTGAGTGACTATGGGAGCGGGACTGACGGATAGCGCACATATTCGGCCCAGCAGAGCAGGCGGCCCGCGTACTACTAACGATCTCGTAGAATATGCACGACTGCACGATGCCGTAAAGCGTTAGTACAGCTGCCTATCGAGCAGCAGAACGAGAGAGCGGTGCAGGATTGACTCGGGAAGAGCTGAGGATTGGATGCGCGGTTTACACCTTTCCGCCCAATGCAATGCTGCATGCTAATGCTAAACTACCACTTGACCTGCTCGTGCGTGAGCCCGCCCTGGCTCAGTACATCGCCCTCAACCCGCTTGAATCGCGTGCGGGTGCAGGCGTACCGATCACCTTCCACAGCCCCCAACATCTCGTCCACCACCTGCCGCGCAAGACCATCCGCCGCATGTGTGCGCTTCGGCCACGCAGCGGGCGCCGCGTCTTGCGCCTGTATCCGCGGCGAGCTCGGTGGCGTCGGCAGCCCTGTCCAGTACACACGCTCGACCTCGGCGACCCACTCCTTGGTGCTCCACCGCATGCCCTCTTCGCTCGCGAGGCCCGTGCTGCGCGGCGGCTCGCCCTCGTCTTGCATCGGCCGCTCGTACCCTTCCGCGTCGGTGGTGCCGCTGGTGCCGGGCTTCATCTGCCCGCCGCCATTCACGCATCCGCCAGGACAAGCCATGACCTCAACGAAGTCGAGCTTCTTCGCGTCGCGGGACGCGACGAGCGCTGCGCCTGCCACGTCGCTCCCGTTCCCGTTCGCGCGCTCGTCGCCCGCAGGCGTGACGGGGGAGGCGGGCGTCGCTGGCGTCTTGATCTCGCCCTGGCCTGTGCGCGCTTTGCGGCGCCGCGCAGCGACTGCGGCCTGCAACCGCCCAGCGCCGGCGGGGCGGGCGCGCCCGATCCCCGTCTCCCGGCCCACTTTGCGCACCAGATTCTGCAGGTTGCGGAACCCATAGCAGATCGCGCCTTTGAACAGTACCGAGCCTTCGCTGTCCTCGAGGTACACTTCGACGTTGTCGGTCGAGCCACGCACCGCGCGTGTGTGCACACGTGTCGGGAGGGGATGGGCGGCCGCGAGCGCGGACAGTAGCGAGCCGAGGTACGAGCCAGAGCTCGAGCCGGGGTGCTGCAGGAGCTCGGGGAAGGGGTCGGCGTCCGCTGTCTCCTCCCCCTCCACGGGTGAAAGGGGATCGAACCCGAGCTCGTGCAGAAGCAGGTCAAGCTCGCCAGTCGTGAGCACACAGTCCGTGTCGCGCGTCTGGTAGGTCTCCGAGTAAAAGTCCTCGCGGCTCGCCTCGAGTTTCTTGTCATAGCAGGGCATCGCTGTGACATGGTACAGCTCTGCGGGTGTGCGACCGAGGCGTCGCGCATACCACTGCTTCACCAGTGCTCCCATAACGCCTTGCGGGGAGCGCGTCGCACTCATCAGCGGCAGCAGGTCGCCCTGTGCCTTCTCGGCATAGCACACCCACCCAGGACATGCGGACGCAAGCATCGGTAGCTGCATCTTCTCGCCACGCTCAGCCGCCGCTCGCCGTTCCTGGAACTCGGTCGCCATTTCGCGCAGGGCGACGTGGCGCGCAAACGTCGTGTCCCACACCTGCCACCCGCCTCGTTCTGGCGCGGCGAGGAAGGCGCGTATCCGTCGCAGCAGAGTGCGGAGCGGGAGGTGGCCGCTGGCATATGACGCCGACAGCGAGGCGAGGGTCTGCGGCGCAACGGAAAGGACAGGGGCTCGTCCGAAGTCGCCGGCCTTGATGAAGTCGTGCACCTCGTTGTGACTCTGCATCGTGATGAGAAGCGACTCGGTGGATGTGATACACCCGCTGCGGTTAGTCACCATTGGCATGAGGGCGCACCTGCAAGCGAGGCAGTCGTTCAAGCTAATCTCGGCCTTCTTGAGGGCCTGCCGTCCGACCTCCACGCCGGATGAGGGGCCCGCCAGCGCTGTGCTGTGCGTCGATACCTCGTAGTAGTTGTTATTCGAGTCAATTTGGATCTCGGTCTAGCGTGAGCCATCCTGTCGAGCCTCCGAGGCTCACGTTGGCATTGTCCCCTGTTTCCTGACCTGCAGGCTTGTTGGATTGGCGGACGGGGATAATGCACGCCTGCGACGGTGTAAGGAAGTCATCGAGGTCGGTGATCGTCTGGTTTGTCAGCACGTGGAGTGAAGCGGACTAACCAAGGCGCCTGCAAACGTCATGGTGGCAGCTCGGACGTGGGGATGAGAGAATCTTTGAGATGCTACTCTCTGGCTGCTGCCTTTTGATGAGTGTACGCTATCGTGCGGTGCGTTGATATGGATGAGATGCTGTTGGTGGCTTACGGATCACAGACCAGAGTCATGTCGGATCGTCGGACTCGTCGCCCGACCTCTCGCCACCCACCCAAACGGAGTTCAGATGATCTCCGCAGTCCGAGAGGGAGGAGCAAATACGTAACATCGCACGTGTTGTAACTCTCCCACGGGTAGTGTCCTTGTGCTGTAGCTGACCTTGAGCTGTGCCTGGACGATCACGGGACCGGGTTCCACGCGTTCACATGTGGAGGCCCCACCCCCTTCCCCGACCAGTCAGAGCGTCAGAGCGATCCACAGGCAGGCGGCATTCACGGCGAGCGACGACTCATCAGTCCGATGCACCATTTCGTCTTTCTCACTCTCACTCTCGTTCTCACGACTCTCTCCCTCCCTCTCGCCCATCCCCATCTCTACTCCCCATCGCTCGCACTCCCACAATCCTCATCAACGCCCTCCCCTCCACACTCACCACACTCCTCCCCTACGCCCCAACACACACACACCGATCGAGATGGCGGCTGAGGGCAAACCTCTGCCTCCACACCCACTTGAGACTGATACCCATCCAAGCCATGGAGCGCCCACGTCAGATCATCTCAGTACGTTCTGTTCCCTTCGTTGCACACTCGTTCATCTCCACGGACGCCGCCCCAAGCACAGCTAATGCCGCCAGCCCCCAACTCGACACCCAATGTCGCGACACAGCCCTCGACCAATGCCGCTCTCTACAACTTCCGCCTTCTAGAGGCACTCCGGTCAGGTAACGTTGCCGAAGTGCAGCCATATCTCGATGAGCTCAAGTCTGCGCCAGAAGGCAGTGCCGGGCGCATCCTCGGGATGGCTGTGCGTGTGGCATCTGGTGAGTTCCGATGGGGAGACAGAGCGTCGAGCAGTCCCCACAGTTTGAACGTCACGCACACAGAAGCTTCGCCGTTCTTCCCTTCCGTGGCGTCGCGACGAACAATGACAAGAGGCTCTGTGCTCACTGACCCCAGTCCCCGTCATCAAGCACATTCTCAGCTCGCCCAATTTCCCATCCCCAAACCTCCCCGTCAACCCACCCTCCCTTACGACACCTCTCCATATTGCGAGCGATATCGGCCGCGCAGAGGTCGTCGAACTTCTACTAGACGATCCCCGCGTCGACGACACGATCCGTGACGACAAGGGCCGTTCCGCTCTCGAGTGCTCCTCCAATCCCGAGGTTGCGGCTTTGATTGAGAGTGAGCGTTCAGTGACACGGACCTCCTTCAGTTTGCAAACAGCAACTAACACCGCACAGACTCGCGCGCCGCACTCCAGTCGCGCTACTTGGTACTCCTTGCCAGCTACGTGTCGAGCCCTCTCTCTTCCGTCGAAGAAGGCACCAACATGCTCAATTTCCTCGACAAGCCACGCGCAGAGGCTCTCAACCTTAACGCGCTGGATGAACGCACCGGCACCAGTCTCCTCCACGAGGCAGCGCGGAGGCGTGACCTCCGCCTTGTCGAGCTCGCAGTCAAGCGTGGTGCCGATGTGTTTGTCCGTGACCGCCGGGGACGGCGTGTACAAGAGCACGACAAGGGCGCAGATGAGCGCATCAAGACGTATCTCCGCCAGTGTACGTGTTGCAGTGCACATTTTGCTGTGCACATCCCCCCGTATCGAGCTGACCCTGTTTGCAGTCACTAACCAGGAAACCATGGTGCAGAACAAGAGTGACGGTCGTCCGCCCGACCTCAAAGGGTTCTTGAGCAAGTGGGTCAATTACAGATCCGGTTGGAAGACTCGTTGGTTTGTCCTCGAGAATGGCGTCTTCAGCTATTGTAAGTGACTTGGTTGGGACATTGCTGGAGGTTTCCTATGGTTAACCGTTTCAGACCGCAACAGGGAGGATGAGCAAGTGGCTTGCCGCGGATCTATCGCACTTGCCACCGCACGCATCAGCCCTGCTCCGGACGGCACTCGGTTCGAGGTCAGCTCCAAGGTGACAACGTCGGTACCGAAGATTCTTGTCAAGTCGAATCTGCGAGGCGAAATTGCCCGCTGGGCACAGGCAATCCGCCTCAACATCGAGTTCTACAGCAAGGACAGGCAGCACCCGCAGCGCATTGGGTCAAATGTCGGTGCCGACCGCTCCGACGCTCGTTCGACGAAGTCCAGCATCGCCCCATCACAGTTTAATGGCGGACCTACCGCATCCAGCAGCCGGGGTATTGGTGCGGCCCTCAGCGAGCTCCCTGCTTCGGACCAGTTCCTGCATCCCAGCCTGAAGCGTTCCCCAACGACTCTCAGTGGCATTAGCACCAAATCGGAAGTTGGCACCAAGGTCCGCGACTCCGAGGTTCCGCCAGTGCCCCCACTGCCCGACCGTGCGCGCAGCTTCGCTCCCTCGTCGAGGAAGAGAGACACTTCACCCGGTGGCAACACCACTGCCAGCGAACTCGATAAGGACGATTCCGACAAGGACACAGAGGATGGCACGTCAGGCAACGAGGTCGTCCCGCACGAGTCCGAGTTTGAGCTCAGCATGCTCAACCTCACGGCTCAACTCGAGCTTACTCAGCAGCTTGTTGACTCGGTCGTGGTCTCTCCCGACCTTCCGGACAGATCGTCGGTTCATGGGAGCTCTTCCCCTTCCCGACAGCGCCAGGTCAAAGAAGCCCTTCGCCAGTCCATTGCCACCGTCAGCCAGCTCGTACAGAGACAGTACGCCATGAACCAAGACCGCGAGCGATTTTTCCAGAACCGCATCAAGCGCGAGGTGCAGACCCGCAAGCTTTGGGAGGAAAACCTTCTCGCAGTCGCCGAGCAGCAGGCCGAGACGGACCGACAGCTCAACGAGGCCGCTAAGGACAACGAGAAGAAACGTCGCGCTCTCCGGCAGGCTCGCTCTGTCCTCGCCGAGCTCAGCCTCAGCCAGCCCGCCTCTCCCGGAATGGATGGCAGGGATCCCGAGCCCATTCTCGGCGGGGCACTCACGTCCCCTCCTGCGCCCCACGACAACAGCGGCGAGTTTGCGCCGTCGTTCGCTCTTCCACCGGCCCAGGAGGCGGCGGCGGTCAGCCCAAACCTTCGCGGGTCATTGTCGAGAAGGTCGATATCCAATAGGGCGTCAATGTCGCTTGGTCGCAGGGCCTCCATTGGGCAATACAACCGCTCCTCGATCTCGCGTCGCCAGTCCATCTCGCTCCACGACATTGACCATGTGGTGGCCGCGATTGATGACTCGGAAGATGACGATGACGAGTTCTTTGATGCAATTGAGACGGGCACTCTCCCTAACCTCAAGACTTTCGACACTATCTCCAACCCCCAGGGTCCTGGGTCTCGTCCGGCCACACCAATCCACTCCCCACCTGCAACGGAAGTCAAGGAGGCTCCTCTCGGTCAGGTCCTCGCTGTCCGCCAGGCGAAGAAAGGAACGGTGGAGGCATATCTCACTCGCAAGAGCTTGGAGCCGTATAACCACGTACGCCACCGCCTCCCCATCGACGACGACAAGCGTCCCTCGGTTTCGCTGTGGAGCATTCTCAAATCATCGATCGGCAAGGATCTCACCAAGATCTCTTTCCCAGTTAACTTCAACGAGTGCACGTCAATGCTGCAGCGTATGGCCGAAGACATGGAGTACGACGCGTGCCTCACTGTCGCCGCCGAGGAACGGGACTCGCTGAAGCGAATTGCTTTCGTCGCCGCGTTTGCGATGTCCAACTATTCCTCGACGATTGGTCGTATCGCAAAGCCCTTCAACCCCATGCTGTCCCAGAGCTTCGAGTACGCCATCCCCAACCGCTACCGCTACATCTCGGAGCAGGTGTCACACCATCCTCCCATCTCGGCGTGCTACTCTGAGGCACCGACGTGGCGGTACTACGGTGAGGTCGACGCAAAGAACAAGTTCCAGGGTCGCTACTTCGAGATCCGACCCACCGGTGTTGCGCACGCCGAGCTTATCATTCCCCAGGAATGGGTCCGTCCCGAGGATAAGTACCCACCTGCTGGCGAGGAGTACCCGGCGGGCAAGGTTGTCGAGCACTACTCGTGGAAAAAGGTCATTACGAATGTGTCCAACTTCATCATGGGCAACCCGATCATCGACCACTATGGCGACATGACCGTCACCAACCACCGCACGGGCGAGACCTGCGTGCTGACCTTTAAGCCGCGCACGTGGCGTGGGAAGGACGCGTTCGAAATCAAGGGCAGCGTGCACGACCGAAAGGGCAACCTGGCGTGGGAGATTGCTGGTCGTAAGTTTCATTCCCATGGCCATCCACTGACATAAGGCTGGGACTCGCAGCTCATTGCGCGTCGCGCGGGCGTTGGCTCTGCGCCGTTGGAGGTCGACGAAACCGTGTCCGAGGACCCAGAGTACATGCAGCTCTGGAAGAACACGCAGAAGCCTAAGGCACCGTTCAACCTCACCCCGTACGCGATGACGCTCAACGACATCCCGAAGGGTCTCGAGGAGTATCTGGCACCGACCGACTGCCGTCTGCGAACGGACCAGCGCGCATTCGAGAATGCCGAGTATGATCGGGCACAGGCGCTCAAGACTGCCAACGAGGAGAAGCAGCGTGAGACGCGCCGCTTGCGCGCGGAGGGCCGCCTGCCGCAGCACGAGCCGCGGTGGTTTAAGGCTGTCACAGACCAGGACACTGGCGAGCGCCTGTGGGAGCCTAAGCGCGCCGAGGACGGCGAGGTGCTCTTCTGGCACGAGCGCGAGGAGCAGGGTTCGAAGCCTCCCGGTCAAAAGTGGCCAGAGGTCGACCACATCTTTGTCGACGACGCTCAATAGAGTATTGGTGTTTTAATATGACCATGTCACACTTCCATAAACGATACAATTCAGCACTCCCAATGGTGTGAGCGAGTTCTGAACGGAACTGCTTTTCATATTTACCGCTCAATCCGCAGGATGTCGCTCGTGGGAAGGTGTGCTGCATTGTGCAGCGCAACAGTGACATACAGCAGTTATGATTCTTCCCTATCACAAGGCCATTAACTACTTCCACAACGCACTTCGGCACGGAGAGCTGTGATCTTTCTGAGCTGCGGATCGATATCAACCGAGAGGCAAGAAGACGTTTGGTCTCGTGGAGAGCGTGACACCGCTGCACAACCCAACAGACCGCATAGCTTGTCATCGAGAGGGTTCATGACGGCTCACAAGGCTTCTTCAGAGCAAGAGACTGGGGACCAAGTAGGTTGTCCTGCTAGTCAGAGCCAGGCGATCAACAAGGAAAATACAATCAAATCATGGGGGTGTAGCTCAGTGGTAGAGCGTCTCATTTGCATTGGCAATTCAACTTCAAAAGCGAGTTGAGAAGGCCTGGAGTTCAATCCTCCACTCCTCCAAACTTTTTCACTTTTCACCGCCTTGGCAATCTTATCGCTGGTGGAGAATGACTGCTCCCTTTCGATTTCTGCATAATAATATTCTGTCATACTTGACTCGAGTCTCTCAGAGCGAAGATGGATTCATAAGCCCCGAGTCGCCGCGTCAGTTAGCTTCCCGCGACTCGTTAATATGCAAAAAACCGCTGCGTTCCATTCTCTGGCTGGCTGTAATCACACGTCTGAAGCTCCAGAATGTATCCGCCGGTGATCCCAACACAGAGACCTGCCATCAGCTGTGCCTCTCTGTTTTGTACCGTAATGAGTCATCTCAAGCCAGCCGTCTGCATAGTTCCACAGCTGCCACGGCTTGCCATGGCATGCGTACACCTTGAGTCGGCTGCCGACAGCAGGTCCTGGTATCAGCAACATCCACAAATCTCGCACCAGACCCGGCCTCGAGACACCTGTCGAAGCCGGACATCTTGATCGCCGCCCCGGACCAGTTGTCCTCAAGGTCCCAGCTGCGCGGGACGTGATAGTCGCCTCCATATATTTGTCTTCGTCAGGTTACTGTGGACGATGGGCCTCACAATAAGACTTCCCGGTTGTTGGGCGGGACTTTGGGGGGCTCATACCCATGCGCTTCGAGGGAGGAGTGCGAGGGCCGATGAATCAACGGCTGCACTCTGCCATACTGGCGCTGGATAGGCGTGGCTATGACAAGACCGGCTAGAGCGAGAGTTGAGAACAGCATTGAGTGAGGGGTGAGAGTGTGGGGGCAAGTGGATGCCAGGCTTCATGTCTATAAAGCTCCTCGCGACGTGCATAGGCGCCTTCTTCGCACGGCTTGGCTGCTATGTCAGACTGACGCGACCTCGCCGCTCGCCTGCCGGCTGGGTGTGCCCCGAGCCTTCTGACGGCCTAGTCAGCGCAGATCGCGGTTCATGAGTTATGAGTGCGTGAGACGACTGATGAACACGGCGTACAGAAGCCAGTGCGGTCAGCTGACAGGCCTCCTTGCCAAGCCGCATTCAATTGAGCTTAATCTGCTTATGGGTGCGAGTCCGTACGCCCTCCGCCGGTGGAGCGTGCCTTCTGTTCGTCACTTTCGCCTCTTTGTCAACTGATTCTCTCAATGTGACGGATTACCGCCTTGGAGGTGACGGCAGAGCTTCTGAAGGCTCGTAACGCGAAGAGACTGACATCACGTTTTCTGTAGTGCAGGTGGACCAGTGGACGACTCTGTGATAGCAGGTGACGACCCGGTCGATGGCATGGGGCCTTCAATTCTCATCAAACCTAGTCGGGGCGTCTAGACGCCCATCGAGTCCTTCTGCAAAGCAAAGGATTACACGTGACGCAGTGAGATAGTCGCAAGAGCGCATCGCGACTGCGCTTATTGAACCTAGGCGCGAGTGCTCACTCTGAGAATCGGCTCACGTCTTTGCATGAAGCTTACCTGCGATTACAGACATCCCGTTCTCAGTGTCCTTGCCGTTGGCTCCTCGCTCTCGGCATTGTAAGCCATGCGAGACTAACCCACTTCAAGTGGGGTCCGCACCCTTTCCGATTAGCAGTCAGTGACTCGCAAGTCCTGAGGCACACCGTACCATACAAGCATTCATGATTTTCAGACAACGATTGACAACATCCTTACACCGCACGCTCAGGTTCAGGCTCGGGCTCAGGCAGCTCGGGAACAACGGCAAAGTTAACCCTCGGCTGGATCTTGGCGACAACCGCACCGATGCGAACCTCGTCGGACGCGAGCGCCCGCGGCTCAGGCATGTCGGCCTTCTCTGCAAGAATCTTCTCGATGGCGGCGCGCTGCGGTGTGCGTGCCTCCTGCCACAAGCGCATAGCCTTGGGAAGCTGGTTCGCGATCGCCTCCTGCCTTGCTTCGGAGGTCGGATGGGTGCGCAGGAGTTGGAACCGGCTCTCCAGGGAACGGCCGTAACCCATCGCTTCGGCGTCCGCCTCTACGGCGGCCATCAGCTCCCAAAGATCCAGCATGGCGCGCGGGTCATACCCTGCCCGGGCCATTATCTCCAGACCGACGCTGTCCGCCTCCTCCTCAATCTTCCGCGAGTAGGCGCGTTCCGCCACAACGTCGTTGAGCCAGTTCAGGAACATGCCAGCGCCATCTGTCACGACAGGGAAGGAGATGGTGAAAGCAAATGAGATTCCGCGCAGAACGTCAAACACCACAGCGGCGAGGTTCAAGAACTGCGGTCAGTTGAACTTCAAGGCTCACTCACGCCGAGGTTCTCAACACTGTGTCGCTCGGCGACGTGGGCAATCTCGTGCGCGAGGACCGCTGCGACGAGTGAATCATCGCCTTGCGGTAGCACATCCAGGAGACCGGTATACACAAAAATCTCCTTGCTTGGGAGTGCAAACGCGTTCAGCTGAGGCTGCCTGTCAGATCTAACAACGTAACACAACTCACAAGGTCAATGAGGTAGATATCCCAATCCGACGCTTTGATGTTCTCGCCCTTCAGCGGGTTACTTGACAACGGACGGAATGGCACGAAGTTGCTGTGCGCTACCGCACTCGGCTCGACCTCGATGACGCGCGTGCGGCGGCGGCTCATGCGGTCCTCGTGATCGTAGATCGCCTCCATGATGTCCTCTCTGGGCGGCCACGCCGCCCCGCAGACAACATTGTCATTCTGCTCCTCAAGCGCGGTCACGAGGCGCGTAGCGACGCGCGCAACCTGTTCGCTCCTCAGATCGTCAGGCGGAAGAATAAGCGGCCCATCGTGCGCCAGCACCTCCTTGTGCTTCCTATAGCTCCAGGCGAGCTCCTCGTTCTCGCTCATGAGCAGCAAGCGCCATCGGCCGGTGCGAGGCGACTGATCCAAGCCAAGGGCTACGACGATACAGAGAGCGAAGATCTGGGGTCAGGCCGTCATTCATGTCAAGCCTACGGGGATTTGAATGAGAAGCCAAGATGTGCGCTTGTACTTCCGCCACAACCTGGTGTCAGTGAAGCAATCTGGGCTGGCGCACTTGTACCGCCACACGAAGGGGAGCGCAAGGAGAGAGAAGCGCGTAATGCCGAGCAAAGTGGACTTTAGTGCAGGCATCGAGAGGAAGAGAATATCACGGCGCGGTGGAGACGCCCGGAGCGCGCGCACGAGCACCGGAGTCGTCGTCGATGGTGGAAGAGGGCGGAGTGGTGGGCGGAGCCGCGGCGGTGACGTCGGTGGCAAGGGTGATCTAGTGTAGGTGCGGAACGTCGGTAAGAGTATTGGGCGCTGTGAAAGCAAGGGCGCGATAAGTGCTCGCCGCTGCCAGCCCCAGCGGAGCGGCGGCGGAGGCATGGTGAACGATGTTGTGGTGTAGAGATTGGAGGGTGACGTGCTCATGTGATCACCCCGCGCCGCGGACAGGTGGCCGATCGGTCGGCTATCCACAATCGTGTGAGTCACTCCAAGGCACCCACCTCATCCCGAGTTGCTCTCGACGCATTCCCTCTCATGTCCATCCCAGCTGCACCAACCTTTCATCCACCCGTGTCTGTAAGTTGATAGCGAGGGCTTGGCGACTGTAGTGTTGTAGACTGCCCGCCTGACGCTGCCGAGCCTCGTTGACCACCGATCCCTCGCTGAGGAACGTCAACGATGAGTATATACTTCAAGGTCCGGCATCGCTCATCGACCCGAACCTGCCGCTGCATGACTTCATAACATCTACAACGCACCAGCTCTGTATGTACGTCTCGTTCGCTAGTCCCCGCGGCCGAGCTTATCGAGAGCGCGCACGCCCTGCTCCTCCCACTCCTCCTTCGTCACCCAGAATGCCTCCTGGCTCTTCATGATGTCCGCGAGCACGGCACCACCGAGGAAGACCATGTGTTTCCGGCGAGGGGGGTCCTCAATGCGGATCTTGAAGTTCTTCAACCGCGACGCGTCGTTGTTGAGCACCCGGGTGAGGTACAGCTGCTTCATCTCTTTCTCCAGGCGCGATGGGAAGCCGGGGTACATGGACGAGCCTCCGGACAGTACGATGTGCTTGTACAACTCCGCACGAGTGTCAACGGCGGCCTGCTGGATTGTCTGGAAGAGGAGCTCTGCGACACCTGGCTGTTCGACGTCGACGAGGTGTGGCTGGAACATGCACTCGGGAGCCTCATAGCGCTCGGACCCCACCTTAATCACGCGCCCGTCTGGGAGGGTGTAATTCTCCACAAGCACTGTCGTCTCGTCTGCCAGCTTCTTGTCAAGCTCAAGGTCGTACGACATGAAGCAAAGGTTCTCCTTAATGCCGCGCACCGTCTCAAAGTCGGCTGTACGCTCGAACGCGTACCCGCGCATGAGGAGGAGCTTGATGAGGTAGCGGGTGACATCGCGGCCGGCGACGTCCAGGCGGCGGGTAAGATGGGGAAGGGCAAAGCCGTCGTATACGGGAACAATGTGCGTAACGCCATCACCAGAGTCGACGACAACACCAGTCTGGAGGCCTGAAGTCAGCCTTGCGCCCTCAGGAGTGCGATGGGTAGGACTGCACGTTGACAGAAATGGCACTGTGTCAATCAATCCTCACTCACCCTGCGCATACAGTGTAAGCACCGCCTGGATCGCGACGTAGACCCCTCCAAACTGGTAGCGCTCGAACATCACCTCGGCCATCTTCTGTCTGTTGGCCTTCGGGTTCATAGGCGGCTCCGTGAGGAGAACCTTGCGCCCTCGAGTGTCGACACCGAGCTTGTCGTAGAATGTGTAGTCCCACAGATGCTGCATGTCGCCCCAGTTCTTGACAATTCCGTGTTCCATGGGATGGCTCATCTGCAGGAAAGAGCGGTTCTCGGCCGCCTCATCGCCGATCATGAGGTCTTTGAGCTGCGAAGAGCCCAGGCGTTCCTCCGCACGCAGAATCGGCCGACCGACGACAGATGGGAAGACTGCTGTTAGCGCTGCGGGCTTCGTGGGAACTGGGAGTGAGGGGAACTTCGGCAACGCAGCGGTTGTCGGCAGGCCGGCAGCGAGATGGGAGTACATCTCTCAGCGAACTGCGGAGGTGACAGCACCGCCTCTCCGCGGTGAAACAGCGGCCACCGGCGCACGGCCGTATTGAAGGCTGTCAACCGCAGCAGGCGTTGCCCCCCTACCGGTCTCCTCGCCTTCTCATCACCCGCTGAGCCACTGCGCCTCTGCGCACCCGGCTCGCCAGCATCCAACGTCCACCCAGTTTCAAGAACCTCCTGACTTGTGCGAGTCGGCCGCATGATGCCACGACACCCACCATGCTCAGGAAAGTTGCTCCCGGCCCAGCCACACTTGACGAACTGCCGTCAGCTTTGACCGGGATAACGAGCTTACGCCGGTACCGTTGTCAACGACAAGGGGCACAGACGGATCAGATGCCATCGTGCACGTAGGGAGAATGAGAGGGTGGACTGCCGTGGGAATAGGTGGTTATTTCAGGGCGGGTTTGTTGATCGATATTGCGCTCGTCGGCGTGATAGACTAGGACAATGGCTGATGTCGATGTCGGCGTCGAGTGCTGTATGTAGATGGTGTGGTCGTTGCTCGATGATGGTCATGGACTTGGTGCCAGCAGCGTCAACGTCACTGCTCAGGGCGCCACGTCTGGAATCGCCGTCAGTCGGCGATTTCCACGTGGCTGGGTGGCGACTTCGGTGCCTCCACCCCCCCTCTCCAGCTACTTTGTTGTGATTGCTGATCCACTCATCCAAAGCCTTGCTGGATTCACCTCACTTGATATCACGACTACCTGCCTGCGATGGTCTGCAAAAAGTGCGAGAAGGTGAGTTGTCTGTCACATTGTCATGCCACACCATGCGCGCGCGGCTGATGCCAGAAAACGTCTGCCGTTGCGACGTCGGATCCGTTTAAGGCGGGGTCGGGGGCGGTCCGCAAATTGGGCGAGAACAAGCTCTTGAGTGCGCGGGCGAAGGCTGCGCCGTACGCCAAGCCAGGAGCGAATAAGAGCAAAGTGAACACATTTGGAAACAAGTGTATCGATTGCAAGGTAGGTCCTACGTGCGGGACTCGCTTGCAGAGGGAAAGTAGCCATCTTCCTTCTGTTGCGCAAGTTCCGGCGAAGACTGGTTGTGCGGAGTGTGAAGGGCTGACCCCAGGGATCGGTTGCGCAGAACATGGCGACACGGTGTCAGAAGTGCGCATACAAGAAGGGGCTTTGCGCCATTTGCGGCAACATCGTGCTCGACACCAGCCGTGAGTGCTCCTGTCTTCATTTCTCGAGTCCGACAGCGCTAACAACAGGGTACAAGCAGAGCGTGAAGTAAATTGCATTCAGAGCCCAATCATGTCACTATATGTTGTATATGCAGGTATCGTAACGTTACAGGGGTATTATCGTCCGCGGAGAAGCGACCCGAATCTCCGCAGACCTTGTGGTCGTGTCTCGCGCGAGCTCTCCGTGATCGCCGACGCTGTGCTGTTGGCCGTGTTGGAGCGCGTGCTCGTTCCCGCGGCGCCCGACGATGGTGCTGGCGGGGGACCAGTTGTGGTCCAGAGCGGGCCATGGTCGCTTCGCTCCTTGCTCTCACTCGGTCGCCTCTCGGTATTTGTGCTGGCAACGCTGAAGGAGCGCTGAAACGTGGACTGTTTGGCCGTAAGCGGCGTGTCGTCTTCACTCGACCGAGCGTGTCCGTTCGGCCGTGACGCCACAGTGCGGCCGATGTTGGTCGGATTGAGCAGTATTCCTCCCTTGGGTACTTCGGCGCTCGCTGTGCTCGAGCCGCGCGCGTGGCTACTGATGCTCGTGCTGCCACCGATGCTCACACTGCTCAGGCTCGGGCGGTGCTCGCCAGGCCGCTCGTGAACGCCGTGGCCACGGGAAGGCCCGACCCTGAGCGACGGGAGAGCGTATGCGTCGGAGGAGCGGCGGGAGGGCGCGTCGGATGTGGGAGACGCGACACGCTCTTCTTGCGCAATGATGGGCGAAGGCTCCTTGGAGCGCGTGGAAGGGCGTGGCGAAAGCACATCCAAGTCGTCCGCCTCTGGCAGAGGTGGGAGTAGGAGGATCTCGTCGGCGTAGACCTTGTTGTACACTGGCGTCAGTTTATCTTTACGGAGTCGCTCACGTTGTCTGAGAGCCTCATAGAAAGCGATATCTTTGCTGACAGAGTGCAGGGTAATGAGGCCGCGCTGGATTGTGCGCGCATAATCAAGTATCGCTTGGCGCAGGCGTTGCGTGTTGTTGGCTTCGGAGGGGTATTTCTCAGCGTATGCAGGGTCAAGGAAGTGCTGGTGTCAGGTGGGAACGCCTGGCGGAGGCTCACCTTCTTGTACAGTGTGATTCCACCGTTGACCCGCGAATCAACAGCTCCGTTAAGCGCATTGCCGAGGAGCTTGGCACTGTTGATTAGCGTGTGTGAAGATTAACGAGGAGTAAGCAAAACCTACTCAATTGGCTGCTGGTCGACGAGGCGACGTAAGTCACGGTCCGCCTTGTGGACGATCACGATTGCTGAGTCGACTGGGGAGATGTGGTCATGGTGAATGTGGACGACCTCGGCGCGGCTCTCCAGAGCTGGGAGATCGTTGGCGGTCGTGATGGTAGTCTTCTCGATCCACTGAAGGACTGCTTCGCGCTCCTCGGGGTCGACAACGTAAGGGCGCAAAGTTTCAAATTTGTTCACTGCGTTTGACTTGTAGTACGCCTGCACGGAGGGGTTGACGCCCTTCCGGAAGACGGGCTTGCTGAGATCGGGCAGCGGCGTGACGCTCGTGACCCAAATGACGGGCTCAGTGCCATAGCGCACCATCTCGGAAGGCGGTATCTTGGAGCGGTGGATTTGTGCGTCCGGATGTTTGGCTTGCAGGGCCTCGCAGAAGTCAACGTAACGCTGCCAGGGGGCGCCACGCACGATGAACTCCTTGTCCAAGTCGAGCGAGGTGAAGTTCCCGAAGTACGCCACCCTAAAGTACTCTGGCTTCGGACGCGTTGACGTGCCCGTTTGCTCCCACAACTTGGCCTCATGTTGAAGCAGCTCGGAGATGTGCTGCACGTCAAACGTCTTGAGGCGGTGCTGCTGCGTGATCTCCTGACAGATTTCCACTGCCTGCTCGTACGCCTCAGCCTCAGCGAGGTAGTCGAGAACATGGTAAAGTAATGCCTCCTTGCGCTCAAACTGCGTCTGCGCCGGCAGTCGGATATCACCCTGGTGGAATTGGTCGAATAATGGACCACCGACGCGCCATTCGTACAGGTTAGCGTGCAACTTGAGAGCAAGAGCCGCGCCAAACCAGTCCTCCGCCTGGATGTTAATCGCCACGAGATGGTGCACGAAGCGGATGTAGAGGTCATCGCGTCCAACCTTCGAGAAGAACTCCATGAGACGGTAGGTGGCGGCCACGCGCTCTTCCTTCCACTGTGGCGTCTCCGGAAGGTCACGCACAGCCATGAGTAGGTCGATGAATAGCTCAACCTGGTCAAGGAAAGAGCCAACGTGCGATCGGAAGTTGGAGTCGATTTCGGGTGTTTCCTCAAACACCGAGCGAAGGCGCGACACGAAGTATGCACGCGTGGCGGACTCGCTTGCCGTGATCGTCTTCTGGGTGAACAGGGTTTCCAGCTTCTGGAAGATCTCCGTCTGAATCGTGTTGAACTTGCCGGCGAGGACGTACTCCGCATAGATCATTGAGAATAGGATATCCACGGCCGCCTCACACAGCTTCTCGTGCGACGTGAGACACAAGGTGAGAATGCGCTCCGCGAGACCGGTGAAACGCGTTTGATAGCCACCGTAATTGCTGTGCGTGCCGCGGCCGTTGATGGGCTGCCAACCGATAGCATTCCATACTTTGTGCAGGAGCGCAGCGCCGTCGTCGCGCAAGTCCCCTGCGATTATCCATGCCGCGCGGCGGTGCTGCAGGCCCTGCTCCTCGAGAGCAAGTTCATCGCTGGCGCAGAAGTCACACACGAGCTCGATGAATTGAGTCCAAAGGCCCACATCGAACCGATCCATCTCCTCGATGGGTGGGATGAAGTCGTTTCGCGCGAGGAACTGGATCACAGCTTCCAGGTAGCGCACGGTCGCGGTGAATGCGAGTCCAGAAAGAGTGAGCCACTGGCGCGGGAACGCATCAAACTTGATAACAGAGGAGAGGACGTCAAAAGAATTCAAGAGTGTCTCCTTCACCACCTCTGAGCTGTTCATGTCGAGCATCTCGACCAGCCAGCTCACGATGTTGGCGCGCGGAGCGGTAATGACCATGGTGAAGATGACGACCGCAACCTCGGCGAGACCACACGCGAAAGTGCCTGCTGGAGGAATACTGTCACCCTGGCCAAGCATCGCGGACGGGGGCAAGTCAGAGACTAGCGCAAAGGGGTGCGAGGCAGGGAAGACGTTCGGTGTCGACTTCCATACCGTTGGCGAGGTGCGGTGGCGCTCCAGCAGCTCCATCGTCTTGTCACTTGCGAGCTCTCTGTACGAGTCAAACAAGCCGGGCAAGATCGTCAAGCAATACTCGATGTTGTCCTCCTCCTGTGCCTTGAGCAGCGGGTCTGACTTGATGATTGGCGAGTCGAGCAGTTCCTGGAGCGTGTTGACCGTCCATGCCATCACCGAGACGGCCAAACGGTTACACTCCATCCAGCGCAAGTGGCGACTGTCCTTAGCGGCCTGAGTCTCGCCGCGGGCCGAGTATAGTTCTTCCTCGAAGAGGCCGACGTGTGGCTTGATCCAACGGATGATTGCCGGGATAAGTTGAGCGCGTGTCTCGTCAAAGTCGAGGAGAGTCTTAACAATCTGCAAGATGAGAAGCAGCTTGTAGATGGCGAGACTACCCTGAGCACGCGTGAGTGTATCCGTGAAGACGATGACCATCTCGGCAATCTCGTCCGGCGTGAAGACTTGTGCGAGGTCGGGTAGGATGTCCGCATAGTGCTGGACCGCTAGCGTTTGGGACCCAATTAGCGCCTTATCGTCGGAAAGCATGATATCGTTGATGTCGCCCAAGATATCGCGTGTCTGGCGCTTGAAGTCTGCCTCCATCTGTGCGGCCGTGGGGCCGAGCGAGGAGCCTCGCGACCGATCCAGCTCGCGCGAGCGAATGACGAAACGGAAGACACTGTGCCACACCTTCAGCAGGGAGCGATACTCCTGCGAAGACGGCCGGCCCATGACGGCCTTCATCGCTCGCAGGAGGTGGGGGGCGGACGATTGGAACGCAAAGTGCTTCGACGTGTACGCCGCAATAATGGGGCCAAACGAAGGGAAGCGTCTATCAGACTGCATGGCGAGCACCTTGATGAGCCCCTTGAAGACCAGGTCATCAACCTCCTCTCGCCGCTCGCCCAGGTGGCCAACGAGGATTGCGAATAACGCATCCAGGACTGGTTGCAAGAATTTGGCGATCTCGTCCTCTCCAACGAACTGAAACATCTGCAGCGTGTGGATGAGCGATGCAGCGTCGGCGCTCTGCCAGGCGAACAACGAGCGTAACGTGTCGTCTTGGGTGTGGATCGTCGAGCAGAGGAAGGTCCACAGCGAGATGCGGTCGCGCAGCGCCGAGACGTACTTTGAGGTTTCAGGAGTGAGGCGCGGCTCACCCGTCGACGGGGCCTCAAAGTAGAGGTTAGGTGTGGGCTGCATCGACGCCTTCTCCATGTGATAGAGAACGAGCTCGTGCTTGCCATCCTTGATTGACGCGTTGTGCGAGAACAACGGGAGGTAGGCGAAGGCAAACGGACGCTCACCGGCTTCAGGATTGCTTTCGCGTTCGCGCGTCCGCCTGCGGAAGGAAAGGAAGAGGTGGCAGTCTCCTGACCCTTGGGGAAGCGCAATCTTGACAAGCTCGCCAAAGGTTGGTTGGTCGTTGTGGTAGTAGACGATAGAGTTGTACTGTGCTGTTGGAGGCTCACCGGACCCGCCCATGAACAACGAGTCGGTGACGATGGAGCCGTCTGCACGTCGCACCTCGAGCGACACCTGGGTGCTGGCAGGAATGGGAGCGACTGTCTTACGCACGCGCAGAGTGCCGCCCGCGGGAAACATGGTTGAGAACGATGCAGTCCACAGCTTGATGTACAAATCGTTGCGGACCGTTCCCGGCGCAACAACGTCAGGGAACCCGAGACGCTGGGTCTGGGGCGTTTCCAGGAGGAGGGAAGGGTGCTCTCGGACCACCTGGTCAATCGGGCCGTGGAAAAGCTTGAGGCCGAACGCCATACCCTCCGCGCGCGGCGACCTCTCATACGACCGCTCGTTGTTGAGGATAATGTCCGAGTGGAGGGTGGCAAAGTTCGCCTCATCGCGCGCGACATAGATGGGCATGGCATAGTCGTCGCCATTGCCATCGACCGTCAGCCGACTCATTGCCGGCAACTCAAGCACAGCACAACCCAGAGGACGGCGAAGGGATGCACGCCCGGCGAGTCCTGTCCCGTACGAGTGCGTAGTGTCGATTGTGCGCGTTCTCTTTGGCTCGTAACCCGACACCATTGACGCAGAGTCATCTGTGGCATGATCCGAGATAGAGATAGAGCTGCGCCACTTGCTGGCATCGTTGATGAACGCGACACTGTTGCGCTTGTTCTGGTGCCACCTCCGCTCGGTGACCTCGGGTGTCACCGACGTCGCTTCATTGCTCATCTTCATGCTACCGTTGCGTACGATTCGGCATACGAGGTACGTTCCTGCAGTAACGTCGTCGGCGCGCAAATCGGCGAAGAGCGTACGCAGCTTGCCCAGTCGCCTGTCGGCGTCGCGAGCAGGCGTGCCGTTGTGATTGAGGATGAGGCAGAACTCCTCGGTCAAGAATCGTCCTTGCGTCTTGCTATACAACGAGAAGAACAGTTCAGCTGTTTCGCCGGGTGCACACGGGCTAGCGATAAACGCGCGGAAGTCGAGCAGGCAGTGGTACCCGCTCGGCGACGATGAAGTCTCCTGCTCCTTCTGTGCCTCAAGGGCGAAGGCGATGGGCGTCTTGATGGCTCTCGGCCGAGGTACCGTCGACTTGCCGAATAATGCATCCAGCGGGACAAGATCGATGTACGCAAGCTGCCTCATCAGCCACGCCGTCACTGGCTCACTCACCTGTACTTGGTAAATGTACGCCATGACGCCGCCCATCCAGCCCGAGCTCGTAAGGGAGCGGTCCTTGTCGATACCGACAACGTTGCCGTCCTCTAGACTGCGAACGATGACCTCGAGACCCTGGGCAACATTGCACTTCACGAGGCGCGAGACACATTCTCGCCTGATGCGCACTAACTCGTCCCCGCTCAGCATTTGAGAGAGTAGCTGCCGTCGGCCCAGGAACAGCGCGTCAATGTGCTGTACCACGGCATTGAACAGACGGTACTCGCGGTTTGCGAGGTATGTCGGAAGGCGCTGCGATTAGCATATCAGTCGCGGTATAAACTCACAGCATACCACTCCCGGATTGCGCAGGCAATCTCATCGACGAGCGGCCACTGCTGGCCGGCGACAGTCGAGTCGCCAGCTGTCAATGTTGGTAATGGCGGTTGCTCCTTCTCTCTAGGTGCCGTGAGCACGAGAGACGCTGGGCGGCGATTGCGCCGCAAGAGGTTCAAGGAAGGGCTGCTAGGTTTCATGGGCGAAGGTGGCCCGGAACCGTTGGCGTCACCATTGAGTTCGTCCTCGTCTTCCTCGCGCACAGCGTCCATCTGAAGCTGCATCTCGCGTGCGCGGTCCTCGGCGAGTTCGCGCGCGCGCTCGTATGCGCCGGCCAGGACGTCACTCTCAGTAGCGGCGTTGGGGCGGACATGGACACATGACGCGGGGAAGATGCCGATGAGGACGGATGGCTCGACCTTTGGATATGCGGTGGGCGTCTGAATCGACGGCATAAGCATGGGCAGACTGACGCCTTGCACGACATATCTGGGCTTCAGCGCGCGTTGCCAGCACAACGACCGAACCCCGCCAGACACTCACCCTCGGTACCATGTTCCCTCGTTCTCGTCGCCGCGGTACTCTTCAAAGGCGAAGAATTCGTCGCCGACATCAAGGGACACCTCATGTGGGTTGCCGCGAGATGCGGTGAAGACGTCGTCGCGTGCGGATGCGGACGCGCCAGACCAGGAAGTGGTTTGGCGATGTGATCGGACAGTCCCGGATGGCGAGGTCGGGGGCGACTGTGAAGGTCTGTAGGGGTGGGTGACCAGGCCCGAGTATATGTGAGGGAGGGGCTCCCAATAACCAAGGCGTGCTCTGCGTCGCATGAGTGATGAGGATGACGGGTGGAAAGGAGAGGTAACATACCGTGATGGCCCAGCGCTGGCGCTTGGGCCGGTATTGAACAGGGCCATTCCGCGCGCCGGTCACGGATTAGGCGCTAGAGCGTCGAGGCGCGGTGGAGGTGGCGTAGTCGCTGGCCGTGTGGACGCGAGTGGAGGGGAGGAGGGGTGGTAGGAGGGGGGGAGGGGGGGAGGAGGGGAGAAAGAGTGGGCTGAAGATGCGGGGAGGGGGACGGGATAACGGATGAGAGAAGTGGATGACGACAAGATGGGATAGGAGAGGAGAATGACGGCGAGGAGAGTGCAAGAGTGATTGTGATTAGTGCAAGATGGTGAGAGGGAAGGATGGTTGCAAAGGAGAGTGACGAGCGAAGGAGCGACGACCCCGCAGCGAGTACGCAGCGAGCCATGCAGCTTGCACAGCCAACCACGCTACCAAACCACGCTACCCAACTACGGCATCCCCCTCTCTCCATCCCACCATCACCCAGCCTTGTTCGCCTCCCGCTCAGCATCCACTTTTTGGACCCGCAGCCCATTGCTCCCTCTGCATTCTCCCCGCGGGAAGGAGATGAACCCTTGCAATCTACATGCTGTACCACTATATCAACTACGCCTCTTGACCTCTTGGGCTTTGGGGGCTTTTGGGACCTTCTGGGACTCGGAAACTGGCGTGCAAGTAGGTTGATCGCCTGATATGTTCAGGGAAGCAGACGCGTCTAGGTCAAGGGGCTTGCACAATTGCACAGTGTCACCCGAGACCCGAGAGTCTGGACCATTCTATTAGCTCGAGAGCTCGACAGCAGCTGAACAGCTGGACAGCTGGACATCTGGACAGGCTCTGGTCGAATTATCGACTGCGAACGCTTGCGGATCGCGGAATTGAGATCGTTTCATCCTCGCGGCGATCCTATCCAGTCCGTTTCGTCCACACAAGCCGCACATTCTTACTCTTCTATCAACTTCCATTCCCCCGATCCCCGCACAAATCATGTCTGCAACTACTCTTTGTAATCACGGTCGTCTCTGCCCTCTTGTCTCCTTCTTCCACAGGTCTACACAACGCCTCAGGTCACCACTGCCGCTGGCTTGGCTAATACTCCCTCCCTCCTTGCCAACCACGCGGCCCTCAACCTCACATGCAGTAATACTGTATGGCAGGCATTTCTTCCCGAGCGCCTTGTTCCGCCTGCACTTGGTCTGCAGTCGCTGCCATCTAACGGTCCAGCCTAGTGTACTGGTGTACTGCAGTACGCTGCAACGGAGATCAGCGCTCGTCTCAGCATGTCCATGACATCGCCAGGCTGTCCACAGATAGCGAGGCCTCATGTGTTTCGACTCTGTATCTGACATCCGTGGGAGACTTCGGGAAACCAAGATGTTGTCCATCAGAGATCACGTGAGGGCACCCGTCTGTCGTTTGCTCCTGACCCACTTTGCTTTTGGCCGCCTTTGAGCCCGCCCCACTCTAGCTTTCGTCAAAGCTGACCGCCAGAGCTCGTCAGTCACCACGCGGGCTGCTAGGTGGCTTTGAGACAATTCTATAATCAACTTATGATAGATTGGGGCTTTATGCATCACGAGTTCAATCGAAAATGCACATCTGGCTGAGGGGTTTCCAGTCGGCGTGGGGCAGCTGTGTGCGGTGGAGGTCAATCTTGTAATGTCCTTAGGTTAGACCCACCTCCCATTACCTTTTCAAAAGTTGCGCTGAGAAATCTCGGCCCCCTCCACTTTCACAACAAAACGTCCACCATGCCCGCCCCGGCCCCCCCACCAGGCTACGTCCAGTGCGCGTCTTGTTATTTTCGCGCGACGCCTCTGACTCCAGCGTATGCAAGCTTAAGGACACACTCTCTCACACGCGCTTCCACCTGTCGCTGCGTACACTCTCGACGCCAGCGACATATCACCGGCTTCTGCTGTTCCGGATCACCAAGCCATGCGACGACGAGGGCGCCGCAGAGCTGTATTGCATGGAGGAGGCCTGTCCGCACCTCGGTGCGCCCCTGAGCCACGCCGAGATTGAGGTGGACGACATCGAAGACACACGGGCGGTTGGTGAGTTCAGATGCCAAAATGAAAGGCAAAGGACGGGGCTAACGCTCAGTCTGTCCGTGGCACCAGTACGACTTTGGTGAGTTTTCTACAGTCCGGCTCGGAGCTTGCGAGCCCGCACGATCTTCCGTCGGGTCGACGCTCTGCTCCGCGGATGGCACGGACCGGGCGGCCAGAGACGATGCCCTTCCGCCAACCGTTTCAGGCGGTCGGCCAACACGCCGAGAGAATGGCGGCTGGGATTAAGATTCGGACAGGGGGGCCATCAGGAAGCAGTGGTCAGGTGGTGATCGCTAGGTCCGAGCTCGGAGGTATTGGACGCGCGGGCAACCGGCCAAGCGGGCAGCAAACGTTCTCCTTGGCCAACGCCGGTGCCGCGGCGTTGGTGTCGGACAACGCCAAGCCAACTGCGGGTGGCGGCGCCAGGGATGATCTGCTTATCTACACAGTCGGGTGAGACCGAGATGAGTAGTCCGAAGGGGAAGTCCGGGAGGCCGGATATCGGCGATGCCCGCGGGCGGCGGAGCAGCAGTCTGTTTGGCTGAACTCGGACGGAGAGCTGCTGGCCACAAAGGCGTCTAACTTCGCGCCTTTGATGTCATGAACGGCTCTTCTTGCGCTATTGCGCGCGAGTCTGCTCTACGGATGATGCACCAGTGGCGTTGAGAAGACGTGCGGCGCGGCGTTTCTGAAGACCGCACCAAGCTGACACTAGACCTCCGCGATGGCACGAGCTGTATGCTTCCTACTGACGCCACTGACGCCAGCCACGGGCCTCAAGACGTGCACATATGACGTGGTCCTGGACGGAGAAGGGCACGAGGCCGGTGTATGGGTCGAGGCGCCGCACATCGAGGGAGACTTGGACTGGGAGACGATTGAATTCCGTGGTGTGAGCGAGGGTGAGTCGACAAAATGGGTGTGACTATTGGCAGCGAGGAAGGTTTACTGTGGCACTCGTGCCAAGCGGGCATGTGGCGATGCGGAGCCAGGGGTGCGATGAGACACAGCGCCACCGAGCACAATTCTCCATGTTCGAGGACAAGCTAACTACAGAATTCGCCGACCCCCCGCCTCTGACACTGAAAGACCTGACCCTTGAAGTACCCCCAGCAGCACCCTCGCTCTCCCCCGATGCACCCATCACCCCCGTGACTCTTCCTGACAACTTGCCGGACTCGCTGCTGGATTTTGCGCACCTGGTCCTGGCGACGCCGGAGCCAGGGATGAAGTGCGCATTGACGCGCGAAGCCGTGTCTCGCATGCGGGCGGGTAAGCTAAAGTCAATCCGGCCGAGCAAAGCGGAGATTGCACGGGCGCGGAAGAACGGTGGGCTGCTGGACAAGCCGCCACGGTTGCAGGAAGCCGTGCGACCGTGGCAGACGAGCAAACGGTGAGTCGGTCGAAAATTGGTGGGAGGGCAGTGCAGTTGTTGTGCTCAGAATCTGAACTCTTGGGAAGAGCGCTCAAGAACCCGGGTGCAGGAAAGATGGCGCCTGAAAGAGAAGGATAGACGCTTGTGGAAATTGAACAATGGCTCATGCGCGGGCATAGAAGATGTCTTTGCCGGTCTGAGCAGAGCCCGGCGACGACATGATTATGGCACAGTCTAACGTCAGCGGGAAGGGAGGATCGGAGAAGTCACGCATTGTGATGATTCGTGAGTGTATGCGATATGCGAGTGTTGTGTTGTGAGCTGACCCCGCCCATTCCGATCATTCTGACTGATACAATCCGCACCCATTTTTTTCCGCCTCCTCGTTCCCGCACCTCATGTCTCACTTGGGATTGTCACCTCCAGACGCCCTCGCCAATATTGAGCAGTACGCGATCGACCTGGCATGGGATATTATCGCACGCTTTGCCGACACAGAGATCGAGGGCCAGCGGCTGCCAGTTGAGTTTTTCCTCGACTGGGCCAAGGTCGCCGAGGACGAGGCCAAGCACTATTCCCTCCTGGCTCGGCGGCTGCATGTAAGTGCTTGGGGTTTTGGTCCTGCTGACATGCAGGAAATGGGCTCCTACTTCGGGGCTCATTCCGGTAAGTAAGACATCGGCGAATGTTTCGCCGATCCGCCCAGCCTGTCGTCCTCGGGCTCACGGCAGTGCACGCAGGTCTGTGGGACTCGGCAATGGACACGGCGGACTCACTGCTCGCGCGAATCGCGGTCATTCACCTCGTTGCAGAAGCGCGGGGCGTTGATATGAACCCTCTCACGTTGGCGCGGTTACGGACGCACGGCGACACCCGCTCTGCAGAGATTCTTGAGATCATCCATGCTGATGAAATTACTCGTGAGTTTGGACGAGGACACACGCAGGGGATCACTTGTGTCGATCAGTTGTCGACCGGGCATTTTAGATTTCCGGCTCCACAAGAGTCCGTCCTCATCCCTCCGCACCAGAGCCTTGCCTGGTAGCCGATTGCCGCTGCTGTTTTTAGAGTGTCGGCCTAGGCGACGTACAGAGCGGGCATTTCGGCTTGGTGTTTACGTTGGCGCCCTCGTTCCTTCGCTGACTGCAGACGTCACAGCTGGGCACCGATGGTTCTCATGGATGTGAGTGTGGCAGTTTCACAATGTCGTTCGGGCGAGAGTCTGGCCACTCCCCTAAATCCCGCCACACCACGGTGTCTACGTGGGGGATGACGAGGGGAACTGTGGGAACCGTTTTGGGGCATTCCAGTAGAATGGCCGGAATTGGCGGCGGCCTACGGAGGCGAGGGCGGGGGTGGTTAGGATGGATCGTCGGGCGACGGAGAAAGGGGCAGTGGGACGGACCGAGGGCAGCTAACGTCAGCTGCGGCAAACGCGACATCGACCCCATCCAGCAGTTCCGTCACGAGGTGCGCACCAACTTCCACGGCGATCTCAAAGGTCCGTTCAACACCGCGGACCGCGCCAAGGCTGTGAGTGTCAAGGCATCTGTCGGACTCGGAGCAGGAACGGCGTGACATGTGCCTCTGTGCCTCTCCAGCATTCGTCTGGACATCGTGTCCCAAAAGTGTCCGTTCCCCTTGTCCTGCCACTTTCGTAATGGCCCCTCAAACAAAAACCTCGGACACCGCTGACTGCAGGGCCTCACCGAGGAGTATTACACCGACCTCAAGGGACACGGTGTGTCGCGGCATGCTGCGTATGCCGGCTCGGGCCCCGGCGAGGGCGACACACACATGCACCCTCGGCTCACCTAGATAGATTGTAGAGCTGCTCCACCTCCACGTATGCCACATGCTGCAGCGACCTTTTTTGCGTTGTCGACCTCGCTTATGATGCTCAACGTCTCGGCGGCTCGGCGCCCAGAACAAGATCTGTTCCTATGACGAGGGCCACACGCCCGCGCCACCCACGCCCGAAAGCTTACGGCATTGCCGGCATGACCCGGCTTCGATCTTCGCCGAGCCCTTGAACACCGCATCGCACCTGTTTCGCGACATCCCCGAGCCACGTCACGCAGCCTGGAACATCCCCTGATGTATCAATGGCGTCGGCTGCACTGCTTCCAGCTGCAAGCCTTTGCAATGGGCACTGCAACAGGCTTAAACAGGTGAAGTGTAATCGTACGCAGCGCAGAAGGTGTTCGTCTTCCGTACCTCGGGCTGCAGGGCGGTGAGCGCTCACGCCTCGGTCGCAGTGCCGATTCTGCCGGCCCGAAACAGCGGCACCATTGTGCGGCAACGCGGCGTCAAGTGGTAGATGACGAATAGGCGCCCGGACGCCGAAGACTGGACTCGTCTACGGGGAAAACACGCCGCCACATTCCTCGGACAGGCAAGATTTTTCGTGCCTCCATACACGATTCACCCATCCAGATGCAGGGTCGAGGGATCGGCAGGGTCTCCAAGGCCCCAATGCCGTGAGCTATAAAGGCGGAGGTACTGCGGTCGCATCTGCGGCTGTCTCAGCCTGGCATGCATGTCATCGCTGCCGGCAGGCAGGACGGAGGAGGGCGCACGAGGGCGAGGGTGAGGGTGGGCAGTGCCTGGTGTTCGCCGGCTTCTGTGATCGCCCAGGGCCGGTGATCGGCTAGCGATCGGGCGCAGCATGACCCATCGTGGGCGGGATCGTCGGTGTCGAGAAGCAGATCACGGCCCGAGACCGAGCGTGGCGGCTGGCGTGGGTGCACGAGAGCCGAGGCGGCTGTCGAACGCCGTGTCGGTGGATGGGTGGACGCGTTATGCATTGACGCAGGGACAGCCGTGGGGTCACGGGCATCTTCCGCGCCACTGGAGTGCCACTGGAGTGTTGAGTTGAAGAGGCGCTGGTGTTCCCGGACAGAATTCCTTCGATCAAACTAGGCTCCTCACTCTGGTAGCTGTGATGCTCGTGCGAAAATGTGGTGCGACGGGCGCTGCGCTGCGCACCCGCCTGAATGCAATCGACAGATTCGCGGCGGCGCCCGGGGGCCGGGAGCTGGTGAATGTGGAACAACAGCCAGGGCGGGGAGAACTTCTACCGTGCCTGAAGGATGTGGCTATGATCGATGCTTCGAAAGTGTCACTCATCGATGAGACAGACAGCATGTCGCCGGCGTCTTGTGACCGCATGAATTTGTGTTTGTGCGCCTTGCGGACGACCACGGCCTACGTCGTCAGACGGTGCCTGCCGCGAGGCGTGCGATGTGAGCTTGACACCAGCAGGCATGCTTGCGACGCCCCAACCATGTTCCCGCGGGGGGTTTCCTGTGCCCTGGAATCGGCGAGACGAGGACCAAAGTTGCGCCGAGGCACGTGAGTGGCCGTCATCATGCGCACATCGGCGCCCACGGTAGGTGGAAGAATAGGCGGCGGCGCCATGCCGCTATGCCGTCGTATCGCGACAAGATTCCAGTTTGTCTCGCCTCACCCTTGTCTCGCTGTTTGCATGGCCTCGCCGAGTCGCGTGCCTGTACCTCGCCGAGGAGGGAGAACCCGAGCGCCTATGCCCCTGCTTGCTGGTTCAGTGTTTTCTGCGGCGTGAGACGAAAAGCTCAACACCGCGGTATGCTCGCTATTGTGCGGCTCGTGCCGGATCTCTGCCTGGCTCTGCAGGTTATGGACCGAGTCATTAGGGCGCGGCCGGAGTGTTGAGCCAGTCGCAAAGAGTGAATGGAATGCATGGGACTTTAGGCGTTCAGGCGAGATGAAATCAGGCGGCCAAGCAGGCTGAATCGGCTGGCGTACTGGCGTTGCGGGATGGGTAAAATGGCGCAGTGAGCATAGGATCTGTGATTCGGAGAGATTCAAGCATCGGTTTGACCCTGCTGCCCCTTCGCTCGACGCTTCTCACGCCTCGCACGCCTCCTGCACACTATCTGCACATCTGCACACCGCTCTTGGGGGTCTCGGGGGGCAGTCACCATCATTCGACGCCACACCGAACGCCCGCCGCCGGCCACTCTTGCCCGCCGCTATCTGCACACACTTGTGCGGCGATGGGTCAAAGCGCGTTCCTGGCGTTCGAGAGCGCGGACGGAGGCACATGATTTCCGGAGCGCACCTTCCGGTCCTTGCGTCTTGCGCCTTGGGTCTTGGAACAGCCAGGTGGCGCTGCGGAAAC